TCTTCAAATTTTGTTGAAGTATCTAAAAATATTCCCTACTTGGAAATTTTTCAAATTAAAACCGCAGAACAAAATGTTTATTACTTGTTTTATCGGTCATCGCCACAAAATGATATTTTACCGACCCGTGTGACAGTCTAGAAACATTAAAAACACTCAAAAATACTACATAAATTATATGAGGCACGCCACAACTATCAAACATCACATCGTTAAAGGAGCGCATGATTTTTTTGAAGTTGACAGTTTGAGCTTTCCCTTTTTTTACTATCTCAAGAATAAAAAAATAAATTTCAAAAAAATGAAAAATCAAAAAAATTATTCACATTTAGAAGCTCAGGCTCTTTGATTTTTGGGTGCTTAAAAAAATCTTCTTTTTTTCTCTAATTTCCAGAAGTGGACTCTTTCTTAGGAATTCCAGAGTGGTCCCTATAGGGGTAAAATTAAGGTGGTCCCTATAGGGGTTTAGGGTCTGACCCGCTAGCCTCTAAAGCTCAAGTGAACCCTCTAGGGGTCTCTCAATTCATTTAAAAAACGCTTATTTTTCAGTTTTTTTCTCCTTAAAATGCTTCTTCGCACAAGAATCATCAACTAGCATGTCCCTTATAGGGACCTCTTTTGCAAGCTTTAGTGGCCCCTATAGGGGTTGGTAAAGTGGTCTCTAATGTTCCCCCTACAGGGACCACTCTGGAGTTCCTAAGTAAGCTTCCAGTTCAAGGGCTGCTCAATTGAGATCAGTAAAATTAAATAATTCTTTTTTTTCAGTAATTTTCTGGAACTCTATTTTCATTTTAAGTATAACGCAGTTCTTCCAGTCTGCAACTGACCCCTCAAAGAACTCTGACCATTTTTCAAAAAATGGAACCATTCAAAGATGTGATCAAAAGTCACTGAGCCTCGTAGAATGGCGCCATTTTTCTCATCAAATCAATGAGCCCGAAAAAAAAAACTGAATCAAGCCAATAACAACAAAAACTGTAACCGTCGATTCGGCACGTATACAAACGTGTGATAATGACAATAGAGAGAAAGAAGAAGAAGAAGGAAGAAAAATTCAGTTGTAAATAATCACACACACTCGTCGAATTACGTTCGTTCGGTTTGGTCTGATGACATAGTTAATATCGCTCAAAGAAGTTTTGAATCATGAAAATGTTAATTTTTGATCTGGGAAGAGCTCAAAAATAACTGAACAGTTATAATGAATGAAAGGTTCAGTTATTATTCTTTTGTTTTCGAAACCTTAAAAATCAAATTCAAAATAACTGTTGTTTCAGAAAAGATACTATTTCCATACACTCTTGCAAACGGACCAGACATATAAATTGACGCGCTAAATTTATTTAATGAAATATGTTCCTTCATAAGGTTTTTTTATATCGCTATCCCCCTAGACTCTGACCCACGGTGTTCCCAAACGGAGTGGGGAGCCGTCAAAAAAAAAAATTTTGGCGCGAAATTTGAAATCTCAAGTAAGCAGCCAAATGTATTCGAATACTCAGTTTAATTTGCAACGATAGGTAGCTGTGACGTCACAGTCCTTTTATCCGAAGCGCGCATTTACTTTTTTTTGTAAATTCAGAAACTTTGACGTCTCGCTCACCCCAGTAGGAATGCCGTGGACCCAGAAAAATCGAAAATTTGGCAGCGCCTTAAATTTGGGAGAGCTTGGAAGGAAGAAGCAGGAAACTATGTTAATTTAATGAAGCCCAACTTTTTTAAATTCATTAACTAAAAAAATACGAACCACAATGAAACTAAGGTCACTGACCACCCATGTTCACATTTCGAAACGTCATGACACATCCAAAACAAGCTAACTACTATTTTCAGTGACCTTCCACGATGACTTTTGCGCGGATTGTCACGTTTTTTCTTCGAACTCGAAAAACTGATAACGTGGCCGGGTGTTTTTCAAAGATTGTCGAGGAAACGGCACCAAAGACCCGCCTCTATGCCTTTTTCAAGTGGCGAAACGCGAAATCAACATAAATCACAGGGTTAAAAATAACTGAGGGGCTAGCTAAAAAAGGAAAAAAGGTGATAAGAGAGACATTTAGGATGATTAATAATATAAAACACGTGGTTTGTAGTGTCAAGGAGAAGGGGTGCGGAGACCGAAGACGTCGACGGAGCGACAAAAAGAGTGCGGGGAACTGGATCAGATGCCACGACCGACCGACCGACGAGTTGGGGCCAGGAACCAAGTTGTTTGGAAAATAAAAAATGGAGAAATCGTGAAGTTTGGTGCAAATCTTCTGAGCCAACGGTCAATACGTCATCGATTCATGAACTGATCAGAATAATAACAGCGGAAAAATGATAGAGCTCGAAAAATTCTGGACACAACGCCTGAGAGCAGATGAACTGTAAAAATGATTTTATTTTCTGATCGTGTTTTCCATTCTGCGATCTCTTTACGAGAACTTTCAAACTATGAAAAAAGGCCTCAAACTATAAAATACATTTAACAGACAAAAAATGATGACATATTGCTTTTTTCTGTGTAATCAGAACCTTTTTACTGGAAAAAAAAATTTTTTTTTCTTTCTCTGAATTTAAAGATAATAATGAAACCAACAGACAAAGATTTTTTTGAACTTTTTTTCAGGTCAATTTTTTTCAAGTTATTTTTTTGGTTTTGTAGCTTCAACGTGTAATCTTTAAAGTTAAAAAAATTAAATTTTTCGTATTTTATCATTTTCATTTTTTCAACTCATAAGGGCATGAACTCCTCACCGAAACGCGCAAATCTATGTTCTTAACTCGCAAAAATTAAAAAAATGAAAAAATTTTTCACCATCTATTTTCTTTTTTTAAAAACACTACAAAAAAAGCTATCAAAGTTCAAAGTTTCAGATGAAAACCAAAACCGTTGCAAAAAAAAAAACAAAATTCACTCAAAACTTGGGTGCAAAATCCATTGAAACAAATAAAAACAGACATAATGTCTTGTTGGGTAAATAAACATCGTTCAAGGTTTCTTTTCAGTGTCAATGAAAGCATTGCGATCGCAAACACTCCTAAAATCATCAATAATCAAAAAAATGACTCTAGAGGTTTATATCAGAAGCGCCCAAAGTTGAAATTTGGCACCGCCCAAAGTTGAATTTTTGCAGCTCCCAAAGTTGAAATTTGGCAGCGCCCAAAGTTGAAATTTTGGCAGCGCCCAATTTTAAATTTTGGCAGCGCCCAAAGTTGAATTTTGGCAGCGCCCAATTTTTAATTGAATTTTGGCAGCGCCCAAAGTTGAATTTTGGCAGCGCCCAAAGTTGAATTTTGGCAGCGCCCAAAGTTGAATTTTGGCAGCGCCCAAAGTTGAAATTTGGCAGCGCCCAAAGTTGAATTTTTGCAGCTCCCAAAGTTGAAATTTGGCAGCGCCTAAAATAAAGAAACTGATAAATGACCGTAATCATACCATCCGGAAATAATTTCCAATAAAAAATTCCATTTTTCAACCGCCGGTGTGAAAAAATCGCCATTCGTGGGAATTTCTCTGACATCTCTCGTCCCTCTTTCAATCTCTGTACAGTGGCCTACTATGAAATGTTGCATCACTTTCGGCAAGAATGCGCAGGAAATGATTAACTGGATTCGAAACACACGTCTTTTTTTGGTTTCTGATTAAAGTGCCAGGCTATCAGCGCTTGATTATTTGTTTGTATTCAACCGACTTTATGGCGTTGTAGTGTCATCTGAGAGATGGGGATCAAATTGACCATCTGAGGTTGAAGAGAAAGAAAAATTGAGATTCGTAGGAAGTCTTTTGTTAGGGATCAGGGACGAGAGAAAAGGCATAAAGCGTTCAAAAAGTAACCTATAATTAAATTTCCGAGCTTAAATCAAAAATTGCTTTGTTCTAACAATAAAGAAATAAACAACAAAAAAAAATGCGGGCTCAAATTCACGTAAAAATCTTTTAAACTTTTTTCGGACCTAAAAAAAGGTTAGTCCTGAAAAATAAAAATAAAAAAGAAAAAAGGTTGTTAAGTTGGTTTAACTCCAGATTGAGCTCATTGAAGGTCAATTGAATCTTCAAAACTTATCTGATCATATTATCTACCGAAAAACTAGCCCAACGAAATTTCTCGAAACTCAAACTCAAAATGAAGCTCCAGTCAGGATCCAGAAAACCACTCTCCAAGCTGGGTTCATAAATAGGGCATGCCTGCGTCTGAACAACCGCACAAACGACTCAATAAAAATGCTCCGTTCCAAAAATGTCTCCAAAGGTTGCTCCAGCTCAAAAAAGCTTGAAGCTTTAAAAAATCTAAATTCAATAAATCCTTTAAAATATTCTCAGGTTTACTTTTTAAAAGCTCCGAAAAAGCTCTCAGTTCAAAAAGAGTCAAATTCAGCTTCCAAGTCCAGCCAACTGGTACAAGAAGATGAAGGAGCTTCAATGCGTCCTTCTAAGCTTGCATAAAGTTCATAAATAACACTTCCTGAAAGCCAAACTTGTTTATAAAAGCTTGAAAAGTTGCTCCAGCTCCAAAAAGAGCTCCGAAAAAGGGTCAAAGCCGAACTCCAGTACAGTTATCATCCCTTTTCCATTGAAAGACATCATTTTCCGGCTCAAGCACCGTCAATCTCTTCGTGAGAAGCGTCGGTGGACCGTGGGAATGCAAATCTTTTCGCCTCGTTGGTCACGCCCACTCTCTCCTCCCGTTACATCATGCTTACAGTCTCATCGGCGCGACACAGGAAGATAGTCATGGCGTTGAAATGTGATGTAGTCAGTGGGGGGTGAGAAAGTGCAGGGCGATGAAGAGAGCGCAGAGATGAGGAGGAGGTGGCGCCGCGTGGGGACCGAAGCCGACGACGACGACGAAATGGGCGGAGCCGAACTGTCGACGATTGATATTTAAGGGGCCGTCACAAACCGCCGAACGATATGGTCTCTTCTTTCCTCTTCCTTTCTTTTCCCTCCTACCTTCCTTCCTCGTTTCGTTCTCATCTTAAGTCCACCGTAAGCTCATTACCGTACTTTGCAGCTGGCAATGCTAACTCAAGTCCCTTCGCCGGTCGAATCGGCCCTCAACCTGTCTGAAATCGCCAACGACATGTCACCAATCACCAAGCGTCAGATCGACGCCGAACTCTTCCTCCACGAGATCGCCTTGCTCCACCGAGTGAGTTAACTGATAATTATCTGGTGGGGGCGTGATTACTAGGCTTTTTCCTGATAATTGTGGGTACGCCCCCTTTTCCGAGTAGTATATAGAGCCAGGTTTTCGGAGAAGTTGAGAGATTTTCAGCTTCTTTCTTCTTTTTAAGTCTTGTTTTTCATTGAGTAAGTCTGAGTCGAGCTTTTAGCTTGGAAATTTTTTCGAACTTGGAAAATATGGTCTCAGCTGATTTTTTTCATTCCTAGGACCTAATCTAGTTTGATCTTATAATCTTCCAAAAGTTCCAAAAGCTCCAACTCACCCCACTTTAGTACAAAAACCGCTTGATAAGAGCCAAAAAAAAACTTTCACTTTATTCTCTCTCCTGTCTTCGACTTGACAGGCTGATAAGACCTGCCTACTCGAGTATATAAACGGAAGATAAGCCTTGCTCTCTTTTCAGCAAGTCTCCCGAAAGTCGATGGACTGGCGAACGATGCCGCAGTCGGCGCACTCGCGCAACACCGTCAACCCAGTCCGGAAGATCGCCGACGCCTGCCAAGTCACACCGAACCCGAACAAACGTCTGCTGAAGCTGCACCTCGGAGATCCGTCCGTCGGCGGCATGCTGCCACCCAGTCCAGTCGCCGTCCAAGCCATGCACGAAGCCGTCGACAGCCACGCCTTTGATGGCTACGGTCCAGCTGTTGGAGACCTCGCCGCTCGTCAGGCCGTCGTCGACAGATACTCCGTCCCTTCGGCCAGCTTCACCGCCGATGACGTCATCTTGGCTTCCGGATGCTCGCACGCTCTCCAGATGGCCATTGAGGCTATCGCTGGACCTGGGGACAGCATCCTGGTGCCTCACCCAGGCTTCCCACTCTACTCCACCCTGTGCCGCCCTCATGGAATCGTCGACCGCGCCTACCACATCACGATGACTGATGGGGTCCGAATCGACCTGAACTACTTGGAGTCGTTGATCGACGAGACCACCAAGGCGATCATCGTCAACAACCCTGGCAACCCGACTGGCGCCGTCTTCACCAAGGAGCACCTTCAGGAGATCCTTCGGGTTAGTATTTCACTTCAACTTGAGCCAAATTCTAAAGCTGAGCTTAGAATTGAGCTATGATCCATTCCGAATTCACCAACTCATGCTCCAATTTTGCAGGTCGCTCACAAGCACCGACTCGTGATCATCGCCGACGAAATCTACGGCGACCTCGTCTACAACGGCGCCGAATTCCACCCGATCGCCACTCTCTCGCCAAAAGTCCCAGTCCTGACCTGTGACGGAATCGCCAAGAGATGGATGGTTCCCGGCTGGCGATTGGGCTGGGTGATCGTCCACGATCGGTACAAGGTCCTGTCGCAGATCAAGCTCGGCATGGTCGCCTTGTCGCAGAAGATCGTCGGCCCCTGCGCTCTCGTTCAAGGAGCCTTGCCGAAGATCCTAAAAGACACGCCAGAAGAATACTTCGTCTACACCCGGAACGTGATCCAGGAGAACGCCAACGCCATCGCCGAGGTCCTGGAAGTCGTTCCAGGCCTGACCGCCATCAAGCCCCAGGGCGCCATGTACATGATGATCGGCGTCGACAAGGCGACGTACGGCGACGACGTCGGCTTCTGTCAGGCGTTGATCCGAGAGGAGTCGGTGTTCTGTCTGCCCGGCCAGGCGTTCAGCGCCCCCGGCTACTTCCGAATCGTGCTGACGAGCAACCTCGCCGAGATGCGGGAGGCTGCGGAGCGGATCCGGGACTACTGTCTGAGACACATTGGCGAGTGCCGGTCCGAGGACAGCTCCGACGAGGGATGCGAGCTCGGGAGCTTCTGCGACTCTGAGAACGACGTCTAAGCCTTGAACTCAAGTTCCACCTTTTCTAGAACATCTTCATTTTGAGCTTGAATTTGAGCTTCCCCTTCTCTGAGATTGATTTCCAACTCCTCTTTCTAGTCACTCTAAGTACTATCCCTTTTCAAATTTTCATCTTTCCTTTTCTAGTCATCTTAGTCTCTCTTCCCCTTACGGCTTTAACCCCCCTCTCTCTGTATATTCCCCCCTCAAAGCATAATATAATATAATTCTATATATCTTCTCTCGAAACTATGTGACAATTCGAACGGTTTTTCTTCTCTGTATGTACATTTTATGAATCGCCTTCTTGCCAGCAATAAATCTATTATACTATACACAGTTGAAATTGGAGAAGACAACAGAAAGAGAAGTGGAAAACTGGTATTTGCTAAAAAAGAATCGATCATAGAAGAGTTGAAGATTGTAGGCAAAAGTAGCTTGGTTGTGAACAGGATAAAAATAAATCTAGGCCTTCCTGAAACGGCAAAAATTCTAGAAGCGTGCAGAGGACTCGAACCAGAAACTATCAGATCAAGGCTTACTTACTGAGTTATACGATTCGAAAAATATCATCTAAGGAGCCAATGAGCTCTCAAGAAAAAGGCAAAAACCAACTGGAAGCCTAAAAGGATAGAACCAAAGACTATCCGGTCAATGTTGGGTATAGTTAGCCACTGAGCTACGCTGCTCCGAAGGTTCTCATTGAGAATAATCCACTAAATCAGAGACTAAAAAATTTACGAGAAGAATATTCAGGCGCTGAGCTTCTTTTCACTTTTCTTGACATTGAAAAAAGGGTCTCAATTTTGAAAAAGGCAAAACTCAACTTGCCGCCCACCAGACTCGAGCCAAAGACTCTCGGATCAGTTATTTAAGCTTCTGGCCACTGAGCTTCCTTTTTGAAAATTTAAAATCAAGAAAAAAACTAACTGGACACCCGCCGGACCCGAACCAGCGACCTCCAGAGTGACGATAGGGGCATCAAGCCACTTAGCCAAACTGGAAATAAAAAGGTTATGGAGAATAGCTATCAACTTTTCACTATTGAAACGGCAAACTATTCAAAAACTGAAAAAACTCCAAGGGGGGTCGATCCAGCGAACTGTACGATCATGATTTTAGCTTCTAGCCACTTCTCCGCCTGGCAATATAAGAAAAAGGCTTGAAAAGGCAGAAAAGTTCCACTGACGTATGTGTGGAACAGGTGCAGTGAAAAAATAATTATTAGGTGTCTCTAACTTTAAGAAAAAGAAAAAAAAACTCTTCAAAATCTTGATCCAGGGACCCTTCATGTGATGGCCAGGACCCTTATCCACTGAGCCAAGCCAACACCTCCATATTAGTAAAATGGAAACGTTAGTAACCTCTCCAACGTTACGAACACCTTCTCGCATCAACTTTATTCACTTGCAACACAAAAATCAATCAAAAGCACACAAGAGCAACAAAAATTCAAATAAACGCACAAAAAAGCAACAAAAATGGAGGGTAATACCTGAAAAGGGGATAAAATGCGAAACGAATAAATAATAAGCTTCAATGAAAGAATAATGGGATACAGAATGGGCCTATTGAACAAGTATGTACTTTTAAGTACGACAATTGAATTGATAACAGAAAGAGAAATTGGGAATAAATTAAATTAAATTAATTATGGAACGATATGAATATGGAATATGTGGAGAATGGTTATTTTTCACAAAAAGTTGGATTAAAATTAAGATTTATTTATTTATGGAGCCCTTAATTTCCGCTTTTAGGGCGTTTACGCAAACTCATAGGCTTTCCAGCCTAAAATCAGACCCTAAGAAAAGAACTTAAAATGAACTTGCACGAAATTCCTCAACTGTTCACTCAAAAGAAGAGATTCAAAACGCTGTTCTGAATTTTCAAATAATTCCATGAATTTTTAGGTGAGTTCTTGATAGCTTAACTGAATTTCTAGATATAAGACTCGGTTTCTTAACTCTTAGGGTCAATTCCTTATTTTTAATCGCTGATTCTCGTTTTTTAGAATAATAAAAAATTCCTAGCTTGAGAAAATCTTGAACCTCGAGTCGTTGGCCTCGGAAAAAAAAACTGAATTTGTGAAACTCCTGTTGAAAAAAAAAAGGTTAAAAAAACGCTCCAAAAACGATTTCGAAGCCTCAAAATCCGCGAACCGCGAAAAATTCCAACAAGAAAGTCTTCAAACAATAGTCTACTTGTGTTTTTAAAGGCGCAAGCTATTTTTTCAAACACCTGCGCCTTTAAAAAAGAGGAAAAGCCGCAACCAAGACAAATAACTTGTTTGCAGTCACATGGATAACATAAAAATATTTATCTTGGCTACGAGCTTTTCGAAGAAATCATTATCCAATCTTAAGACCAAAAATAACCAATAAATTAGGTGATGAGAATAGGAAAAAAGAAAATAAATTTGAACATCAACCGAGCCACATTTATGAGCACGCAAGGAAGGTACAACGCGGTCGTGGAGAAAAATGGGCTTAAAGTTGTCAGGAAAAGGGAGGAGCGGCTAGGCCATAATCAGTTACAAGTGTGTCAGATGTACAAGTCAGTCGTATATTGCGGGTGTCAGTTATCAAAGTTAGTTGGATAGTACAAAGTTGTTGTTGGGGCGAGTCATTTAGGGCACACACACATACCGCTGGAAAACGGATGAACCTCGGGGTGGACACAAAAAAAAATGAATCGAGAGATCGCAAGCGTAGAGATAACCAAGTATTGGGTGTGTGTAGTTGGGATGCAAGCAGAAGAGGAAAATGTTCAAGAGGGGCAAAATCAGAAGGAGGTGACGTCAGATGCGCGTCGTCTCCTCGGCAACCTTCATCATCTCCTCGCTCCACGACGACACGCTGTGCAGTCGCGACGACGCAAACTTTTGCTGCAACACGGCAAATTGAGGTGAGGAGTTCGTTTAGTCAACTATAGACGATTCACGGCTAGCTTGGGATGCAAAAAGGCGTGGCCTTTCTGCACTCTCCACTAACCAGGCGCTGTCTCGTCTCTTTTCGTGGCAGAGCCCTTTTCTAAATGGCTCAAGCCAGCAGCCGTGAATCAGCTATAATCATACTCCTTTCTGCTAGCTTGGAGCAAAATTCACGTCAAAGCCTCCACTTAAAGCGCACTATTTCGATAATCACGTCTGGAGCGTCGTAAGGGTGAATGTATTCCGTAAAGATAACCGAACGTTTCTGAGCAATTCTAGGGATCACTTAAGGTCGCTGACGTCGCTTAAGGGATAACTCTAGTACGTCCGCCGCAACTTGGAAATTCTCTGCGTCTCTCTGTTCCCTCACCGGCAGGTCAGAGAAACGCGAAAACAGCGCGTCAACTAGAGAGGGTCGTCGAGAGACGAGGAGAGCGCAGAGACGTCCGAAAAAGGACCATAGAAACGCTCAAAAAAGTCCAAGCACGGTTTTCGTTACCGAGGTCCTAGTCCTAGATGATTTTCTCAATATTGTACTGGATAGTCGTATCTCAAAGCTTCGCCACAGTGCAGAAGGCTGGCCGTGTCTTTTTTTTAATGGTCCTTTTAAAAAAAAACCCCCCTGATTGACCAATCTTGTGTTTGTCAAGACAACCCGTAAAATTTGGAAAAATCGATAAAAATACACAAAAAGTCTGTTTAGTATACGATTTCCTTGCTAGACGGTCCCCTTTTAAGTCAGAAAAAAAGCTAGAAAAATCAATTTTCACTCTATAAACTGCAAAAGGGACAGCAAGAAACTAGGTCTTGAAGCGAATTCAAGTCGAACTTGATCTATTTTGATATACGGTACTTTTGGCAGAAAAGGACAAGCTCTAACGCGCTCTTCATTACCTTGATGGCGACCAATCTGGAGCGATAGGTCGGCTTGAGAGCCACAAAGGCCAGCATGCCGACGACCGCCTTCACCTCCTCAATCGAAACCTTCACCATCTGCATCGCCTTGCTGGAATAAAAAATTCAGCGTATAAAAATGAAATCAAAGGTCTTAAAACTAACTCCAGTAGATCACAAAAACCTCAAAACGAAAATAGGATTTGAGGCTCAATTGATGAAGAGGCCACTTACAGGGTCCATTCAGCTTTTTCTAATACAGAGCTTTGAGTAACTAAGAAAAAGCTCCTAAGAATTCAACAACAAGCATAGAGCTCAGCGCAAAAAAGGGTCCCCTAGCGAAATCTACCGTAATTACGCATTTTTAGGCTTATTTTCTTTTCCTTACAAGAGCAGACGCTCGCTAATCTCAATGTCGACGGCGCGAAGCTTCAGTCCGATGACGATGCCAGCAATAGCGATCCGCGACGGTTTGATGTGCGTCATCGACGCGTCGAGCAGCGCCACCTGCACAAAAATACTTTTTAAAATTTTTCTGTAAAAACTAATTCCGCGTTCTTGATAGCCTTCTCTTTTCACCACCTTCTTTCCCAGCACTTTCTTGGCCATAATTAAAAGATATGTAGAAAAAGATAGACGCAGAGAAAACGCGTGTTCGACTACAATGACGCGATTTTTTAGTGATGACCAACAAAAAAAGCTTGCCTAAAGTCTTTCAAAACGAAATGAAAATCCGAGAAGCCAATATTCTGAGGGTTAAAGGTAAACCGCCAACGGAATTAAAAATATTGTAAAAAATGAAAAAAAAAAGTCTGAATTTTCCCGAGCTTGTGTGTTCACAGAAAAAGATGCATGGAAAATTTCTCGGAAATGAAAATTTAGATGGAATTTCAACTTCCAAAAACGTGTTCAAATTACTTATTTTCGATTAATTTTTCTGAATACTTTTCATAAAAACTTTAACCTTTTGAAACAGTCCAAATACCTTTCAACGATAAAAAAAAATTTCAATCCTAAAAAATCCACATTTTCTTGAGAAAAGCTTCCAAAGAACAGCTTTTCCACACATCCGCACCTCGCCCAGATACTTGGCCATCACGTGCACGTAGTTGTAGTCCTCGTCGTTGATGATGCCTTCCGCCTGAAGCTCCCGCGAGAACCAGCGCAAAAACTGCAGCGAGCATGGACGCGTCAGCTGGAAGCTGAACAAGAAATATTGTTTTCCATCGCGTTTTTTGAATTTCAATAACCCAATCGTGTCCAAAACGCGCAGCTCCATCCGAATAATCTGCTTGCGGTTGTAGGTGTTGTCCGTGATAAATTCATAGTCGCCCATGTCCGGCGAGAAGATCTCCTCAAACTTGGCAGCGACCAGCCTGAAAAGTTCAAGAAGGTTTTCAAAGCTCAAATTGTGCGCGATATACACATTTAATCGATTAGTTCGTTTGATTTTCTATCGTGTTCTATCACTATAGCCCGTTCACGGCTGACAGCGAACGGGCGGTTTTTTTTTCGCGGCGAAGGTAGATCATGGCAACTATCGATGCGCCTTCCATAAAAGCCCAATTTTATGACTTATTTATTTTTATTTTGTATTTTATCGATTTTAAGAAAGTCTAAAAACCAATGAGATGAATGTTAAGAAAAACTAAAGTCAATAGAAACAGAAACAATTCACCAAATGAGGCTCTTATTAAAGGCGCATGTATGACCGCCATGATCTACCTTCGCTGTCTCAAGCCAGCCGTGAACGGGCTATACTTTCAATTTCCCATAGAAAAAAAAATCGTTTTAAACCGCTACATTCAATTTAATTTCCTGTAGAATAATACAGCAAAAAAAAAACGAACGAATTACATCAAAAATAATTCCAATCAACTATTAACCTTGAGTGTTAAACTGAAAACTCTGCAAATTTATGCAAAAATGAACTTAAAAGTAAACCTTCCATATTGTTAAAAAAAAATTCATCAATGAAGAATCTTATTTTCGGCATAAACTGCCTTAAACTGCTTTTTAAAGGCGCATTGGCTGATTTCCTAAACTTTTCAAGGCGAAAAGCTGTTTTCAGTGTTTTTTTTTTTCGTTTTTCGAAGAAATTTACCAATTTTTACTTCCTGTGAGCCATAAAATTGAAGAAAAAGTCGTCGAAATTTCGGCAAGCCAGTTTTTTTTCCATTCTTCTTCCATGATACAATGAAACAAAAACTTCATGTTTCACAATGAATTTTTGAAAAGGCCTTGTTCGAAAATGAATCGTTCAAGACTCAATGAAAAAATCATTGTTCATTTTCAAGGCATGCGAAAAAAGGAACTTTCTGTGAAATATTTCCTGTGAGGGGCCTTTTTTGTCAACTAAACGACTTGCCAGGTGCTGCCAAATCTCAACTAAAACTCACTATTTGGGCGCTGCCAAATTAAAATTTTCATCAATTCAAAAGCACCAAATATCTTCCAATCATTCTACAACGAAATCCGAAAAATAATCAATTTCCACATGATAATTATCATATAAATACACGCGCGGCTATTCTCTTTTTCTTCTCACTAACATAGCCGTTATTCCTACGAGCTGGAGCTCGTCTTTTCCAATCGTCTTCGTGGCGAGCATCCGGTCCAAAATGTACACCGTCAGGTGCAACGTCTCCTGTACCAACTGGAAGCGGCTAGACACCTGAAAATTTTCGTTTTTACTTCAATTTTCCGAACAATCACCTGAACAAGCCAATCAACGAGAATACTGCGCATCTTGGGGGTCACCTCACAGCCGGCCAGGAAATCGGGGCTGATTTGGAAGAAATTTTCGCGGCGGAGCAGGTACTGGTAGGACTGGTCGTGGAAATCGGCACATAGAAGCTCTCGATCGCTGCCTTTGATGTCTGGACGCAGGATCGTCTGGAAATAAAAATAGAATATTTTAAATCAATTTTGAACCATTTAGCGGTGCAAAACTTCTTTATCTAGTTATTAAGTAAACTGTTGAATGATCTACAGCTTAAAAAAAGCTTTTTTCTTAACGAAACAAGTTTTCTCTCTCAAAGAGCCGCTCTGAATAAAATAAAAACAAACTTTCTACCCAAACAGTTCAAAATGAAAAATTACTTTGTTCTGATTTTTTAAAAATTTTTTTGGGTTCACTTAACAATTATTGTTCAAAAAACCAACGCTTTTTAATATTTAGTCTATTATACAATGTTCGTTTGCCTGAAAGTCTCCTATCCAATCACCTCCTTTTCGATTGGACGAATCACGGCGATTTGAGCCTGTTTCTCATTTCTTCCAATGACTCGGTTTAGCTGGACGCCATTTTGGCGCGTCGTCAACGAGCGCAACGGCTGAAAATATGACTGATTACTAATTTTGTTGACATTTCTTTGAAATAACTCTAAACTGATAGAAAAATCCCTTTTTCGGATATTATTCTTTCCCTAGATCAAAACCTCCGAATTCTCCTTCTGCACTGGACGTTGGAACCTGGCGGCTTGCGCAATCGGTTGGGAGGTCCGAGTTCTCTGGAAGAAAACCTTTTATTTATACGATTTCCATCCTCGACTCACTCTAGCTTGCATCGTTTTCAGCTATCTGTACACTATGTACGTGGGCCCTAAAAGTCTCACCTGAAACATGTATATTAAACACGAAACGTTGAGCAGCTAACCGAGCAGAGTTAAAAGCGAGTAAATGAGTAGAGATTCGATAGCAATTCAATGTTTAATCTTCACGCAACGATCTTCACGGCTACTTTTTTTTCAGCGTCTCAAATGATTTTAAATTTAAACCAAGCCTTTCGATACACGAATTTTCAGACTCAAATAAAGATCGACAGAACTCTCACGCTATTTGCCGGGAATAGCTTGAAAATGTAGTTATAAGATCCTCTATAAAGATTATGAAATAACTTTAAACGGATTAACGTAGCGCCTCCAGGCATAAAGCTCGAAAAATTAGGAGACAGATGGCTCGACGCGGTGATTCAAATTTCCCGCCGCGCAAATGTGCAAACACCAGATTTGACGCCCTACTTTCGCGCCACTTCTTTTTTGATCTTTTCAAATCATTTCCAACTTCCTTGGCTGTTTTTTCTTGTTCTCTCAATTTTTGGGACGAGTCCATAACCTCAAACAAAAAGTATTTCGTCTACCACTCGTCATATGAAGAGAAAATGCTTGCTAGAAATTGTAGAAATGTTTCTTCATTAAAGCAACGTTTTCTTTGGGCTCGAAAATTTGAAATTTCAATCGTTTCTCGTTTAATTCCACATTCATTTTCTCCTCAATATTCTGATCAATTTCAGATATGTTGCTGGAAGAGTGTCACGAGCACTTCAACACTAAAGACTTGTACGAAGTCCTCCATGCCGAAAAATCTTCTTCTGCCGCAGAAAGTAACTTTTTTCATTGAAACTTTTTTTTCACCGCACTTTTCAGTCAAGAAAGCGTACTACAAGCAGTCAATGAAATTCCATCCGGATAAAGCGGAAGACAACGAGGAGAAAAAGAAGGAGGCTACGGTTAGATTTCAAATAATTTCGAAAGTCTACGGAATTCTGTCGGATAAGGAAAAAAGAGCCGTTTATGATGAAACCGGTAAAGGAATATCGGATAAAGATTCTGAAACTGAAGTTTTTCAGGAGCTATTGATGAAGAAAATGCGCTTTCCGATGAGGAAGCTGTAAACGTTTGGAGGAAGTTGTTCAAAAAAGTCACATTGGAGGACTTGGAAAAGTTCTGCGAAGAGTATAAAGGTAGAAATTGAATATTTGTTCGTTTGATTATTTTGAAAAAAATTTCAGGATCCGAAGAAGAACGTCTTGATGTTCGGAATGCATATGAAAAGAATGGCGGGGATATGACCAAAATTATGAACGAAGTTTTGGTGGCGTCTTCTGAGGATGAAGAAAGGATAAAGGTTGGTTATATTAATCAAATTATTTTCTTAAAAAAATTGTTCATTTTATAATTTTTTTATCAGCATTTTATGCCTCGTTCAAATTCATTTTGACGATTTCAAAACGATCTATTTTTTTCTTCGAAAATTTCGATAAAATTTTTTTATTTTCACTCTTTGACGCTCATTTTTTTCCTTTAAGTCAAGTATTTGGAAATGGTTTTTTTCGTCTTGAAGCTTAGATAAAATTGGCTTATGCTCCTTCAATAACCTCAGAAAGATTTTCCGTAATAATCTTCGTAATAAAAATATTCAGGACATAATCAAAGAGCTGATCAAAGAAGGAAAGCTAAAAGAGACGAAAAAGTTCAAATCTTCAACGTCCAAGGTATTTTTTTGCACAAAATTCTCCAAAAGAAGGAAGATTTCAGGCCAAAACGGCAACCAGACAGAAAAAAGCTGCGAAAGAGGCCAAGGAAGCTGAGCAGTACTTGAAGGAAATTCAAGCCAAGGAAGGGTTTGATGATTTGCAAACGGCGATTATGAAAAGAAGCGCGGCTCGTTCCTCCACGATGGACAATTTCTACGATTCTCTCGCCGAGAAGTACGCGCCGAAGAAGAAATCCAAAAAATGATTGCATTTTCTAATCAATCCTACTAATACGTGTATAAACCTTCTCATTCAACACGTTTTATCGGACAATACAGGTAAAAGTTTCGAAAAAAAAAAGCAAAGGGGTCAACAATCAATAAATTAGACAAGGTATATTTAGTTAACAGCAATAATTAATTCTGAAAAATGACAATCTTATTGTGCGAAAGATTGTACAATCCGTGAACTGATAAAGAAAAAAAGATCAATAAATTAGAAATTACGATTCTGACAAAATTCAGTAAAATAGACGGGTTCACCAAATTCCAAAAAAATATATATAAATTCTGATAAAAAAATTATTGATTAGCCTTCAGGCCGCATGTGGAAAGGCTGCAAAGGTTTCCAATTTTCTCCTTAAAGGCGCTTCGAGCCATTCCAAATGCGACCAAGGTTTTCTAACAACTCGGGACGGACAATGTATATTATGAGGTTGAGAGGAGTCGATTAACAGAACTTCCATCGGTTTCCGCAGTCGAGGCAGAAGACAAAAGTCGTCATCGGCTCGTCGGAAGAGCGCGTTTGGAGCTGCGTATAAGTGCAACGCTTCCCGCCGCACTTTCCACATTTGAACATGTCCGATGGGGTTCCTGCGAAGATTTAAGTTAGATAGTCGAATATGAAGTGTCGAATCAAAAATTAGCATTCCAGATAAAATGAGATTTTTGAGATTTTTTGATTGAAACTAAAAATCTCAAAAAAAAATCAAAAATTTCGTTGACAATGTATTTAACACACAAAAATAAACCGAAAAATGTCAAATTTCTTAATTAGAGGACGTTTCGGAAAAACCGACATAAAAAAATGAATGAGAAAAAGTGAAAAGTGAAAATTCCTATCTCCATCTATAGACATTTGAAAAGTAAAATTATTTTCCTATCGAACACGTTTTCCAAACAATCAAAATTCAAAGAGATAATTTATGTTTAAAGTTCGAAAATCCACTTCTTTTTTTCTTTTTTTCCTCATTCCACAAAATGATTCACAGTGGTGAGAACGAAAAAGTCTGATTTAAAGTTCTATTTTCAACATAAAACCTCTGAAACAGCAAATTCTCCTAATCAAGGCGAATTCATTTAGAAAGTGGCGCATTTCTTAACAAAAATTCGCAGTAACTTGAAAAAAAAACGGTCAAAATTTCCAAAATCTCACCTTGAGCGACGCTCATCTGATGCTCATTGATGCTCTCCTTGGTGAACTTGTCACGCATGGCTCGGATATCTGGCGACGCCATTTCTTCGCTGGTCATCACCGCAAAATGGTCCGGCTTCACCACACCCGTCAGCACATTTTCTCTGAAATTTCAGATTTTCATTTTTTGGCCTTTTTGTGATCAAAAACCTCAGGGCGAGGTTTTTCTTGTCTCTCAAGTTGAAAATACGGCTTCTGATGGCTGCCGAGTACTTGTCATTCCGACCTTTGTGCACCTGGGAAGAAAAAATTTGCAAAATGTTTAAGGAGGCTCTCGGAAAATGATTGAAAGATGGGATCAAGTTATCAATATTCATACGAGAACTTTGACGATAGAGCTATTGCAAGCAACATAAGCTAATGATCAATCAATACTCTGATAAAACTGATGAGAAATTAATTTACAAAAAAAATGAATATAAAAAGTTGGTGGCGAAAAGAAGCATATAATTTTCAAAATAATTGAACTTTTCCAAATTTCTATCATACAGTTTTCACTACAGTAGAAAACTCGATAGAAATATTAAATTTTCAATTTGGCAGAGCCCAAAAATCTGGATCTTTCTATAAAAAAATTTACAGCGGCCAGAACTGGAAAACCGGGATCTTTCTATGAAAAAAATTTGGCATTTTTTTTATAAGCGGCCAGGACTGAACACGCAAGAAAACATTCTGGAAATCAAAAAAGAAATTGAAAAAAGTTCTTTTTTTTTTCTCGCAATAATCGTGTGCAAAATATGTACTGTATGTCTCAATTTATTAAAATTCACCTTGTAAATCTTCTCCTCGATTTGAACAGCCAATTCTTCGGGGTCAAGTGTACCTTGTGGCATTTCCCCAGTACGCAAGGCTGATAGAAGAAGTTGAGCCGATTTAAGGCGGTACTAAAAAAAATTAAAAAGTAAATTTTATTTGTATTAATATCTTTTTGGTAATGTACCTCATCGTTCTCCAAATGTTTTGGAGGGAAAGTTGCGCTGGAAAAATTGGCGATGACCGAAGGTTTGTTAGAATTGGAGCTTTGGGATGAAGAAGATCCATTCGACGGCTCCTTGTGCTTCAGTTTCGGTTCTTTTTCTTTTGGGTGACTTTCGCCGGATCCTCTCCGAGCTCCCTGAAAATATGAAAAGAATCATGACCCAAATTTAAAAAAAATAACAAATTTATAATCTGAAAATTTTGAAAAAGGCTGATATTTTTGTGTTTCCATACACCGAAACAGTAAAGTTCTTGGAACTTTCGATAAAATATCTCAACACATTTTCATATTATCAGAAAAGGGTGGTATGAAAAAAAAAAACACCAGCGAAACTTAAAAACGGCGACTTTTACGATTTTTTTCATATCGCTAGGGAACTTTCCGATTTTTTTCCCTTAAGTTTTTTTCGGTTTATAAAACATCTATAAACATTTTTTTCCTATTTAATTGTGTTTTTAATCATGAACCAACTACCTACTTTATATAGGAAGATTTAAAACGAAGATTTTATCGAGAAAAAAAGTCGGAAAAAAAGATTCGTCGGAAAGGTGACCGTTGGAAAGTTCCCTAGAGAAAGTCGCCGTTTGAATTTTTCGCTGGTGGTTTTTTCATACCACCAGAAAAAGCTCAATGAAAACCTGATTACGAAAAAAATGACACTCTAAAAAAACTCCAAATTTAATTCGAAAACCTAAAAAAATACAGCTGTTTTGTTTTCCTCCAAAAACCTTTTTAAAGATGGCTTTTCTTTCAATTTTCATTTACTTTGAAGTGAAGAAAACCAGTATGAAATAGCTGCATTGAAAATAAAATAGAGAAAAGATAGTGAATTAATTATTTAAAAAATAAGTTCATGAGAGAAAAGGATTTAAGCAAAAAAGAACATCTCATGGAAAAATATATAAATATTCAAAATAAACTCACCGATTCTTTTTTAGCCGCTTTGGCTGGTGGTCCATTGTCATCGCGGGTTTCCAACAGCGATTTCCATTCTTTAATCAGAGCCTTAGCTCTTTTCGACAATTTCTCATCTGACGTCTTTTTTCGAAGATTATTTATCTTCAATCCGATTGCAGTCTTCTGAAAAAAAGAATATCATGATTTTCAACTTGGATCCAAACAAACCGTGATTATATCAATATCGATAGGTAGTTTCGACAGCTTTTCCAGTAGTTCCAATCCTCCTTCCCCCTTGAATCAAACAAAAATATATTATAATAGTTTTCTACAATATAACTACCGAAGAACCACCGGCGATCGCGTCAATTTCTTTTCCAATTGACGCAACCTCTTCCAAAACGCTTGACATTTTTTGATGTGCTGAAAAGTTTTGAAACATTGAAAATAACGCATGAAATTCATTAGAAAAAAAAACCGAACGCAACGAGGAACTAAATCTATGTATCGATGTTTTAGAAAATAAATCTTCAATTAAAAAAAAATACAAAAACAAAAACGCTTCCGCTTTCGGATTCTGGAAAACGAAACTTTCTTTACATTTGAGACGCCAATTTTTTTGATATTTGAATAACCTCGCAATACATACAATCAGCTTAACAATACAAGAATAAAATTGAATAAAGACTTTTTGAAAAATACAAAGCGGAAAAAGGTACAAAATTGAAAGGACGCGCGCGTTCAAAAAAACTTTTTGGTCATGCATTTCGGAGCCGAGATGATGTAACAGACATGTAATACAGTAGTTCAAATTTTTTTTTAAATTTCAGTTGGTTTTTTCTTTCACGTTTTATAAAACACGTTTCATTTATTTTCATTCATTTCACGTTGCAGTAAGTTTAAAAATGACGACGGATATTTCTGCCGATGACGAAACATCAGCTGAAGCTGAAATCGAAGCCGTACCAGTAAAGGTAAAGCTAACGAAAGCAGAGAAGAAACTTGTGCACGGCAGAAACTATCCAGAAATTGTAAAGGAGAGACGAGAAGTGTTAAAGGTGGATTATATGAGATGTAAAAGGAAAGATTTTCGATTTTTAGCTCCATCACAATGAAAGCGAGGAAGTCAGGAAGCTTCTGAACCAATATTTTGACGAAGACGACGCGAATCCAGATGAAAATTTATTTTATATTGTTGGGCAGCTTTTTCTGAGCATGCCAGACCGAATGCAGCACATTGGAGATCCTAGTAACTTGGCTGGTTTTTTTAAATATATAATATTATAATTAATATAACTTTCTAAGCTTTGGTGATCGACACGTTTGCGAAATGGCTCGGTAACAAAGATGGAGCTGCGCTTAAAGCAAAATATTTGAATCATGAAATTCGGGTAAGAATGTGAAAAAAATAACATTAGTTCTTTAAGTTATTGGATTTGAGGTTGATGCTCTGAAAGCATGTGGCGGGAGAGCTGCTGTATTTATGGACGATGTCAAAGAACTCTTCGATTTAAATGAAGCCGAACTTGTTCAAGATGTTGACACCGAAATCAAGGTAATAAATTGATAGAAAATCAATAGAAACGAAATTTTCAGAGCCATCTTGCCAAGAAAAACTTCAAAGAGGCCATGGAAATGGCCCAGAATTTCGGTGTGAAGCAAAATTATAGATTCGGAGACTTTTTGGTACAATTATTGTTACAAGTGAGAGTGAAAATGTGGTTTTTTGCAAACTTTGTTTTCTAGGACAAAGCCCAGTGCGTTCATGAATACATCAAAGATCAGCCGAAACTTCAAAAAGATCTGGTTCTATTTTATGATGACCTCGTGGCCAAAAGTGATATGGAAGTGGAAGCAACCTTGAGGCCCTACAAAGAGGATATGAAGCTACCTCTTGAACGGTTTTGTGGTTAGTTTTATGTTATATGAAAGTTGAGGGAATAAAGTTAAAAGTTTATTTTTTTCTGTGTTTTGTTAAAATTGCCAATTATCAGTTTTTAAGGATGACTTTTTTGAACTGAAAATTTTCTTATATTCATGGCAATTTTTCCAAATGATCAACGAGAAAAGTAGAAAATATAAATAATGATTTAAAATGATAAAAGCTAATTTTTGACCTAATGAAATTTTGGAATGAAGCAATTCCAGGTGCTGCATAAATAAATGAAAAAGTATTTTTCAAAAAACCCCCAATCACCTTCTAAAATGACTTGTAAGAAACCGGCACCATTCGATCAAAATACAAATTAAAGGCAAAACTATGGAGAAGACGATAAACGCGTTGTTTCACAAGGTCGCCAAGCAGTACAACTACCAGATCGACCAGTCGATGGCGCCACGGTTCACCCAGCAACAGTACCACAAACAGCTCCGTCACAACGTCTGCTGTCGCTACGATCCGAATTCCAAAACTCTTCAGACCGACGAGAATTTTTTCCAGGGCTGTAGGGTGCATTGACCTTTTTTTCTTTTGATCAATCTAGAACTTTCAGAAGATTCTGACAGATAATACCCAAGTTCAAAACTTCTTCCTTCACTTTCTCTGGAGCTCCAATGAGTATAGGAAGCAGTGAGGCAGTTGAATCGCCTTCAGAAATTTCAATTTTGCCTTATTCTAGAGTTGACGCCGTCAGTTGGAAGATCCACCTCAATATTCCGGATGGAGTTGTTCCGGGAGCTATGCGACGGGAAATGCCCAATCTGCCTGGGATTCAGCGGGACGCCGAGGAATTGCTCAGGAGAAGAATGTGAATAGTTGAAAAAGGGTTTAAAAAATGAAAAAAAAACTCTTCCTGGGAATTTTACTCGGAAATTTTTGTTTTTTTTTAATTTTCAGAGATTGAGCTGTATTTTTTTTTAACAGCCTCAGCCTTACCGGTATAGTATAAGCCGTACTGAGGCATTTGCGAACTTCTAAGATAGTTATACTTTTTTTAATGACTTTTCAAGAATTTAGTGAGAAGGATAGTGATGAAAAAAGTTTAGGTTATTTTGTAAAAAAAAAAAAATGAAAAATTAATCAAAAAAAGTTGAAAACAGTTCTGTTCAGAAAAGAGCAAAAAGTTGCTAGCGACGTGATGGAAGTGACGTTTGAAGGCGTCGAAATCAAAATCTTTATCGTCTCCAAACCAAAATTGTTCTGCCAACTTATCGAAGAGCTCGAAATATTTGCAAATGAACCTGGAGAACGACTAATTGGTTTTGATTCCGAGTGGAAGCCGAATTATACCGAGTTGGAACACTTTTTGAGACATTCCTAAACTAACTTCTACAGCTATCAGAGCAAAATGGGTCTGATGCAGATGTTTTTCAATGGAAAAGTTTATATATTGGATGTGGCAACGTTGGAAGCGGATGGATCTGTGGGTTCTGATATGTGGTGTCGGTTCGGCGATGCTCTTTTCTGCAGCACGGCTTTGAAAATAGGTTGAAATTTTGCAAATTAATTTTTTTTAAGGATTTTTTTGTAACAGGTTTTTGACCTGAAAAAAACGATGTGGAGGCGTTTTTGAGTTTGCCGAAAAAGTTGGACGATTGGGCGGGACGCGAGAAACTCAATAACATGTTTTGTATAAAGCGGTTTGGGGAGAATGTGAGTTTTGGGAGGAAATTTCGAATTTGGCAGCGTCTAAATTTCAACCTGACTTTAAATTTAGCGATTATCGAGGTTTTCTTGAATTTGGCAGCGCCCAAAGGTGACGAGTTAGTCTTTTTTGAACTAATATAGGGATTGCTAAAGGTTCTGTGTTGATAATTTGATGAAACTTGGTATATAGGTACTTTAGGACACCCTGGTTCCAATAAAGTTGAAAAGGTGCTTCGTTTGCGTTTTGCATTGGTTGGAAGGATGAAATGTGTCACGGCGGCGAAATTTGAGATGCCATAACTCGGCTAGAACGGAAAAGGAGCATTTTTTTCAAGTTTATTGAAAACAGGATGTCCTAAAATACCTTTATACCAAGTTTAATCAAATTCTCAACTCACCACCTTATGCACTCCTCGTACAAGTAGCGCTTAGCTTCTTGTGTGTTTAGTTTGGCGAAAATTTAGCATCGCAACATAAAGTTTTTTTTTCAACATTTTAAATTTTAATAATATATCAAAGAGGTTTTTGATCATTTTAGAAGAATCTCAATATTCAAATGCAAAAATAATGATCTTTTAAGTTGGTTCCTATCTTTCAGATGAACGATGTCAAGACAGGCGCTCTCGGTATGAAGACGTTCAAACTCAGCGAATTGGCGGTCAAGTTCTGCAACGTGGAGCTGGACAAGAGGGAGCAGTGTAGTGACTGGTCGGCGAGACCTCTTCGGCCCTCTCAAGTCACCTACGCCGCGATGGATGCCTGCGTCGTCGTCGCCATATTCAAATGTCTTCGTGATTTAGCCATGTCTGTATTTCGACTTTTGAATTTGCTATTTTTCTTTTTGTGTTCCTTGCATCAAGAGTTTCCAGGGAGGTCGGGATAAACGAGGAAGAAATGGACACGATAATTACCGACGCCATGTCAAATTCACCGAAAAAGGATAAAGGGAAAAAAGCGAAGAAGATGGACGCGATGTCGTGGGCCGAGGTTCACGAGGCGTTCCGCGATGTCGTTAATCCGAAGAGGCAGAAAATTCGACCAAACCAACTGAATGTACTGGTCGACACCATGTTGCTTGGACTGGGCAAACATTTGAGGTACGAAAACACTTCTGAAGAACTTCAAACTGAGAATGTCTGAAAGCCAGGAGCAAGTCTTTTTAAAATTTGGCAGCGCCTAAACTCTCTTCAAATTTGGCAGCGCCTAAACTCTCTTCAAATTTGGCAGCGCCTAAACTCTCTTCAAATTTGGCAGCGCCTAAAGGTTCCTTAAAATTTGGCAGCGCCGAAAGTTCCTTCTAAATTGGCAGCGCCTAAACTTTCTTCCAATTTGGCAGCGCCTAAACTTTCTTCTAAATTGGCAGCGCCTAAACTTTCTTCCAATTTGGCAGCGCCTAAACTTTCTTCTAAATTGGCAGCGCCTAAACTTTCCTCCAATTTGGCAGCGCCTAAAGTTTCTTCTAAATTGGCAGCGCCTAAACTTTCTTCCAATTTGGCAGCGCCTAAAGTTTCTTCTAAATTGGCAGCGCCTAAACATTCTTCCAATTTGGCAGCGCCTATACTTTCTTCAAATTTGGCAGCGCCTAAAGTTTCTTCTAAATTGGCAGCGCCTAAACTTTCTTCCAATTTGGCAGCGCCTAAAGTTTCTTCTAAATTGGCAGCGCCTAAACTTTCTTCCAATTTGGCAGCGCCTAAACTTTCTTCAAATTTGGCAGCGCCTAAACTTTCTTTAAATTTGGCAGCGCCTAAGCGGGGGTTTTTCAAAAGCCTTCTCAAGTTCGAAGCCTGCATAAGCTTTTACTCGAGTCATGCGCGAAAATATTAATCTTGAAATTGTTAAATTCTCTAATGATTTTCAAGTTTTCTGATTTCCAATTTGAATTTTTAAAAAACGTTGAATTTCTTTGTTAAGCGAAAAAAAAAGATTTCAGACGAGTTGGCATCGACGTAATAATCCCCAACGATAACCGTCAGTTCACGGAAATGGTCCGTCAAGCCAAAAATCATGCCAACGAAGGCGTGAGGAGGATAATTCTGACCGTGTCTGGGAAGTCAAATACCAAGGTGCTTAGACGATAACTCCGACTTGAGAGCCTTTTCTCTCACAAAAAAAAATCCTCGAATAAATTGTACTGATTTTTCGATGAGTTACTTAGGTAAATAAACAAATACTGGTGCTTTGAATACCCGAATAATGAAAAAAATGTCAAGATTTTGTGTAATTTCGCGCCTTGTTTGGCTTTTTTGGCGCCTGCATAACCGCGGAAGCCTTTCATGTTTCAAAAAACGAAAAATTCGAAACGCTTTTTTCGGTACCCCAAAAAATTTATTATGAATTAAGCCTTTTTAATACTTTCAAACCAATATTGAGGCAATTTACAGCTAAGCTCCACTGTTGATTCTTCAATGTTGTTCTGCTTGCCAAACGGTAGCTCAATGGCGCCAATGGAGCAACTTCGCGCCGTTTTGCAACATTTCAATGTTGAACTGCGGGCTGAGGACATCTTTAGTCGGTGTATGGTTAGTTTTTTAGTAATAAGAATCTTGGAGAAGATTGAAAAATCGTGGAAACCTCACTCCTATGGAATTTTAAAACGATTTTTTCGAAAAAAAATTTTTAGATCGGATAGTTTCTGAATTCAAGTCTAATACATAGTATTCCAAAGGTTGAACATTTTCCTTGAAATTTTCGACGGTGATAATTTTTTTTTCACCCAGTTGTAGGGCTTCTAGAGCTTCTCCCAAATTTGGCAGCGCCTAAGAATTGGGAACTTTTTGGGAATTGGGAAGCACCTATATCCTTTTTTATTTTTAACAAATGTCGTTTTGATCTTTTCTAATCACGTAAATTCAAAAAAAGAGCCTTGTTCGGTCAGGAATGCAACTCTTCATCGTTCCTCCGAGTGCCTTGTCCCGTCGTCCATCTGCTGCACAACTACTTTGGTGTGCACCTCAACAACAACGTCTACGGCGACACCACGTTCCCATTCGATGGTTAATGAGTTGGAAAACTTTTCGATCAAGTCTTTTCAGAATGAAAATGGCGAGAAAATTTTAAAAACGGTTTTAAAGATTTTTTTCGACTCGGATCAAAGTTTTTTTTTTTTTGGGTAATCAAGGCATTTTTTCACTCAATAATAACACTCGATTCAGCTCTTCATTCATCTTTAAGCTCAAATAAATTAAATCTATGATATTTCCTTGAAACTTTTTCCGATCTATACAGCTGGAAAACTTTCACAAGACGTTTTAATAATTACAGAATGGGTCAGAAAGCTGGAAGCGCTGAACCCGGAGAAATACGATGGAATCCGTGTTGAGATTTTCCGTGAGAAATTCAACGACGAAAGATTTCCCGACGAGGAGGATTATATCGTTGCCAATGTCGAGGAGGGAGACATTCATCTCACGTTTGTTTTTTGTGAACTCTCGAAAAATTTGAACTAGTTTTTTTGAACGAATTTTGAATTATCTTGGCGCATTGAGCATTCTAAATTAGCAAGATTTTTTCAAAACTTGAGTTGAAATTTTTTTTTTCACGTTATCTGACTTACTGACAAGTTTAATGAAACTATTATAAGGGCTGCTTCGAAAGTTTTTGGAAGCTTTTTTTCCATTTTTTTAAAGCTAAACTGTTTTTTTTTTTTGACTTCTCGGTCCTGGAAAACTTTTCGAAAATTTATTTACGAATTTTTTTGTTTTTACGCACCTAAAATTTTCTTTGATCGTTTTTTTTCTGACCGGTTTTGTAGCTATTTCGCGGGTTTTATATTATTGGATAGTAGTACTTGAATCTCTCAGACCTAATAATTTTTTGAAAATTCAGCTTTTGGAATTTAAACTGAACCTCAGAACATTGATCCAAACGAAAAAAGTATATTTTTCAGAAGAAACGTAGTTCTTCATCGGAACCAAGACGAACCAACGGATGTTCGCATTTCCAAGGTTCTCAATCCCAATAATTAGTTGATTGGATTTCGATGAATTTTTAAGGTTCCCGAGGACGCATTTCACGTCGTCGATCGCATTTTCTTCATTTGTGGCGAGTGCGGTCGCGTCTATTGGGATGGTCGTCACGTGGAAAATTATGTTGAGGTTCATTTTTTGATATTTTAAGGGGATTAGAGTTTAGAAAAAGAGTTGAATTTAGGGATGAGAAAAAAAATTTGGATTTTGAAAATTGAAATTTGACGTCCTGCAAGATCTTGCAGGGTTGTTATCCTTTTTCAAAACAGATTTATTTTTCGGGCGTTTTTTCATAAATTTCTGTCAAGAAAGGATATTCTGTAATTGAAAAGCTGTTTATAGCTTGCTTCAAGTTTTGAGAGTTTTTTTTTCAAATTTTAGTGACTTCTGTAGTTCATTAAAAAGCTATGAAGGTTCCTTTTTTTTGCAGTGAATTACGATTTTCTATAGGTTTTTTTTTCCCAAAAAGAAGGTTTATATCGTGCTTTGGACATTTTAACAGAGAAAATTGCTGTTCTTTTGAGAATTTGAAAATTTTTCGGTCAAAAATTATTTTAAAATCTCGTCTCTTTATTCTTGAAACTTCCTGTTAATAGGTAGTTTTTTCTGAAAAAATACAATTTTTTCACGGTTTGAGTCTTTTTTTTCTCACCCTTTCTTAAATTTGGCATACCCTAAATTATTAGAAACTTTGAATTATCAAAATTTCCCAATAATAACCAGCCTTTTTAGGCTTTGGAAAGGAACCAAATGGAAGTGCTTGGCTGCAGAAATGGCCATAAAAAAACGTGGGATTTTTTTCTGGATTCTAAGTTTTACTAACACTAACATTCTCATTACTAATAAATTCAGCTTTCATGAAATTTTTTTTATAAATCGAGAATTTTACAGCCTGAATCCCCGAATACGGAAGAAACAGCCGTCGGTAGCAACAGTAACATCTCGATTTGACTCCCGGAAGAAATTTAATTTTTTTAAATATTTGTTTTCAATGCCGTGCATCTGGTCGCTTTTATACGAGTTTTTTTTCTAAATAACGGTGTTTTTTTTTTGTTATATAGATTTTTTTTGTACAGATTATAAACTTTTCGACGGTTTTTGTTCATTGAATCAGCATTGAAAAAGTTTAAATTCGCTTCTAAGCTGAATATTTGGTTTTTTTTTCTTGATCTACGGGAAGATTTAGTTGTGTTTTGTTTTTTCTTCATTTTTTCAACCCTAGAAGCATTATTCCTTTGAATTTGAGAACGGCAAAAAAAAAATCTCTTGGCAGGGGTCGAACCTGCGACCCTTTTAGTTATAGAAGAAGCTCTCTTTTGAAGTTTTTTTGGCTTTTGGTGATCTATTTTGATTTTTTGGGACGTGTTTAGCGCTAGAAACATTAAAATTCTAAAAAAATTTGAAATTTATTTTTTTCGAAATGCGCGGCAAATATCATTTTTCCTTGGTCGGAGTCGAACCTGGGACCATTTTCTCCGTAGGAAACAGTTTATTCAATTTTTTAAACTGTAATCAGTACTGCGAACACATTGAAGTATTTTTAAATCATTTTTTGAGCCTTAAAAAAAGCAGCAACAAAAATTTTGCTTGGGAGGACTCGAACCAGGGACCTTTTTCCGCTCAATTTCCCGTCTTTTTCCAATTTTTTTCCCACTACTTTAACTTTTTATGGTCTCGACTAGCCATAACATTGGAAAAAGAACTTGAAAAACAAGAAGGAACCGAAAAAAAACCAGTGTTGTGTGTTGGGGTGGACGTTTTTGTTGCATTTTGTGCGACGATCTCGTTGTCTGGCGCCCTCTCTCCGGCGCCGCTCTCTCGTCGTCCGTCGCGCCCGCCGCCGGGCATGAAAATAGGCTCCGCCCACTCCGACTCTCTCCGCAACGACGCCAGACTCTTTCGGAAATGCCTCACTCTCTTTTGGCTACTTTTGGCCATACACTCTTGTTTTTTTGTTGGTTTTGGGACTCTCTAGGGGCCACTTGAGCTTCCGAGCAGCGAGTTTTGCCGCCTTTTCGGATTTCAAAAGTTCAAATTTGATACTCAGTGTCTTTGTGTGGTTTCATTGAGCTCTTTTCAGTAGATTATTCTCATTTTTTTGGATTTTCTCGTCACTTTAGTGGCCACTTGAGCCTACTTTAACAAGGCCTTAGGAGTATATGTCTTTGAAGAGCTATTTTTCAATTTTTTTTCTCGGATGATTCAGATTTTTAAGTCAGTCTTACATGAATCCATCTCCGTTTGAAGGAATTTTGCTTCTCGTATCGTTAAAAATTCTTCTGTTCACGTTTCGAGATACAATTAAGTTCAAATAAGCTCGTTGGAGAAAAAAAGATATCAATTTTTTGAAATGATGTATTTATTTTTTTTTTTTGCGTTGTTTTTTGGCTTGTGAACCTGGGATTTTCGTTTTTTTTTTTCAATTTTTTGAGGTCTCTGTTTCTATCGCTGGTCATACTATGATTTTTGAAAAATGAAGGTTTTCTAAGTGGTAACTATAGGGCTAAGAATTTAAAAATAGTACGCAAATTTTGCGAAAAAGGGATCTTTTGGTAATCAAAGCATTCATTTTTTATACTTTTGAGAGCTTTTTTTTGACTGTTTAGTGTATTTTCTCAAAAATTTATTTTTTTTTCAATGATTATCCAAGCTATTTCATGCCACTCAGCATTTATAATTGTCATACGAATGGGGCTAAATTATGCAAATCAATTATTTTCCGTCTTCTTCCTCTTTTCAACCGTTAAAATCTTAAAAAATAGAAAAATCAAGGTGAGAAATAATTAAAAACTCAACGAAACCCTCCCATTTTCTTCTCGTTTCCGTTGCTTTTTGCTCTTTTCTCTCATTGTTTTTTTCTTCCTTGGAGCATCGCTTTACGTTTTTTTTTTCTTCTTCTCCTTCTCTTTTGCTCAAAAATGCATGAAAAAGATATTTTCTTGCGAAAGAGAAGGAAAAGTGATTCACCGATCGCTTTTTGTTTAGGTTTATAAATAAACTCGTCGCAAATTGAGAAGTTTCTGGCGTTCTCCGAATGTTTATACAATATAAACAGCCTCGGCCTTTTATTTCTTTCTTTTTCTTTGAGATTGGATTCAGTTTTTTCGGATTTGAAAGCTACCTTTCATCATTTCTTTTATTTCACAAGCCTAAATCTCTTTTCTGACTTCATAATAGCGTATTTAATGAATTTCTTCCTTTTTTTTCGATTTGGTTTGTTTTTTTTTGAAGTATTAGAGGGGTAGTTGTAGCGATTTGATCCAGATTATTTTTCCAACCTTTTTTTCTCTTTTCACCATTTTTTTTTTCAAAAGTGACGTCATAACACGGCGCATAATGACGTCACCGGAAATTGATTTTTGATTGAATTTTTGACGCCTTGAACGGTTATAACTATCTTTACATGATCTTGTCGTTTTGAAAATTTTTTTATTCGGTTCTTTTGAATAAAAAAAACTAGGAAATTTCACTCCTTTTTGTTTTGATAAGAGTTTTTTTCGAAGTCTGTTTTAGAAGCGTCTCGAAGCGAAAGCGCAAAAAAGCTGTACATTACTGTAGCTTTTTCTGTTCTTTTAGTTTTGACAATATCGCCCGTACACTTTAAATGATTTCTTTTAAAAAATTCACGCATTTTCGTTTTGAGACCAATTTATTTTTAATCTTTTTTAAAGTCTGTTTTGAAGTGTCTCGAAGCGAAATTGCAAAAAACCTGTGTGCTACTGTATCTTTTTTTGAAGCTTTTTCTTAAAACTTGACTGTCTCGCGCGAAGTATATCTTTTTGAGTTTTAAAAGTTCATTTCAGAAGACAAGCCGGTTGGCCGGATGGCGTCGGAAAAGCTGATGCCGGGGCCAGAAGGCCGGACGCCGCGGTTTTATGAAGTCGACCGAGGGGCCAAGACGGAAAGCTACATCAGCGCCGTTTCTGGGAATCCTGTTGGGGCTGATCATCTCGTCATGACTCAGCCGTTCGCTGAGCCCAAGGTTCGACTTGCTTTTTGATTGTTTTTTGTCTTTTTTCCTTTTTCCTTTTTTGAAGTTTTTATATCTGTTCTGATTGTTCTGTAGTTTCTGACTGGATTCATGATTTTTCATTAGGATAGGGATTATATTAAAAAGTTGAAATTAAGGCCGTGTTTAAAGGAATCCTCGCGAAATTAAAAATCATTTCTGATTCTCCAGAATTTAGTTCTCTTTTTCTGTCTCTGACGGGTATTTTGAACCTCTCGGAATCACTTTGAACGCTTTATAATAAAGATTGATCCATGGACAGAAGGTGAAAATTTTTTTTATAGTTGAGCTTGTTTTTGGGAGGGGGGGAGGCGTAGGAAAATAGTAAAAAGCACTAACAAACTATATACTAGCCATAGGAAGTTTAAATTAAGCCCCGTTGAAAAAAAGCTTGAAAAACTGCTTTTTTTGTAAACTTTTTCAATTTTATGCATGAAATTAAGACCGAAAATAACTGTTTCCCCATCTTTTTTCGATTGTTTTTGCTTTTCGAAGCCTTTCCCATCAATGAATATTCATTCCCACTGTTTATGCAGCTGTAAATGTTAGCTTGATCCTTTGAAAAAGGCGATTTTTCCAGTTTTTCCAAAGTTTTCATATAGTTACAACCTCCCAAGTCGGTTTATAATTGAATAGAAGGGAGGCCAAAGACGGAGGAAAATTGGCCACGGCTGGGGTCCATGTATATAGATTGGCATCATCGGTTGTAAAAACGTAGTCGGAGGCCTTCTGGATGCGGGTTTTTGATTAACTTCCCAAGACATTTTCGACCTTGTAACACGGTTTTTTGTCAGAAAACTACGTTGAATTTTGAAATTTTTGATAAAAAGGGCTCAAAAATGAGTCAAATTTTTAGCCGAGTCTCTTGAAAAACATCCTTTTTATCTAGCCTAGCCTTACTTTTCTTAAAAACTATGAATCAGTTTCGAAAATTGATAATTTAATAATAAAGTTTACGTTAAAAACTGAGCCCAACAGCTTTGATAGCCGCGTCGTTTAGCCGAGTCGCTTAGCCGAGTCGCTCAGCCGAGTCGCTTCACTGAAAATGAACTGAAACAAAACCACATGAGAGATTCAATTTTCAATTCACAGCGCCATGAGACAAATGAGTCGCATTTCTTGATTGGCCTCATCAATAGCCGAGTCGCTTAGCCGGGTCGCGCGAAATTTATCCATAAAGCAAAATTGGTTTTTGACGCCCCTTTTGGGAAAAAATATAAAAGTTTTTGAAAGCTCAAAAAAAAGATTTTTTTTGCCCATTCTTCGGGATTTAATCCTTGAGCACTTCTCAATCCTTTAAAAAAACAGATTTTAAGAATAAGGACATTATTTTTTTCGAAAAAAATATTCAATAAGTGCGTTTTTTTCCGTTAAGAAACACCAATTTTCCAATTTTTTTCCTCATTCTCTTTGGAGCGCACACGCTCCGCGGCTATTTTGTCATCTATACGTGAGGATATTTCCTGCGAAAATCGGCTTTTTTCTGAAATTTGATTCAACCCGTCACCGTGTAATCGAATCCCGTGCCGACGACGTTGCCGAAAGTTTCCTCGTTTTTGATTCTTTTTCGAGGGAATAGTTTTATTGGTCTATTTTCGGGGGTTGATAGAGAAGTGAATAAAAAAAAATTGAGTGGAAAATTTGAGAAGAAAGAAATTTCGGTGGCTTTTTGAAAGCTTAAAAGAAAACATTTTTTTTAAGATTTGAAGAAAATATTTTTCTTGCGTGGGTCGCTGGTTTTGATAACCTTTTCTGTTGAACTTTCTGAAAACTTGACCTTGCGGTCCACACGCCATTTATTTTCTTTTGAAACCAAAGAAAGATTGTTTGTTCGTTTGGCGTAACCTAATAGCGTTTGGAAAAGGTGACAAATTGAGCATACAAGAAAAAAAAGTGGAAAAAGATCGTTCATGAACCTGCGCTCCAAGGAGAAATCAAAAATTGAAATATTTTCTTTTTCTTATTTCATTTCGTTCTTCAAGTTTGCTGGAAAAGGACTGTCAAGCTTGAAATTTTCAAGGAAATGAGCTTTTTTTGGTTTGAGTTCAGACTCAATGCGTTATGCTCGCCCGGGGGTTTGCGTAGGAGTTTAAATTTCGCCATTTTGATGTCACCAAGGCGTAAGTCGTTTTGGGGTCGGTTGCAAACCAAAATAATCGAATAGCGCTGTTTTTTCTATGAAGAATAGAATAAAGAGCTTGTCTATTCCAGTAAATTTACGAAAATCCTTGAAAAAAGCCATCCAATCGGTTCTTGTGTGTCGGATAAGTGTCATCTTGCCGATTTTTGACATTTTCCACCCCCATGACACGAGATAAGACTCTCCTCCGCTTTACGCATGAGCGCCTTCCTTCGATTTTCACGAGGGATGAAAACGAACGGACGGACAGACCTGTAATTATGCGGGGTCTTTTCAAAGAAATTTGAATTGACAGGGGCGATTGAAGGGATTTTCAGTGAGGAGTTTGATGGATTTTGGGCTGGTAGTTGGGAAAAAAAGAAAGGGTTTAGTTGGGATATGGAAATTTAACAGAAAGGTTGATGAATAAGGACTTTTTGAGGTTCTAGGAGCAATAGAAATTTGAAAAAATAACGAGTTTTAGGTTCAAAAAATCGAAAAAGTACAAAATAAGTCGTTTTTTGAAGCTCTAGTGCAAGAAATGGATGCTTTTGAGAAGTTAACTCGGAATTTACTTGAAAAAAATTCGATAAAGTACAAAAAGAGGCGTTTTTCGAAGCTCTAGTGCAAGAAATGGATGCTTTTGAGAAGTTAACTCGGAATTTACTTGAAAAAAATTCGATAAAGTACAAAAAGAGGCGTTTTTCGAAGCTCTAGTGCAAGAAATGGATGCTTTTGAGAAGTTAATTCGATTGACTTAAAAAAATGAATTAAATTAGGCTTCTGTAGGTTTTCAGGTCCAAATTAGAAACAATTGAAGCTCAATTTTGGCCAGAAATATGATTTAAGTTGATAATCATCGTTTTTTTACCATCTTATTTTTGATTCTATGTATGGAAAAAATGTTTTTAGACAGCCGAAATTTGAAAATTGAATTTTTCAAAGCTATTTTCAGCTCAAATACGCTTCAAAAAACTTAATCCATTTTTTTCTCAAAAAAATCACTCAAAAAAGTTCTGATAAATCAGATTTAGGACAATAATCAATTAAAAAGTGATCTTTTTTTCGTTAAAAATTTCAAAAAAACAGTGCTTTTTACGGAAATAATCCCCTTATGAGAACTTTGGAGCCTTTCAAAATTTTTTTCAATTATTCCTAATTTTTTTCGTTCCTCTAAACTTGAGAATCATCGAAAAAGGTATTTTTCGACTCTTGAACATTTTTGAGAATTTAAAAATTGTCAATTTCCAGCCATTGAAGCCATGGGAACAGCGGAAGATCCTGAAACCCAAGGATCCAAACCAGATCGGCCTGAACGAGGACGAGTTGGAGCCGTACAAGAACGATCCGTTTTGGAAGACTTTGAGGTTAGTTTTTTTGAAAAAAAAAGGGCTTGAAATGGGGATTCTAATGGTATGTTTTTCATTATGGAGTTGGACTTAGGAGCTAAGAAGAAAGGGTTTTGAAATATGAGCCTGAAAATTAAGGAATCTGTTGGAATGGCTTTAGTTTTAGGGGCTTTGAGGTAGGTAGCAAGAGAGAAGTGTTAGAATAAAATTCTAGGGTGAACATGCCAAGATGAGGATTCTAATAGTGTAGTTTTCATGGCACAAATTAATTTAGAAGTGGAGAAAAAGGGGCTTCAAAAAATGGGCCTGAAAATTGAAGACTCTGTTAAAATGGCTTTTATTTTAGGGACTTTAAGGTAATTGTATTAAGGGAAGTGTCAGAAATACATTTTTGGGTGAATAATGTGAAAAATAAGAATTCTAATAGTGTATCTTTCATAGCACAGTTGAATTTAGAAGTAGAGAAAAAGGAGCTTCAAAAATAGACCTTGAAACTTGATTAATCCTTTGATATGACTTCAGTTTTAGGGACTTTAAGGTAGTTACATTAAGAGAAGTTTAAGAAATAAATTTCAAGGTGAAAAATGTCGAATTTAGGATTCTAACAGTGTACTTTTCATGGCACAGTTGAATTTAGAAGTGGAGAAAATGGAGCTTCAAAAATTTGGTTCAAATTTGGACAATCCACCAAGATTTTGAAGGAGATGAGGTTTTAGGATGGGAATTTGAGGTAAAAAAAAGCTTGAAATCAGGTTTTTGGTACAGTTTTTGATCCATTATCATTTTTTAACTAAAGAAAAAAAATGTTAAGTTTTTTTCTTTTTCGATTTTTTTCATGACTTTTTCCAGTTAAACTGGACCTTTAAAAGTCTCACTTCCCATTGAAAACAGTTTTTCGAAAGTTCCAAAAGGACTTACAAGCAATAATCGCCAAGGACACAAACATCGGGGGAGGTGGGCGGCGATTTTAAGCCCAAAAGACAACATTTTTTCGCCGAAATGGTCCACTTTTGCTGGAATATTGGGACAACGATCTGGTCCTTGGGGGATTTCTTGGTTTTTTTCAATTTTAAAATTTTTTTTTGGACAGTTTGAAAGACTTTCTATTGGAAATTTTTTTGAGTCAGACATGAAAAGAGAAAAAAAAAATGATAAGATTGAATTCGATAGTTTTAGATTGAATGGCTGGAAAAAAAAAACTTTAGTGGCCACTTAAGAGGTTCCTTAAGGGCTTCCTAAAGAGGAAGGCTTTTAGGAATTTTTCCTGTAGAGTTTAAAGGTATGGGGTTGTATATTCATGGTATCTTTCCAATAGTTTTCAAAAAAATCCTTTTTTCTCGTTTTTTTTCGAGAAAGCTAATGGAATATACACTATTCTGACAATTTTTTCAGCAAAAAAAAAGGATTTTTTTTGTTCAGAACGGTGCTCTTCTCACTTTTCTGGCTGACTTGGATCGCCCTGTTCCTTTTCGCCATCTTCCTGGTCCTTTTATCGCCGGCCTGCGTCGTTCGCGAGAAACCCAACTGGTGGCAATCCGCTGTTGCCTATCATGTGAGTTTGGAGAAAAAAAAAGGAGCGTGGTCGCACTTGGAATGGTCAGGGCGTTGCGGTCGCGCTGCGATGCTTTCTGAGCCATAGCAAAGTTGAAAAAAACCGCTTCGCAGCCGTCACGCGTCGAGCCATTCCAAGTGCGGTCACAAAAAAGAAGCCTCGGTCGCACTTGGAATGGATCAAAGCGTCGCGGTCGCGTTCCGATGTTTTTTGGGCCATAGGAAAGTTGAAAAAAACCGCTTCGCAGCCGTCACGCGTCGAGCCATTCCAAGTGCGGTCACAAAAAAGAAGCCTCGGTCGCACTTGGAATGGATCAAAGCGTCGCGGTCGCGCTGCGATGCTTTTCTGATTTTCAAGTCATTTGGTCAACCGGTCCGCGCGTCGAGCCATTCCACGTGCGGTCAAAAAAAAGAAGCCTCGGGCGCACTTTGAATGGCTTAAAGCGTCGCGGTCGCGTTGCGAAAAATCATGAGGAACTCGAAAAAAACCGCTCCGCAGCCGTCACACGCCGAGCCATTCCAACTGCGGTTACAAAAACAGTTTCTGAGCCACAAAAGTGGTACCGTGTTCAGAGTGATCCTGCGAAGCTCAAGATCATTGAAATAGCCGTCAGAAAGTGGAAAAGATCCCTCGATTTTGGAAAGTTAGAGTTATTTTTAAATTTCACGAAAATGTGTTGAACACGGCATGAGCTTCTCTTTTCTGGAAAACTTTAAAAATTCAAGATTTTTTGGGAAATTATGATTCCATCGATTCATTTTTTCAATTTTTCAGAAAAATTTTGGTCAATTTTCAACTAATTTATTCATTTTTTACCCATTAAAAGCTTCATACCATCTAATTATGTATCTTTCTGTTACCAATTTTCTTTAAAAGTGCAAAATAATAGTCCGGGGTACTGCAAGTCGTGTATACTCAAAAACCCAAAAAAATCGTCAACCAATTGTGAGTCCACGAGAACTTTTTCTCGCACTTCAACTGGACCGTACCCGTTCAAAAAAAAAATGAGGAAACCAGAAAAAAAAAAGTAAAAAAAGACGCAGCTGCAAGCCATTTGCGTTGGCAGCTGCTCTTGGACGAGAAGGAGAATTTGTCGAGTCGGATGTTGCAAAAAGATCCGACGGGATGTTCCATTCGAACTGAGATTTATGAGCGCTTGATTTCCTTCTGTTTCAAATCGCGAAAACATGGAGGGCTTTGGAGTGATTGGATTGGAGATAACGGGGATTGAGAATAAAAGAACCTTTTTTTGACTTGTTATGGAAATTTTGCGACGAAATCGTCAAACAACTGGATTAAGTTATAGTTATATAGGGATGGAGGCTGTGGAGAATTTTAGACAGAAAATTAAGCTTTAAAAAAATCGATTATTATAATTTTTCCATGCTTTATTCGCCAAATATAATGAGCTCATTTGGGAAATATTCAGATTTTTTTTTTAAATTAACCGCTTCAAATTTTTTCTTCCAAATGTTTTTAGAACGTTTCCGAGCAAAAAAAACATATAATGAAGCTTAAAAATTGTCACTTAAGGGATTTTTTCAAGAAAGCTAGCAAGCTGTGTTTAATTTCACTCCTCAAGTGGTCACTTAATAGTAAAATGTTGAAGTTTGTATCATGAATCAGTGCTTTATAAGCCTATACCCCACGTTGTCTTTTTCATCAGCTTTTTTTTGAATATTATTGGCCCCTTAAGTGGTTTCTTTAATGAAAAAAGAAATATACAGAAATCAGTTCAAACTGGATTTTTTTTTCCTCTGTTCGCTCCATTTTCTATCACTTTTCTTACTTCTAGAGCTACTTGAAGCTCCAAGAAGCAAAAGAAAATTAAAAATTTAAGATGACAATTTTTTTGAGTGAAGACCTTTCAACTATAGTGCTCGAAAAAATCGTCAAATTTGAAAAAAAGGAAGGAAGATTGATGACCCGCCATTTTATGTCACAACAGGCCCACAGCTGCTTAGACATGTGCAGCTGGCGGTGTGAAAAGGGCAATAAACATGTAATTTACTGGGCTCTTCAGGAATTCCGAGGCTTTTCAGAGCTTTTGGTAGCTTCAGAACCATTGAAAAATTTAGAAAATCGGAGAAAATTGATTAAAAATCAACTGGTACAGGACTTTTTCGGAATCGAGACCTAATATTTTCGGAAAGAACTACTAAATTTGGTTTTTCTAGTCTCTTCAGCAATTTTGAGGCTTTTCAGAGCTTTTTGTAGCTTTAGAACTATTGAAAAATTTAGAAAATCGAAGAAAATTGATTAAAAATCAACTGGTACAGGACTTTCTCGGAATCGAGACCTAATATTTTCGGAAAGGGCTACTAAATTTGGATTTTTTTTGGTCTCTTCAGCAATTTTGAGGCTTTTCAGAGCTTCTGGTAGCTTTAGATTCATGAAAATGGTTGAAAACCGAAGAAAATCGATTGAAAATTAGGTTACATGATGATTTATTTAGAAGAAAAGTGGTATATTTGCGAAAAGAGCTCTTTAATTTGGATTTACTGGTTTCTTCAGGAATTTTGAGGCTTTTCAGAGCTTTTTGTAGCTTTAGAACTATTGAAAAATTTAGAAAATAGAAGAAAATCGATTAAAAATCAAGTCGTATTTGATTTATTGTGAACAGAGCGTTGATAATTTTGAAAAGAGCAGCTGGATTTCGATTTTCTAAGTTCTTCAGGAATTCGAAGGCTTCTCAGAGCTTTTGTAGCTTTAGAACCATAAGAAATGGTTGAAAATCGAAGGAAATTGATTAAAAATCAACTGGTACATGATTTATTTGGAAAAGAAAGGCAATTTTTTGAGAAGGGTAGTTAAATTTGGATTTACTGAGCTTTCCAGGGAACTCAGTGCTTTTCAGAGCTTCTACTCATTCTAAAAGTATAAAAGAAGGTCAAAAAATGAAAAGTTTTGATTGAAGTTAGACTTTTACTGATATTGTATCACTGTTTTTGAATTTTTCACTCGGAGGATCAGTAGCTTATTATAAAGCGAGGATTTTTATAATCTCATTTAAGTTGGTACAAGAAAATAACATAAATGTATTCTATCAATTCCACAAAGCCTTCATAAATCTGTCAATTCCCGCCTAGAATAGATTTTAAAGCCCTCCGGAGGCTTTCCGATTCATTGTCAAAGCGCAGAATGCTAATTAATGTCGGCTATAATTTTTCAGGTCTGGGTTCCGTCTTTCCAAGATTCGGATGGCGACGGGGTCGGCGACGTCCAGGGGCTCATGAATCGGATGGATCAGTTGAGAAAGTCTGGAGTTCAGGTATTATTTTTGGGATGATGAACGCCAGAGTGGTCCCTATAGGGGTCTAGTGCCGTGTTCAAAGTAATTTCCGCGAAATGCAAAATGGTCTCTGACCCTCCAAAATTTAGTTATCTTTCTCTTTCTCTGACGGCTATTTTGAATTTCGCGGAATCACTTTGAACACGGCATAGGGCCTGATTACAAGTCCTCAAACCTTAAGTTGTCACTATAGGGGTCTAGGGCCTGATTACAAGTCCTCAAATCTCAAGTGGTCTCTATAGGGGCCTAGGGCCTGATTACAAGTCCTCATATCTCAAGTGGTCCCTATAGGGGCCTAGCGCCTGATGACAAGTCCTCAAATCTCAAGTGGTCAATATAGGGGTCTACGGCCTGACACCAAGTCCTCAAATCTCAAGTGGTCACTATAGGGGTCTAGGGCCTGATTACATGTCCTCAAATCTTAAGTGGTTTCTAAAGGGGTCTAGGGCCTGACCCTAAGTCCTCAAACCTTAAGTGTTCACTATAGAGGTCTAGGGCCTGATTACAAGTCCTAAAATCTCAAGTGGTCCCTATAGGGGTCTAGGACCTGATTACAAGTCCTCAAATCTTAAGTGGTCACTATAGGGGTTTTTAAATGTTTTCACTATGATTTTTAGGTTAAAAAGAAATATTTGACCTACGTTGATAATTTTTCATTCATAAGCGCTTGTTTTTGAATTTCCCTGAAGGATCTTTTAAGGGTTTTCAGCTTGAAAATTGTAAAATCATTTAAGGGAGCACTTGAAGATTGCTCATTTTTTGAGCCTGTTGAAAAAAAATACGTGAAAATGTTCAACTAAAATTTGGCCAATATTTTTTGCCCATTTTTTAAAATTCCAAGTGAAAACTTGAGGAGTTTTTGGATTAAATTTATAAAAAATCGAAGTTCGATTTTGAAGAGTACCTACACTTGAGTGATCTTCAAGAGATAAACTGAAACTGCCTTTTAAGTGGCCACTTAAGGTTAATCTAACCGGTTCTCTGAAAACAAATGGACACTAAAGCGTTTTTATGATTTCTTCTAGGATTTTCTAGGGATAGCGATGACCACTTGAGTGATCACTTCCAAAAATCAATAACAAACCTTTAAGTGATCACTTTAAGACTCTCTGGCCATCGCCTTTCCTCATCACCGACGAATTCTCCAACGCCGTGAGAAGCTACGATCAAATGGACCCCAAAATCGGGGTCAATCAATTGGCGGATCAGTTGATCCAAACGGCTCATGATAATGGTTGAAATTAAATGATTAATCAATAAAAACTCCGATAATTCAGAAATAAAACTTATAATCAGCGTCCCGATCGCGACGACTTCCCTGGAGCACGAATGGTTCCTGAATTCGGCCTCGGCCAGCAAGCCCGACCACAAGAATTTCTCTCAGGTTCGGCTTTTTTTGAGGTTCAAGTGTGCTCCAGTGAACAGTATAGCCATTTAGACTTGAAAAAAAGAACTAGAAATTGAAAATTGTTCAGAAATATAGTGCTGGCCAGATATTTCAAAGTGGTTTCTCGAGTATAACTTCTCTAAAAATGGCTCAAATGACTTGAAACTTCGCACAGATGTCAAAAAACTATGCAGTAACCTAATTCTAAAAATAAAATTGATTTGCTCGAGTCAAACCGAATTTGTGAGCAAAAAACCAAAAATTGTGAAAATTGGAATTTTTCTCTTGAGGTTCAACAAATCATATTTTCGAAGAAACGTCGATTTTCAATCAGAAACTTTTTCTTTTTCTTTGTAAAAAAAGATCTTCGACTTTAAAAAAACCTAAACAGCCCCTACCAAGTAAGAGCGAGCCTTCTAAATTAAATTTTGAAAGTCTTGAACTTTTTGAAGTTTTTTTGAGAGCTCTAGGCCGCAGGAAAATCAAGACGGTTCCTTTGAAAAATAACCGACTTAAAAACGAGTTGGCGTTGTAGAATTGTAGAAAGTTATTATTTGAAAGGGGGGTCGGTAAGATTTGAGCCATTCCAAATGCGACCACGGCGAGTGGACTAAATTTCAAAAATGAAGCTCCGGAACTTACAAATTGAGCCACGCTTTCATCAACGGAATGAAATGTTTTCTGGCTTCAATTATTTTTGGAAAAACTGAAAAATGACTAAACAAAAAATTCAAAAATTCAAAAAAAAAATTCCAGTTCTACACTTGGGCGAGCAACTCAGCGGCTGGAGAATACTTCACGCAGAAGAAAAATTTGTTCTATCTTCACGAAAAAGGAAATCCGAAGGCGCCGATTCTCAACTGGCAGAACACCAATCTCCGACAGAAAATGCTTGTTGGACTCTCCCAAGTGTTCGCATTTCAAAAGCGTACGTTTCAGGAGGTGCTGACGTCTTGGATGGACCGTGGAGTCGATGGATTCGAGCTGGTCGGAATTGAATATTTGGCTAGGACGCCGAATGGAACCGAACCTGTGGGTCTTTGATTGGGTGTTGAGAGGCTTAGCCACCTTGCCAAGTTTGAAAAATATCAAATGTCTCTTGCGAATTTTGAAGGGCTGGGGTCGAATAGAAAAACTTTCTGAAAAAGAAAGTTTGAGAAATGGCAAAAACGAGGAGAGGCTTCGAACCCTCGAGTCTCATACTAATAGACGCGTCCTTTAGCCATTAGAACAGACCATACTTTGAACGAAAAAATCTCAAAAATAGCGTCAAAATTTTTTCAGGAACCTTTTTCTTTGAGTACGAAGGTTAGGTTGGAAATTCTGAATTTTATTTTCTTCTTTAAATTTGTGACTTATTGGCAAAAACGCCGACAGGAGTCGAACTGGCAGTAGAAAATTGACCATTCGGCCTTTAGAATTTTTTAAATCCAATACGCCATTTTTTTTATTTCAACAATGTCAAGGACTGCACCGAAGATCTGGCCAAAAAAAAAGACAAAAAAGTTTTTTCCCTGATGAGGAGTCGAACCCAAGACCCCTTACCTCAAGTCTCATCATTCAACTCAATTTTTCAGGATTGGGACGCGATCTATGACGTCATCCGCGACATTCGCTTCCACGTCGATGGTCACTCCGCCGAGAGCACAGTTCTCAATGGGAAAAAAGTGTTCGTTTTATAGGGATTTTGAAAATCCGCCCTGCGCCTTTAAATTCCCTTCAAGTATTCATTGAAGTTATTACCTATGAAGCATGGTAATATAGAAGAACCTGGAAAAAATATACTTAAAGGCGCAGGGCGGAGCTTTTATGTTTGCCTCTGCGCCTTTAAATTTTCCTTATAGTATTTTGGATTTATTAACTTACTATAGTATAATGCATTGAGCAGGTAAGATGGAAAAAACGGGGAAAAATATGTTTAAAGGCGCAGGGTGAAGCTTTCGTTTTTGTCTCTGCGCCTTTAAATTTTTTTTCGAGTCATCAGTGAAGTTTTTATATTACTTCACTGTAGAGTCAGGGCTGCTGGTTTAGAAAAAAGAGGTGAAAATATGTTTAAAGGCGCAGGGGAAGCTTTCGTTTTTGTCTCTGCGCCTTTAAATTTTCCTTCTAGTCATCCCTGAATTTTTTATATTACTTTACTGTAGAGCCGGTGCTGCTGATATAGTGCAAAAGGAGTAAAATATGTTTAAAGGCGCAGGGCGGAGCTTTCATCATTGCCTCTGCGCCTTTAATGGATTTTTTTAGAGGAAAATGCTCGAACTTTCTAGATTTTTCTCATTCAGAGCCTTGTTTGCAAGAAGAGATGAGGCCAAAGAAAAGGACAAGAAAAACTTGGCGAAAAGCGGTCTTGACACGGTGATCAACTACGAGCTGGGCGAGGTCGAGAAGGACTCGAGTTTGTTTTTTTCAGAAACTAGGAAATTTAAAATATCAAACACAAATTTGCTGTAGAAAACAGCTCAAAATTGAAAGTTTATCGCTTTTTTTCCTTTCAAAGCTTCATAACTTCGTTCAAAATGAAGCGATTTATAATATTCGTACTTTTTTGGAACCACCTTGAAATGGGCTTTGAAATGCACTGAAAAACGTTCGAAATTTATAGAAATTTGTCACAAAAACGAGGGATCCATCGCGACTTGTGTCCACGAAATCCTCTCCGATGTCCTCCTGTTCCACACGCTCAACGAGAATGTTTGGCCTCAGTGGCAGGTGATTTTATTAAATATGCCTTTTGAAAGTTTTTCCTCGAAGCTACAATATCTAGCTGCAAAAAAGTTGATAATATGTATCAATTTATCCTCAAATACCGAATTATTTAGTTTTTCGCATGGACATGGTTCATCTCAAAGGTTTATAACAATAAAAGATTAGTATATCCCCTTAAGCGACCACTTTTTCAAGCTGTAGCGCCCCTTATAGAGAAGTAACGTGGTACCTAGAGAGGAACCTTTATGAGCCCCTAAATTTGTCCCTATAGGGACCACTATGACTATTCTAAGAACTCTAAACGACGAGCATGCTCCCCTAGAGGAGCCACTAACTGAAACCCCTAGAGGGGTCACTTTAATAAGCTTTAGCGCCATTTATAGGTGAGTAACATGGTCCCTAGAAAACAACCCTCAACGAGACCTAAGGTTTCCCTAGAATGACTACTTCGCCTTTTCTAAGAACACTAAACGGCGAGCATGCTCCCCTATATGGGGCCACTAGAGGGGCCACTTTCGCAAGATTTGGGGCTCCTTATAGGGGAGTGAAGTGGCTCCTAGAGGGGTACCTTCAAGGCCATTTTTGCAAGAACACTAAACGATAAATGCTCCCCCTATAGAGCTCACCTACTGAAACCCCTAGAGGGACCACTTTTGCAAGCTTTAGTGTCTCCAAAAGGTGAGGTAGGGTGGCTCTTAGAAAAAAAACCTTGAAGAACCCCTAAAGTTGTCCCTATAGGGACCACTATGACGATTCTAAGAACTCTAAACGACGAGCATGCTCCCCTAGAGGGGCCACTAACTGAAACCCCTAGAAGATCCACTTTTGCAAGTTTTAGGGCTCCTTATAGGGGGGTAACGTGATCTCTAGAGCGTAACCTTGAAGGATCTCAAAGGTTCTCCTTATAGGGACCACTCTAGGGTTGAATATTTGCCTTTCCTTTTGAGAAAATCCTCTTTCAGTTCGGCTCTCCCTGGCTCTCCCGCGTCGCGACCAGAGCTGGAAGCCGAGCTCATGCTCAACTCCTGCTCCTGCTCCAGCTCATGCTCCCCGGCACCAACAATGTCTACTACGGCGAAGAGCTCGGCATGCGCGACCTCGCCAACGACACTAAAGTGAGCTCTCTAGGGGTCTCTTAAGTGGGGATGGATTCAGGTTGCCCCGCAACGCGGCGCAATGCAATGGGACGACACGGCGAACGCCGGTTTCACGTCGGCCGCAGTTTCTGGAATTCCTGTCAATTCGGACTTCAAGAATATCAATTGGCAGGTTCGGTATGAGCAAAATTTTTTGAAAAAAAAATAGGTTGGCTTAATTCGAAAATTTGAGATTTTCTTTGTAAAAATTTGTAGAAAAAGTTAATCTTCCGAACTGACATACTAAGAAAAACTGTAGTGGCCACTTAAGAGGTTCTTCAAGGACTACCTAAAGAGGGCGCTAGAACCACCTCAGTCCAATTTTTCCCGTTTAGTGGCTTCTATAGTGTTTTTAGCGTTCTAGACCTCTTTAGACTTGTTATAGTACCACCTGGACTTTTAAAGTTGTCACCAGTTACTAGCCGCTTAAGTGGCCACTAAGCTGACTACTATAGTGGCCACTAAACGTCAAAACCTTTAAGTGCCCACTTGAGAGTTTCCCAGTACGCTATCTATCCACACGCTTCAGCTCTCATTATTTTAAAATTCAATGATTTTTCAAAATTTTCTTTGGAATTCTCAAGCGTCGCGTGTCCCTTTAAATTCCCAAAATCGATTATTTTTCCAGAGACAATACGCTGAAGATTCATCTTCACTGAAGCTTTTCTCCAAACTGGCCAAACTTCGCCAGAGAGACGACGCCCTGAGGTCGGGCGCAACTTTGATGGGCCGACTGGTCGACGGAGCCTTCACTGTCACTCGATTCAACAATTTCGAGAATAGGACTACCGGATTGGTTCGTTTATAGTTTGATAGAGATTTCAAAGATGAAGAGAATGGTGGAAGTTCTAGAAAGATTGGTTTGGATTGAGGAAAGTTATGAGGTCTTAACAATGAGAACCTTATCTTGAAATTCATAGAGAGCTTCAAAAATCGAGGGGTAGAGTAATCATGCAGTTCTGGGACTATTCAGAAAATTTTCATTCTTATCTTCAATCTTCAAGCTTGAAATGAAAAAATAATGATTTTCTCAACTTTACCTGCTTTATTATCACCTTAATCAATACCCCGGACCTCAGTAAAGCAAACCGGACGTTTTTGAGAACTTCTAGTGATCACTTAAGAGTATTGAAACCGCTAAAGGGATCACTAGAAAAGCTCCTAAAAGTCTGAGGCGCGTCCAGTTTGCATTAAAAATGACCGAGACAAGGATGAAGACAATTTATTTTCTTGAACCCGAGAAATTTTTCAGATCTACGTGGCCGCATTGAATTTCGCGCCGCACACCGTCAAACTTCCCATTGCCGACCTTCCAAGTCATGCGAACTTGGCCAAATCGACGGTAACTAATATTTATTTATTAAAAAAGCAAAGGGGAAAAAAAACAAAAAATGCGAAAAAAACATTAAGAAATAAATGTAGTTTGAAGTATTTTCTATGTAGGTTTTTTTCCCTAACACGTAAGGATCTAGAAACTGTTAAAATGAATTAATGGAATGGAAGGCGGGATTAGACAGATCATTTTTGAAGATAGAGAAAATGTGAGAAAGAGAAGTATTAGTGATATCGAGAGAAAGCACTAAAAAATCGACATTTTTTTGATTTTTTTAGAAGTTACGTCTTGAAGTTTAAGCAGAAAAAAAGATGTTAATCAAGGGAAAAATTTTAATTATTCATATAACTTTCATGAGCGAGTTAGAATGATCAGTAAGCTAAATCTAGAAAAAGGTTAGGAAGACGAAAAATTTTTGAATTTGCAGGCTCTCAAAAATTCCTATTTTTTTATATTCAAAAATACATCAAATCAGAAGATGGAAGGAAAGCAAAAAAATTAACGAAACAATTTTGAAATCTTACAAAGTATACAAACTTAAGAAACCAACCTATCCAACAACCAAAAAAAAACAATTTTATCCCTTTTCCAGATCGTCACGGCCACTTCCAACTGCGAACAGTACACGGCCAGGCAGTCGGTTGACTTGAGCTCGAAAGAAATCGAATTGGAGACGAATCAAGGCCTCGTTTTCCGTTATCCTGCTTGATTCCGATTCCATTGTGTTTCAAATGTAATATTCGCTTGAAATAAGCTAGAAGTTCGTTGTTTCTCCCGGTTTATGATTTAAAAATGATGCGAAAGGGTTTTTTTTAACTTCTTTTCAAAGTAGCAGAGAAAAAAAAAGTTTTATTTGACTTATTTGAATGATCAATAGGCGTTTTTCGCAGTTTGAAGTTTTTTTAAAGTATGTAAAAAAAGTACAAAATTGAACGACAAATGAAAAAAATATTTTCAAAGTTTTCGAAATCGAATTTTTCCCGCTATTTCGCCTTGGAGCGCAAATACGCAATTTTTCCTTTTTCAAAAATTTTCCAATTTCATTCTTTTTTTTTCTTCTTCCTTTTTCATTTTATAATGCTTGTTCAAAGTATTTTTCATGCACGAAAACGATTTAGGTAAGGGTTCACTTAAGTGCTGTTAAATACGCTGTAGTGAGAATTAAATTATATATATTTTTTCTATTCAAAAGTGCAAAAAACTGTTTCGCATCAATTTTTTCTTTTCTTTTTTCGCCGCCATTTTTCTTATTCACATCGATTTGTAGTACGGTGACATATCTATCTTCAGTTCTACCTGATTCTTTCACCTGAAAAATCATATTTGCAATCATTGCCAAAAAAAAATCTTCACTGCTTAATTTCGCTTTCCTTAACAGATTTTTGATATTAATGAACCTACAGGTACACTAACTTACGCTTATTTTTTTTTAAATTTCAGTTCAAAAATATATTTTTTTTTTTGTTGTATATTGTTTCAGTTGTCCTTGTTGATAATTGTTGCATAATAAAGCAAGTTTTTGCGATTTTATGTAGAAGAAAGAAGTAATGTTATCATTCATTATGTAAATAAAGAAAAAGATTGGGGCTGGTAGATAAGAGATTAAAAGGTTACCGCAATTTGCCGTGAGCACGGCGGCAGGTACAAGTTGTCAGAAGATTGATGACAGGCGATATAATAGGTTTTTGAGGTGTCGAAGGCTGATATTGTTAGTTTTTCTTTTGAAAAAAAGCTTTTATCTTGCCGCTTTCAAACTTGGAAATTGTGAAATTTTTTTGAAAAATTTTGAAAATAAAAAAAGAATATTTCTAGTGCCCATCACTTTTCTAGATTCAACTAGGTTTTTCAAATTTCTGGTGATTTTTTTCAAAAAAATATCATATATTTAAGGTGTTCTAATTTTTTTAGCCACCACTGTAGGCATTTTATTTTTTTCTAACTTTTTTTGTTGTTGGTAAAAATCTCATTGAATAAAATCTTGTGTTCTTGACTTCCAAAATTTTCAGAAAACGATAGAAAATCTTCAATTGGTTATTCAAAGACACTGAAACGTATGGAAACGGATGGTTCTTCTTTTTGAAGGTTATTTTTAAAATTTTAAATGCTGTGCTCAATATAATTTTTGCGATTTCAAAATTGACGCGTTATTTGAGTTTCAATATACGGTAAGAAAAAAATTCTGGGTCCTACAAAAACAACGATTTTACGCGCGAAACTCAGAATTTGAAGCTATTCGGGTATTTTTGAAACTTAATTTCTAAACTCGCGCTTAGAAGTCATCACATAATGTATGTGGTTAAAGACCCATTTTTCTGAAGGCTCCCGAAATTCGAGTTTCGCGAAATCATTTCAAGGAATTTTTGAAATCGATTCTGAAATCGCCGAAATTACCTCGAATACGTGGGAGGTTTATGTGCTTTAAAATTTTTTTGCTTTTTTCTTCAAGAAAACTTTTGAGCCTTTTCGATGCATTAATTTTAAATAAAATCAACGATGAAACAGTTAATTAAACGCTATTACTTTTTTTTATTTGTTTTTTTGAACAATATCATATTTTTTTTGAGTGTTCAAACCTTTCTGATGCGCAAAATTCCAATTTTAAAGTCCCAGAACCAGTTTTTCCCTTACAAGGAAGGCCATTTCACTTTGGGGCTGGGAAAAAGCCTAAAAATGACCAGAATACTTCTTGATAGACCTGATAAAGATATTGAATATCTTAAACTGCACGAATTTCTAGTTTTTGAGGAGAAAAAAAATCCAGAGAAAAACCTCAAAAATTGTGGAAGTAGGCTATTTTGAGCCTTTCAGCTCTTATCTATCAAAATCTAGAGAATTTCGCAAGTTCATGTTTTCAGGAAACTCATCTGGAACATTGGAGAAAGTTCGAATTTTTCAAAAATACTCAACTTCAAAGTGAGAAATGATTATTTTTCCAAAAATTCAAGCCTTTCCGCTGCATAACTAGGGACCGCAAAGCCACGCCCCTTTTCGCGATAGAAAAAGTGGCTTTTTTTTGGTTTTCAACTTTCATTTTGCTGTAGTTGCAAAATATGTGGAACTTGATAATAAATTTTGGCACACATGTACAAAAAAGCTTCCTCTTTCGTTTAAAAAAATATTTCACGCTTTTTTGATGCGTTCGCGCGGAATGTCGTACAAAAACGTGAATGGAACTAAAAAATTTTGTCGTTTTTTGCTTTTTCATGTGTTTTTCAGGTCAACGCACTCTTTCTTTTTTTAAATAATGATTTTTGATTCAAGTAACGGTAATTTTAAAACAATAAAATAAAAAAATTCGTCTTTGCCAAAAAAATTTTTAGGGAGTGCCGAAAGTCCTAATTCAAAAATATCGTTAATAAGCGAATATAATCGAGTTTTTTTGTTTTTTTCAAAATTTAGACCATGGGCTTACTTAAATTTTTTTTCCACAGCATATGTGCTTGAAAAAAAGTTGTTTGATACGCAAAAAAATGCTCTTGAAAATAGAGAATAAAAATTAGCGGCGTTTATTACACAGAAAAACGGTCGAACGCAGGTTTTTTTAAACGATTATATACATTTATTAGTAAAAAAATCTTTCAATTAAAAAGAATAAAAATAAAAAAATTCGTCTTTGCCAAAAAAATTTACGGGGCCGTTTTAATGCAGCGATCGTTAATAAAGGCAAAAAAAGCACTGAAAAAAACAGTTTTTTCGAAGTGAATTTCCACGAAAAGTTTGAGAAAAAATTTGCAAACATATTCTGATAAAAATAGCTAAATTACTTCAAAATTTTCTTTTTGAAATAGGCAATCTGTGCTATTCAAACGGCTCAAGGATATGGCGGATGGAAACTCCCCTCGTAATACTTAACAGCTTGGCGCAGCGCGTGCGCTGCGATTTTTCATTTTGAGGTCGCGAGTTCGATGCCCGCAAGCGTCAGTTTTTTGTTTTCTGGAAAATACTGACTTTTTCGGCAAACTAGCTGATTAGCATCATTTTAGCACTCTATTATAATTTGTTACATCATAATAGACCAGTATCAAAAACTTGTTCTAGAAGAAAAAAATTGAGAAAAAAATTTCAAAAACTATATAATACCAAAATTTCAGTACTAAAAAAATGGTGCGCGGCGCGCCACATTTTCCGTCATAACTTTTTTCATCTTCAATCTTTTTTGAAAAACTAAACGGTTCTGAGTTTTGAATCGAAACAGCTATCAAATCATACAAAACTCAATGCTGAAAAAAATTTTTTGAAAATTCGTCTGCGGTCCCTATGCATAACACCCCAATCAGCCCGATATTACCCGCATAATCAAATCAGCGGGACATAATCTGTCGGTTGATCCGCTGACTGACACCCAGGCGATGATACCGTCGTCGTGGCGGCGATCCTTTTGGGCTGTCACGGACGCCAATAATTATATCGCGCCGCCACGTCTTCTTTTTTTTCTCGCCTTCATTCGCGCCCTTCTGCTATCAGTCGCCACGATCCGTGGCAAGGTTCATCATCGCCCGCGATCGCCGCACTTGATCCGCACGCGCTGGAGAAATTAATTAACAGATGAGATGCGCCCTGTTGTGAACATACACAAATGTAACTTCACTTTTTTTTGACCGAAAAAAGTTTTAATTATAATTTTAAATGGCCATTATAGAGGCTCGCCAAGGACTACTTGGAGAGGACACTAGAGTGACCACTAAACACACCTCTATAGTGGCCACTATTTTCCGTTTTAGTGGCCACCTCAGTAGTTTTTCATCCAGTATTCCTTCCAGTTACTCTGATCATTTTAAGAAAAACAGATTGGACCAGTTATGTTGATCCATTGACCCCTAAAGTGGGCACTAAAACTTTTTGTGGTAGCATTTAGACCTCTATAATGGCCACTAATTTTTAACCCCTTATGTGGCCACTAAATTGACTACTATAGTGGCCACTAAAACGTCAAAACCCTATAGTGACCACTAAAAACTTTCCCAGGTTTTTTTTTTAAACGTTACTGCGTAAAATTTCAATGTCCACTCAAGAGGTTCTTCAAGTAGGACACTAAAGTGGCCACTAAAATCACCTATAAAGGCCGCTTTCGTATACCCTACAGCTTTTAGTGGTCTGGTAGTAGCACTTAGACCTCTATAGAGGCCACTAATTTTTAACCCTTAAGTGGCCACTGATTCGATAGCTATAGTAGCCACTAACACCTCAAACCCCTGGAGTGGCTACTGAAAATTTCTCCAATCATTTAGGATGAAAACGACGAAGCTAAGGAATTACTAAAGAAATAAGAAAAAAAATAAAAAAATAAAGAAATAAAAAAAGGTTAGAAGCGCCGTTTGGTGAACAGAGTTGTAAATGAATTTTCCCTATTTTCGAACTGGAAAGTCGAAATTTCTGTACTTTGAAAAAAAGAAGGATTTTTAGAGATGAGATTAGTCATTATCCAAACAGATATGAACTTTTTTTTAACTGGGAAACCCGAAGTTTTAGAAATTTCAAACGTGTGACAGGATTAGAAACGTCGGAACAACGCCTTTTTTTCGACTTATTCAATTTTTTTCTACGAAAAATTCAGAGCTGATTAATTAATTATTCTATTTTATGGATTTTTTTATTGTGTTTTTTTGACTCTGTTCATGAATCTTATTGATGGAATCTGCTTTCATTTTTTTTTTTTTTGAGTTCAAGAAGGGGTTTTATTAGACGGCTTGGCAACCTAGTAGATAGAGAGAATAGAATATTCAAATTTTTTTAGCAATTTCATAAATTTTCACTACAAAAATTATGATGTATTAACATTTTTTTATGGCGCTCACACGTGTCAAGGCATTTCTAGTGACCACTTTAGTAGCGTCAGTACCCTTAAGTGGCCCCTAGATTCGCTCTGAAACTTCCGCAGCCCTTCAGTTTTTTGTTACCGAGGTCCGAGCAGCTATAAGATTTCGAAGCCTTGAGATTCAAAAAAAAAAGGATTTTTTTTTCTGATACGTGCCGAAATGTTTAAGCTTCCATTATTTTTGCAAGATTTTTTCAAAAAAAGAAGATATTTTAACAAGATTCCTGTTGACTTGATTTTGAATACAATAACTTTTCATATAAATTTTGGCGGCTCTTTTTTTTTCTGAAGGGTGTTACTTAAGGTTGACCCCTTCAAAAAAGACCGACAGAGAAGTTCGATGACAGCTCGGGCCACGTGTGGCCCAAGCGCCATTTTTTCCCTTCAAAATGCGGCGCCTCCTTTGTCGGCTGTCCACTGACCCGCCTTACTACCGTAGCCGTCCTCCTTGGAAGGAGGCGGCCTTCCTTCGGACCGCCCATCTCTTCTCCAACTTTCCTCGTCTTTTCCTTCCTTCATCCCTATCCTACGGCTTTGTTCTGCTTATTTACGCCGAGGGTACTGTATTTCAAAAATAATACTCTCTGATTATTCGGGATGGCTGGTGATACCATCGCTTTTAACCATATTTTGGGCCAGGTTTGTTAATTTTTCGCATTTTTCTGTAAATCTTCGGGTCGCATAGAGCATGGGCTCAACGCTATGATTTGTGTTGGGACTTCTGTTTTGACGCCGAACCGTTTTTGGTCGGCTGCACTTTTTTGAGCGTCTTTTGAGACTTTAAACATGTGACCATCTTTTTTTAACAATTTATAAGATTTCTGGAATATTTATATACTTCTCATCTATTTTTTTTTTTTGGCTTTTGATTCATATCAAATTTTACCATTTACCTCGCTTCTCGCTTGTTTTTTTGTTTTTTTAAAGCCAAAAATATCAAATTTTGCTCAGCTAGTGTTTCAAATATACAGAGAAGACGAAACTCCTGGAGAAAAATTTTTTTCAATTATTTTATTCATCACAAAAAAATCTTGATTCTGAACTTTTTTTTATTATTTCAAGGTTTTTCATATTTTTTTCTGACTCTTAAAAAGCTTAAAACATCTATTTTTTTGTCAAGCTAGTTAATTAACAATCAATTTTTTTCTTTTTCTTTCATTTTTTTAAATTGAATTACAAGGCGTAATCTCAACGCTTTGGAAAAAGCTCAACAATTTATAATTTTTTTCTGAAACAGTTTTGTAATATTTAATCGACCTGTTGTTGAAGTATATTAAGAGGAAAAAAAAAGCTATTCTCTTGGATTTTCCTCAATTTTTCGTCTTTTTAAAGGATTGATCAAAGTTCATCATTAAAAACGGAAAGTCCTGTTTTAAAAATGAGCAGTTTCGAATTTGAGATTCTTTGGACTTTTTTTTTTGTAGAAATGGCATTCTTTCATCCTGGTAACCATTAAGGGGCTCGAAAAAAGGCTAAAAAATCGAATTTATTGAAATATTTTCTTCAGAACTTTAAGAATAAGAACGCTTCAACGAATCGAACAATTTTCTAAAAAAGACTGGAAAGAAGGTCGTTTTTTCGAGTTTGACCCATTTTTTCCTCCAAAAAAGCCTAAAAATCAAATTTGATCGATAAAAACGAAACGTTCGCACTTTAAAGGGGCGCGTCAACCAGCTCGGCGGCGTTTTCATCAACGGCCGTCCGTTGCCTCAACATGTACGCGTCAAAATCATCGAAATGGCTTCGAAAGGCATCAAGTTTGTTTTTTTTCGGAATTTTTCTCGAGTTTTCTGAATTTTGTATGTTTTTCAAGGCTTGAGCTTCAAAATTCGCAGTTTTAAAACATTCTAAAAAGTCCATTTTTTTAAGCTAGAAATTAAAAAAATTGTAGGTGTGATTCTCATAAAATTGTTCATTATCAGTCATTTTTCTCTCTTTTCTATTTTTCTTTTTTTTAATCTTGCTGAAGGCTAGTTTTCAAAAAAACCGATCCTAAATATTATCCGAGTTGAGCTAAAAGTTGAGAAAACTTGGTTTACAGTTTTTGAAAATCTATTTTTGTTTTTAGTTTTTTTCAGCCCTGTTACAGCATTTTCAAAGTTGTTCCCATTTATAATCGGAAATTTATAATATTCTTTAATTTTATTCGATAATTATTCCAGACCCTGCCACATCAGCCGCCAACTTCGAGTCTCCCATGGAGCCGTCTCGAAAATCCTCAATCGGTATGCTGAAACGGGATCGATTTCGCCTGGACATGTGAGATTTTATTTTCATTGGATTTTATTGGTTTGAAAATTTCTCCACATTATAAAAATGAACGCGAAATTTTTTTTTTCGACTTTTTTTTTGGTTTTTTTGACTTTCGTATGCTTTCCTGTGCCTATCTTGTACTAGGTCGTTTCAAAAAGTACCGTAATCGTTTTCGTTTGTTAGACTACCGTAGGGCTTACAGTAATCATTGTTCTTATTGAAAACATATTTTTTCTTTTGATGACGTCAGAAGAAATGAAGAGAAAATTGGTCTTTCAGTGTTTGAAGATGAAAAAATGGGCCACCGTTTACAGTAATTTTTAAATCTTTACAGTAATCTTCAAAAACTGTTACAGTCATCCTCAAAACCCGTTACATTAACCCTCAAAACCGTTACAGCAATCCTCAAAAACCTTCACAGTAATCCTCAAAGACCGTTACAGTAATACTCAAAAACCGTTGCAGTAATCAAAAAATCCAATTCCGATTCAAAATCGTGTAGAAAATTAGGATCTATATGGAAAATTATAAAATTCTTGTTTTATATTCCTAAACTCAAGTTCTATCGCTCGAAAAAAGTTTTTTGGTCCACCTCAAAATTTATTCAAAAATTCGAATTTTCGCGCTCTTTTCCCCGGCCAGCCAGGTGGTTCCAGCTATCAACAACCCTATCCCTTCCTTATTTTTCTGTCAGTAGAAAATCCCCAACTCGGTTACGGTAGCCTCGGTGAAGATGAAAAAGGGAAGGCGACAGCTGTCTGCCGCGGTGGCTGTTGCAAAATCGCCACGGGTGGTCGTCCCCCGATTTCTTTTCTTCCCTTTCTTAGTCAATCTACTGTTTCCTACCTGAATACCTTAGTAGGTAGGTAGACCTATCAATCTTCCTATTTTCAAGAATTTGAAGCGAAAAACAACTGCAGTTCATTAATAAAAAAAAAAGGAAAAGAAGTTATTTTTGATGTGGATCTTTGACTCGAAATACACGGGAAATAAAAAGGGAGCCTAGAAATTGGAATTTTGGGACATTTTCACCATTAGACTGGTTTTTTTCTTCCAGAAAAATAGCAAAGAATCAGAAAAATTGGGGTTACGGTACGGTATACTGTAAGGCTTAAAATAGCTCCTTTCCGGTAAGAAAGTTCAAATTGACTACGTTATCCGTATTTTCTCCAGTTGATACCTTTTTTGAAGAAAATTAAGTTTCATAACTTGAATTTAGGAATATAAAACAGAACTTCTATAGATTGTTTATAGAGATCTAAATTTCTAGGACTGTTTGAACCGGAATTTGAATTAATAAAAGAAAAATTATTCAAATAGGCGTAAAAGGGGGTTCGCTGCAAAGTTGCTCCATTGACACACTTTTTTTCAAAACGCCAAAAATTTTTTTCACTTTTTTTTTCTTTTTCTTCTTGTCTTTATCTCACGTTTTTTTGTTTCTGTTCTTTTTTATTCGTATATACCGACGCTTGGCTCAGTTCTGGTCAGAAATACGAGAATTTCAATCATCTTAATGTTTTAAATGTTTTTTTGTGCAGATAATTTTCAAGTTTGGATCAGTAATATATACTTTTATCTGATTTATCATGTTAAAATGATTATTTGTCGATTTTAACTTTTGAAATTTGAAGATCGGCGGCAATCCGAAGGCTCGAAGTACAGTCCAAGCTGTTGAAAAAAACAACTTTTGCTCGTTTTCGACCAAAAATCCGGATATGGGCGCCTCGGAACTCCGCGAACAGTTGATTCAGCAAGGTTTGTGATTTTTGAAGTATTTTTGGAAAAGTAGAATTTGAAATTTTCTGAAAATTTTCGGTTTTTGTGTGGAAGAAGTACATAAAAACACGTTTTTCAAAGGTTTTTAAATTATTAAACTCGAAACTGCACCATTTTTGAATGAAGTGTTCATTTAACTTTTCTAAAATCGATTTTTTAAATTTTTAATGGACTTTCTAACAAAAGAAATTCTCTCTGAATCCATGAATCCTTCCATTTTCTACGCCTATTGCCCAATTTACGGGCCCTCACGGGCAGACGTAAATTGCATAATCCGCCACGCGTCTGTAAAGTGCAAACGGTTGTGGCGACCTTGCTTTTATTATATTTTAGCCTAGGCGCGTAAAATTATGTAACTAAAGACATAAAATATATTTTATTGTTCCAGAAATTTGCACGAGAAGTTCGGCGCCCACAATTTCTGCCATCAATAGGCTGATTAAAAGTCGCGGATGTTTGAAAGAGAAAAAGGAGAAGCCGAAACGGCTCAGCTACAGTATCGACAGTATCCTCGGCATTTCTATCGGTAATTTTTTCTTGCAAAAATTTTTTTCGAATCCTTATCATAGTGATAAGAACGCGCGCGGTGACCTATACGCGCCAGCCGCGATTAGCCGTCACATGGGGGTATAGCTCAGTGGCAGAGCATTCGACTGCAGATCGAGAGGTCCCCGGTTCAACTCCGGGTGCCCCCTACTTCCTTTTGCCATTTTCTTCGCTTGAACTGCTTTGATTGCTTTTCTCACGATTCCGCGTCCTTCATCAATTTTCGTATGTTGCACCTTTACTGTACAGTAATCGAAAAGGAAACGGCTTGATTTGAATCGCGGAAAAAAAAAGTGCCGCGCGCTTCGCAGATTGTGGCTGTCAAAGTGGAACACTTTTTTCGTGCGCCTGTATGCGTAAGGGTTACTGTAGTAAGAGAAGGTTTTCAAAGTGCGGGTAGTGAGGTTTTTGAAGTGAGGGGAAGTGTGAAGAAAAAGTTGAAAAGTTCATTTTTGACTTCAAAAATTAGATTTTAAGGACAGGTTGGTACATTATAATAGTGTTGAGACTGTGAAATAAGGTTTGGGGGTTATTTGGTACGTTAATCTAGTTCAAAAACTCACACATGACTTCATTAATTAACCTTTTTTGACTCTAAAAAATCATACTGAGTAGCGGGAAATTAAAAAAAAATACCCTGAGCGACAATTTTTTTGAAGAGCACATATCCAGCTCTTATAGGGGACGAAAAAGTGGTTCCTATAGAGGTAAAATTTAAGTGGTCCCTAGAGGGGTTTGGAGTCTGACCCCTTAGCCCCTAAAGCTTGAGTGGTCCCTATAGGGGTCTTTCAACTTCATTTGAAAAACGCCTTTTTATATTTAATTTTTCCCATGTAAATGCTTCGTCGCAATGAGTACTTAAAAGTATGGGGGCCACTTACTAAAAACCCCTATAGGGACCACTTTAGCAAGCTCTATTCGCCCTCTAGAGTTTGGTAAGTGGTCATTGGAGGGGACCCTCCAAGGTGCCCTCATGTTGCCCCTATAGGGACCCCTCTGAAAATTTTTTTCTTTATTTTTTCTTGAAAAAAACCTTTTCCGAAAAATTCAGTTTTATGTTTTAAAACGGTAAGATCATTCCAGAAAAATATCAATTTAACTGAAAATTTCATTACCCATTTTCTCCAAATTTTAACCTGGGTTACGGTAGAACGAGTCTCTCCGTCTGTTTCACACCATTTTCACAGCGCCGCCGAAAAACATATACGCCACTTAATCGCCTCGTTTAAATCAACCCCGCCTGAGGCGGCGCCGTCGTCGTCGGTGATAAGGAAAGGTGATAAGAAGGGTGATGAGAAGCGTTAACGAGATGATCCAAAGTGTTATGGGCCTGGGAACGCCGGCATCGGCTACCGTAAGCCTTAAACAATAAGGAAAAAAAAATAGTAGTTGATTTTTGAATGGCCTTTTGGCTGAGTGTGACCTTTGTAAAAGGGGGATATTTTTTACCTGAATTTTAGCGGAAGTTAGAAAGTTAGTTTCGAAGTCATAAAAACATGATAATGCCGGGAAAAAAATGGTTGCCGTAAAATTTAGATAATTAAAATTATTTTTTTGAAGATTAATTTTTCTTCTTTCTTACTAACAGCGTCGCTTGTTCCAAACGATATTGATTTTTTATAACGTCATAATTTTTTTTTATAAAAAATGGTTTTCAAACTCCAGTATGTTATCCCTTCAAGAACCAGAAAATAGCCTTTTTTATTTTTTCGTGCTCAAAAATTAACGTCATCATTTTGACTGATTCATCAAGATTTCTTCAAAAAACTTGCATATTTTTTTTTCGTCCCTCAGAAGTTACCTCATTATTCAAGTTCGCACTGTTTAATGACGTCATTTAACCTCGGAATCCCAACCTATCCATGTCCCTCACAAATAGATCGTTTCCAAAGAAATCTTTAGTAGCCTATGATTTGCTCTTCTCACGCCAACCGTGTACAACGGGCGCGGCTAAATTGCCCGCGAAAACGATGCGATTTGAATAGAATCGTAGTGGAAGTGAGGAGTTGAACGGAAGGAAGAAGTGATAGTTAAGTTTGAATGGAATCGAAATGGAACAAGGGAAAAAAAAAGCGATGCGTTCAATGTCACACACAAAAGACAGACGTAGCCGGGCGCCAATATGGCTGTCGGTGGATAGTTTTCAGAGGGGTTACGGTAGTTTGGATGGCATTTTTGAGGGTTTTGGAAGAATTTTTAGGGTTAAGAAATATTTTTGAGTTTACCTTGAGAGTCATAAGGTTCCTGGAGCTGGTAGATGAACTTATAAGATTTTTTGAAATAAATTCAGAAAGATTTAATTGAAATTTGAGGATGGAAAGGTTATTTTTCAAACTGTTTTTAAGGTTGATTACTACGGCTTTTCATAAATTTCTTGATCTAGGTTGAGAATTTTAATTCTACTCAATTTTTAAAATGTTCTATGAACTGAATTTTTTTTTGAGAAACGAAAATTGGATTTTTTTTTTTAAGTTGAAGCGGTCTATCTCCATCTCAAAGCAAAGTTGAGAAACTAAAGAGGTACTGAAATTATTTTGTAACATTTTAATCAATATTTTGACCGCTTTGAGCCTTTAGTTCTTTCAGAATGGATCACAATGTAGTGAGACTCCTCCAAGCCCAAAAACTACGCCACATAATTAATTAAGGTAGATCGATTAGAGACCTACAGGTGCGATATTTCGCGCAGCAGCAGCAAGGCCCCAGTGAGTCAATAAAAATAAATCGGACACCCGCCGCAATAAATTAGCGAATTAGTGTGACTTTCGCGTTGATTCCCAACGGCGATAGGTCCACGAAACTTTTGCAATAAACAATTGGCTTCTGATATCGATCTTGAAGCGAGTATATATCGTTGCCCCGACAATTAGGTAACACCTAACGTCTTCCTCTTCCTCCTCTTATTCAACGTCTTCTTCGTAGGATTCGCGCAACATCGTAAATTTGTTCTAAACGACTGTCGCTCGCGCCCGCGCGCGTACCGTTCATTAACTCGTCGTTTCCCCGTTTTTTGGCAACTTTTTTTTGGGAGGGGTAGTTTAGAGGAAGAATGGGATGTTTTGGTTTGGAAAGGGGGAAGGATAATATTATTGGAGTTTGAGGATTTTATGTAGATCTGGAGAGTTCAGAAGCTGTCAAGGAGGCTTTTGAAAAGTTAGTGAGCTTGAAGAAGCTGTCAGAAGCAACTGCACCTTTTTAAGAGCTTGATCTGAAATTTCTAGGTACATAGACATATCGCTTTCCAAGTTTTCACTCTATCTGGAGGTTCTAGAAGCTTCAAGGTTCGTTTGCCAATTAGAGCCAACCTGACCTTTCTAAAATTTTCGAAACGACTTTTGAAATTATTAAAAGGCTTCCCAACGGTTTGAAATTTTAACAAAGTCTCCAGAAGCTTTATGACATTTTTTAACCATTTGAGGTTGATATTAAAACTTTTACAAATTCTAGACGATTTTAACAGTTTTTAATGGATCTGAAGCATTCTAAGCTTTGCAGAAAAAAAAAATCAAAAACTCGAGCATATGGCCCAACTAAATCTGCCAGTCTGTTCGGGACCTCCTTCCAGGAAGGCCCGGACAACTATCAATTAGTTTGGACCGACCTCATCCGCGAAAAACGGCGCCACTTCAAACATATGGCATCATGAGTTGGCTAATCCGTTTTGCGGAAGCGAAGTTAGAGGTCTTCGGACGATCAGGACAATTGATCAAAGGGCCGACCTGTCAGATGGATTAAGAGGAGATCTTTTTTACCTGTTGAGGGATTACCGATAAGCCTTGGAACGTGTCTTTGTAAATAGGAAATGAGCGGAAATTGAAGTTTTTGGAAAGGGGCATGGAGTTTGAGTAGAATTTAGTTCGTGAATTTTTTAAATAAAATTATCCTTTAAGTTTGGAATATCTACCAGCTCTTAACTATGTTTTGAGGTTGGAGAAAGCTTTTGGAAAATAATCAGTAAATTTGAAAACTCTAGGAGTTCAATAGAAGGTCAAGAAGCTCTTTCATCGTTTTAAAAATCAATTCAAGCCTCAAGAACTTTTACATTTGATTGAAAAATTCATCTACACATTTCTCAAGTCAGGATATGCTTTTTTAAGGTACTGAAAATGATCTTAGACTTTCAGAACCCTTGAAAAGTCCTTTATAAAGTTGAAAACCTCCTTATCTTACGAAAATCAGTCGTGCACTCTCAAAAAATTTCCATATCAAGTAGACAACTATCACACCTCGGTCAAAAGAGGTTAACTCGAGTGTAAATCAACCGAGAATCGAGCGCGGCGAGATCAAATGAGGCACAATGATTGTATCGATAGACGCCTCCGTTGTCGTCAAAAATCAAGGGGTTCACACGTGCCAAACGTCTGGGGTGAATCATTTACGCAAGGCTCAAGGCTACCGTAGTTTTACTTTTTTCAGAGGGAATTTTTGAGGGTTTTGAAGTTCGTAAGGTGTTTACTAGTCTTTGGAAGCTGTGCACTCAAATCTACCTCCTCGATTTATTTTATTCCTTTGCTTCCAGACGACTGCAAGTCCTCATCTTCATCATCCGACGACGACTGCACGTCTCCCACAGAGTCTTCGAGAAGGAATCGGACTTCGTTCAGCGCCGAGCAATTGGAAGCCCTGGAGACGGCTTTCAAGGCCAACACGTATCCAGACCAGGCCGAACGTGAGGCCATCGCCAGAGAGGCCGGCCTCAGCGAGGACAAAGTCGTGGTAAGTAAGGCCAGCTGAGCCGCGGAACCGATAGAAATGTAGGCGCTGCCAAATTTGAAGGAAGTTAGGGCGCTGCCAAATTTGAAGAAAATCCAGGCGCTGCCAATTTTGAATAAAGTTTAGGCGCTGCCAATTTTGAATAAAGTTTAGGCGCTGCCAAATTTGAAGAAAGTTTAGGCGCTGCCAAATTTGAAGAAAGTTTAGGCGCTGCCAAATTTGAAGAAAATCCAGGCGCTGCCAATTTTGAATAAAGTTTAGGCGCTGCCAATTTTGAATAAAGTTTAGGCGCTGCCAATTTTGAAGAAAATCCAGGCGCTGCCAATTTTGAATAAAGTTTAGGCGCTGCCAATTTTGAATAAAGTTTAGGCGCTGCCAATTTTGAATAAAGTTTAGGCGCTGCCAAATTTGAAGAAAATCCAGGCGCTGCCAATTTTGAATAAAGTTTAGGCGCTGCCAATTTTGAATAAAGTTTAGGCGCTGCCAAATTTGAAGAAAGTTTAGGCGCTGCCAAATTTGAAGAAAGTTTAGGCGCTGCCAAATTTGAAGAAAATCCAGGCGCTGCCAATTTTGAATAAAGTTTAGGCGCTGCCAATTTTGAATAAAGTTTAGGCGCTGCCAATTTTGAAGAAAATCCAGGCGCTGCCAATTTTGAATAAAGTTTAGGCGCTGCCAATTTTGAATAAAGTTTAGGCGCTGCCAATTTTGAATAAAGTTTAGGCGCTGCCAATTTTGAATAAAGTTTAGGCGCTGCCAATTTTGAAGAAAATCCAGGCGCTGCCAAATTTGAAGAAACTTTAGGCGCTGCCAAATTTGAAGAAACTTTAGGCGCTGCCAAATTTCGAGGAAGCTTAGAAAATTAATGACGAAGGAAGTGCGCTCTATAGTTATTCGAAAAACCATTCGCATTTTCTGGGGAGCATTTTAATTTGTTTTTCTGTATATTTTGTTTTGTTGTTAAAAAATTCACAGATTTTCATGAAAAATTTACTTTTCATTTTCTTTTTCAGACTTGGTTCTCCAATCGGCGAGCACGGTGTCGGAAGCACATGCCTCTGTATCCGCAGGTCTTTCCGGCGATGGTTCAGACTTCTCCAGTTACACCGGTATGTTTTTGTCTTATTACCATAGATATGTACAGTAACATTGAGAGAAAAAGGTTTGAAAGCTCGAGAATTCATTTTCAGAATCAGTTACTTTTTTTTTTTAAACCTGTAGAAGAATTTAGTTTGTCATACTGTACAAAATTCAAATTTTCAGCAAATTCCCTATCAGCCGATGACGTCGCCAATGTCGATGTTCATTCCGACGTTTCCGAACCTCCAGAATCTTCAGAATCTCCAGAATCTCCAAAACCCTCTCATTTTCCCATCGGCTTTCTTCGCCCCGACCTCTTCTTCAGTTTCTCCCAAGTCTTTTGAATGACTTCCACTTGAAAAATACCCATTTTCATTGCTTTTTGCAGCTTTTGAGGCTTCTCTAATGAAGCAATGAACTTTCCTTGATTATCAGCTTCACAGCTTTACTTCCTCATCATTATCCTTATCTTCTTGGGTTCAACCCTTCAAAAAACGAGAAAAAAAAATGTGATTTTATATGAATTACCTTCCCTACCGGGTTTTTTCTTCCTTCAGTGATTAGCAACTCACAGAATTATTGTATGAACTTCCCCAATTTTTATCACATTTCCCTGAATATTCGATATTCGCCGTCTACGTGGTCCGATTACACGAGATTCCATCAAGTTTTACACGCATCTTCATGCTTATTTGCCTACTGTACCTATATTGTACGTGTTAATAAATTGCCTTTTTTTCAATTTTTAACTTTTGTCAAATATTAGAAGGCTCTGAAGATCCTAATGAGTTTTTATTAGAAAAAATGCTTGAATAGGGTTGGACTATCTTGAAGAGACTTAACAAAAATTATATTTTTTTATTTTATTTTTTTTAATTTGAATTATTATTTTCTTGCGGAAAAAGTCTGAGAAAGTATTATGAAAACTGCTATTATGAGTTTATAATGAACCAATTAGAGCACTATTTTAGAACTTGAGTTCAATTTGAAGACTCAAAATTGAGTTTTAATTTTTCAACTTTGTACTAGATGTTAAAAATTGGATTTTAGAGTCTTACAAGTACATGTCTTCAAAGAAAATCATCGTTTTATACTTTTAGCTCCATAAAAAAGCCTTTTTTTGAAGAAAATCCTATGTCATTGATTCCGCACTTTCAAAATAGCTCTCGAAGACTGAAAAAATAACGAACTTTTGGAGATGTTTTGCCAAAATCACTTTGAACACGGCATTCGTATATTCATTTTCCGATTTAATTTCGCACAAAGTTTCGAAACTCCCATTACCAAACAATTGACTCAACACCACCACCGAAGGAAAGACGGAAATCGGGTGGCGCAAAAAGACAAATGGGCCTATTTTCGAGGCTTATCTTCTGCACTATCCGCGCTATTTATCGACCCTTCTGCGGACTGTCGCACCACCATACGCAATATATACCACCTTTTATGGGCTTTTAATTAACTCGGCGATTTTTTTTTGAACAGGGGAATAGAGGAATAAACTACATTAAGAACTTTTAAAAAAATTAAAAATCTGCAGAGAAATTGATCCTATGACCTTGTGAATATCGCTTCAGCTACTTACCTTTACGCTAGGTTGTATTTGAAGTTATTTAGAGCAATAAAATATACGTTTCCGATTGGAAATTATCACGTAGAACGAAAGAAAGGTCTCAGGAAAAAAGCAAAAATCGAAAATATCAAAGAGGAGTCGAACCTGAGACCTAATGGACGCTATTCTATACATTTATTTGAGATTTTTCTACGAAACTATCACTTAAGGAACGTGTTAGAAAACTCAAGGTTATGAAAAAAAAATATTGGAAAAATCGGCAAAAACCTTGAAAACTTCAAGAGGATTCGAACCAAGGACCTTGTGGACAATATTCAGATCATTTACTTTTTTTGTTTCCGATAGATTTGGGCCTAACCCGATGTCTATATTTATTGTTTCTCAAATTTTAAAAAAATAGGTGCCTTTTGAAAAATTTGAGCTCTGAAAAAAATTGTTAAAAAAACGCTAGAAGAAGTTGAACTTGATGAATCCTTTTTTTCAATTTAGCAGCTTTTTTTCTTTTTTTTTGCCTGAAATGGCGTGAGAGCCTACCAAGGGCCCAATTTTTTGGCGCCAGAGATCTTATTCTGGGAAAAATGACAATGTATCCTTGTAAAAGTTAAGCTGTAGGGTTTTCCCAGGGTATCAAGAAGCATTTGGCTGTGGGAGTTTCGAGAAGCTTGAATTCGCAAAAAAAATAGTAAAAAAAATTTCAGGAATTCAAAAATGGCCTGACTTTTGAGGCGCTGCCAAAATTTATTTTCTAGGGGCGTATATCGAAAAGTCAAAAAAGCTGACATGAATACGTTCACAATTTTTTTTAAGATCATAATAACCAGTTCTGATAGCAAAACTACCCCTTATGCTGCTTTTTAAGGTCCTTTCTTGAATATCTGTTCTTGACTGCCTGAAACTTGGCTGTAATTTTGAGAACGAACCAAAAACCGAAAAGTTTTCAAGTCTTGACGTGAGCTACTTGAGAAATATTCTCATAAAGGGCATGTATGAGAAAAATTGGACTACAATTTTACAGCTTTAATTAAACATTTATTCCGGAATTCGTTAGGAAATGAGCTCTTCTAAGCTAATCTATGCCCTAGAGGTCGTTATTTATAACATTTTCGGCAATTTTGGAAATTTTCATTTTGTTTATTTGACGATTTCACGGCCCGAATTGAGGACTAAGTCGAGTGAGTTGAAAAAAAAGTTTGAGAACGAAAAAAGGTTAGGAAGACAGATACTTATAAATATATTTCATTTTATTCTTACATCTTTTTTCGAAATATCCAGAGCTCAAAATTAAATTTTGAAAAAGCTTTTTAACTTCATTTTAACGATCATAACTCTACTGTTTTTGGATTAGAAATCAAGATTTTTGACTCGCTTTTTGGAAATTTCCAACTTTTCCGTTTTCAGCGTATCTCCAAGCTATAATCTCCTTTTCACATGCAATATGTCTTCTGAATCAACTTCCAAACGTCGCCTACTACCTTCTGGATATTTCCTTAACGAGAGAAAAATGTTATTTCCTGACGATTCCATATCTTTTCTTCACAAGCGTTCAATTCGTCATGATGCTTTTCGTGCTCATTGACCTGATTTTCATGCTCACCTTCCCGGTTTGGTAGGTTTTGAGGCTTATTTTTGAGCAAAGAAAGCGGTAAAGGACGTCAGAGAGGTACTGGGGAAATGTCGAAATGGTGGATAAAGGCCGCTAAAAGGGAGAGGATCAAAAAAGGGAGCAAAAAGAGTCCCTTTAACGAGCCTCCCATTTTTCTGGGGTTTTAAACGCTTAAGGAATGGTGAAAAAGGGAGAGGCAGCAAAAATGGTGCATAAGAGCCGAGAAAATGGCTCAAAAAGGCAGCAAAAAGGAACCTTTGTAACCCTAAAAGGAAAATTTCTATGGAGCTCCTTTTCACCCTTTCCTACTTTGTCTGCCGTCACTTCAGCCTCTCTTGATCTCTCACTTATTATTGGAATTTTAGGTACCTACACTGCAAAAAAATCAATTATGTACTTGCAATGTCGATCCCTGGCTTTTCTATGGGCGTTTATTTTCTCGTGTCCGGTTTTTTGAACATCGGTGAAGGAACTGTGCTCGTGTGCAATGGAATAAATGGTTAAAAGACAGAAAATCGATAAAATTTTTCAAGATTTAGCAGTTTCCCCATCTTTGGTCCGAATTTGGTTGATGTTGGCTTTGATCGTGAATTTGTTGTCCCTCTTGACTTATGTCTTCTTATTCACTTCTCTGCATTATCTTGGTGAGTTTGATCAATTTGTACCGTTGAAGAAAAGGAAGTAAATATCGATTCAGGAAAGAAAAAAGCCCTTCAAAAGGAGGCGTCAAATGTGACACGACGGCTTCAAGTTATTCTACTGATTTACCTGATTTCCTGGTTCGCAGGTATAGCTGGCAACAATATTATTGGATTTCTGTTCGAAGGACCTACCTTGGAATATCTTCTCACTCATATGGTTGGTGATTAGGGGGTTTTTCTGATAAAGTGGTGGAAAATCCGATACTTGTTCCCAACAGGGATGGATTGCAGTGGAAAGAGAAAATTTCAAAGTTTTATTACAAATACAACTCAGTGCGTAAGTCACAGAGTTTTCACAACAGCTCAAAATTTCGGCTCTAACTGACTTTCCTTATTAAGTACAGAATAAAATTTCAGGTGATTTTTGTGGACCTGGCCTATTCCCAATCGTTTTATGTAATCATCTGGAAATCTTCAGAATATCGCAAAGCTTTCCGTGCTTTATATCCCGAAATTTTCAAATCGAAACCCATACGAAGTAGAATCAACACAATAACTGTCGCTCACAGTAGCATTAATCTTTCTTGATGAATAAAATTTATTGTTTTTTCATAGTCATTCAAAGATTTTCACTCAAAAGTATCGTTCTCTGTGAATTAGAAAAAAATGGAAAATTTTTTTATAGGGGCTGCCAATTTGTGAAAAATTTCACGGAGATTTAGAATTTTTTTCAAAAAAAGCAATGATTTGAAAAAAAAACTGTTTTTTAAAGTCTGATTTGCAATCATACGAAGATAATTGGGAAATATCAAACCCTGAGAATTTTCGTTAAGCTGAAAAAAATAAAAAGGAATAAAAAGGAAGAGAGTGAATTATTCATCGTATATGAAACTTTTATAACGATAAGGTCACTTGAGTGGCTACTCTGCGTTAGTTTAAAAGATTTATTTTCATACTTTGAACCTTAATTTATAAGAAACGTTCAAGATCAGTTCAGTATTGAGTTAGGCAGTGAGAGTTTTGTAAATGACTCCTGTAGAGATTTTCCCAGTCCTTTGTAACTTTTCATCTCAACAGGACTTGATATCGACATTTTCAACAAAAACCATGATTCGCAGCGCAAAAAAGAAGAAATATAAAACGAAGAGGGATCGAATCAGTGGATCATATGCAAAAGTTCAAAACTACTGACATTTTTTTTTTGAGTTTCTAAGTTTTATTTTTATTTCTGGGGTGCATAAGAAGTTTCGAGGAAGAAGTCAAAAACCTAGAAAGTTGCAAGTATTGAGAAAAAAAGTGTTCCCACGCAGAAGTATGACTTCAGTAGAGTATGGGGAAAATAGCCAGGTCACAGATTCAAGGTACATTTCAACTTCTGTAACGGATCCCGTTATGAGCTCTCTGAAGCTTATCTACGCATTAGAAATCCTTTTTTACAATGTTGTTGGGAATTTTGGAAATTTTCACGTTATTTATTTGACCTTTTCACATCCTGAGTGGAGGACGAAGTCGAGTGAGTTGGTTATTCAAACAAAAAAAAATAATGATTTTCGATCTACGAAATTATTGGACAGAAAAACTTTTAGATGAACAGAAACTACAAACCTGGATAGGAGTTGAACTGGGGACCACTAAGATAAAAAAATACTGTTTTTCGCTCAAATATTCTTGTTAGTTGACTCTAACGTATAGTCTGTTAAGATTTTCAATTTCAATTCGTAGCTCAAGCCCCGCCCCTAATGACGAGATATAGTCTGTTCAGATTTCAAATGTCAAGTCCTCGCTGAAGCTCCGCCCCCTAATGGCGCGATAAACCAATCAGAAAGCGAGCCATCCAGAGAGTGTTTTCGAGTGACGTCATTATATTTGACATTAAAAATCTGAGCGGACTATATTGGAACTTTAAAAAAACAAAAAAACATACCGTTTCAAGGCAATTTCTAAATTTATAAAATAATCATTTAGGGTATTTTTTTTAACTTTTCTAACTTTTTTTCAGCCTATCTTCAAGCAATACTCTCCTTCTCACATGCAATATGTCTTCTGAATCAACTTCCAAATGTCGCTTACTACCTTCTGGATGTTTCCTTAACCAGGGAACAATGCTACTTCCTGACAATTCCTTCGATTTTCTTCACCAGTGTTCAATGCGTCATGATGCTTTTCATGCTCATCGACTTGACTTTCATGCTCACTTTTCCAATTTGGTGAGTTTTAAAGCCGAAAAGAAAGAAACGGTGGAAGTGAGAGATTATCAACGATCTCAAGAGATTCCAGATAGTTAGAGCTTTTTTTTGGCATCTTCTATTTTTTCATCGAAATTCAGGTACCTACGCTTAGAAAATCTTACCTACGTATTCTTAATGTCTATTCCTGCTTTTTGTTTGGGCGTTTATTCTCTGATATCTGGTTTTTTAAATATCGGCGAGGGAAATGTTCTAGTTTGTAGCGGAATGAATGGTAAGCGATCACTTTAGGGATGAATAATGATTTTGATAACTTGATTCTAGCAGTTTCCTTATCTCTGGTCCGATTTTGGGTGATGCTAGCTTTAATTGTGAACCTCATGTCCCTCTTGACTTATGTATTTTTATTCGCTTCCCTGCATTATCTTGGTGGTTTTTTATTGATTAATATGTAAGCTATGCAAATTTTCAATAACTCATCCACTACAGGAAAGAAGAAATCTCTCCAGAAGGAGGCTTCAAATGTGACCCATCGTCTTCAAATTATCCTATTGGTTTACCTGATTTCCTGGTTCGCAGGTATTGCTGGCAACAATATTATTGGATTTCTCTTCGAAGAACCTACAATGGGATATCTAACTACTCATTTGGTTGGTAAAGTGCTCGATTTTCTGCTTGAAATAAAATATCCTCTGCAACCGACTTTTCACGGTTCTGCCAAGACAATAGGAATCAGATAGAGAACTAGAGAGCTTTTAAAAAATGACTTGACAAAAATAGTCGTAGAGGTTTCAAGTCATCATGGATAGACTATAATTATCAACGCAAAAAAAAAAACTATTTTTCAGGTTATTTTTGCCGACCTGGCCTATTCCCAATCGTTTTATGTGATTATATTGAAGTCGCCTGAATATCGCAGAGCTTTTTGCTCATTGTACCCGAAAATTTTCAAACCGAAACCATTTCGGAATAGAATCAACACAATTACTGTCACTCATGTCAGCCATTAACTTTTTCCTGCCGGATTTTTTCAAACAAATTGTACATTTTTCATGGTTCTTATTGCAATAAAAAATAAAGAAGATAATTTTTCACATGTAAAGTTTCTGGAAATGTGAAGTCTGTGTGAAAATATCTATACAGTTTGAAATTTTTTTTTAGAAATAAGCGAAAATTCTAAAATTATGAGGAGGAATCCAACCCGAGCCCGTTCTGATATAATTTTTTTGCTTCCTATAGTCTGTTCAGATTTTTAATGTTAAGTGCGATGATGTCATTCAAAAACACTCTGTGGATGGCTCGCTCTCTGATTGGTTCATCGCGCCATTAGAGGGCGGAGCTTGAGCGACGACATGACATTCAAAATCTGAACAGACTATACAAAAAAAAAAAGTGAAACGTGGCCAATAAACAGATTTTATTGACAGCAGGGTGTGGGAGAAAATGATTTGTGAGAATACTTCCTGATAATCGAGAAACATTGGGGTGTGGGAGTTTTAGAAAGATTTCAAGTAACTCTAAAGTTTTGAGAAGGAGGAAGTGAAAAAAATTTCTTAGAGAAAGGTTCAGAAATAACTTGTAGAAGTCAATATGAGCCGTTAGGTTGAAAACGATAAAAAAAAATATGGGCGTTGCCAATTTTTGTGAAAAATTTAGGCGCTGCCAATTATGAAAAAACCGTGAATTTTCATAAATTTGAACAATGCTTCTACCACGTCTACGGGATGTTTCTGAGCTTCAGAATCGGTTCTTTAGTTAATGATCAAAAAAATCCACTGATACGAGTCAAATACTAAAAATTTTGCAAATATTGTGATTCGTTAAAAAAAAGCATATTCCCACAAAGGGTATGACTTTCCATAGCGCATGGGAAAATGTATAGGAGCAGAAATCTTAAGGCTCAGTCTAGCTCAAATTTTGTTAGGAAATGAGCTCTTTGAAGTTAATATACGCGTTGGAAATCCTTATTTTCAACATTTTTGGCAATTTTGGAAATTTTCATATTATTTATCTGGCATTTTCGCACCCCGAGTGGAGGACGAAGTCGAGTGAGTTTAAAAACTTTGTGTAAAACCTAATTTTTATGATTTTTGAAGCCTATCTTCAAGCCATCCTCTCCTTCTCACATGCAATATGCCTTCTGAATCAACTTCCAAACGTCGCCTTCTTCCTTCTGGATGTTTCATTGACCAGAAGACAGTGTTATTTCCTAGTGATGCCTTCTATTTTCTTCACGTGCGTTCAGTCCGTCATGATGCTTATTATGCTCGTCGACTTGACCTTGATGCTTTCTTTCCCAATCTGGTGGGTTTAAAGCGAAACTTGAAGCCAAAAAAAAAGAAAACTTTTTTTTCGTTTTCCGACTTCAAACTCTCTATGGTGTAAGTTCAGGTACATCCAACTCCAAAAGTTCAATTATGTCTTCGCAATGTCGATCCCTGGCTTTTGTTTGGGCGCCTATTTTCTGATCTCTGCTTTTTTGAATGTCGGTGATGAAATTGTTCTGGTTTGCAATGGAGTAAATGGTCAGTAATCATTTTTCGAGAAATAATCATGATTTCCTGAGTTCAGCATTCACCCCAGCTTTGGTCCGAATTTATCTGATGGTAGCCTTAATTTTGAATATCATGTCCCTTTTGGCTTACGTCTTCCTATTCACTTCCCTTCACTATCTAGGTTGGGGGTTTTTTTCATTTATTTTTGTTACTTTTTATTCTTATAACTTTTTTCAAAAAAGGCTACTCCATTCAGGAAAGAGACAAACGCTCCAAAGGGAGGCTTCAAACGTGACGCGAAGGCTCAGAGTTATCTTATTGGTTTACCTGGTTTCCTGGTTCGCAGGTATTGCTGGCAACAATATTGTCGGATTTATATTCGAAGGACCCATCATGATATACATAACAACTCATCTGGTTGGTAAAACAGTCGATTTTACATAGCTTAAAAAGAAAATTAGTTGCGCCTGACCTTTCACGGGTTTGACAAGAACTAGAGACTCTAGGAGCCTCAGAAAACTTCTAGGCGTTTCAAGTCCCGACTCGTCTAATATACTGAACTGAAAAAAAAACTCACTTTTCAGGTGGTTTTTGTAGACCTGGCTTATTCTCAGTCATTTTACGTTATCATATGGAAGTCGGCTGAATATCGCAAAGCTTTTTGTGCGTTATATCCGAAGATTTTCAAACCGAGACCTACTCGAACTAGAGCAATCACAGTGACTGTCCATCACAGCAGCACTAATTTCTCCTGAATGTCTCATTTTTTCTCAATAAACTGTATATTTTATAAAAGTTTCCGTGACGTCACATCTACGTGAAAAGTTAGGGACCGCAAAGCCACGCCCCTTTTTCGCGATAGAAAAAAAGTGGCTTTTTTTGGTTTTCAACTTTCATTTTGTTGTAGTTGTAAAAATATGTGGAACTGGCGAATAAAATTTGACACACATGTACAGAAAAAGCTTCCTCTTTCGTTTAAAAAAATATTTCACGCTTTTTTTGATGCGTTCTCGCGGAATGTCGTACAAAAAAACGTGAATGGAACTAAAAAAATTTTTGTCATTTTTTTGCTTTTTTTCATGTGTTTTTCAGGTCGAACGCACTCTTTCTTTTTTTATATAATGATTTTGATTCAAGTAACGGTAATTTTAAAACAATAAAATAAAAAAATTCGTCTTTGCCAAAAAAATTTTTAGGGAGTGCCGAAAGTCATAATTCAAAAATATCGTTAATAAGCGAATATAATCGAGTTTTTTTGTTTTTTTCAAAAAGTTAGACCATAGGCTTACTTAAATTTTTTTCTCCACAGCATATGTGCTGGAAAAAAAGTTGTTTAATACGCAAAAAAATGCACTTGAAAATAGAGAATAAAAATTAGCGGCGTTTATCACACAGAAAGCGGTCGAACGCAGGTTTTTCAAACGATTATATACATTTATTAGTAAAAAAATCTTTCAATTAAAAAGAATAAAATAAAAAAATTCGTCTTTGCCAAAAAAATTTACGGGGCCGTTTTTAATGCAGTGATCGTTAAACGAGGCAAAAAAAGCACTAAAAAAACTGTTTTTTTCGAAGTGAATTTCCACGGAAAAATTTGAGTAAAGATTTGCGAACATATTCTGATAAAAAAATAGCTGAATTACTTCAAATTTTTTTATTTTTTTGAAATAGGCAATCTGTGCTATTCAAACGGCTCAAGGCTATGGCGGATGGAAGTTCCCCTCGCCAGACCTAACAACTTGGCGCAGCGCGTGCGCTGCGATTTTTCATTTTGAGGTCGCGAGTTCGATACCCGCAAGCGTCAGTTTTTTGTTTTCTGGAAAATACCGACTTTTTCGGCAAACTAGCTAATTTTCATCATTATAGAGCTCTATTATGATTTCTTACATCATAATAGACCAGTATCAAAAACTTGTTCTAAAAAGAAAAAAATCGAGAAAAAAATGTCTAAAAATGGATAACACCAAAATTTCAGTACTAAAAAAATGGTGCGCGGCGCGCCACATTTTTTTCGTCATAACTTTTTTTCATCCTCATTCTTTTCCGAAAAAAACTAAACGGTTCTGAGTTTCGAATCGAAACAGCTATCAAACCATGCAAAGCTCAATGCTGAAAAATTTTCGAAAAATTGGTCTGCGGTCCCTATGAAAAGTTTAAAATTGTAGAAAATGAAGCACCAGGATTTTTTCAGAGAAAATAAAAGAATTATTTTATCACATCAATCTGATAGTGGGACTCCGGAATGAGACCATACCTGTACTGTTTTAAGCGAGTTTTCTCAACTTTGAGGGCTAAACTCTTTTCTTTAAAAATCATATCAAGCATAAATCCAAAATCAGCGTAAAAAAAATTTAATAAATTGATATTCATTCGGAGTCTCAATGAGCTGAAGATCCTGAGAATTTTCGAACTTTTAAAGAAATTCGGAATTTTGTTTGGGCTCCGCCAACTTTATATATTTGGTAGGATTTTGAAAAATTCTAATTTAGGCGCTGCAACTTTCTGTAGTTCATCCGCCGCGACTCGACAGTTTTCGAGTGTCTGGCTATATGGGCTATATGAAGATCTGTAGAAAAAAGAAAATTCAAAATTCAAAATATGTTTCTTTTAATTTATGATTCTCTATGTCTAGTTTACAGATTTTTAGATTTACGTAAAATTTTTGTATCTGTCATATGCTCTTTTACGCAACAGAGTTCCTCTAACTCGTACTTTCACAGAATGGGCTCATTAATTTTCTCATAGATAAAAGGGGTGAATTGGATCTATGAGAAACTCGCTAAAAGTCTGAGGAACTTCAGTTTATCCAGAGCAATGGACATTCTCAAGTTGATATACGCTCTTGAAGTCATCCTTTACAACATTTTCGGCAATTTCGGGAATTTCCACCTGGTTTATTTGACCATTTTCAGACAGGAACTACGATCCAAATCTGGTAAAAACTACAAAGTTTCTTCTGAATTTATTTTTTCATTATTTCAGCGTACCTTCAAGCGATAACCTCCTTTTCCCATGCAGTTTGTCTTCTGAATCAACTTCCGAACGTCGCATTTTTCCTTCTGAACTTCGAATTGTCGAGAAATCAGTGCGTTTTTGTGGCGACTCCATATATTCTGTGTGCAAATATTCAGTGCGTAATGATGCTTTTTATCCTCATCGACTCTATTTTAATGATTTCTTTCCCTCTTTGGTAAGCTTCCGTTCAAAAAACAAATTTTATTTGGAAAATTAGGTACCGAAACCTGGGGACCTTCAAATATGTTCTGGCAATGTTCCTTCCGGCTTTGGCTTCTGGATTATTTTTTGCCACCGCCGCTTTTTTGATGGTTGATAGTACACGCGTTCCAGTTTGCTCTGGTCCGAACGGTAGTATTTTTTTAAAATCAGTCCTTATTCAATTTTTAGCTCTGCATCCGAGTTTGCTAAAAGTTTGGTTTTTTCACGTTTTTGTCGTGAGCATCGCCGTCCTGTTCACCTATGTGGTTTTATTCTCTTCTCTGTATTATCTTGGTTGGTTTCTCTTTTTTGGGTTCTAAAAAAAATGAAATTCAGCCAAAAGACACACTCTGGAAAGAGAAGTGGCTGAAATCACCCGACGCCTTCGCGTTATTCTCTTCATTTACATCATTTCCTGGTTCACTGGGTCTTTTGGCGCCAATCTTCTCCCATTCTTCTTCGAAGGAAAAGCTATGCAATATGCAGCAAGTCATCTGGTTAGAAAAACTGAAACAAAATTCAGAAAAGAACGCTTTTTTTTCAGGTAGTTTTTGTGGACATTTGTTATTCGCAATCGTTTTATGTCATTATATGGAAGTCTTCAGATTATCGCAAGGCTTTTTATTCGTTATATCCGAGAGTTTTCGGACCCAAAACGTTTGAAAATAAAATCGTCACGATTAATGTCGCCGAGAGCAGCATCAATGCTTCTTAACTTTTTCGAATAAAAAAATCTATTTTTTTATAACTTTTATACATCAGTAAAAAAATTACAAAACAGCTTGAAAAAAATTTGAGTCCAAAGGGAAGCACAGAATTTCAAAGAAAGTGAATGAAAAAACTGGAAAGTCTTGCAACAATTTTTTTTTAAAATCGCCGTCAAAAAATTATCCACCTGAGATTCGAAAGCTTCAAAAATCCATTTCAATTCTAGTACGTTATTTGAAAAATGTGTTCTTCGAGTTTTTTATAAGACATTCTTCCAATTTCCCTTCCCAAAAACAAAAAGTAATGAGCGAGACATGTTTAACGTCAAAAAAAATGAGTCACCAGACCTTTTTTGACAAAATTCTGAAGTCCAAAAGTTCAGCTTTTTTTCTTCTCAAGCTTGTAACTATTCAAACTATATCATTTCCTTGTTGCAACATTTTTGATTCCCACGGAAAAAATTTCATTTGACTCAATGAGAAATCGCTGAATCAGCACTTGTACAAAAAAAGCCATATGAATTTTTTTAAAAAAAGACCGTTAAAAAAATTGTAACCTCATTATTATACAGAAACTGTCAAAAATTAAAAAAATTGGCAAACATAAAATAATAAAAAAATTGAAAAATTATTATTTATTTTTTTAAAGGAACTTTACGCCAAAGATCGTCTGAATTTCATTTTCGCGGAGAAAAATAATAGATGATTAATTTTCTCATTGGTGTGTGTTCTTGAGAAAATCATTTCAAATGTCTTTTCGTTCTCGATTTCAGTTCATTTGGCGAAATGGACACTTTAAAGTTGATTTATGCCATCGAAGTCATTTTTTATAATATTTTCGGCAATTTCGGGAATTTCCACCTGGTTTATTTGACCATTTTCAGACAGGAACTGCGATCCAAATCTGGTAAAAATTACTAAATTTCTACTGAATTTATTTTTAATTATTTCAGCGTACCTCCAAGCAATAACCTCTTTTTCCCATGCAGTTTGTCTTCTGAATCAACTTCCAAATGTCGCATTTTTCCTTCTGAACTTCGAATTGTCGAGAAATCAGTGCGTTTTTGTGGCGACTCCATATATTCTATGTGCAAATATACAGTGCGTAATGATGCTTTTTATCCTCATCGACTCTATTTTAATGATTTCTTTCCCTATTTGGTAAGCTTCCTTTCAAAAAATGATTTCTATCTGGAAATTCAGGTACCGAAACCTGGGGACCTTCAAATATGTCCTGGCGATGTTCCTTCCGTCCTTGGCTTCTGGATTATTTTTTGCCATCGCTGCTTTTTTGATGCTTGACAGTACACGTGTCCCAGTTTGCTCTGGTCCAAACGGTATTTTGTTTTTAAAACCATAATCTAGAAATAATTATCAGCGTTCCACCCGAGTTTGCTTAGAGTTTGGCTTTTTTTCGTATTTTCCGTAAGCGTTATAGTTCTTCTGACTTATATTGTTCTATTCGTCTCTTTGCATTATCTTGGTGAGTTCTCAATCCGAAAAAAAATAATTTTATTTGATTCATTTAGCCAAAAGACACGCCCTGGAAACAGAAGTGGCCAATGTGACACGACGACTTCGTGCCATTCTGTTTATTTATCTGATTTCCTGGTTCACTGGAGGTTTTGGTAACAATATAACAGCGCTTTTCCTGAAAGGGATAGCTCTACAATACGCTACGAGTAATATGGTTTGAAATATTAAACCTGAAAAGTATCAAAATCTACCTTTATTTATTTTCAGGTCATTTTCGTTGACATATGTTATTCTCAGTCGTTTTATGTCATTATATGGAAATCTTCTGAATATCGCAAAGCGTTTTATTCCTTATACCCGAGAATTTTCGGCTCTAAACTTCAACGTTCCACCACGACGACAGTTTCTGTATTTCAGAGCAGCAAATATTGAGAAAAGTAAAATGTCTCCTGTTTTTCAACTTCTTATACATTTCGAACGTGAACCTTTGCCTATAAAGTTTGAAAAATTCTGAAATGAAGTTTCAAAAAAGAAAAAAAACGAGTGTATGAGAATGCGCGCTCCAACGAAGCTCCTAAAGGGACCGCTTAGGAGACGTTTTCGAGTGTAAATTTACGGAACGGGAATTACAGTCTGTTTTTATTTTCTTCTGAAATGATTTCTTGCGAATATTTATGCATTTTGTGCCTTTCGTTTGATTTTTATTGTACGCGGAATTCTTCTTGTTGATTTTTGTGTAAAATAATTTCATTTAGTTTAAAAATGCGAGCAGCAGAATTGTTAAAACCCATGCAATCGGCCTCGATAGCATTCCGAGGTCTGCGGCTATCCAGCGTTCAAAATTGGCAAAAATTCGAGAATGAAAGGCATTTTGAGCCGGGAGAGGATGTTATGAAGCGTACCTGGCACGGTTTAACATATGACTTCCGCAGATGGAAAAGAAGATACGATGAGGTGCAGCGAAAAATGAGAATATTTTGAATCTTTGAGTTTTAGGCTCGAAAAGACGCCTTCAAAAGGAGACATCCGATCGCGCATATGAAGCATTCTGTGTTAGACCAGGAGGTTTTCCCGTTTCGAGCCGAGATTTTGATTATTGGTGGAGGGTTGACAGGTAAAATTAGTTAATATCCACAAAATACCTGATAAATTTTGCTTTTTAGGCTCCTCAACAGCGTACTGGCTGAAGGAACGTTTTCGAGATGAAGATTTTAAGGTTATAACAATAAAAACTTGAGAAAATTGTTTTTTTTTTCAAGGTAGTCGTGATAGAAGACAATGACACATTCCCGGCCAACAGCTCCTTGCTGTCCACTGGAGGGATCACTCAGCAATTCGCCATTCCGGAATATATCGACATGAGTCTTTTCACTGTGGAGTTCCTGAGACATGCTGGGGAACACCTTCAGATTCTTGGTTTTTCAGAAAATAAAGAAAAACAAAAGAGGATTTTTAGACAGTGAAAAGCCGGATATCAACTTTTTGCCAACGGGACTCTTGAAGTTGGCGACGACCGAGGCGGAGGCCGATAAAATGCGCGACGCCTGGAAAATTCAAGTGTAGTTTTTATGAAGCTTCAAAAGGATAAGAAAAGCTTTGAATTATTGATCAATCATTGAGTTTTTCTATTTTTAATAGGGAGTTAAAATAAAATGCTGTTAATTTGAATATTTAAAGTTTTTATCGGCAAGTTCTTTTAAAGATTAACAACGTAAATCTTTATATCGACCGGAAAACAGCGAATTTTTTTTATTAGGAGATTTTCAGTGAAAAAGGCGCCAAAGTTCTGCTGCTGGCGAAAAATGACCTGGCTGAACGTTTTCCGGAAATTAATTTCGATGGAGTTATTCTTGGTAGTTTAGGTTTGTTTTCAATTTCTATTTTATGTTCAATTTCCCTATTAAATTGTTTAAAGGCGCGTGATGCGCTAAATAACGCTTGAAACCGGTTTTCGTTTCGAGACCTTAATTGAAGCGATTTATGCGCCTTTAAACACCTCAAAAGTAGTTCATGTGCCTCTCAACATTTAAAAAAGTTTTTTTTTGACATTCTAGAAAAATGAATATTTTTTTCCAAGGACTCGAAAATGAGGGAACCATTGATACCTGGCGACTTTTGTCGGCGATCCGCGAAAAGAATATTACATTAGGAGTTCAGGTTTCATTATTTTTCCAAAAATAAGGTGATTATATACTTTTTCAGTACGTCAAAGCAAAATTGGAAGGATTCGAGTTTGAAAGGAAGCGCGCCAATGCTGAGGTTTCGTACGAAATATTTGATAAAAATGGGTTTTTAAGTATTTGATAAAAATGGGGTTTTTTTTCGGAAAATAGTAATGAAAAAGACTTTTTTTTACGAACTAATTTCTTCCAGATTCAATTTTTAATTGATTAGAGTTTTCAGTAAGTATTAGGGTCAAATTATCTTCTTTTTTTAGGATTTCGCGAATTGCAAGAAATAAATTTATTAAATTTTTTTAGGGATTTTTTTCATATTTTGGTTATTTTTTTCGCAGTGTTTGAATTTTAAAAAAATTGTTTTAATCTATTTCAAGATTTTTCCGTTTTCAGAAACTTTAAAATTCATAGGCAAAGTCGGAAAGAGTGGAAAAGGCTCCATAGAAATGTTCCGTTTAGGGTGAGAAAGGTTCCCTTTTTGCTGCTTTTTTGCGCCCTTTTATCGGCTATTCTGCACCATTTTTGATGCCTTTCCCTTTTTCAAAAGTTTCTTGAGCAATTAAAATCCCAGAAAAAATGGAAGGCTAGACAAAAAGAGACTTTTTTGCTGTCTTTCTACGGTCTACGGCCTTTTTGGGCTTTTTCCTTTTAGCAGCCATTATCCACCTTTCCGCCTTTGCTTGAGCATATATTTGCTAGTTATCTTCAAATTTTCAACATTTTTTTTCGTTTTATTCAAAATTTCCAATTTTAAATGGTTATAGACACATGCAGTAGATGATCCTGACTACGCGGATGATAATAAATGGAGAGATCAACGACTTTCCGGCGTCTTGGTCAGAATATTGAAGAAAAATACTTATAATCCATGATTTTTTTCAGGTAAGACCTCAGATGAACGATTCCTCGGCACGGCCAATCAGAGCGCATTTGATCGTAAATGCCGCCGGGCCTTGGGCTGGAGAAATCGCCAAAATGGCTGGAATGGGTTCGAAAAAATCACAAGATAGCTGGAAATGAAGAAAAGTTTTGTTTAGGAATGGGAAAGGGCATTTTGGCGGTCCCTCTGCCGGTCAAGCCGAGGAAAAGAGACGTTTTCGTGGTCTACGCCCCGGATGTTCCCGTTGATATCCCGGCGATCGTTGAGCCTTCTGGCATTTATTGTCGACAATTTGACGTTGGCAACACGTTCCTCGTTGGCAAATCGCCAAGTTTGGTGGGTTTTACTGTCGCGTTTGGAATGGCTATTGAAACGAAAATTTTACCATAATCTGAAATCGTTCGGTCGCGTTTTCTGCCTCTTATAGTCTGTTCAATTTTTGAATGATAAGCTGTAGACTCCGGCCCCAAAAACGCTCCGTGGATGGCTCGCTCTCTGATTGGTTCCATCTAAGCAAAAGGGGCGGAGCTTAAGCGATGACTTGACATTCAAAATCTAAATAGAAGATAGTCTGGTTTTCGCTACAATGTCGGGGGGCGAATTTTGTGCTATATTATGATTTTTATGACCTTGCCCATGGAAAGAGAGAGCAGGCAGGTCAATCGTTATATGCATGCGCCTTTAATGTAAGGCTAATTTATAGGCTAAGTTAAAGGCGTAGACTCACGGACAGGCTGCGCGCACGAGATTCAATGCGCCTTTGAACTAACGGAAAGTGATGAGTTTAATTAAAGCCGCAGACCTAAGAACGACTCGCGCGAAGTCTTTCTCTGTGAGTGCGCCTATAATATAACGGAAAATCATAAGCTTAATTGAAGGCGCAGGCACACGGAAAAGACGCGTTTTGATGCACGCAGTCTGTCTCTGTGCATGCGCCTTTGATACAACAGCAAGCCTTAAGATTGATTAAAGGCGCAGGAAAACTAACGTCTGATCATCGCGCGCTTGAAGCTTCATACGCGTGACCTGTTTTTGTGCATGCGCCTTTAATAAAATAGAAATTTATGAGCTAAAAAAAGGCGCAGAGCCATATACAAGTCGCGCGCAGCCTGTCTCTCTGCATGCGCCTTTAATAAAACAAAAACTTGTGAATTATATTAAAGGCGCAGATACACATTGCGTCGCGCGCGGCTTCACTAAGAATAACTGCCCAGATAAACGCGAGGCGAAATATTGACGAGCTCGCAAACATCTCGCTTTTTTTTTCTCGCGCCGGTCTCGCATTTTTCTGGGCGCCAGCTCGCACTTTTCTAGGCGCGAGCTCGCATTTCTCTCGCAATTTGAAAATTTCCGAAATGCAAGATAAATGCGAGGTCGCGCCGAGAGAAATGCGGGATCGCGCCTAGAAAAAAGCGACATTTTTGCGAGTTAGTCAATGTACCGCCACCGAGCTCGCATTTATCTCGTCAGTTATTCTTAGTGTTGTCTCTGTTCATGCGCCTTTGATATAACGGAAATTCATGAGCTAAATTAAAGGCGCAGACCAACGGACAGGTCGCGCGCATGAGATTTGATGGGCGCGATTTTTTTTCTGTACATGCGGCTGTAATATGAAATTTCTAACTTTTTCTGGTAATAATACTTACCTGGGTTGAAGCCATTTACCCTTTCCTTATAAAAATGTATTAGGTTTAGGAGGAAGACGCCAAAATCGACCACAGTAGAACTGACGTCGACTACGACCTTTTCTACAAGGAGATCTGGCCAACTTTGGTCGATCGAGTTCCTGGCTTCCAGACGGCAAAAGTTTATAGATTTCGGGATATCTTCAGTAATTTTTCAATATTTCTAAGGTTAAATCAGCGTGGACGGGTAAAGTTGACGTGAACACTTTCGATGGGGCGCCGGTCATCGGGGAACATCCGCTCTATCCGAATCTTCACATGATGTGTGGATTCGGGGAAAGGTGAAATATATAAGATGACTTTTTTATACTTCATTCAGCGGTAACTTTAGACAAAAAAATGAAACAAAAACGTCTGAACCTCCTATTTTTGCACACTGTCTCGCTGAAGTCCGTGTCAAAAAAGCATCCTTTTATTTTCAGAGGAGCCATGCACTCTTTGGCCGCCGGTCGGTCGTACGCCGAGAAAATCTTCGAAGGTGCCTACATCAACGTCAATTTGAGAAAGTTCGACATGAGGAGAATAATCAAAATGGACAGATCCTTTGCCGAATAACCAATATTTATATATTTCTAGAACAAGTTTTATTCCAGCTTTATTGATTGTTATCGAATTTTTTTGAAACATAAAAATAATTAAATTCAAAGAGTTAAAATTTCGGTTTTTTTAACTGTGTCAGTCCCGCTTTTTTTCTAATGATAATGGCAATGATATAATTCAATAAAATAAAAATTTTTCAGCGGCGAAGTTGAAATATCAAAAAAATAAGCAAGTTTTTCAGAATCATCATATATCAGAGAGTTTTTTTTCAATGTTCTTCTCAACTACATTGAAAAAAATGTCTCTGTGAATTATAGTAATTTTTTTAAAAATTTGTTTATCTTTTTGATATTTTTTTACTTCGCTCCTGAAAAATTTTATTTCGGTGAATTATATCATTGTCGTTATTATTTAAAAAAAAAAGGAGAACTGAGACAGTTTTCAAGATTTTTTTTTCCCATGTTTCAAGATTGCCACGCGGTATTTCGGTAAGCCTCAAAAATGGGTAATACAACCTTTATTATAAAACAAACAATAAAACGGAAAAGAGAAAAAATCAGCAAAACAATATTTAGGTGAGACGGGAGTACATGTCTTTTCTCAGTTGCTTCAATCTGCAATTTTTTTTTTCAAATTTCAAAGAAGTCACCATCGTAGTCTGCTGTGGACTGTGTGTCCGACCCTGCAACAACATTTTTTTTTACAAATCTGCTTGGAAAAAAAAAACTCACAGCTAAGAGGCTGGTCATCTTCTACTTGGCCATATCCGTTGCCCAATTCAATGAACTGAGGGTCGAACTCTAGATCGATCTCAACAGTCTGTTCGACAAGTCCCTGCACCAGCACTGAAAAAAAATTCGTCACTTTTTTCATATTTTAATGAAAGATTATTCGAGTTCAAAATGTTTCAAGTGCAATTCTTCATCTAAAAATTCCGATCAATGAATTTTAAAAAAAAGTGAATTTTTTTTGAACTTTACCTTTCTCGCGAGGAAACCACACCGATGAGGACCTCAGACGTGCATTTGACCTGACGTGCAACTACACACAACTTATTCGATCTGACGCGCACTTTTATTCCCAAACGGAGGCTGCTGATTCTCGGCTCGTAGACCAACTACAGTTCATATAATCATATCAGTCGGAATGACTCAGCGTAAGCTTTCGATTGATATAAGTTATCAGTCGATTCAGCTTCATCCAAAAGCTTCAAGATTGCCTCAGCTTAAATTCGTTGAACGAGTTATCAATCGACGCAGAATAATGTCTAAATAGTTCATGAACACATGGCAGTCGAATTAGAGCTTCTCAAAGTTGATCATTTTTTAGTTTTGAAAAATCATAACTCCATTCCTAGAGGAAAAGGGACTTAGAGACCTAGATTATCCTGATCTCCTTGACCTCCTCTATCGATTGATACCAGTTTTGACTTACTTTCCATTTTTCGACCTCTAAGTTTGATCGCCTATAACTAAGATCCTAGTTGACCTACGGAGGTGAAACCAAGCCTCAGGTTATTTTTTCGTCGAGATCTATCGATTGATATAGGTTTCGTCCGGATCGGCTTCCATGACCTCAGAAGCTCGAAAAAAACTGAAGGGGTTAGACTGTACTTTTTTCGATTTTCCAGAAATCCAAAGTTTTCGAGATTTTGACATCAATCGATAGGAAATGACGTCAGAAACCCGTAAATCCAGGTCAGAAAGTTCTAGAGTGTCTAGAAAAAAAGATATGATTTTTCAAAGTTTTCTAAAAATGATAACTCCATTTCTAGAGGGAAATGGACTTAGAGACATAGTTTTTCTTGATCCTTGTGATTTCCTCTATCGATTGATACCAGTTTTGACCTACTTTCAATCTTTCGATATCTAAGTTTGATCGCCTTTAACTACGTTCCTAGTTGACCTACGGAGGTCAAACCTGGTCTCAGGTTATTTTTTCGACGAGATCTATCGATTGATATAGGCTTCGTCCGGATCGGCTTTCATGACCTCAGAAGCTCGAAAAAAACATAAGGGGTCTGTACTTTTTTCGATTTTCCCAAAATCCAAAGTTTCCGAGATTTTTGCATCAATCGATAGGAAAAGACGTCAGAAGCTGGAAAATCCAAGTTAAAAAGTTCTAGGGTTTCTAGGAAAAAAGTTATGATTTTTTGAAGATTTTTCACTTTTTTGAAAAATCACAACTCGTTTTCTAGGAGGTTAGGAACTTAGAGACCTAGTTTTTCCTAATCTCCTTGATCTCCCCTATCGATTGATACCAGTTTTGACCTATTTCAGGATTTTCGATCTCTAAGTTTGATCGCCTCTAAGTTCCCAGTTGACCTACGGAGGTCAAAACTAGCCTCCGATTATTTTACGCGTCGTGTAAATTTTTCTCTCGGATCGCTCTCATTTCGAGGCTTCATTCTCAGTATTATGAGCTCCTCAACGCCTAACTGAATGGACTGCGTTCGGAAGAACAATTCGAAGAACCGTAGGATTATGCTTTCAACTTGAACAACTACTCGTTTCGATTGCTAGCCGTCTGAATATAGCTCTAAAAATCCTCATTCACCACCTCGTCGGTTACAACACATACATCAAACTAAATTATCGATTGATTAAAAACAAAGAACACAACAAATTGTGATTTATTGAGAAAAAAAGAACATAGCAAAAATGTAAATTCAGAATAAAATCCTTGACAAACCTCTTAAGATAAAAAAAAAACATTTAAAAAAACAAATTCATCCGATCTTGCAAAAAATGGCAAAAATCCAGTCGGTGGATCAGAGCCATCAACCTTCCGATCGAGAAAAAAACTTTATTTCAATTTTATTATTCAGCATATACAGATAATAGAAAAGCTGTACATCTTTCTAACACAAATATATAACCAAAAACAAAATTTGATACATAACTTTAAAAATTAAAAAGCAAAAATTTCAACAGTTTCCTTCTTTCAGAGAAATTTCAGCCCAAGGATCAGCCGTCAAAAACCTGAAAAATATACAAAAATCGATCGAAATAGTGAGTATCAACTCGAAATAAAATCACATGGAGCTAAAAATAAACTATAATTAAGTTTTCAGTCAAAAAATCCAAATAAAAAAACGCAAAAATTTTGGGTAGGCGTCAAATAAACTGTTTTGGCCGTGACCAATCCGGTGTGAGCGTCCACGTCACCTACAGTAATCAAAAGGTCATAAAAATCTTTTCATGTGCTCTTTTTTCGACATTAACTGAATATCATTTTAAAACAAAAACTTAAATTCTTTATTGAATTTTTTTTTCGAATAGAAATAGAGATTCTTTTTTTGATTAAGCGTTTCTTTTGGAGACTCAGAATTGAAATATTACTTCAAGGCTTTGACGTAGTAGTTTGCTCAGATTTGACAATGTCGTCGAGTTCCGAGAAGAACTGCGACTCTTTGCCGACGCCTCCCTGGAAATGGCAAAAACGTTTCGTCGCCGACAGGGATCGAACCAACCCTGGCCGTTTTGTTGTTGACCATGATGTTGTTGTCCAGCTTGATGCCTTCATTCTTGTCGAAACCGACGTCCAGACCAGCGCCGCTCTTTTTCCCGTCCACCATGACGTCAGCGTCGTCTTAATTAACTAATTAACTCATTCCGTTAATTAATTAAATTACCTTTGATGTTGAAAGTGCCATTGCCAACAGTCAGTTTTGTTTGGCGGTTGACGCCATTGCCATTGACATTGATACCCTGAAAATGGCAAAAACGTTGCGGAGATTGAACCAATGACCATTGGATCCAAAATTCAAGGTTGTTTTCTTGACTTTTTCACTTCCAAAAAAAATGGCAAAAAAGTATTTCAGTCTCACTGGAATCGATCCAGGGCCCTCTGAATCTCATACAAGCCCCTTAGCCACTAGCCTATACCTGCCTGTTTTTTTCAGGAATTTTTAAGAGGATCCTAGACAGAATACTAGTTAGCACGAAAGCTCTACAGAACGGCAAAAATCTTCCCACTGCGTGGGATCGAACCAGCGACCTATGGCTTGGAAAACAGGAAGCTAAGCCACTGGGCTACACGCGAATTTCAATTTCAAAGAACCCCAAAACAACTAGGAAAATTTTTCAAGCTATCAGGGACACTTGGGAAATGGCAAAAATCTTTTCCTCACTCCTAGGATTCGAACCAGAGACCTCTAGATCCTAGAACGACCATCTAAGCCACAAGGCTACATATGAATTCCAAGCTTCTCAAGTTGGAAAATATGACTTTTTCAAACTATAAAGAAGGTCTGGAAAAATGGCAAAAGTATCTTTCTCCTTGGGGACCGAACTTGCGACCCCGTTTTCATTGCCCAGATGCTTTAGCCACTTTCCCAAGTTGGTATAAATGAAAAATTGAAGATAAAATACCGTGTTAGTTGTGACGTCAACAGTGCCATCAGGATTTTTGCCGATGACCAGGTTGCCCCAAGGGAATGGGATGACGAAGGCTGGAAAAATGAAATATATATTAAAGGCGCAGATTATTGCGCTGCGCCTTTAATAAGACCCTCAAAAAAATATAATAAAAAAATCCCTCACGTTTCTCCATGAAGACGAGTGCGACGAGAACCGTCAAAATCGCCAATTTCAGCCAGTTTTTGAACATTTTTTTCGATTCTCTGAATTTCTTAAACTAAAAATTTAAAAAAAATTGTCAAAAAACCACCTTTGACAATGGAAAAGTGACAAGAGGGGGCGTAGTTCTGGATCCTCTTTTTTATATCTAACTGATATCAATTCTGAGGTCAAACATGTTTGGATTGGGTCAAAAAAGGTCAAATATCGGACTGCTCATTGAGTTTGAGGGATTGTTTTGTTAATCTGGTTAAAAATCGTGGAATATTAAGGTTTTTTTCGATGAAAAAAAGCTTCGTTCAACAGTTTTTTTAAAAAAACCTTTTCAGAAAAAAACTGATTAAAAATATATTTTCAACGTTGAACCTGCCGTTAGAACTACAAAAATCACCTTTCGAGCCATTATAAACTTTGAAAAAGATGCTTCTTTTTGAAGTGACGTCACGAAAAAAAGTTCTGAGTTGAAATTTCAATACCAATTTCTTTCTACAAACTACGATCTAGCCATCGAAAAAAAAAATGAAAAAGCCTGGCATCAAAACCAGGAAATAAGCGCCCTGATCATTGCTGAAAACGGAAATCGACAGAAATTCCTGTTTGTTTTAACAAATTCTTTCAAAAGGTCGGGACAAACATTGTACAGACAGATGTGCAAAAGTCTGCCTATAAAAGGAACGTTTCGACGGGTTTTAAACAAGCTTTCAGTTATTTCAACTCAACATTCCGTTTTCAGATGAAGCTGATCATCGTCCTTGGGTCTCTGCTGGCAGTTGGATTGGCTGCGGCGCCTCCACCGCCGCCGCCACCTCCTCCAGGAGCCCCGGCTCCGCCTAACAAGGCGAATCCTGGACCTCCTGGAGGTTCGCCACCGCCACCGACGCCTGCGGCTTCTGGAGATGTGCCACCAAGAGCTGGATCACCGCCGCCACCACCACCAAACGGAGCCTCACCACCGCCAGCTGGTCCTGGAAGCCGTCCTCCTCCACCTCCGCCAACGCCTGCCGCTTCTGGAGATGCTCCACCAAGGCCTCCACCAGCCCAAGGTCGTGCTCCTGCTGGAGCTCCACCACCGCCGCCGCCACCAGCTGGAACTCCTCCAAAGTCGGGATCTCCCCCACCGCCACCGCCACCAACACCAGCTGCTTCTGGAGATGTGCCACCAAGAGCGGGAGGATCTCCACCGCCACCACCAGCTTCTTCAGGAGGTGCTCCTCCTAAGTCGGGATCTCCACCTCCGCCACCTCCGCCAACGCCTGCCGCTTCTGGAGATGCTCCACCAAGGCCTCCACCAGCTCAAGGTCGTGCTCCTGCTGGAGCTCCACCACCGCCACCACCGCCTGGAAATGCTCCTCCCAAGTCAGGATCTCCACCTCCGCCGCCGGCACCAACACCAGCTGCTTCTGGAGACGCCCCTCCAAGAGCTGGAGGATCTCCGCCTCCTCCACCACCAAATGGAGCCTCGCCGCCGCCAGCTGGTCCTGGAAGCCGTCCTCCTCCACCTCCGCCAACACCTGCCGCTTCTGGTAACGTTCCGCCAAGGTCTGGACCTCCACCAGCTCAAGGCCGCGCTCCTGCCGGTTCTCCAGCTCCTCCTCCGCCACCACCGCCGCCGAGAGCTGGATCTCCTCCCCCTCCGCCGCCGCCAACACCTGCGTCGTCCGGCTTCTGGTCCGTCTTAGGCTTCTGAAGCGGTCAGTTTGAACTATTTTGATAAATACTGAAATTTTTTTAGATGATCAAACTTCTACAAACCTGGCGTAAAACTTTGCTTTTTGCGGATTTGAATAAAGCATGTCTTACCCAGTGAAGCCTAACAGAACAAAATTTTCTTAAATGACGTCATTTTTGAAATAATGACGTCTTTTCCATGATTTCACTCTATGAATCTGGACAGTGAATAGAGTTTGTTAACTGCAAAACCTTCCATGTTAACTAAAAAAGTTTAAAATGACGTCACGACGTAAACATGACGTCATGAACTTATTGCTGACGTCACAAAACTTGGATAAAATTTATTGCATGAGGGAATACTCGTTGTGGAATTGAACAATTCGTTGGACATTGAGATATTCTAAACGGAAAAACATCACATCACAGAGGTCCGATCATCGCCCATTATCGGATGATACTGATCAATATCATCGGGGAACTGATTTTCGATTACGACACACCGCTGATTACGCAGGGCGCTGTGCCGGAAGCCGTAGGAGGCGTAGAGAAAAAGGCCTGAAAAAGTCTCGAAACCTTCAAAAATCATAAATTAGGCTGTAGGTGTCCTAAATTCATGTTTCAGGTACCAGAAAATTCAGAATTAGGAGCATATAGAAAAGTTATGCCTTCAGAAAACCATAAGGAAAATTCTCGACTTAACAAAAACCTTAACTTTCAGGTCCTTTTTTTAAGCTCGAAATTATAAATCAGGCTGTAGGTTTTTTAATTCATGTTTCAGGTGCCAGAAAATTCAGAATCATGAGCACAATTCTAGAAAAATTATGCCTATAGAAAACAACTTTCTCATCCCTACAGTAACCCAACCGTAATCCTCACCAAAAATAATCGCCAACGTCGCATGAACAAATGTGCTCCAAGAAGTTGAGACAAAAATAGATAATAACAAAATGAAGAGCGGAAGAAATGAAAGGACCGGGAATAATGGTACCTTTGCCGTCCTTCTGAAACTCGAAAATTGATGGATTGAGAATAAACTCATCTGGCCGCATTTGGAATGGCTCAATCCAAGATTTGCGCGGAAGTCGTTTCTTGGTCGGGTGAAGCTTTAAAATGAGCCATTTGAGCCATTCCCAATGCGACCAAAGCCTTCCAAATCTCTGTGATTCGACTATACCTGTGCAGGTAATCGTTGGTCGGCAGTTTGCAGGCCAAAACTGTACAAGTGACGATTAAGAGAAGGAAAAGGGCCACGAGAACTACGGAGGAGGACTAAATGATCGCATTTTAATAACTTTTAACTCAAATTCTCACCGATTTGAGCCCGAAATTCCTCAAAATCAGCGCCATTAGCATCGTGGCAACGATAAAAACTATCAAAATTAGGGCAGATCGATCGTTTTGACTGGACAGCAGGGAAGGAGAGGTGGGTCTTGGGGTCGATGGGTAGGAGGAGAAGAATGGCATTTCACAGTCCTGGAAAAGTGACTATATTTTTTTTGAATATTCAATTTTTTTCAAGTCAATATAAGCTTGAAGCTTTTGAGCTTTTGAAGGAACTTGAAAAAAGCCTACAGACTTTGAAGAGACCACTATAGTAACAAAGAACCAATCAAAAATCTAAAGACGCAGGTCCCAAAAACATGGAAAAAATGTATATGAGACCACTTGAGGGATATTTTCACGTTTAAAAAAAAAACACACACCCCGTTTCCAAACAGATGAACGTGTTGGGAGTCTTCAACGTTTCCTGAATTTTTTATTCATTTTAAGTTCGGAAAATCGGCAAAAACGCCTCCTGAACTCGAACCAACAACCTATTTTTCTCATTCAAGCCTTTTTTCGAAGAAATTCAAGGAAAAGTGAGCATTTTTAATTTGTCAAGGCATTCAGAAACGGCAAAAAAGTCTCCTGGACTCGAACCAATAACCCATTTTTCTCAACCTTTATTTAATGATATTCAAAGAAAAAAGGCATTCTTCAATTTCCTATTTTTCTCACTAAAACCTTTTTTCAAGGACAATTGAGCATTTTTTTAATTTCCCGAGGCTTTCAAAACGGCAAAAACGCCTCCTGGATTCGAACGAACAACCCATTTTTCAATCTATCAAGGCTTCAAAAACGACAAAAACGCCTCCTAGGCTCGAGCCCCCAACCTATTTTACCCAATCAAGTCTTTTTTCGATGAAATTCAAGGGAAAGTAAGCATTCTTCAATTTATCAAGGCTTTCAAAAACGGCAAAAACGCCTCTTGGACCCGAACCAACAACCCATTTTTAATGATCAAGCTCTTTATCCACTTGCCTTGACTATCATAAGTTTCGCATTGATGCGCTATACAATTGTGTGTTGTCAAGGTCGTTGGCCGAGTACTCTCCTGAAAAAAAGTTAATCAAATTATTCTAAAAAATCAATTTCTATACCATACCATAGTATGATACTGAGAAACGGATTTCGGCAGGACTGGCTGGTTCTCGTTAAATTCGGCAAGTTGTTGCTGAAAGAGATAAATTATGAAAATGCAAAAAAAAAAATTTATCATGGGTGGAGATCGAACCAGATACCTTTTCAATAAGATTCTAATGCTTAAGCCACTTTTGCTAAAATAAGTATTCCTTTATTGCCTCAAAAAGTCATAAATGTGCACCAGAGATATACATCATCAAAAAGATATTATGAAAAAATCATTTAAAAAAATCATTTTTGACGGGTAGCAAGCTTGAAACCTTCTCATTGAGCTTTGATTTTTCAAAACCACTGTTCTAAAAAACTTTTTGGAGCCTTTTGGTGTACCTTTCTCAACCCTTTTCGAAGCCGTGAAATTTTTTTTACCAAGTCAAAAGTTTTTCGAGATTTTTAAGAATCTTTTTTCCCAAAATTTTTCCAAATCTGTCTGACTACCTTTTCCTAGCTGCTTTGGAGCCTATTGGGGACTTTTTTTTTTCAAAGCTTCCGCAATTTCTTTTTCAAAATGATGTGAAGAAATGTTTTGGAATCTACTATTTTCTATCATTTTGAAACCTTTCAGTAGCTTTTTCCAAGTTATATCAAAAATTGATATTGAGAAGCTTTCGGACTACCCTTTTAAAGTCTTTTTGAAGGCCTTCGAACTACCTTTTTTTAAAGCCTTTTCCGACAAGCTCTTATATTAAATTTTATAACCAGGAAGACTGATTCTCTGAGTCAATTTTGGAGCCTGTCAAACTACCCCTTTCTACCCTTCTAGAGCCCTTTTGAAGCCTACTTAACTACCTTTCTCAAAAACATTTCTGTAGCCCTTCAGTCAACCCTTTCTGGCTTTTCAAAACACCTTCCTCAAGCCCTTCTTCGAAGAGCTCAAACCACCTTCTCCAGCTTCTTCTGGAGCCTGTCAGACTCGGCTCGGGCCGCACTCAGGTACAGAAAAGCGGTCGTGTCGAAGGTGGAATGGCTGGCACAGTCTTCTGGACGGTCCGGTTCTTCGTCGGTAGAGACGCCGTCGTTCATACTGATCCGAAGACGTCGCTTCCCGATGGATCTGAAAACTTCAACTTGCAAAAACGCTGCAAGGAGTTGAACCTGTGACCCTTCTGACCAAGGCTCAAACTCACTTATAATTGCTCGTCTCATGCGGGATTCCAATCGGCTCAGTTAGAAAATGTTGAATATACGTCAAGGCTATCTAAATCTTTATATTCTCAATTTTCTGCATCTACAGTAACCCACCGTAACCACAAGTTTCGCTGGAGCAGCAAAGACTACAAAATTCAAAAGAGCCGATTTTCTGACCAGTGCAGATGCTGAGACAAGAACCGTACAGAGCAGGACGGCAAAATACGGCGATTTAGTAGAAGAGTCCTTGGCGTACGGTATCAGCCGGTCTACAGTAAGAAACATTTTATTACCGTAATCCTACAGTATACCGTTGCAAAGAGCTGCAATGACCCTCGTCGCAGGTAGAAAAGAGGCTAAAACTCCGCCAGAGAGTGCACAAACTGAGCATACCGTAAGCATGTACCTGTAAAATTCAGAATTCTACAGTAGACCTAAGATTACTGTAATCATTTTCACAAGGGTCAAACAACCAAGGAATCAAGAGAAAAAAAAGAAAAAAAAATGGAAAAAGCTCAGGCGCAGGCTGAAACAGTCGCATTTGGAATGACTCAAATGTGCATCGGACTTAAAACTACTTGCGCTATGGAATCTCGCCGGGAAGAAGCTTTGGGCCGTTCCAAGTGCGTCCAAGGCTTTGAAAATCTTCATCAATCGTGCAATTTTGCAAAAGCAGCTTCCAAAAAAAGGAAAAGCTCAGGATAAAGTTGGACTCAATTTGCAACAAACCGCATGCGTAGGAAACCAAATTCGCTGTGAGCTCTGAAAAAATCGAGAAGATTCGAACTAGCGACGTTCTGATTGATAGTCAAGACACTCAGCCACTGAGCTAACTTGTTGATTTTGAAACTTTTCCGGTCTAAACTAGCTGAAGGCCATCACAAGCGACAGTGAGAAGTTAAGTGAAAAGAAGATAAATATAAAATTGAAATAGTGAGAAAAAAAATACTTGGCGGCAGGTATGTTGAGCATTGTGAAGATTTCAGGCAGTAAAATGCTGTCCGATAGTTCAGAAACGTTGGTGCAAAGGCTGAAAAACGGGTCATTGGTTCGGTTCCCCTAGGCGTTTTTTGTCTTTTTATATCAGGTTTTTCTTCAAAATACCAAGCTAATAATAATTCAAAATGGTTTGAGATACTCTCTAAATAAAAAAAATCATCAAGAGCAGTAGATATATGCCTAAACTTGTGTAAAACAAGGTCCTAGTTCGACTCCACTCGGCGTTTATAATTTTTTGCCATTTTTCCTGACTTTTTGAGGGCCTATCTTTGAACTAGTAAGCTATCAGAAGGCTAAAACCCTTTCAAAAAACTTTTGAAAAGGTTTTGAGTCTAAAAAAAAACCTCATAGCGCAGTGGAAAAGACATTAAATGATGCTAGAAATGTCTCGTGTTCGATCCCCCTCCACCCCAAAATTGTTTTGCCATTTTTTTTCAGGTCTAATATTGTAAAAGTTCACTATACACGTTAAAAAACTGAAAAAGTTTATTTTGGAGCAGAGCCAAAAGGTTAAAAATTGAAATTTAAGATTACAAAGATCTGAAGGGGTCTCCGGTTGGACTCCTCTCCACGTCAAACTTTATCCATTCATTTTTGCCAATGACTCCGAAAATTCAGGATCCATAATAACATATTTAAATGACGAAAAGAACCTGAAAACCAAGGTGGCGATGAAGAAAATGGCGGTGAGGGCCACGACGAGGAAGGAAAAGACGCCGGAGACGCGTTTTCTCGGATTTTTGGTCTCTTCCAACAAACTTGTAGTGGATTCAACTCCGGTATAGCAAGCACATAATGCACAGATTGCATGAAGAACCTGGGAATAGTGCATTTTTGGGTTAGAAATAAGCTTCTTACTTCGAATTTTGAAAACCCACCCCCCAATCTTAATTGGAAAGGTTTACTACTATTTGGCCGCGAAATTGGAATAATTTTCTTGACTTGACCTTCTTTCTATCCAGGAATAAGTGAGTGAGGGGATTTATGGAAATTTTTAGCCTCTCTGAAACAGAAAAATCATCGAAATTTGATCGACTTCTGGAATTTTTTTTCTTCAAATCTCACCCCTTGGAAACCAAAAGTGAAGAACTTGGCGCGGATCCAATTGTCGGGATCGGCGTGGAAAAACGCCACAAGTGAACAAGAAGCCGAAATTAACAGAGCGACGGCCAGAAGACTGACGCAAATCGTTCCGACCACCTGGAAAAAATTATTCGTATTCAAAAAAAAAATTCACAGCGGTTTGGGATTGAACCAGAGACCTTCGGGTTTAAAATTAAGATGGTTAGCCACGAGGCTGAGCGCATTTTATTTCATCTTTTTTGTATGGAAACCGCAAATCGTAGAAAAAATGGCAAAAACGGGGAGCGGGTTCGAACCAGTGGTCAATTTATTCACGTTCTAATCTTTTAGCCAATAGACCAAGGCGTCAAAAAAATTAGTTAAAGGTTTTTTTTAGTACCCAGAATCTATTTTAAAAGCAATCAGATTAAATAAAGGCAAAAATGAAGACAGGACTTGAACCTGTATCCTATTCTTAGCCACGAACACCAAGCTTTCTTCGAAAAACGTCTATAGGAACCGAACCTTCGACCTCTGATTCGAACCCTAATCACTTAGCCACTGCGCCAACTCACCCTGATACTGCACATCAATATGCTCAAGGTGATAACCGCCGCGATAACAGTCAAAAAATCGACATTTGAACTCAAAAATGACGAATCTTCCGAGGCGAATGAAATCGAAAGCACTTGAGGGGCTCCTCGGAAAAGGAGGTTCTGGAAATATTTTTTTTTTCAATTTTAAATCTCAAGTTTGCAGATGAGAAGTCCACTGAATCTTGAAATTTGACCTTCATTGTTTTAAACTCTTTAAGAGGCCACTTAAGGAGCTAAAGAGCCCAACTTTTTTATTTATACAAAAAGAACCCTCACAAAATGATCAGCCCAAGCGCGACAGAACAACGAGGCTTGGGCCAAATATTCAAGAAGACTGGCCCAAGCAATCAAAAAAGCCGGGAGTTCACCCAAGGCCGAATAGGCGAAATGATAGTGGACGCAGTTTTTCGGCATCGCACAGGATAGCTCAGCCAGGTGAGCTGCTGAAAAATTGATATTGCTCATTTTAAAGCTTGTTGCTCATGTTACATAAATATTTCACATGTTTACCATATGATCATGGAATGATACCGACAATAAAACAGTGAAGAAAATGCCATTTTTTCGATTTTCAGGTCATTTTCCTAACCCACCTTAAAATTAGAAAAATATGCAAACCTGACAAGAAAACAACCAAAAAAGTGATAATCAAAGCGAAAATCGTAGAAGGACCCGCAAAAGTCGTCAAGGAAACGGGTAGAATGATGAACAGCATTAAAGAGACGCTCTTGATTCCGGCTGAAATTTTGAATCTTGAGTTGATGCGCAGTGAAATTAGCATCAGTCGGGAGAGATTTTTAAGCTGATCCTGATCGTATTGCTTTGAAATGTTATTGAGAGACTTTGACTAGGGTAAAAACAACTTTAAGAGGTTTTAATATACGAGATTCAAACGACTTTATTTCAAGTCATACCTGATGAAAAATAATGAAATTTATATGTTCTTGTAGGCCTTGAAAAGCTCTTTCGATTGCAACCAGATTAATCTGAAATAGAACAAACCCAAAGAAATTACGAGCGGGATTCCAAGGCGCCTGACCCATTCAGAATGTCGAAGGAATTGATCGTCCAGGGGCCGTCGACGTAACACTTTTTGCCACATTTTTTGTGACTTCTTAAATTTTATATGATTTTATGTTGTTTGAGAAGCATAGAATCATCAAAAAAATTCAATATTATTACAAAAAAATCAGCTTTAAAGGTTGCGACTTCGGAAATCACAGAAAGAGTGCGAAGAGAAGCTAAATTGATCGTCCAGGGGCCGTCGACGTAACACTTTTTGCCACATTTTGACCTTCGTAAAATGGCTATAAAGTGCAAAAAGTTATCACTCAGAAGGTCGCAGGTTCGACTCCCCTCGGCGTCAAACGGCTTTTTTTGCCTTTTTGCTGTCATTATTTTTTTACTCTGCAAACGCTCAAAAAAACTCTCAACACGAACTAAAAAAACACGTATAACTCCAAATTAAAAAAATAGAATTTGCGACTTCTACTAATGCTACGAGGACTATGTGATCTTTCAATCTACGTTTAAAAGCTTCTTTCTTCCTAATGAGCGCTCGGATTTCACTCCTGTTGTTTTTAATTTGATACCGGATTTCCTAGAAGTCCATTTTCGGATCTTAAAAGCTTAAGGAATCGAAAAATTGGAATTTAGACCTATAAAAAGCCGTTTTTTCAAAGGAAAAGTGGTTTTTTTTTTTGAATTTTGTGTGTCAAATATTTAATTTTGAGCTCAGAGCTACCAGTTCCGTCCTCTGCTTTCAGAAAAGTTACGATTTTAAAGCTATTAAAGCAGAAAATATAAAATATTTACGGCTCTTTGCTCTTCTCAAAAGATTCGGATCAAGTTTTGAAAGTATTTTTCCACAAAAACGTGCTGAAAATCCAGTTAATACTCTGGGGTGTTGAAAATCAAAAAGATATCTAGAATGCTTCTAAAACCTTCAAAGGAACAAAAAAAAAAATGAGATTTTGGGGCATGAATCTTCAAAATTACCTTTAGGCAAAAAAAAAAACAATATTTTATTCGAATTCAGCTCCCGTTACATCAAAATTTCATTCAAAATAGCTTCAAAGAAGATTTTCCCGGATATATGAAAATGGCAAAAATTAACTCGGCGGGGATGGGAGTCGAACCTATGACCTTTCGAGCGACGGCAAAACTTGTGAATCATCCAAAAAAACGGAGTTTTTCATTGAAAAATATTTGCTTTTCTCAATTTTTTTCCACTATAAAGCTTATAGGAATAACAAATTTATAAAAAAATGACAAAAAAATTTGAAGACACGAGGAGGGGGTTAGCTTTTAATTTTTTTATCCCTGTAGCTTCAACTTGTACTTCAAAGTAGTTAATGACCATACAATGAAAAAAATGGCAAAAAATATCTCGACGCCGAGGGGAGCCGAACCTGCGACCTATTCAGTGGTGAAAAAAGATTGAAATTATGTCGAAAAGAGCAAAAAAAAACTGAATTACCGGGGTAATTCAATACAAATCCCCTCCAGAAATCGAATAATTTCTTTGGATTTCTCGTTCCAAGCTAGAAATAAAGAGGCATCAATGAGCTTTACAAAACAAAGGAAATTCGATCCCCAAAAGGGGAAGGAAGAAGACGTACGTTCAAAATGGCAACGAAATTTGTTTTTTTTTTCTTCTTTGTCCATTTTTGAGAGAAAGAAAGAAAGCTACGATGTTCTCACATTTCAAACAGAGGCTAACGAGCTCAAAAAAGCGGGGGAGACAAGAAAAATGGAAACGATTAGGCGGTTGACTAAGAAAAGTTGGTTAGTCAGAAAAAAGTCTCAGATTTTGAACTCTAGTAGATTAGTCACTTGATTTCCATTTTTGAGGTTTTTAGTTCAAATCTAGACGTCTTAAAATGCTCGTTCTGGTTTTTAGAGAAAAATTGCAAGAAAAAGCTAACTCGAAGGGTCGTAGGTTCGATTCCTCTCGACGTCGGTTTAACTTTTGCCATTTTTATTTTTCTTTCACTGTCCTTATTTTCTTCGAAATGAAGTTAGAATACTCAGATATGATTAAGACCTTCGTAAAAATGGCTATAAAGTGCAAAAAGTTATCACTCAGAAGGTCGCAGGTTCGACTCCCTTCGGCGTCAAACGGCTTTTTGCCTTTTTGCTGTCATTATTTTTACTCTGCAAACGCTCAAAAACTCTCAACACGAACTAAAAACACGTATAACTCCAAAAAAAAAAAATTAAAAAATAGAATTTGCGACTTCTACTAATGCTACGAGGACTATGTGATCTTTCAATCTACGTTTAAAAGCTTCTTTCTTCCTAATGAGCGCTCGGATTTCACTCCTGTTGTTTTTAATTTGATACCGGATTTCCTAGAAGTCCATTTTCGGATCTTAAAAAGCTTAAGGAATCGAAAAAAATTGGAATTTAGACCTATAAAAAAGCCGTTTTTTTCAAAGGAAAAAGTGGTTTTTGAATTTTGTGTGTCAAATATTTAATTTTGAGCTCAGAGCTACCAGTTCCGTCCTCTGCTTTCAGAAAAGTTACGATTTTAAAGCTATTAAAGCAGAAAAATATAAAAATATTTACGGCTCTTTTGCTCTTCTCAAAAGATTCGGATCAAGTTTTGAAAGTATTTTTTTCCACAAAAAAACGTGCTGAAAATCCAGTTAATACTATGGGATGTTGAAAATCAAAAAGATATCTAGAAAGCTTCTAAAAACCTTCAAATGAACAAAAATGAGATTTTAGGGCTTCAACGGCCGATTAGGGCACATGAATATATGTCCATTGGATATGAGGATCAGGAGATTATTCGAGAAAAGAAATCTGATGTTTTTTCACAAAAACTCTTCCTGATGTTGCTACATCAAGAAGTTTCGAAAAAATTAAAAAACCAAAATTAATTAAAAACAGCTGTTTTAATGGGAAATGACTCAGCTAGTAGACAATCAAAAACATTTCTTTAAAAAAAATCAAGTTCCATAATTCATTGATAACCTTGAAAAAAACCAAGAAGCTAAGAAAAATCCGAAAAAAGCCAAACAAACGTCGCTTTGACATGATAATTGAAGCTGGAATTGGAAGCCAACCAATTTTTTCTCCATTCTTTCTTTTTTTCTTGTTCTATCAATCTTCTCCTATTTTTGGGGTTCAAAAATAAGAAGCTACAAGAAAATTTTGAACGAAAGAAGCTGAAAAATGGCGATTCCCTTGTTTTCCAACTATTTTTTTTGGCTTTCCCTGTCGTCCCAAGGGACATCAAGTATGAGGGAGCGAAAATAACTGTCAATAACACATTTTTCACGGAAAAACGAAATAATTTTGAATTTTTTCGGTTCATGTGTAAAATCATCGAAGAAATAGAAATACTTAGGAAGTCGCTTGAAAAGGTTTCAAGAGACCACCTGAGGGTCAATGATTTTTTCAGAAATGAAGCGCTTCTGAGAATTCTTGGATACGATCCAGGCTCTCGGAGATGAAAAATAATAGTTCAAGGGGTCACTTAAGGGACAAATATCCTTATTTTTCACTTTTAAATGTCGCCTAGACATGTTTCTATACAACCACTCACAAAAAAGATTCCAAAAGGTCACTCACATGATTTTGAATTTTTTCGGTTTACGGGGAAAATCGTCAGAGAACAAAAATACTTAAATACTCGCTTGAAAAAGTTTCAACTGCATCAAAAATTCAAAAAAAAAAAGAAAATCATACTTTAAAGAGATCACTTGAGGGTTATCAACTTTTTCAGAAAGTAAATAAAACACTTCAGTAACCACTTGAAAAAGATACAAGCTTTCGAAGCTGGAAAATATTCTTTCAAGGGGTCACTTAAGGGACACTTATCCTCATTTTCGAGTTCGAAATTCGCCTAGAGATGTTTCTATACAACCAGTAACAAAAAAGATTTCAAAAAGTCACTGAAATAATTCTGAATCTTCTCGGTTTACGTGGAAAATCGTCAGAGAACAAAAATAATCAAGGGTTCGCTTGAAAAAGATTCCGCAACTTAGATTAACTCAGAGAAAAAATTAGAAACTCAAGAGACCAATTGAGCAATAACTCTTCCAAAAAGGGAATAAAATACTTAGGTAACCTTTTGCAAAAGATCCAGGGCCGTGATGCTAGAAAATAACCTTTTAAGGGGTCACTTAAGGGGCAAATATCCTTATTTCCGAGTTTAAAAGTCGTCTAGAGAAGATTATCGACATAGAGTCACAAAAACGATGAAAAATCCAGTTTTTCCTCGAAAATCTGTCAAATTTACTCCTAACTGAATAAATTACCTAAAAGACCACTTAACCCACTAAAAAGTCGCTACTAGCGTCAAACAAAAATCCAAAAAACGACGTAGGAAAAGCTGAAGAAGCGGTCGGAAAAAATTCTCTTGGGGCTCGCCTTATCCGTCACTTTTCCGCTCGAATTTCGAATCTTTTTGGGAACAATTTGTTTCTTCGGATGGACCTCACTGCTTGGAGGAATCTTAGAGGAAATAAAATAGTTTAAAACTTATTTGAAGATGAAAAAGTTCGAAGATTTCCTACAGCAGGCTCTAACTTGGTTAAAAAAACCAACTGGGTTACACTCAAATTTACTTGTCTCACCACAAAGAGCTGCTTTTAAATCGAAGAGTTTGGTTCAGTTAGTTTATAAACAATGAAAAAAACTTTTTGCTTTTTTTGATCTTTTGATCACCTTAAACTTCAAAAAAATGCAAAAAAATTCTTCGATTTTTTAAAATACCTGACTCAGCATCGTTTAGATCTGATAGTGCAGAGCAGTTTTTGAAGTTTAAAGAGTTACTGAGCTTTATAAGAGCTAAAAAAAGCTTCTTTTTATTAACTCTCTAATGCAGGGTATGTGAAATACGGGTAAAACTTCAGATGTATCCATTATTCCCATTAGGCGCAGACTTGTACTGCGCCATTTGGGTTTAGGCTGAATTGGAAAATTAATTTTTATCTCAGATCAATTTTCATCTCACGTCAAAAAAATAGACAATAGTCTGGATTTTTGATCCATGAGCTTATAAGTCTTTAATGAAAAGCCCGAAAATTCGAACAAAGCTTTGGAAAAAAAAAAGATGAAATGTTGATTTTATCAACTTCATCAAATTTTATCTTAGGTTCAAAAATTATTTTTTAAGAACTGATCATTGAATTTTCAAAGTTAGAAAAAAACTCCGTTTCAGGTTATTATTGGAAAAATGAATTATTCAATGAATCAGTGAAAAAAGAAAAATGGTCGTCACGGCGTATCTTTTTTGTAGGACTCATTCATTTCCCATGAGCTTTAAAAAAAAAACGATTTCCAAACGGAAAATGAGGTAGTTTATTATCTACAAGTTGAATCACCTCATCAAAATTAATTTCCTAGTCCTCCATAGAGCTAAAAAAAAGTAACGGCTCGGAAAATATGCAAAAACGAACAAAATAACCGAAAAAACGAGGAGAAAATAAAATAAAGAGGCCCAGTCGGCGAGTAAATTGAGCGTGGCCGAGCCGGACGACGACACAAATTGAATATTTCGCCAGGAACCGCCGAAGGAGGCCCAAGAAATCGAATCTCCGGCACAGAACCAAGGGTCCAACATTCTTGATTTTTCGCTATTTTCCTAGGATGTTTCCGTCAAAAGATAGTGGTTCTGTAGTCACAAAAAAGCCTTCATTTTTGGTTTTGAAACAGAAAGAGCCCTCATTTCGACTAAAATGATATTAGATAGGTTGGAGTTGAGTAAAAAGTTGCTTAGAAGTTATTCAGCCCAGGAAAAAGCAAAAAAATAGAAGGTTGCGCATTTTTTCATTGGGTGAAGGAAGCTAATAATAAGAAACTTCAAGGGTCATCGAAGTGAGGTTTAAGGAGCCTCAGGATTGTATTAAGCTTTGAAGATAAATATTTAGGGTTAAAAATCTTGATTCTCAATAATTTAGAGTCAAAAACGCAACTCTAGTTGCCCCTGTATCATGGTGAAGAAAATGAAGTATGAATTTTTCCAATCGGACTTGTTTTTTCAAGTCCTCAGCCTCTTTCAGTGTTTCTAAAGTTGATAATTGGATTTTTTTCTTGCCAAAGTGGAGAGCTGGAAAAAAATTGAAGTCAAAAAAATTCAGTAGAAAGTTTTTTTCCAATCAAATTTATTAATAATTTATTCAAAAAAACTATAGGTGTAGGTCTTCTAAAAATTTAGTTTATAGTACCAAATTACTCGTAAATAATCAATTAGAACCTAGGTTGACAACAAAAACCTTAAGAAAACTCGAAAACTTGGGAAAAACCTTAATTTTTGAGTAATCAGGGAAATTTGAAAAGAATCATAAACTTTGGAATAAACCTAAAATAGAAAAAAGTGTTTTATGCATTTCAAAGCAACCTCCAAAATTTCAGAGAAACTTCGATTGAAAAAAAAAATCAAATCTCAAAAAGGCAACACATGACACATTCTCAAGATGAAGACAAAAAGGCTTTTGAGTGGAATTTGATTTACACTGCGCGACTTCCTCAACATCGTCCGCATTTTACCAACGTCAAGCACTACTAGGAAAGAAGGAATAAGCCGCAAAATTTTACAGCTTTTCCGACAAATCCGAGATTGACGACGCTATAAACCAAGATTTTCTCGGGAAATTGCTTTCTAATGCAAAAATTGAGCGTTTATCTTTTGTTTTTCTTGTCGTTAAACCTTTATTTCAGAACGAAACTTGGTAGGGTCGAATTTCGGCTTCGGGAAGCCAGGAGGGGATGAAAAAGGCGAGCAGCAAGAGGGCGTTGAACAATTGGAGCACGACGAAAATGATCAGGGAGACACGGTATCTCACCTGAAAACGGGTGGATTTTCCTTGAGGAGAAAATTTTTTGATTACCTGACCCCAGATGTGCCGATTTATTTTCAGTTGTTCTTTCACCTCTTTTCTCTCGATTACTCCATTGTTTCTGGAAAGGCATTGAGATTTATTTTTGAGCTTTACAGGGGGATATTTAAGTATAGTCTATAGATTATTCCTTTTCTTTTGAATATCTCTTTTCTGAAAGTTCCATTTTAAAACATCTAGAGTGGTCTTTGAGTCCTTCTTAGGAACTCCAAAGTGGTCCCTGTAGGGGCAACCTTAGGGACCTTTGACCTCTCTAGGGACCACTGGAGCTTGCAAACGTTGTCCCCTCAAAGGGTTTTAGTTAGTGGCCCCTATAGGGAACATTCTATTCGATAACTTTCTATGTACTGAAGAAGCACTTCTATAAGGAAAACTGAATAAAATGAGCGTTTTTTAAATGAAGTTGAAAGACCCATATAGGGTCCACTTGAGCTTTAGGGGCTAAGGGGTCAGACCCTAAACCCCTATAGGGGTCACTTTTTCGTCCCCTCTAGATGCTGTTTTTCCTACCCCCTTAAGGGACCACTTTTTCGTCTCCTATAGGAGCTGTTTTTTTCCCCTAGCCCCTATAGGGACCACTTCAGAATTTCTAAGACTAGAAAAGAAAAAAATCAATAACTGAGGAAAATCAATTAAAAAAGCGACCTTTCTCATGTTCCCACAGTAGTACAAAAAAATTTTTTTGTTATACTATCTGATTTTACCCTTTGATCGAAGCTTTCAAGTCGACATCACTATTCCAGCCTTCCAATGAAACTCGCGTCATTTTCAGAAGGAATTTTCTGGGCGGCCTTGTATCCATCATCGGACAGATGTATCTACCTGAAAGTCATTGATTTTTGATCCAAATTTAGGATCCTTAGAAGGAAACCTTTAATATAGCCAATCGCAAAAGCGAGGCAGGTTTCGGCCAAAACAAATATGATATAGAATCCTGAAAAATAAATGAATAAAAATGATAAAGGGCGTGGCTAGTCTATCAGAAAACTTAACAACTAGTTGGTGAACAAACTAATGTCAGAAATGGTAGAAATTTATTCAAATTGTTCAATTTTCGAACGCTGGAGACATTTATTAGGCTCGCAGCTCTAGAAAGTCAACTTTTTTCGCCTCGATTATTGAAATGATGAAAGCTTAAAAATGGGGCGGCTAAAAAAACAAGGAAAAACGGCTACTGCTCAATTTTGCCAGTTCTACGGTAAAAGAACTACTCCTCCTTCTACCAAAATTATCTTAGCAGAAAACGTTTTTTGGCCCCCGGTTGAACTTTTGCTGAAACTTTGCTGAAGTGTACTTTAGGACCCCCCTGATTGCAGATCAAAAAGAAAAATGTCTCGCAATAGATCTTGTTTCCGAGTTATGAAGCTTCAAAGTGTGCAAAATACGCAAATTAGGCCAAAAAAGAGCTATTTCGGGCTTTTGAAGTGTCCTAACTCGAAAACTAAACCTATTGCGAGAAATTTTCTTTCTGTTCTGGAATCAGGGCCCCCTAAAGTACACTTCACCAAAGGTTCAGCAAAAGTTCAACCGGGGAAAAAAAAAACGTTCCCTAGTTTAAAGTCAACACCACTTTCCTGGGGATAAAGTTTTCTTATATTGGCCAGCACTACCTCTCTAAGCTTAAAATAATTTTTACTTGCCATTTCGATAAATTTTTTTGAAGTAAAACTTTTCTTCTAGGGTGAATGAGTTCTGTACTTGCCCATGTATGATTACAAGGAAGGTCATTTTAACTTTAAGTTGACAACTTCCTGAAAATTGCGCAGAATACTTTTTGATGTACCAAATGGAGATTCTAAAAGTCACAACTCCCCAGTATTCTAGAAAAACGAGCCTAAAAATAAAACGAAAATCATCAAAATCCGCTGAAGTCATTCATTTTCAGACTTTGAGCCCTCACTTCTAGAAAACTGAGAAGTTTTGCAGATTGACTTTTTTTTTAAAAACCAAGGAACAACCTGACCAGGTTTCAGAAATTCCGAAAGAGTGAAATGACCTTCCTTGTCAGAGTTTATAAAAAATCAACTTTTTACATAAGTTCCCACCGAAAAATTAACTTCCGAACGCTCTGTCATCAACAATTCACTCAAAATTGCATTCGCTAGTGAACAGAAATACAAATTGAATTAGGTTATGCGCCTATTTTCCGCTTTTTCCATTGGAACGGGATAAAGGCTCATGTTCCGTTATTTCCCGAATCAAATAAATCTTACCCAACCATGCCAATCCCTTTAGCTTTAGGTAAGCTGTCGGTGACTATGCCGAGCATGAAAACGAGCGCTAGAATCGTCGCCAGGGCTAGTTCGATCTGGAACTGAGTACATACCAAAAAAATAAAAATTAAAAAAATGAATGAAGTTGAAAAATCGTTGAAAAAAATTTGATTGAAGCTTGTTAGTAATTAACTGGAATGATAGTGATAAGAGAAATTTTTTTATCCAATTTTTTCGCGCTTCTCAGTATCATCCGACGCGACGCGGTCGCGAGAGCGTTTTTTTTTTTCGTTCCTTGAACTTTTTCTCAAGATTCAGTTTCTTGGTACACACTGAAGTTAAAAAATAACTGCATTTAAAAAAAAATCGGGTACGACTGGCGATCGCAAGGATATTTTTTTTTAACTATGAGAATAAGTGAACGCGTCGCGGCTGCGTTAGCGGTTCAAAGACGAAACAATGAAGCAAAAAATAATCTTGAAGATATATGTATATTAAAAAACGCGAAGTCTTGCTATTTCTGCGCTTTTAAGTCACGGTCGGCATTTTTTAATATCAAAGATCCTCGGACGCGTCGCGGCTGCGTACGCGGTACTAGGATCGAGAAATGAATGTAACTTTAATCTTGATAATTAAAAGACATGAATTTTCTCCTTTTCTGCACTCTCTGGTACTGTAAAACGCGTCGCGCTCGCAAAATCGTTATTTTTTTTTAAACTTCAAGAATCCTCGGACGCGTCAGCGGCTTGAGAAAAAACCACGAACCCAAAAAAATCTTCAACCTTCTGAAACTTTCAAGCTTCCTTGAAAACTCACAATATCTCCTGACTCCTCGCCCCTTACAGGCAACAACGCTCCAGTAATCGCGATAATTCCGATGGCAAAAGTTGGCATCACAACGATTAGGATGTAATAATTGGGGTACCTTTTCAAGTGGGCCACAAAAATCGTCTGAAAATCACTTGAATCAAAGAGAAAAGGTAAGTTTTTGAACCATTTCTTGGCGCTCTCCGAGGATTTGCGTGTGTAAGACCGTCAGGGAAATGTTCGAAAAGGCGAATTCAGTGTTTCCCTCAAAAAAATTGATGATAAAACTATGAAAATGCCTTGAAGCCGCATGAAATGGCTGAAAGCCCCGCTTAGGATTACTTGCGCTTTGAGATCCTGTAGCTAGGGGCCCCAAAGTGAATAATGAATGTTAACGGATCTAGTGGGCGGAGCCTGGAGAAGTCGCTGAAGGTCAGGCGCAGCTCTAAGTTCTTTTTCATTTCAAAGTGATGGCAAAATTGACCAAGCGACCACTAGAGCATTTTCTAACCTCTTCCAGGAAAATCTCAGCTTCTTCTCCCTACGCCTTTGTACCGCTTGAGCGGCGTCGGCGCCCCAAGTCGATTAGCCGAGGTCCTATCCTGATATGTGATTATCAGTGGACTGGCTCGAGTGACATATCCGTCCTTGTTTTTTTTAAGTCGTGGTTTCCCACTCTCCCTTGGTTATGTCGCGGCGGGGATCGAACTTGTAGCCTCTTAAACCGTAGCCAAGCACGCAACCTGATGCGCTACGGAAAGCCGCAGGAAACTCTCAACTTCTAGGTTTCAATTTCGCGGAATAATTCCAACAGAGCCCTTCAGAAGCGCAACCACCATGCTTTGAGCCATTCCAAACGCGGTTCCCTACCGTATAGGCCGAATAACCCCGTTCTCTAAAGTTATCAATCGAGGCTTGGATCCTTTCTTCTGCTATTGGATTTGTAGGATTCGTAAATGTGATCACGCAGCCTTGGGTGTCGAAGGGAAAGCTGAAAAATAAGAGTTTTTCCGTTTTGTTTTTTGCGTTTCTGTCAATCCCTTCAGAAGTCTACGAAAGCGAAATTCGAGATTAAAGAAAAAAAAAAACCAACTTTTCCACATGAACCTCACACATGCAGTTGGCGAATAAGGTTCTTCGAAAGCTCACTTCCCCACTTGCATTCACCTGAAAACTTTAATGATTCCGAATCAAGGCAAAAAAGAGCCAATTCGACCTTAACGTCGTTGTTGACATCTTCACCGGAGGCATCTTTATAATCGACCAGGTTGTAGATGAAGGATCTCGGTTTCCAAACCTAATTTTTCCTATTTTTCTATAAAAAGAGCTTGAAATTACTTCAGAAGACGGGATAAAGTAGTGTTCTGCGCCGTATTCCGAACTGTTGAAGGCGAGTCGAGGGTCGATCCATCGCTAAAAATGGGGATAGATAGCCGAGTTGCGAAATTTTTCCGCGTTAAGTTTTCACTAGAATTGGTCGCTCTCGTTACGACGCTTCCACCGAAAGCATGGTCTCCGGGCTCCAGCACAATATCCGCTACATTCTGGGCTTGTCAGGGACTGACTGGATGGTCTACGCGCGGAAGAACGAGGCGAAGACCGTAAGGCCATGCTTTCAACTTGATCAACTACTTGTTTTGAGCTTCTGGTCCACCAAAGGCTGTTTTTCGTTATGGCTTTTGAAATTTTTGTTCACCGCTTAATCGGTTACATCTATGACTAATACAAAAAAAATGAACGATTCTGAAAGAGAAGCTGCAAACTTGAATGTGTGGCTCAGCTACTTTAGTTGAAAAATAGGTCCAAAAAGAATGACAGAAGAATGCTACTCGGCTATATTTTTGTGGCAAAGTGCGACGCGGCTAAAAAAACCCGTTTTTTTAAGGGGGAGAATAGGCCCTACCGCAGAGTTGGACCCGGCCGACATATGGGCCTAATTTTCAACAACTGGCCGAGCCACAAATTCAAGCTTGAATCTTCAATCTTTCACTCAATTAAATCATTTTTTTAGCCGCGTCGCATAGCCTAGTCGCAAAATATAGCCGAGTTGCACAGCGGCGTCGCCAAGTAAAGCTGCTAATCAAGCCACACATCAGGGAAGCCAATTTCATCAAAAAATTTCAACTTTTAATCGCGTCACAGTGTCTAATTGCTATTGAACAAGCTCAAGATACATATTCAGACCGAAAATTGAAAATTTTTTTATCAAGTCCTTGGATAAAATATATTTTTTAGCCGTGTCGCATAGCCGAGTCGTCCAGCTATAAGTTTTCGACGCGGCAACACGCTCAAAAAAATTTCAAAACCAACCATTTCATAGCTGAGAATCCACTCGGCGCGGCTCTCGTTCTCTTTCTAGAAAATAATATATAAAATCTACAGTACACCATCATCCTACCACAATCAACAGTATGATGTACGGTATTATCAAGTTCACCGTAACCGTCTTACGATCATAATAGAACGGGCTGAACCGCTTGTCATAATTTTTCAGGCTGTCGGCCAGTCGAGGGTAGGTTTGAGGAGTCGCTTCAAAATGCAAAAAATTCAAAAAACATAATTGAAAAATACCTGGATTAAAAAATAAAATAGACAAGAGTGTGATTTTGTTCATTTTGTGTCAAAATTCGGACACAAAAAGGTAGACGGAAGAGTTTTCGGACAAATAGACGAGAAATTTGAGATGTCATCATTAGGGTCGACTACTTTTTCAAGTTCGAAACGTTCGAAAAGTGTTCCAAATGCGTCAGGAATTTTTAGCCGCAAATTTGAAAGTCTCGGTTAACGAGGGAGGTCATTTTGATTATTTTTGGTTGGGAGTTTTTTGAAAATTGACCAGAATATTTCTTGATGTATCAGAAAAAGGTCCTGAAGGCCTTAACCTGCACAACTTTCTAGTTTTCGAAAAATCATTGAAGTTTAATAATAAAGCTTTTGCGACCGTGACCCGTCAAACGGTACTAAAAAGAGCAGTACATGTTTTTTTTTTCTATTGTTTGCTTCATTTTCAAATTTTTAAACCGCTTATGCAGCCGCAACGCGTTTTCTCTCTCTTGAATACTAGAAAGTTGTGATCTTTGAAAATTTCAAGAACCTTTTCTGTTGTCTCAAAAAAACAAATCCTAACCAATTTTTCAGGAAAAATCCCAATCGCAAAAATATTCTTTTGTAAAACTTCTAAAACAACTTCTCTTTTTAAAGATTACCTTCTTTATTTTTTTGGGAAATCAAAAAATCAATATTCTCCGTAAAATGACGTCATCAATAAATTTGAACATAAAAAAATCAGCAGGCCAGCTAAAGTTTGATGAAAAAAATCAATCAAAAAAAGTTAATTATTGCATGGAATCGATTAAAGATTATAAAAATGATGACGTCATCAACGCCTTCCGCGCAAGCTTCAAAAAGAAAAATTATATTACATTTAAAAAAAATAATTTCATTCACTCTACATACATCAAATCCCTCCCAAAAAAGCAAAACCTCTGGAAAATCAAACTTTATCGGAAAAAAAGTGACGTCAGAGGACCAAAATGACGTCATCACAAGACGACGTCCGTCTCCTGAATAGACTCCAGATTCGACTTCGACGTATTGGCCTTTGTAGTGCTTTCCTTTCCAGTCATCGAAGTTGTTGACATTTGTCCCATTTGTGACTTCTTCAAAAAAAAAAAAAAATGACGTCATCCGATTGATCATATCACTTCAAAGTAAATTGCTGATGAAAGCAAACTTTTCAAAAATCTCATAGAACTCCTCAAAGCCTTCAAACTTCATGAAAAAAGAAACTTTGAAAGTCTATTTATTTTCGAAATTTTGAAAAAGCTCCATAGAATTCTTTCGTTCATGACGTCATTTTATTTTTTTTATAAGTTCATGACGTCACAAAACATCCCAAATGACGTCAACTCACCCCATCAGTTGCACCGGAAACGTTTGAATTTTCAGGCGGACTTCTCTGTTGATCAGATCTAGTCGATGACTCGACAGTTTTGTCGGACCTCGAATGCTTGGGCTGCTGAAACTCCATTTCTCTGAAAAATTCAGACTCGGATCCTGACCTCAGTCGTCTCCTTGCAATGGTCAATGATCTGCTGCTGGGTGACCGCTTTGCCGTCGTCTTGCGCAAAAGCGAAACCGTCTGAAGTCGGTTGCAATAAAAGCTTGAAAGGGACTGGTCTCAGCTCTGTATATATTTGAAGGAGACTTACTAGGGAACGTTTTACCTCTCGGTTGAACTTTTGATTGTACTTTAGGACTTCTTTTTTGGAGAACAAGATAAAAAATATTATTGCGGTAAATCTTTTTTTTCGAGTTGAAGCTTCAAAGCCCGTAGAATACGCAAAATATGAGAAAAAGCGCTATTTCAAGCTTTAGAAGTGTGCAGTTGGGTCAAAAGTTCAACCGGGAGGTAAAAAACGCTACAAATTAGTTGAATAAGCGCAGTTCGAAACTCTGATTCTGAAAACGCGCTCAAAAATTCCAAAAACGATCTTCAAAAACAGTTAAAAACGCTCAAAATTGTTAAAGTCAGCCGATTTGATGTTAGAAGCAGGCTGTGTTGATACCCAAAACGGATCAATTTTTGAAAAAAGTATACGATTTTTCAAAGTTCAGACAAATCCTAAGAAGGTGTTGGGAAGGTAACCAGCTAGAGGTTGGAAGGTGTATGGAAGCTAGAAGGTCTTAAGAAAGCCTTGAGAAGGCGTTCGGAAGTTAGTTGGTTATACCTGCCAGAAGGCATTCAGAACCCTGCTGAAAAGCTTCTGGAAGGCTTCCGGCAGGCTTTTTCTGAGTAGAAGGCGTTGGGAAGCTATGTGGAAGAATTTTGTGAATGAAATAAATCATTATTAAGGCGTTCGACCACTTGCTGGAAAGCTTTCAAACGATTTCCGAGAAACCGGAAGCAGAAGCTTCCCAACCATTACCAGAGTAGAAAATTCTGACTTATTTGGGCGCTGTCAAATTTGAAACCTTCTTCTCGGAACTCTACTTCTGGTATTATTAGTCAACATTGGCGCCAAATCAGCCAAAACGTTATAAAATTCAAATTTCAACTCCTTTCTTTTAAATTCCACATTTTCTCAGCTCTTTTTGATCCTAATTTACCGTGAAAAACTGCATCTCAATTTTACTGTGACCAAGAAAAAAGGAAAAAGGAATGAAAACGTTTTCCAGTCTCCAGATTGACGCGGATGCCGACGACGTCGCAAATCTTATAAATCGGCTGGTAGAGCTTGTGTAGGTTGGGTCCGCGGATGCCGGCCGACCATTGGATCTGCTGTCTGACGTCCGCTTTGAAGATTGAGGTGAACCTGTGTTTATTACCGTATAAATGATTATTAACGCGAAAAAAATGAAATCATTTCGATCAAAAAAATCTTTTTTTAAAAATTTTTTTAAGAAACACTTGAGAATTTGATCAAAATTTCGGGCGAGGGCTCGTTTTTAAGGTTATTTTGAACCATGTAAGAATTTTTGGCTTTAAAATAATGGAAAAAAAGGCTGTTTTAACAGACTCAAGGCTTAAATTATCCGGAAAAAAAATCGAGCTATGAAAAAAAAGCTACAGAAGCTCTATTGATAAGTAGTCGGTGAGAAATTTGTATTTTCTGATTTTTTTTCCTATACCTATCCGTTCAAAAGTTTCCTAGGAAAAAAAAGGACCAGGAAAAAACTTAGCATATTTTTTGAAAATTGGAGCACAGATCAATCTCTGAACTTTACAGTTCTTTGAGGCTTTTTAAGCTCATTTTTCTATCAATTTAGCCAACTTTCTATAAATCCACCCCTCATACATTTTTCCAACAAAAATCTTTTATTTAAATTTTTTTTTAAGAAACACTTTTAAGAACTCACAAATGAAACGTCAAGTCCGGGAGTAACGAAGCAACCACGCACATCAAGAACAGAAGGCACATATAAATGTACGGCAGCTCGAAGATGATCCCTTCATTTTCCTGTAGAATTATGAGCTTGATCCCAAGGATAAGAACGATACATTTGCCACATGAAAGACGGCGAAGTAGCGTTGGAAAAACGATTGGAAGAATAAAACGACGACGAAAAATGTGAAAGCGATGGCGGCTGCGATCACGGAGAGCTGCAAATGGAAGTAAAAAATGACGAGAAAGGCCAATTTTCGGGACAGGAAAAGGACCGTTTTTCGTTTTTAATTGACTTTTTGCAAATTTTCATGCTTCTCAGAGAATTTTTGAATGAAGCTGGTAATTTCAGTAGCTCGTTAAACTATAGTTGCACTGGAATAACGCAAAGCGGTTTTAAAGAAGATTTTCCAGATTAAAAGTTCAAGTTGAAGTTTCTCTAACTTGAGCCGCGACGCGAGCCGCAACGCGTTCAAACTTTTTAAATTGGAAACCAAATTAATGACAATTTCTTGGGAAAAAACCTTCAATTACGCGAGTAAAAAAAGCTTCTAAGAAGTAGCCATTTTTCTCAAATATAAAATCACCTTCGAACCGTCAGCATACATGGAATGAGCATTACTGGCAACAGCCAAGTCCCCCTTTAAAAAAATGAAATTTTGATTTTTTTCATAAGATCAGACTAGCGCTGTCCAGCACGCACCCTGAATATTTTTTACTCGTTTTTTTGACAAGTCCCCTCCCATTTTCCAGGTCCCCTCGAGACTATCCCGTGTATGCCCGTCCAAAATCCAGAAAAAAGCTTCAACCAGTGGCTAATGATAGAGAATCATATTAAAAAAAATTCTCCAAGAATTAGTCAAAATATAAACAAAAATTAAAGGCGCATGGAACAATTCTAAAACGAAATCTCAACACGTATTTCTTGTCCCAACTCTAATATCATTTCCGAACCATTGTAATTGACGTCGTCTCCAGAAGCGCCTTGAAGTTCGCGACACTGAGGGTGGAGAAATAAATCAAGTAGCCAAAAACGTAAATCGACAATTCTCGGCCATCCATCAACAGTGAAGCTAGAAGATGAATTTTCAACTTCTTCCCAAAAAATTCAAAACATTCGCTAAAAGTCATTCTCGTGATGTAGAACGTCGTGAAGCCATTACAAATGCCGCTGAACAGCCAAAGAGATTGAATCTGCAAAAAACCTCAAGTGGACTCGAACCAACTAGCTTTTAGTGGTATTTAAGGCTCTTAACCACTCGGCCAAACTCACCGGTACGTTGATATGGTTCTGATAAGCTGTGTAGACTCTCGGATATTTGACTAGGAAACTGGTGGTGGCAGGGCGGTCGGCGATTCCGAGCATCAGTGAGCACCAACTTGAAAAATTGACGTCACTAGTTCTTGACTGAGTATCCGACCTTGTGAAGCAGACATTGTAAAAAATCGACATCCACGGATCGCCCATCATTTGGCTGCTCCGACCGTTGTAGTAGCAAAAGAGGGCCTAAGGAAACTTTCAAAATTCAGTTAATAAAAGCGTTTGAAATTGTCTAGAAAAAAACCTTTTTTAGGTCTGAAAAAAAAATTGAAGAAAACGTTTTTATTTACATCAGACTGATTGAACAGCTTCGAGACTTCATAGAAAAAAAAAGAAAAAACTGAAAAAAGCCTAAAAAAGAACTAAAAAAAAACTCAACATGTTTCGAACACTACCTGGCGCTTCATAACTCTTCAAAATTCCTTCCAAAAAATTCCAAGAATCCTAAGAAAATTTCAAAATAATTTATAGGCTTTCCAGCATCTCTGTAGACTCTCAGAAAAACTTTTAAACTCTTACAAAATATGAAAAACATTCCAAAACCCTTTAATGAATCTTCTAATCACTTCAAAAGAGCTTCGAAAATTTTTAAACCATCTACAAGCCTTTGAAAATCTCTCAGTTAGTTTATAGAAAAAAAAACTACTTTTTTCAGTTTTAGATCTACTTTCAAAATCTCTACCCTAATCCCGAAATTCTGGTACCCTAAAAAAATTCAAATGAACTGCAGACCCCAAAGATACACTCTGAAAAAGTTCACCATCATAAAAGTTTCCAGGATGTTCTTATATAGACAGAACATGACGGTTTTCGACGTTCTGAACACGGAAAGAGTTCCGTGAACGAGGAGTAACCTTTCCAGATGTTTGAACTGCAACGCATTGCTCATTTTAGCAGAGATTACCGGGGTACCTGAGAAACAACGTAATCGGCTGCGAGAGCGGCTTGCATACCTTCTTTGCCCGCAATCGCGACTCCAATTTGGGCTTCCTGGAAATGGCAAAAGCGGGATGAGGAATCGAATCAAAGAGCTATAGGCCGTGAGTTCTTTCAAACTTAAAATCGGATTTTTCACCTTTTTACAAACTTCGGTGGTTAAAAAACTTTTGAAAATGACAAAAACAAGGATAAAAATTGAGCCTACAGATAGTTTTCCATTGAAGCCTTCGAACAAAAAACCAGAAGACGGCAAAAGCAAGTAGAGGGGTTGAACCAGAACCCATAAATAAAAATGTTTATATTTATTGGCTGTAGTGACTCTTATAGGGAAAAATACCTTATAGGTAGACTAAAGGGACCTCTTTTGCGCCCCTGAAGGACACTTGAATTTTTCCCAGTTCACGGAATCAAAAATTGTCATCCTAAGGATCCAATCCAACCACCTTCTGATCCTCAAACCAGGCATTTAGCCACTAGGCCAACCAACCTGAATCATCGGAACGTCATTTGCGCCATCACCAATCGCCAGAACACTACCAGAAACGTTATCGCGAACCATGCGAGTTACAGTCGCCTAAAAAATCGGTTGTTTTTCAATTTTGAACGAAAAACGCCCAAAATAAAAACCTTTTGAAGTGGGGTACATCGGCAGCAAATGACGGATGAGCAACATAGGGCCAATTGAAGGAATGTGATACACAAATCGTCATCTTCCAAGACGAAATCCAACGTCTGAATTATCGTAATAGAAAGGAAGAAAAGGCAAAAAAAAAAAATTAGTGTGACAATTGATTATTTAAAAGCGCTCCACAGCCAATTAGAGCTTCAAAGCTTCCTTTGTTTCTTTTTTTTTCCGGACGCGCGCCGAACGTTTCCGAGCATTTCAAGTGATACCTTTAGCGGGTTAAGTACTCTTAAGTGACCCCTAGAATTGCTCAGAAACGGCAGTACTCTTAAATGATCCCTAGAGACGCCCAGAAACGTCAGTAGTCTAAAATCATCCCTAGAGCTTCTTAGAAACGATAGTACTCTTAAGTGATCCCCAGAATCGCTCAGAAATGTGAATACTCTTAAGTGACCCCTAGAGCTTCTCAGAAACGTCAGTACTCTTAAGTGATCCCTAGAATCGCTCAGAAATGTGAATACTCTCAAGTGATCCTAGAGCCGCTCAGAAACGTCAGTTCTCTTAAGTGGTCCCTAGAGCTTTTTAGAAACGTCAGTACGCTTAAGTCATCCCTAGAGCTTCTCAACCACGTCAATACTCTTAAGTGACCCCTAGAGCTTCTCTGAAACGTCGATACTCTTAAGTGACCCCTAGAGCTTCTCTGAAACGTCGATACTCTTAAGGGATCCCTAGAGCTGTTCAGAAAAGTCAGTACGCTTAAGTGATCCCTAGAGCTTCTCAAAAACGTCGATACTCCTAAGTGATCCCTAGAAATGGCCAGAAACGTCCGGGGCGCGTCCCCTTCACGTACCGAGTTTGATTGCATTTTCCTCTTTTTTTTACAACAAGAAAATAAATCACCGTCGCATCAACAATCATCGAAATTTGCTGTTCGCGATTTTTCAGCCGTTCTCCCATTTTTGCAATGTACTCTTCTAAAATCAAATTTCGGAATCATTTTCTTAAAAAGAGGACAAAAACCCATTTGTTTCTCCGTTTCTTGCCGAGTCGTCGCGTTCAGGACAAGCATAGGGGCTCGAATATCAATCAATTTGCAGGAATTTCCTTAAAAACTACCTTTTTTGTCTTGAAATTGACTTCAGAACTTGAAATCTCCTAGAAAACTCTTAAAAACGCCAAAATGATACTGAAAAGGCTCTTCGTCTCGAGAACCTAATGGAAACCTTCTATGTTCCTTTAAAAATTCCTGTCATTTGACTATCTATAGAGCGCTCTGCATCCTGCCTCTATAACGCCAAAAATGGAGCTTGAAAAGGAGCATTTCTAAAAGTTTTAGGAAAGAGGCCGCTTAGTGATGTTTGAAGCATTCGGTAATTTTTTTGGAAACCTAGAAGTTTCAAAAAATGTCTGAAAAACTTTGAAAATCTCAAGGATACTTTATAAGCTTCTGAACTATTTTTGAACACACGGAAATTTCCTCAATTTCCACAAAAAATCACCAATATTAATGGCCGTCTCCAACTTGTCGCCAGTCAAAACCCAAACGCGGATACCGGCTTCCAACATTTTGGAAATGGTCCTGGGGGCCTGGTCTTGTAGCTTGTCCTCGATGGCTGAGACTCCATAGAGCTCGAGATCCTGAGACTGACTTTTAGATACTTTTTTTGGTGTATGACTAATTTTCGTGGAAAAATAGCTTCAGTTTTTGAAAAAAATGTGTAGGTTTGGCGAAACGGCCGCGCGATATAATATCTTCATCTATAATTTTATTTCCACTAACAAATTTCAGAAAATTTTTCGAAAACCTTATCCCAACAATGTCTTTTTCCTATTCACTTTTTCACTCTCCACACTGATAAACCGCACTGAACTAGGGTCCAGAATAATCTGAAAAAATCCAAAAAAATTCGATTATCCATAGAGCACACTTTCTCTGGACTCCTATCCTTGCTATTTTTTCGGGACCATTTTTCTAGGCTTCTTTGTAAGCCTTCAATGATTCAAACTAGTGGACACAAATGTGGCTGGCCCAAGCTTTCAAAAGTTAGAGAAAAGAGAGCGCAGACAAGTCAGATCATTTCCCTTCGTGTCAAAAAACCCACCCTCTCATAATCGTCAAAGAGGTTGGCGAGAATGGCTTTGCGGTCGCAGGAAGTTTTCGAAGTTTCGAACCGAGTTTCGAATTCCTCATATTGTTCTTTACTCAATGTTCGACCAGCGAAACATAGGGTTCGGTAGCCTGAGGATGGAGCAGTGGTTAGGAGGCTGATATGAGAAGCAAAAGGTCAAGGGTTCGAACCTCATACATGTTTTTGCTGCTTCTGACAGCTTTTTCCTCAATAAACTATTAACTATAGGTTGAAGACCAAAATTGAGCAGTGTTCGTCGTCATTATGGAGTAGTGGTTAGAAGGCTGGTATGAGAATAAAAGTCAAGAGTTCAATCCCACGGCAGGTTTGCGCCATTTTTTTTGAATTTTTCTTTGTCATCGCTCATTAGCTGATCTTACAGAGAAAAAAAAAGAGTCTAATCACACCCTTTTCAAACCAAAAATAGACTTGCAAGTCAAAAATTGAACACACAAAATCAAAAAACTACCATTAACGGCAAAAGATTGAAGATGAGCTTGAGTTTTCCTCAAAACTTTTGCCGGGGTCTCGCCAAGCCTCGAGAAGATTATATGATCCTAAATCAATTCAACCAAATTCAAAAAATCAATAATCAATCTTACGGCGCCCTTGCAGAAAAGCTTAATTTGGCCATCGGGAGCCACGACCAAAACCGACATTCTTTTCCGATCCGAGTTGAATTCCATCAAACAACGCATCTCGTAGGTTTCTTCGACTCCAGCCTGAAAAATTAGCTTTCAACTCAATTGGTGGGAAATCTTCAAGATTAAATAAAAAGTTGATAGATCAATTCTAAAGCAAAAATACAACTTTGATGGAAAAAATGTTCTAAAATTAATTTGTAAATGGAAAAATGGACCAAAATTCACTCTCGTATAGTGTTTTTTTAGAAATCCTCTTGCTCTTCTTGTGAGGCAACATAGAATGAATTAATACATCCCAAAAAATAAAAAAATTACCACATCGACTGTCAATTTTTTTGGAGACCGCGAAACGAAAATAAAGTTTGCATCAGCCGCAAAATTGACCAACGCCAACTCATCTGAAAAAAAAACGTTAAAAAAAGAAGGAAAACCAAAAAATCAAGAAAAATCGGAAAAAAACGACAAATAAAAATTTGTGACACCATATTTGCGTCAATCAAGGACAATTGGCGCAAACTTGGTGCTTGCGTTTTCGAATTCAAGATTTTTGAATTTTCCTTTTTTTCGGTTTCTTGTTCAGAAACCTGGAGAAGTTGCGTGGAAAATCGGCCGAACCGAACTCTCGGTCTCGCTGTGTTCCGGTGTGACAGTGTGACATACGGCACAAGCAGTCAAAAAATTTCTAACTTGAACATTATGCTGGAAATTGGAATTTTTTTTCAGATTTGTTATACAAAGCGAACCAATCCATATTTATTGTTAGGCGTCATGTGAGCGAGCAATTTTCTCGGGGAGAATTTATCTTTTCGTTTCGATTTCCTATTCGCGTATTTCAGGCCTTGAAATTGATATGTGTTCGATCTTCTTTTCAGAAAGCTAACCTCCAACAGAGCACATTCGAAAATGCATCGAATTCTGAGTGAGTGTACCCGTCTTATCCGACATTATGTATTTAATCTTTAAATAACAGTATTTCTTGGAAAAAAAGAAGTATAAAACTTTTCCCAAATCCGAGTTCAACGAGAACATTTTCACCTCCACGCCTTTTCCTTTTTCGTTTTTCATTTCGAGGTCCTTAGTTATACACTAATTAATTTATAATTTTTCAGAATTGATTACCCAATTGATAAAGATCCCTTGAAGAACTTCGACGACTTCAATCGTGACGTACAAGGAAATCGGCACGAAACCAGAAAACATGATCAAGCTGTGACTGAATTGCGTGTAGAGGTCGACTGAAATCGGAAGATCCAGTTGATGCGCAGTTAAATTACTGGAGATACGGAGCAGAACTTTTTTTAATACTATTTTCTACCTCTATCAATCAAAAAACAAGCTTAAGGTTTAAAGTTGATGCGCAGCCAATCTAAATGCAAGCATACGGAGCGAGTTTTCCAATAAATTTCTAAGCTTCCTTTTCATTTAAAAATCTTCCTGATACTTTGAACAACCAACAGAGCAACTTTTCTTCATAAATCCACGCTTTTCGACCATTTTTCCATCCAAAAACCTACGCTGTGCGTGGTTTCCCGCAAAAGCAAAGTCGATGAACGCCATGGCCGGATAGAGTCGGGAGACGAGCGCATTCACGGCGCACAAAATGATCAAAATCCCGAATTGCGTCACCATCACCCAGTTGACAATGTCGGACATTGTTGATCTGAGTAGAAGGGTTTGATTTGACTTTTAGGGCTCAAACAAGCTGAAAAAAGGACTCGAAACGATTGAAAATTTTTTCTTTTCAAAATTCGTTTCAAGAATTCTGTCAGTATAATATATCAATTGTACAGGAAATTTTTTGCGAAAAATGACCGTTAGCCTTTTTTTTCGAAAAATGAAGACTACTTTTCCAATAATGCGGTGAATTGGAAGTAAAGTGGGTCCGCCCGTATTAAGCTTATGTAACGATAAATCGGGTCTGCCCGTGTAACGATGAAGCGGATTTGCCCGTGTATCGATAAATCGGGTCTGCCCGTATAAATATAAAAAGGGTCTGCCCTCATAACGGATGAATCGGGTCTGCCCGTATAATTATAAAAAGGGTCTGCCCTCATAACCGATGAAGCGGGTCTGCCCGTATTAACGATAAAGCGGGTCAACCCATGTAAAGATGAAGCGGGTCTGCCCGTATTACCGATAAAGCGGGTCTGCCTGTGTAACTGTAAACCGGGTCTATCCGTTAACTATGAATCGGGTCTGCCCTTATTGCCGATAAAACGGGTCTGCCCGTAATAACGATAAAGCGGGTCTGCCCATATTAACAATAGAGCGGGTCTGTCCGTGTAACGATATAACGGGTCTGCCCGTATTAACAACAGATCGAGTCTGCCCGTGTAATGATAAATCGGGTCTACCCGTGTAACTCTGATGCGGGTCTGCCCGTATTAAGCCCTTGTAATCACAGCATCTCTACAGCTGATGCCCTTTTTTAGCTCAGTTGGGTCTCAGATTCTCGGAATAAACATATCTTAGTTTCCCTCTTTTCGCACAACTGGGACGAAAATAGCCCTACGGGATCGATTCGGGTACACCCGTTTGGGACAAGTGGGAGAAGCTCACCGTTTCGGCGACTTTTTCGTATTATTCTTGCTGAGTTTCGTGTCTTTACCCGTGTAAATCACCACGCCGTACACGTGTTTCGTATTTTTCAACCTGGATCCTCTCAACAACATGTTGTTGATAGCTGAAAAAAGCCACAAAAATACAATAAATCTCTGGAAAAAACGCACAAAACTCAATAGTTTTCGAAGGTTTTTGGGCGACCATGCTTCGGTCAGGAGTAGCTGAAAATTGGTCATATTTCTCTTTTTTTTTAGTTTTTTGTAAGGTTCGCAAATGATGCTCTTGCGCGCAAGCCGTTTTCGGTCGGGCAAGCTTTGGAAGGCCCAGTTTTTCGCCATAATTTTCTGTTTTAACGACCCACTATTCGAATCGACAAAAAAAAATCTAAAAATTCGTGCAAAAAATCAATTATTCGAGCTCAGATCAAGTCCTAGTTTTCCTAGTACCCCACTTTTTCAGCCCAAGATTTTGAAGGTTAGAAGAAAATTTGATCATTATCAGGTTAGTCTTAAACCGTGCTCTCGACTGTCTGCGTCTCTCTGTTCCCTCACCGGTGAGGTCAGAGAAACGTGGAAATTGCCCGTCGAAACGAGAGGGTCACGCAGAAGTCCCGCCCCTTTAAATCGCAATAAATCTACTATCATTGAGATTGGAATAACGATTTTAATTATGAGTTTTATCTGTTGAAAACCTTAGTTCCATAGAGAGAGTTAGAGAGGCTCAACGCGCGCCCGACCCGAAACGGCTTGCGCTTTTTCGCAATCTTTGGTTCAGAAGAACGACAGGAAGTTCTCGTCTTTGCCACTGTTTCCGTGGAAGTGTTTTAGGTCGGGCAAGGTTTGAAACACCCAGTTTACGCAATCGAGTTGCTTGATGCGCGCCCGACCAAAAACGGCTTGCGCTCTTTCCCAATCTCCAGCTTATAAGATGGACAGAAAGTTCTCGTCTTTGCCACTCTTGCCGCTGGAATCTATTTAGGTTGGGCAACAAGGTCCAGTTTTCGCAACATTTATTCTGTTTTAACGACTTAATGATGACTTCAAAGCTCAATGAGTATGGCTCAATTCGCGCCCGACCAGAAACGGCTTTCGCTCTTTACCAATCTACAGTTCATAAGAAAGTTCTCGCCTTTGCCACTCTTGCCGCTGGACGTAGTGCTATCGCTGCCAGTTTCGATGTAGCCGTCACATTCGTGAATCTGACGATTCGGAGCGTCACAATGGATCGAGGTACTCGAGTTCCAGAAGGTCTAAAATTAATAAAAAATACTCTCCGAAAAAATCTGCAACCTCCAACGTGGCTTCATCGATAAGATGCTCCATGTCGACGACCGCTTGGCGGACCTAGCAAACTTCTCAGAATTCCTCAGATTTGCTCATACTACCTTGAGATTGCTCTCGCCGTCTAAATTAGCCGTGTCAATGTAAGCAATATTCCCCGGTTCGGAAGTCGCCAAAATGAGCAAATCGGCCGGAAGTTGTTCTCCAGACTTGACTTGGATGATTTGGCCGACGTGGAGCTGGAAAATTTGGTGTGGCTCAGAAGGTCGAGGGTTCGGCTCCGCTTCGGAACGGCTATGTTTTTTGCCCTTTTTCTAGCTTTCTTAAAGTGATGTATAGTTCATGCTCAACTGGCGAGACGCCTTACTTTTTTTCAGGTACTGCTCAGAAGGTCAAGGGTTCGACTCCGCTCCAGAACGGCCACTGTTTTGCCATTATTTCTTTAACCTTTTTAGAGCACTAAAGGTCATAAAAATTTAGTGCGAGCCTTTCAAAAGCATTGCTCAACTGGCAAGACTTTTTCCTACCGCTCAAAAGGTCCCAGGTTCGAATCCTCCACCTACCGAGCTCCAAAAAGTCTCCTGCCATCCTTGGTCGGTGTGCGCGTAGACGAATTGCCGATTGACTTTCCGGTCTCGTATCCGGCGAATCTAAAGTCATGAAACAGTGATGTTACAAGAAATATTGATTCAAAACTCACAATGTCTTCAAAAATCTCGCGGACAAGTGTACATGCAAGTATGAAACATAGGGGAGCAATCATTTCGTTGCCAAAAGCTGCGTTTCTGATTTGTGTCTGAACTTTTCGGGCTGATTAAAAATGGTGCGCTTTATCCTAAAAATCGCGCACTTTCCTCTCAAAATCGCGTACCCTCCCCCAACATCGCGCACTCCAATTAACTGCAAAAATCTTGTGAGGTGGGTCAGACAACGATTCCTAACGTAGTAAAAAAAAATCGGTACTTTTATAAACGCGGTCAAATCTCTAAATCGTGAGCTTCATTTTAAAATCGCGCGTCACCCTCAGAATCGCGCACCCTCTCCCAAAAATCGCGCAGTCCAATTCACGCCCAATATCTTATGGGAAGGCCCAGAAAATGATTTATGAAGTTTTAAAAAAATTAATATTTTTTTAAAAAAACGCGATGAACTTCCAAAATCATGCGTTTCCCAAAAACGCGCACTTCCCCCTCAAAAACGCGCATCCCACCCCGAAAACGCGCACCCCCTCCCAAAATTGCGCTCACCCGCAGAATAGTTAGGAGAAGAAAGACGAAATTGGCGAATTGCTTGAACTGATTGAGAAGAAAACACGGTAGAAACATGATAATCGAGTAGTGATGTGTGTGGAGCCAATTGCTCGGTTTCTGTCGTAACCCCATGTAGATTCTGAACTCTTTTTGAACTTCTAGATTATTAATATGCTCTTTTTTTGTGAAATTTCGAATGCTTTGCTCAAAATGGATCAAAAAAGCGTTTCTTAAAAAATTTTTATTCGAGGTTTTTTAATAATATTGTCTGGCGGCCTAACTTTCCAAATGAAAAAGAATCTTCATATTTATACGGAAAACTCACATCTGAAGCTTAAATATGGAGGGTCTGTTTTCGTAAAATCTTACTTATACGCCCTATTTTGTAACACCCCCCTCAAAAAATCCCTTTCTGCACTCAAAAAACTAAAGTTTAAACGTAAAGGCCTAGTTTTCCAAATCCGACAGCCTAACTTTCCAAATCAAAACTGACGTGATACGCTTCTGTGCGGCCGTATCGTTCTCTGCATTTTTCCTTCTTTTGATGAAATCTTTCTTTTTACCCTAAAAATCTTCATAAAGTCATCTTTTCACAGAGGATCCCACCAAAAAGTTGACAAATTTGAACAGTTTGAAGGGTAGCGTGCTGCAGCAGCTGTTGTTGATGGCTTCTGGAGGGACGCCGACCGTGGCGACGTCGGCGACGACGTCATCAGCTCGCGTGACGTCATTCGACAGGGTGACGTCATCGGACGGTTTGATGTCCTCCTCGCTGCGCGTCATTATTCGTCATAAAATGATGTGAAAAGCTCGGCGGATAGCCACGCAACGCAGTTTTGTTGATTTATCGATAGTGTTGATGGTTATCTTTGCTTAAGTTGCCAGAGTGGTCCCTATAGGGGTTAGTGGACAAAAAAGTGCTCACTGTAGGAGTAAAAATCAAGTGATCATTATAGGGGTTTAGGGTCTAACTTCAAAGCCCCTAAGAGATTTTTTAATTTTTTTGTAGATCTCAAAGTAAAAAAGACGTATTCAATAAAACTCAATAGATTAATATTCTGTTGATATTTTTTTCATTCTACTAGAATTCAAGCTTTTGCTCTTCAGTATTCCCTTTAGAGGAGGCAAAGTGGTCCCTAGAGGGGGTCTTTACTTGAGTACGCTAGAGTGGTCCCTATAGGGGTTGGTGGACAAAAAAAGTGCTCACGGTAGGAGTGAAAATCAAGTGGTTCTTATAGGGGTTTAGGGGCCTAACCTTAAGGTCTCCATATGGATCTTTTAACTTTTTAAAAAAATTTTTTTCAAAGTTAGAAAGACGTACTCAATAAAACTCGATCGATAAACCCTCTATTGATTTTTTTTTTCATTTTACAAAAATTAAAACTTTTTCACTTCAGTGGCTCCTTTAAGGGGAGGCAAAGTGGTCCCTAGAGGAGAGCTTAGGCTGCCCCTATAGGGGAGCACTCTGTCGTCCTTGAGCCTTTTTTTGTTAAAAAAATACGACTTGAATAGCTGCCTAACATTATCGCTTCGAAAAAATCAACTCAAAATTATGAAAATTTTCAAAAAATTGAGATAAACGGATCTTTTTCTCCACACAACATACAAATAATGATTGAAGCCATCGCTATCAAAATAATCCACAAAAAACATTTCAAAACAAATTTATTCCATATCGATTCATTTATTTTTACTTTTTCACCATTTTCCGGTCATGTAAGTCTGGTTGTGGTTGCGCATGAAGGCTTCCGTGTAGAGCTGGAAAATTCCGTTTTCTTCAGAGAATAATCGATAAAACTGACAATAAAAGCGATTTCTGGGGTTTTGGTCTCGGCGGCGTTGAAAGTGTCGACAACCGCATCGGTGAGTTTGCCGTCGTTGTCCTGGAAATTGTTCCGAAAGTGTTGGATTTGGGAATTTAGGCCGTGAGATCTTCTAGCTGATTCACAGCTGACTTGGCCATCAAAAAAAGGGTCTTGACACGATTTAAAAAAAAAACCAAAACAGTTATTGAAATTTTGATGGTTTTTATGATCATATCAAGTGAAGATGTGATATTTTTCAAAACTCAGGATCCGGCAAATATTGCAAGCAGGTAATTAGTTTTTTCAAGCCGTCAAAAACTACAAAACATTCAAATTTGGAAAGTTAGGTCGCCAGTTAGTTAGACGTCACTAAAATTCGAAAGTCGAGCCTCCATGAGATTTAAAATCACTGGGAACACTTGAAGCTGGCTCAAATCTCAGCCACACTGAATTTGGAGTTTTAGGTCACGAGAAGTCGATTAATTTAGGAGATTTGGAAACTCAGGCCTTCAAAACTTGTGTGAAACATAGTACCAGAAAAATTGAATAATTCAGAAGTTATTGAACAAAAGGCTTGAAAAGAGAGCAATCCTTATTAGGTCAATAGGAAAATAAAAATTATGAACATTGGGAAGTTCGGCCTTCAGGCGTCTCAAAATTTGGAAAACTAGGCCATCATTGAAATTTTTTCTTTCTAATCCCTCCAGTGATCCAGAAATGTTTTTTTTTTGCATTTTTAAAACTCACAGAGAAAGCGATTGTCACAAGGAAATAGGCCAACGAATATTCGATCGAGTTCATGTAGTTGATGTCCCACAGCATGAACATTTTCTTGTGCTGAACAAAAGATCGATATTGATTCTTATCAATTATTGATTGATTATTTATTCTTCTAGAGAGGTCTTAGGGTCGCTCAATGCATCGCGGTTCTATCGAGGAGGATTTTTCTTCTCCTCAAAACGAAAGACTCGCGCGGGGTGGCATCTCGAAGCATAGGCCGTCAAGAAGCCGCTCAAAATCTTGCGCAACGCGACCGCGACGCGTCCAACCCATTCCAAACGCGGCTGCTCAAACCTTGGTGGCAGTCGCTGCATCGGCCACCCTAGTCACTACGGTTGTGTAGTTGTTGAACCATTTTTTCAGGGCTTGTCTCTAAAATTAGACATCTTAACTTCAAAAAAATATCTGTTCGGATTTTAAAAACGTCCAGTCGAACCTGAGAAAGCAGAGCGATAAGCTTAGCCTTGCTGAAGGTGGCGTTGTCGAACTGGGAGAGAGTCTTCATTCCGATTTTTCCGCCCTGAATTAGATTTTTTCAACTTCACATGAAACTTGATCACATGGAAATGGGTTCGAAGTATTAATATGTATTTAAATTCGATAGTGCGAAAGTCGCTTCAGGTCGGGTCAGGGATTGTATGATTAGAAAAATTGGAAATTTTCAAGATTTCATGAGACTCTAATCAGTTTTTTTATCAAGTGTGACGATGAAAACCTTGATTTTCCAGGCTTTATTTAAATTTTTTTCAAACTATTAAAGCGAATTGAGAACATTTAATAGGCTCTGAAAAAGCTTATTCAATTTTGAAAAAAACTGAAAAAAATTATTTCAAAGTTGTATACACTCAAAAAAGCGTATGCAACTTTGAAAAACTGAAAAAAATTAAGCTTTTTTGAGCTGAAATTCCTACAAAACCATTTTTTTTTTCTATTCTCCCACAAATTTCTGACTTTTGCTTCTGTTCGAAAAGTTCAAAAAAGAGAAAACGATTTCTGAAACCCTCAAAAAATTGAAAAATCATCAAAAACCCACCGCGATGTGATTACCGGCAGTGAAAAAGTTGTTGACAGCCGTTTTTTGGCCAGCCAAATCCGTCATTTTTGAGTTCAGCGTCTTGCAGAGCTTAATCAATACTTTTATTCATCCGAAAACGTCCGTTTGATCAAAAAAAAAGTATCAAAAAAAAAAACGAACATTGGCGGCCTTGTCGTCGGCCGCAAAAGGCATGATCCTATGAAGGGCAGCCAGTGAAAGGTTCTGAAAAAACCGCTGATTGTTCAAAAAACACCAGAAAAATATTTTTCGGACGCACCAGTTAGGTTTTCCCATGAGCTAGGTGATTTCGCAGTTTCTTTGGTAATTTTTTTGAATAATTTGTTCCTATAACAATAATGTGACAGTGTAGGAGTGTAGTAAAGTCTGATTATACATATACTTATCCTAATAAAAAATTCTAACTCTAAAAAAATGCACGTTAATTAACGTATGAAAATACCGATCTCTCAAGTGCTCACTTGAGTCCCACAAAAAATTTTATTAATATATAATGTCCTTTTTTTTTGGCTTCTTTTCCAGGTTTTGTGACGTCACTGATTAATGGAGCAATACTTTAATAAGCCTTTAGAAATATATCATTTCAGGTTATGTCCAGAAGCTCTGTTACAGGATTCCTTCAGTTGGCAGATGAATTTCTGTATTGGAAGAATCGATAAATCACTGCTGTTCCCTCAAGTAATCACTTAAGGGGCACAATAGGCGGCTCAAACATAGCTACAAAAAGTGTGGCTTCTTGAGAGTCAGTTTACTCAATGTTTTATTTTCTACCTTATTAACTCTCCGAAAAATAATCCTCCCACTAAATATCGGCTAAGAATTATTTTTAAGGTTCTAGAGAACCTTTTTATCAATGAGGAAAACCGATGAAACCCAAAAAGATCCAAATATAGCTCTTCTACGATACTAAAGGTCAATATAATCCACCGCACTCCCAAAAATCACCGAAAAATGGGTCTGGGCTAACAGAATTCTATCAGAGAAATGGAAAATCACATTTTTTTTATCGTAGTAAAAGTTTTCAAAACACAAAAATGTCGTGCCTATCGGAAAAAATTTTCGTGAACCTTAATTATCAGAGAAACACAAAATTCGGCTCTTCTGTTGAGATTCAGACCTTTTACTGTAAGAAAAAGCTACAGTAACCCGAAAGTCACAGTCTTTTCAAAAAAAATTCCCTATCCTGTTCCTTCAGATGAAGGGCAGACAATTTAAAAAAAGTCGATCATTATTTAAACTCGAAATTTCTACTTGAAACCTTCTACCGTAATCCTCAAAGGCCACCGTACTCCCAAAACGCGGCAGAACCGAAGAAAAACGAGAATTTGATTTCGTGCATTGAAATTACACGCTTCCACTGTAATTAAAGCTACAGTAACCTATCCAAAAATATTCAACTTGAAGAAATATTTTCTCGCCTGACTCTTCCAACTGTTAGAAGATTTTCAATAAACAGATGGATTCTCGAATTTTCCTCTTAAAAAGCTTCTACAGTATCCCTTAAAGCCACCGTACTCCCAAAACTCACCGGGAAGTCGGTCTGAACCTGGGCCATCGAAGAGCCAACGAGGAAAACGCCGAGAAAGACGATAGCCGTCGGCGACATCGTAGCAGCCAAAACTACCCAAAGTGGAAACCAGCCAATAAAATGAAACAAAAACCCCTTTCAGTGGGGCGGATAATGCGGATTATGTCTTTCGGGGGGCGCCACACGAAAATTGATGAACCTAACCGAGATCACAACCTTTCCATTATTTTTTGGACAACGTTTTATGGCTCAAAGATCGGTAGGAATCAGGGAGAATGAGACGGGGAAAAAAAAGAAGTTAGTCTTCTTCGGAACTGCTGCTGCCGTCGGTCGTCGTAGTCTTGTCTCCGACGGAATTGATTCTGAGGAAGAGCAGTTTTTTGATGAAGGACAAATGATAATGAAGACATGAATTTAGGCGGTTCTTCAGATGATTTTTTGAGAAATTCCGGATTCTGAACATCCAAAAAAACATTCTTTTCCAATTATATCCTTGATAAAATTTGTTCTCTGGAAGATTGTAGGTTTAAAATGTAACCATCTCAAACTATACTAGTTTTTAAAAGCTGTCACAGTACGTTGGAAGCTTCAAGAAACACATTTTCCCTCCTTTACTCTATTTTTAACGTTTCTAAGCCTATGGATGTTGAAAAAAATTCTCAGAAGCTTCTAGATTATTCAAATGAGCCTAAGGACCACTTAAAAAATCAAAATAATCTACAGAGCTTTCAGAAGCTTCACTCACCTTAAAAGTAACCTTGAAAAATTCTCAGAAGCTTCTAGATAATTCAAATGAACCTAAGAACCACTTAAAATTCAAAATAATCTACAGAGCTTCCAGAAGCTTCACACACCTAAAGAGACATCTTAGAAAGTTCTAAAACTCCTTGAAGACCTCTCAAAAACCCAAAAGTTTTGAGTTACCCCTTCCAACCTTGACGATAGCTTTTATAACTTCTCAATAAACCCAGAAATTTTTCAGAACCCGAAAAAATGGAAAAATTTCCGATTTTCCATGTTTAAACTTTTTTAAAAACTCGAAAAGCCCTTTATTATATCCAACTCACGATTTCTGAGCCTTGGGCATTGCCAACGCCTGCAGGTAAGTCTTCATATCGTGTGGATCAAACTAAACACACCCAACTTTCCAGTGACCCCTCAAGTGACCTAACCTCGCGGAAAACCAAGGTACAGACTAGATGAGTCTGGTCGAGGATCTCGTTGATGAATCGTGACGTCACCTTCTTCGGATGCACCTGATGACGGAGCGACGTCAGCCCATTGCAGGTCCGCACCAGGTAGGAGCTCAGCTTCAAGGATTACAGTAGGAGGGTACTGTAGTTGCTAGAAACTACCGTAGTTTCAATCGGCTTGCCTTTGGTGCCATGACAAATCTGGGCCGGATTCTTCTCTTGCTGCCTTTTTCGGATTCGAACAGCCTGAAAGATTGGTCGAGTGGCTAAGGGGATAAACCGTCGCTCAAAAGGTCCCGGGATCAAAGCCTCCTCACCATATCTTTGATTCCAAACGCAAGTTCTTGGTTCTTCGCTATCCGCGCGATCAGATCGTCGTGGCTGGCCGCCTTTAAAATTGTGAAACTGATTTATTCAACCAATTTATTTGGATTAACCAAATGACGTCCTTTTTTCAGCTGTTGCGAGAGACCTCTGTACGTTCCCACCACGTCGAGGAGCTTTAAAAATGATATAAAGATACTATTTTCTTTTTTTACTATTGAAGAAATATTGAAATTTTTAAAAAAAGAACATCAAAAAAAAGTGGGTTGAAACTAAATACAAAAGCTAAAAATGAACCAAAATGGATCAGAACCAAGGTTATAAGCCTGAGAAGTGCCGAGAGCTGCATCAGGGCGATCAAGCTCACGGAAAAACTCCGCCAGCTCAACCTTCGGCTCCTGCTTCCGCGCGCACCTCCAACAGTACCTCCACTCAGAGAATGGATTAAAGTTCTCGTCACGCCCAGTGAAGTGAGCGGACGGCGCGCGCTGGTTATATAACCCTCGGCGGGGGTGCGACCGACTCGCGGCGGTCTTCGCCGCTGTGTATTTCTCGGCGCGTGAGGGGTGAAATTTGACGGAATTCAGCCGTTTCGGGCGCCATTTTAAGATGCTGCGCAGGAAATTTTCGAAACTACATCTTTTAAAAATTGAAAGCTCATTGATAACTCCATTTTGAGCCCTCAAAATTGAAGTTTGAACTCCTCTTGGAAATTTGCAACGGCGGAACGCGAAAAATTAACAAAATCGCCGAATTGTATTAATTTTCAGCTATATTCCATTTTAGTTCTTGGAATATAGAAGTTAAAAATTGACTTTTGTATTACTAGAACCTTTTCTCATACTTCAAATCCATCTTTATGAGAAGAAAATCAAAAAATGTAAGAATTTAGAATTTAAATGTTTTTTTTCGAGGCTATAAATTTTTCCCATTTTCTGTTATATTTCCATTTCTTTTCGAAATTAATGCAGATATAAAACCTTTAACTGTTTCGAAAATTGCCTCGAAACACTGTTTTCATAATTATAACAATACAAATTCAAAAATGAACAAAGAAACCAACTGTTTGAATATCCGAATATGTTGCCTTGATAATGTCATTAGTGAATTTCGTGTCGGTCGTCAGATCCAGTATCAATCCTTCGAATCGCTGTGCAATCTGTAGAACGCGAGCACTTTTTTTCAATTTACAAACGAAAAAAAAACAACAAAAAAAGAAAAAGTTTCGATGATTCTTTCATGTTGTCCATGGCGCGCCTTTGCACGCATGCAACTTTTTTTCTTTTTTATCGAAAAATTTTTCATTTCTATCTTTTATCCTTTTCCTTTCTTATTTGAGAAGTGAAATCGAAAAAAAAGCATACAACAGTATCGGCAATGTCCGCTTTTCGTTGGTGTCCTTTTTCCCACTCCTTTGTGAACGTTACCAAATTATTCATTCTAAAACTTGTAATTTCAATTTCTGATATCAAAAGTCATTCAGGAATGATGAGAAATGATATTTTCACGGACTTTTTGATTTCCATCCGTGCCACTTCGATCAACCGCTGTAAAAACATGGGCTTGTTTCGACAAATCGGCGTTTAGACGATCCAAATTCTGAAAATTGATCATATTTTCCAGGTTTCAGGCTTAAATTGGGTTCAAGGTATCTAAAACCAGTTTTTTGGGTCACTTTAAATTCATTTAAAAAAAACTAAAAATTGATTTTTCAAACTTAGAAAACCTTTTTAGAGTCGTTTTTCTTATCCTTTGGTTGGACACTTCCCTCAACCGATTGCTACAAAATTCCTACCGTAATATTCTCAGAGTTCTACAGTATCCTACCGTAGTATTGGAAGTTTGACGCTTCAACTCGGTGCAAGGGATCATCGGCCCGAAGTTGAGGTCTTCGTTCGCCATTGCCTATTGGAAATGACAGTTTTTCTGTCTTCTCTCACGTCTTCATTTATTCATTTTCTTTCGAGTTTATTGTTGGAATTCTGGCAAAGTTTCTAGTGGCCACTTAAGGGGTTGCTTAAGGGCTACCTGGAGAGGACGCTGAAAAACCTATATAAATGCCGCCTCGGAAATTCGTTACGGATGTGCTCCGAACGTTTCTGGGCGATTCTAGGGATCACTTAAGAGCTCGGAAGCTACTAAAGTGGTCACTAGAAATGCCCCGACTGTTCCGTTTCGCGTTACCAATGTCCGAGGCTATTTTGCCTCTAAGTGGGTCACTTTAGTAGTCTCTTTTTAGTGGCCACTAAAATGGCCTCAAAACCCTAAAGAGGCCCCTAGAAATTTCCCCGGATTTTTGAGATTTTTTTATAGATAAAAAAAGATTAGATTAATATATAACAAGATAAATTTAAAAAAACATGAAAAAAATATGACCGAACCATTATTCATTTTTTTCTGACAGTAAGCTAAAAAAAGTCTTTAAAATATTCATTTTTTTCAAGGTTCCTTCTCATTTTTTCTTTCCATTTTTCTATTCATATTCCTCTTTCCATTGAAATTTTGAATGTTTTTTTCCGCCGACAGCCGCCATTTTTTTCACTCTTTTTTTCTCTGCCAGCCGGGTTAGAGTCGTTGTTTACTTCGATTCGCATCTTTTTTATTCTTTCTCTTCGTTTTGCCCTCCGTTCTTCGGAGCTTTCCTTCGCTATTTTTTGATTTTTAAGTTTTAAAGGCATTATAATAATGATTTTGATGATATAAGAACGAAAAAATTCAGTTTGACATCCAAAAAACTTCTTTTCAGACTCTTTTCCACTTATTTAGACTCAAAAATTGGAATTTTTTCGTTCTCAATACTTGTTTGTCAATGAAAAATCTCCGCTAGAGGGACAATGAAGCTATTTTTTCTATTAAACTTCCATGAAAAGGTCAAAATCGATCGATTTCTCTCAGCGAACTCGTGAGGGTCAGATTGCAGTGTTTTTCGTGTTTTCTGCCCCCCCAACTTTACGCTTTTCTCTTGTTTCTCGAACAAAAAAATGAACTTATTTCATTTTTTTCAATGATAGAACATGGAAAAAAACTTCCTCATTAAAAGAAAAATTTCAATTATTATTATGCATGTTATTTTTTTATCAGAGTAAAAAAACTAAAATACCCCGGTTCTTATTTTTTTCCAAATACTGGGAAAATGCTTAGTGGCCACTATAGGGTTTTGACGTTTTAGTGGCCACTATAGCAGTCAAACTAATGGCCACTTAAGGGGTTAAAAATTAGTGACCACTTTAGAGGTCTAAGTGCTACCACTAGACCATTTTCCCAGTATATTAAAAAAATAAATATCAACGAAAAATAGATAAAATTACCCTTGTGTTCTTTATAAACTTCCAAAATATTGATTTTCTCTCCAAAATGTTTGATTTTTCACACAAAAAATACGATTCTTTTCAAATTTTGAGCTTTTTTCTTGTTTTTCTGCAAGTTTTCTTAATTAAATCACTCCAATTTCTTCCCAAAACATGATGAATTTCTCAAAAAGCATAGATTTCTCCAAAAAATTGTCATTTTCAGCTCGCGATTCACACAAAATGTTCAACAACCTATTAAACTCGGGTAAGATTTCCTTCGTTTCGGCTTTTTTTTTTAGTTCTTTGAGCTCGTACTTTCTTTGCGTAACCAAAACAACAGTCGTGGGGATCTCATGTGATGAAAGTGATGGATTTCTTGTGTTTCTTTGGATTTTCGGGACAACTGAGCACTTTTTTGTTTCGAAATGATGGCTGATTTTGAGAGGAAAAAAAGTTAGAGTTCATCCATCATTCACCTATTCAATCCTGCCTTCCTTACTGACTGTTAAAAAAATAAATGAATAAATAGTTGCAGCAAAAAAATGGAGGAAAAAGATTACAGAATGATTGAAAAAAACTACTGCACAAAAAAACAGGAAAAAAATTGGTTTTTAAAAAATTTTTCAAACTTCATATTTGAATTTTATTTATTTGAATTACTTCAACTATTTGAATAAATTAAAAAGATATTGCTCAGATTCAATGGAAAAAAATTTGAAATTTTTTTGAAAAATTCCGAAAAATAAGTTTTTTTAGACTACGAAGTCCTTAACACGATTTTCAATCTTTCTGAAAAATTTGATTAATAAAATTATCAATGAAATAAGGCTTCGTCATGCTTTTTTTCAAAAGGAAACGTTTAGTTAGTGAATAAACTTTAATTATATTTTTTTAGACTTGAAAAAAATAATAAATTTAAGCCAAAGAAGCCGTCAACTCGGTGGCAAAGACACTAGAAGAACAGACGCATCAAAAAATCAGAACCAAGGCCAAACTACGACCGTTTCTGCTAGTGAAGAAGTCGGTAAGAATTCGAAAAAGCTCTATGAGACTTCTTGGTCGCATTTGGAATGGCTCAGTGCTGACAGCAGCTCTTTAAAATGATACTCCAAAGCGCAAACAGTTTCGGGTCGGGCTCAAAAAAAATAGAAATTCAAATGCGATCATGGTCTTCTTGGAACTAATCTAGTGAATTATAAATTTTGAAGTCGGCAAAATCGACTCCCAAGGAGGCAAAGTTCAAGTCACTACAGTAACCGACGACGGCGACAAGGCTACCACGACTAAAACTACTGTGGAGAAAGGTTTGAATTATTGAAAAAATAAATTATCCACAAATTCCTTTTTGAACCTAAGCCGTGAACTTTGAAGACTCGAAAAATTTGTGAATTTTGAAAATTTTCCCAATCCTTCCTTAGGAACGCCAGAGTGGTCCCTGTAGGAGAGCATGCTAGTGTTCTTAGAAACTCCAGAGCAGCCCTTCTAGGGGCGACCTTAAGGGCTCTTGAAGGCTTCTCTCTAGGGGCCATCTTAAAAACCCCTATAAGAGCCACTAGAGCTTGCAAAAGTGCGCCCCATAGGGAATCATGCTAGTGGTCCCTGTAGGGGAGCATGAAAGTCGTTTATTGTTTAAAATGCTATGAGAAGAAGCATTTATATGCGAAAAACTGGAAAAATTAGCGTTTTCGAATGAAAAATATCAACAGAAATTTTTTTTTTCAAACCTAAAAAAAAAAATTAAAAAACCCCTATAGAGACCACTTGGGCTTGAGGGGCTTGGGGCAGTGTTTTAAAATGAAAATATCAACAGGAATTTTTTTTTCGAACCTAAAAAAATTTTAAAAAAACCCCCCTATAGAGACCACTTGGGCTTGAGGGGCTCCCTGAAGGGACCACCAAAATTTTAACCCCTCTAGGGAGCACTTTTTCGCTCCCTACGGCGGCTTTTTTGTCCTTACCCCTATAGAGACCACTCAAGTGATTCTAAGTGTCACAATTTATACATTGATTATTAGTTTCTCTCAAACCTAATGAAATAAAACAAATTTTCACCATTTCCAGAAGGAGGCAACGATTTCCTCTCTGGATTGATGCACGTGGCCCAGGACATCGGAAAATATGTCGGGGATAAATCGAACCAATCCGTGACGCCGGCTGGTGATGTCGAGGAAGCGGGTCGGTTTTTCTATAATTTTCAGAGTTTTGAAAGGTCGTGGGATGTGTATGAAACATATCTCGCAGTTTTTCTCAAAAAATCTTGGAAGTTAAACCTAACGCATCTTTAACTTTAACGGCAAATAACTATTGTGAGTTCATTTGACCAAGGAACCAAAACCGCGAACACAAAAAGTACCGTATCTCAAAAATTTCTACAGTAACCCAAGATGGTATGTACTGGAAAAGTTCCAAAAATTGCATTACCTATCGATTGTTGTACAACTTGTCTAGAGAAAACTCGTCAATTCTTAGATACGCAGGCCTACCGTAACCCGGTTACGGTTGGAGGAAATGGCTCAAAAAATCGTGACTGTTTTTGAGAAAATTTTGAGAATTACAGAGGCAGCGTGTTAACTCGCTTTATAATGATCATTTTTGATGCCTTTGAAAAAAAAAATTATCCTCATTGCTCTGAAAATATTCAAAAAAGTTCCTAACTCGGTTTTTTTCACCATAGAAGCGACTATTGAAAAGCATGTTTCTTGTAAAAAATTTTGAAAGATCACTAGGAATCTCTTAATCAGAAGAACCGGTTCTTTTTGAATACGAAATTGATTTTCAAAGTCCGAACGACCTTAAAAGGCCTCGAAAAGAATAGCCTGAAGCTCCTTTTTGAGTTCCTAGAGAAGTGTCAAAAGCTCCTCTGTATCTTCTTTTTCCGCCTTTTTTTTAACCCTCTTTGAAAAGTCTAGAAAAAAGAGGCCTTTTTTTCCAAAACTCCTTATTGAGACCTTCGGACTATACGTTTCAAGCAGATTTTTTCAGACAAAAATATCTAGAGAAGCTGTTAAAGAGCTCACCAATACTTGTTGATGGAAGGCTTTGAACTGCTAAAAAGGCGCTTTTTTTGCTTCAGAAATCGAACACAGCTAGGAGTCTTTTTTCAGCCCTCTGTAGAACTTTTGATGAAAACTTTGCTGGCGTGTACTGACGTGAAAAATAAAAAAGTTCTTGTAGAAAATCTGGTTTTCTGGTTAAGAAGCTTAAAAACCTTGTAAAACCGTCCATACATCGGCTCAATCCCACCCCAGCCAAAAAAATTTTGAAAATTTACTGAAAAAGGCCGCACTTTTTTAGGAAGTAGGCCGGAGTTTGAGGGGAGTAGGTCGCACCACGGGGTGGGATCCAGCCGGCGTATGAAACTTCCAAAGTCGGAAGTGCAGAAAATGGGTGAAAAAAGGGAGTGATAGCAAAATGGCCGCTAAAAGGGTTCCGTTTTGCGGCCTTTATTGAGCCTTTTTTTCTTGGTGAGCTAAAAAGCCTCAAAAAAGGTGAAAATAGGGAGAGGCTGCAAAATGGCCGCTAAAAGGGTTCCGTTTTGCGGCCTTTAGTGAGCCTTTCTTTCTTGGTGGGCTAAAAAGCCTTAAGAGGGAGCTAAAAGTCTCGGCCATCGATTTTTCCGATTTTTTTTTACTGTAATACATTTTGGTTCATACATTGGTAAAGATTATTCTCAATTAAAAAAAATTTGTGATTCTCAAAAGGGTCCAAAAAGGGTGAAGAAAGGCCGATGAAAGGCCGATGAAAGGCAGTAAAAAGGGAACCGTTTAGGAACAATTAATGGAAAGCTTTTTGCACCCCCAACGGACCCTCATAGAGCGCTTAAAGGGTCCTTCCGACTTTGCCTATTTATAGCTTTTTTTGGGGGTTAAAATGTTCCCTATTAAGCTATGAAAGTTTATGCTCCTCTTTTTCCAGTTGGCGTTATCGATTCCAAAGACGGTAAGGTCCAAGTTACAACAATCGCCGACGACGGAAATAAAGTCACGGCTACTGTTGAGAAAGGTATAATTCTCGAAATAAAAACCGTGAGTTTTTCAATTCAGACACCAAGCAAGGAGGCGATTTTCTCAGTGGACTACTCAGCGCGGCTAAAGAAGTCGGCAAGTTCGTTGGTGACAAGGCTCAGGAAGGCGCCCAAGCGGCCAAATCTGGAGCCCAAGCTGCAGGTTGGGTCTTTGAAGGGGGTAGTAAAAAATAGTTGGGAAAAAAGTTCAAAGTCGGAGAGAGAGAGAAGTTTGAGATCCTACGAAAATTTTTAGTGTCCACTATAGAGGCTCGCCACTACTTGGATAGGACACTGAAGTGGCCACTTAACCCACCTCTATAGTGGACACTATTTTCCGTTTTAGTGGCCACTTCAGTAGTTTTTCATCCAGTATTCCTTCCAGTAACTCTGATAGTTTCAAAACAAACAGATTGGACCAGTTATGTTGATCCATTGACCTCTGAAGTGGCCACTAAAATTTTTAGTGGTCCAGTAGTAGCACTTAGACCTCTAAAGTGGCCACTAATTTTAACCCCTTATGTAGCCTTTAATTTGACTACTATAATGACCACTGAAACGTCAAAACCCTATAGTGGCTACTAAAATTTTCCCAGTCGCGCCAAAAGGGCGCTTTGCAGTAAAGTTGCTCTATGGACAACATTTTTCGAATTTCTCGGGTGGGAAAAAAAAACTGTTTGAAGTAATTTTGATAACTAAAACTTATGTTATGCCGATTGGGAAAAAAATTGTTCTTTTCAACAAAAAGTTACAAAATTTATAACCAATGGGATGAGTATGAGAGATTTTTTTACGGTTTTTTTGCAAAGTTCTCCCCCCTAATGCCAAGAAATCGCTCCTGCCAATCAATTGAAACTTGAAAAAAATGAATTTTTCGTTTTTTTATTCGGTCTAGCGCCGTCCAGCGCGCACCCTGAAAATTTTTTTCGATTTTTTTGCGAAACCCCCCCTTTTTTTTCCGTTTCAAGTCCACCCCCTCCCCCATTTTTTTCGTTTCAAGTCCATCCCCCCCATTTTTTTCGTTTCAAGTCCATCCCCCTTTTTTTCGTTTCAAGTCCAGCCCCCATTTTTTTCGTTTTAAGTCCAGCCCCCCTCCCCCATAACGTTCTTTATCTCAACTAAAAATTCCAGGTACCGAAACGAAAAACACGGTGGAAGGCGGCGGAAAGATCCTCGAAGAAGATCTGACCAAATTGGGTCAAAATTTGGGAAATTTCGGTTGGTTTGAAGTTTTTTCAGTGAAAAATTTGTTTTCAGTCGGCGGACTATTCAAAAAAGGCGAGCAACCAGCAGCTCAGCCAGAAAACTTCAAGCCAGAAGCCGTCATTGACGACGTCGAGGGCGAAAGTTGGTTTTTTTTTTTCACTTTTAAAAAGGAAAATTTCAGTTCAAAAAGTCAACACCTCCGGCTACACGGTCGCCAAAGACGCTGGTGGGAACCGTTGAGAATAACCTCGAATTAATGACGTCATAATGAATAAAAATGATGTCATTATCTGAATTTTTCTAATCGCATGCCATTTTTTTTTTGTTGTATATTTTCACTGACTTCCATTCCATATTTCTCATGTACAAAGTATCATGACGTCATTTTCGTCCGTCCATTGTCTTTTTTTCTCTGCCACTCTTCATCTCAGTTTGTGTTTCGTCTAACATTTGGATTTTTGAATGAGATAAATAATACAGTTGCGTTTGGCATGTACCTAACTGATTATTGGATCATAAGCAGGCTCAATTTCAGTGCCTGAAGAGTCGAAATCGCTTCTATCTACGATCGGAGAAAAGTTGCAAAGCGTTGGTGAAGCCGTGGTGGATCTCGGCGGTGCGGCTGTTGAGAAGACTAAAGAGGGAGCAGGAGCAGTTTATGAAGGAGTTGCTGGAGCTGGAGCAACTGTAGTCGATAAGACTAAAGAAGGAGCTGGAGCAGTTTACCAAGGTGCTACCGATCTTGGAAGTTCGGCTGTCGAGAAGACTAAAGAAGGAGCTGGAGCTGTCTATGACGGAGCTTCAGATGTTGGATCCGCTGTTCTCGACAAGACCAAGCAGGGAGCGACGACGGTGGCTGGTGCTGGTCTCACAGCCGTTGGAACTGGAGCTGGACTAGCTCAGGCGGGCTTTGAGAAGACCAAGGAAGGAGCTGGAGCAGTTTACGAAGGAGCTGCTGATCTTGGAAGTGCCGCTGTTGATAAAACCAAAGAAGGAGCGACGGCCGTGGCAGATGCTGGTCTTTCTGCAATCGGAACTGGAGCTGGACTAGCTCAGGCGGGCTTCGAGAAGACTAAAGAGGGAGCTGGAGCAATTTACCAAGGAGTTGCTGGAGCTGGAGCAACTTTAGTCGATAAGACTAGAGAAGGAGCTGGAGCTGTCTATGACGGAGCTTCAGACGTTGGATCCGTTGTTCTCGACAAGACCAAGCAGGGAGCGACGACGGTGGCTGATGCTGGTCTCACTGCCGTTGGAACTGGAGCTGGACTAGCTCAGACGGGCTACGAGAAGACTAAGGAGGGAGCTGGAGCAGCCCATGAAGGAGTTTCGGATGCTGGGAACAGAGCCTTCGAAACGACCAAAGACGTCGGAAACACTGTTATTGACAAGGCCAAAGAAGGAGCTGGAACTGTCTATCAAGGCGCTGTTGATCTTGGAAATTCTGCGATCGACAGGACGAAAGAAGGAGCTGGAGCAGTTTATGAGAGCGTTACTGATGCTGGGAAAAAAGTCGTCGACACTACCAAAGACGTCAGCCAGACTGTTTTTGACAAGACCCAGGAAGGAGCTGGAGCAGTTTACGACGGTGCCGCAAATCTTAGAAGTGCCGCTGTTGAGAAGACAAAAGAAAAAGCTGGAGCAGCCTATCAAGGAGCTTCAGATTTCGGAGCAACTGTAGTCGACAAGACCAAGCAGGGAGCTACGACGGTGGCTGATGCAGGCTTGACTGCCATCGGAACTGGAGCTGGACTAGCCGAGGCAGCTTTTGAAAAGACTAAGGAAGGAGCTGGAGCAGTTTACGACGGTGCTGCCAATCTTGGAAGTGCGGCTGTGGACAAGACTAAGGAAGGTGCCAATACCGTTTATGAAGGAGTAACTGACGCTGGATCGGCTATCGTTGAAAAGACTAAAGAAGGAGCTGGAGCAGCTTATGAAGGAATTACTGACGCTGGAAATAGAGCCGTAGATACGACCAAAGACATCGGAAACACGGCCGTAGAGAAGACGAAAGAAGGAGCTCATACCATCTACGAAGGTGCAGCAGATGTCGGTTCCACCGTAGTCGACAAGACCAAGCAGGGAGCCACGGCAGTGACGGATGCTGGTCTTACTGTCGTCGGAACTGGAGCTGGACTAGCTCAGGCGGGATTCGAGAAAACCATAGAAGGAGCTGGAGCAGTTTATCAAGGTGCTACCGATCTTGGAAGTTCGGCTGTCGAAAAGACTAAGGATGGAGCTGGAGCTGTCTATGACGGAGCTTCAGACGCTGGGTCCGCCGTTGTCGAGAAGACCAAAGAAGGCGCGTCGGCTGTCGCTGATGCAGGAGCGGCTGTTGTTGGAACTGGAGCTGGACTAGCTCAGGCGGGTTTCGAGAGGACCAAGGAAGGAGCTGGAGCAGCCTATGAAGGACTCACTGACGCTGGAAATAAAGCCTTTGAAACGACCAAAGACTTCGGAAACACTGTTATTTACAAGACCAAAGAAGGAGCTGGAGCAGTTTACGAAGGAGCTGCAGACCTTGGAAGTGCCGCTGTTGATAAAACCAAAGAAGGAGCAACAGCAGTGGCAGATGCTGGTCTCACTGTCGTCGGAACTGGAGCTGGACTAGCTGAGGCAGCCTTCGACAAGACTAAAGAAGGAGCTGGAGCAGTTTATCAAGGTGCTACCGATCTTGGAAGCGCTGCTTTGGACAAAACTAAGCAAGGAGCTGATACCTTAACTGAAGCTGGCGCTAATGTCATTGACAAGACCAAAGAAAAAGCTGGAGAAACATACGATTTCGTCAAAGAGCTCGGTAACCTCGTGGTCGGCGAGCTGACATCCCTGGGAAGCAAGCCGAAAGAAGCCGCGTGGTCCGGACAAACCCCAGAAGCCGTTGACTTGACTCTTACCGGAGATGCTGAAGAAGGTCCTGCCAAAGGTGATGGTTAGTTAAATTTCATTTTTCGAAAAAAAAACCTCTAGATATCTCAGAAGATCCGTCATGGCCAGAACATTGCAAAACTCTCGGTTCGGTGTTGTTTTTCTAGTATTAGAATCATACTTCTTTTGCCATAGCTTGAGACCCTCTGATCTGTCTGTGCTCTCTTTTCTCTCTTACATGGGAAGTGCAAAAGGTCAAGGTATTGGAATTCAATGAGACTTGGTTTATAGGTCTGTAAAATTTCATCATTTTTTCCAAGAAAAAAAAAATGGCAAAAATAAATTGCACCAGGAAGGATTCGAACCTTCATCAAAGGTTGCACAGCGCAAGGCCGCTAGCCACTAGACCATGCCGCCTGCTGGCAGTTAGAGTTAGCCGCCGCAACACATTCCCTCCTTCCATCCAATGCGTTTTTTGCGTGCAAACTTTGAGGCGCCATAACCCGACTAGAACCAAAAAGCCGCACTTTTTTCAACTTCATTGGATTCAGGGTGTTCGGAAGTACCTATATACCAAGTTTCATCAAATTCCAATACCTCGACCTTTCGCACTCTCCGTTAAAAATGAGATAAGGCACAGATTCTCCGTAGTGAAATAGAGTTTGGAGCACATTTAGTACAGTACTGCACTGCACTCTTCAAAATAAACTTTAAAAAGCCTACAGTACCTTTTTCAGTGATGGATCTTACGGTAACTCGTCCAGAAGTACATGGAAAGGCTACCGCCAACTACACACCGGAGATTTGAAAGAAAAACAATTTATTTGTACTATAAAAAAATGTAATATAAAGAATAAATAACACGTGAAAGATCACAGAGAACCATGAAAAATCCTAAAAATTTACTAAGCTTTTTCAACTTTGTTGAGCGTCTCCAGAAGTGGGATGTCGACGTCGACAGGGCCTTGGTAGTCGTTGACGGGAACTTTTTCAAGCCTCTTGATGTATTCTTCGGGAAGCTCGTGCTCCTTGGCTCCTTCCACTATCACCAGTTTGTAGTGAGGCGAGGGAGGGTTGAAGACGGGCATCGGGTCGGAATATTGGTAGGTTCGGCATTCGACATCGCCATCCGACGTTTTGATGGTCACTGAAAATATACAGATATTGGTTTTTCAATTTTTGAAGAAGCTCAGGCGCTGCCAAATATGGAAAAAGCTGCAATTTTTGGCGCTGCCAAATATGGAAAAAGTTTAAATTTTAGGCGGTGCCAAATTTGGGCAAAAGCCTTTTGAGTGAAACTGGTCATGGAACGGCTGAGAATGCATGTCCAAAATCCTTTAAACTTGAAAAAATACACAATTCTTATTGATTTTCAACTTATTTTCCCCTTTCAGTCTTTGTTAACAGTTATAACTCCAAAAAATGAGTAACTACCAACTGAAAAAAACATTTAGTAGAAATTTTCCAGCTTTATTTGAATAGAAATTTAAAAAACCCACCATTCAATCGATTATACCCGGTCTCCTGCTTGTCCAACGATTCGGCGTACTCTAAAGGAATTCGCCAGATACAGCCCCAGACCTGAAAAAAAAGTTAAAAAATTACTGTATTTTTGAATTGTGTGAACACCGCACGGTGACGTAGAAAACGCATATCTCACGCGCAATTTTTTAAAAAATCACCTCGCCGTCGTTTTTATCAATAATCGTCGCTAGAGCTCCTTGCCAACGTGTTGAGAAGTCAATAAAGGCCAGTTCATACCCGTTCAAAAGGCCGTTTCTATCATATTCGGCACCTTTTTGCTGGAAAAAAGGTAATTTGATGAATTTTTTTTTTCAAGTTGGAAAAAATGTTGTGGTTTCTTCCTCGTGTTTCATTTTTTGAATTTTCTAAGAAGTTCTAATTGATCGATTTTTGAGGTAGTTGATTAATAAGTTCTATAACGATCAAGTAAAAGTTGAGAATTTTTCAAACCGTAATTGAAATATACACGATTTCAAGCAAAACAGGCTCATTTTTGTCTTTTTATAATAAATTCCTCAATTAAAATCAAATTCATAGCAAAACCAACCCGATACCGCATCCGATCAGTCAACAAATTGCTCCCATAGGCGAAATAGTAGAAAAATGGGACCAAATTTCCCCCTGTTGAGGTCAAAACCGTCGCCGGCGGCACCATCGCTGAGAAAAATCTCATTTTTCGGCGGATTTTAAAAGGTGTCAAGAATTTGACAGCCGAATCGGAATGGACAGATTTTTTCGCTTTTTTTGTGTTCGGGAAATCTTGAACAGCTGTTTTGTGCGGGGTGGATTTTCAACTTTGGATAGAGGTCAGCTGTTCCAGGTTTCTAGTCTTTTTTTCTCTCAAAAAGCCGTTTTTTTCTTCAATGAAAAAAATTTTTAAATGAAAAAAATTCTTAAATACAAGATTTCTTGATTTTGGTTTTATTCACTCAGACGTCACAAAAATGATCCAGAGGCTATAAATTGTCAATTTCATTTATTTTGAAACGAACAGTTTTGAATAAAATTTTGAAAAATTTTCAGAAATCCAATTTTTTTCATTTTCACTATGGTTCAAAAATCTGAAATCTTCTCATGTTTATTTATTTTTTTCAGAGATATTAACTATTTCCTTACACAAAATTCATGTTCGAAGACCTTATAATTCAAAAATTTGTTACTTATTGTGAATAAATAAACTACTGAAAAACTATAAAAATATCCTGAAACATGTGAAAAATGAAAAATTGAAACAAAGAACCTCAAAAATACAACAAAAACTTTTAAAAATCGAGAATAAAAAAGAAAAAGAACTCACGAGCCTCCGCATCTTGAATAGAATCGTCTTTTTTCATTCCGAGGGTCGAAATCGAGAAGCGGCGAAAAGAAAAGAGAGTCAATAAACGGGCAATGATGTTGTTATTATCACGTCGGAAAAAAATTCGTAGCCGGTTTATTTTTTTCTTGTTTTCTGATGAACGAAACAAAATAGCGGTGGTCACTGGGGGGAAAAGGGAATATCAAAGAAAAATCGATTCTTTTCTCTCTCTTTTTCGTGCTTCCCACTTTTTGAGCTCTTTGAACCCTTGTTCTTTGGTGGCGTGTTCAGTGGAGACGCAGACGGCTCGAGAGAAGGTTAAGTGGCTCTTTTAGGGGTTTTCTTGCGGGCTTTTTGAAAAAAGCTTCTGGACCCACGTTCTCCTAGAGATTCGATGAGTTGCCAAAACAGTGAGGCACTAAAAATTCATGCTGCTTTTTTCGAGCTCATACTTTTACCTCAACAACTACATAAGCTTCTGACGCTTTTAGTTAAGGTTTTGATAGGCTCCGCCCCTTTTATGAATTACTTTAGCCGAAATACGAAAAAATCTAACTTTTTTCTCCGTGGTCCAAATCGAATGAAACTTTTTTTAAACGAAAGCCAGCCAAAATAAAAATTTTGAGTATACTAACTGTCTTTTTCTTAAAAAAACTTGAAAAATTATTATGTGTAGTTTAAAAAAATGGTAATTTTCATTTTAACTTTATTGATTGGAAACTTACGGTCTGTTCAGATTGTGCAGAAAGATATGAAAGTTATGAAAAAAATATGGTTTTTTTATCAGAACACACAAAAAGAAGAGGAAAAATAACTAGATATAACTGAAAATCCAGCAAAAAACCAGCATTTTTCGACCTTAATTTTTAAAAATCTATCGAAATTTTAGGATTTTTCAAGTCTCCAGGCTTCTTCCATCAAAGTAAAAAAAGAAAAATTTTTTTAAAAAAGCCAATTTTTAGCAAAAAGAAAACCTAGAACCATCTAGACCACAATATTTTCATCTCACAGAATTTCAGGTTTTTTTTTCCCGATTTTTAAAAAATTCATATGAAAGACTAGCACAGAAAAAATTACAAATATGATAAAAACTCCGAAATTTCTTTTCTTCTAACTTTCCCACTGAAAATGGAAAATTTATTGAATGTACAGGGGGCAGAATAAAAAAACCATCATGATCCGAATTGGTTCGTATTTTCGTCAATTTTCTCAAAACTGTAGTTTCCACGGCCGTCCAAGTACAACGTGTATTCATGATGCACCCAAAGGGACTGAAAAATTGAATTTTTGAAAAAAAAATTTTTTTTAATCTAACCTTCCTATGGGAAACAGTGAACAGGGTAATGTCCATTTCACGACAAGTTCTGTACATGGCGCCTAAAAAATCGTGCCGCACTTGCAAATAAGCCACGCCCACCTTCAACGTCAACACTAACGGCCGAGGTGCACTCGTCGAGAATAGCAAACTGAGGTCGATGGTAGAATAATCGGGCCATCTTGAATTATTGATTTATTGAATTTATTGACTTTTCGGAATTCACAGCGATTCTCTGCTTTTCTCCGCCAGAAAGGACGTCCATCCAATCTTGAACAGAATTCCAACCGCCTTCTCGGTCCAGAATATGACGAAGTTGGACCTGAAAGTGGGAATAATCCTTATGAAGGCGCGGAAAAATGGGCGGAGTCAACTTCAATTAAGTCTGAATTTTTGTGATTTCTCCAAACTGTTGAATCACAAGACCGTGCAAAAATATTGTGAGTCTATATTTTTTGCCACGGGACAAATTTTTCAACAAGGCACAGAAAAGTGGGCGTGACTTCAAAAATGCAAAACCACCGCGCACTTTTTCCAGCATCTCCTCCAAGTCCCGGTCGTTGATGCCTTTCCTGGACATGTCGAACGGAGTGTCCGGATAAATGACCTGATCTCTGAGGTTTCCCAGGGTCATGTAAGGCCTCTGGAAAGAAATAATCGATAATCGATGGAATCAATCGATAAATTGCAGACCTGAGGAACGTAGAATAGTTTTCCCTTAGCAGGTTTTGTCAATCTGCCGCCGAAAATCGGCCAAAGTTCACCCAAAACTCGGAAAAGTGAGCTTTTTCCACAGCCGTTGGGTCCACAGACGAGTACATTTCGGCCAGATTGCACCTGAGGCACAGAAAAGTAGGCGTGGTTTGCAATGAGAACTTACTTCGAAGTTCAAGCTTTCAATGAGGACATCTCCATTGGGAGTGACCAAAGGGACGTCTTCGAAGCGGATCACGTTGTCCTGGGCGATCACCTGCCCTAAAAAGCTTCTTTGACTTGGCGAGAGCTGTGTACCGACCTCCACCGGCTTGAAGAGGATTGCTATGAACTGTCATTGAGCCAGCTCCTTTTTCGTTGACCATAGTTCTCTCATAGGCTCCTTTTTCGAGATCATTCATCACCTGAGATTGGTTGGGTTTGAAGAAAAACTGGTTTCAAAAAATATAGTCTGTTCAGATTTTGAATTTCAAGCACAATGACGTCATTCAAAAACGCTCCGTGGATGGCTCGCTCTGTGATTGGTTTATCGCACCATTAGGGGCGGAGCTTGAGCGACGACTTGAAGCGCAAACTACAAACAGACTACAAAGATCTAATTTTGAGCTTTTCACAAATCTTAGAAGTCCCAAGAAGCTTGTAAAAAATAAAAAGGAGATTTCAAAACTTTCAGCTTCTCCTTCTTCTAGTTTTTTAAAAAACACAGTTCCTACCAGAAATGAAATTTAAGAAGGGATAAGTTATTTAGAGCCAAATTTCAAAGGAAAATCAACTTTTTCCAAGTTTTTATCTTTTTTGAAGTTCCTGAACGAAAAAATACATGAAAAATTCAGATTTTGAGCTTCTCCTCTTTCAGGATTTTTTTTTGAAGTCCAATACCTTAAAAAGAAAATTTTTCCGGTTATTCTGAGCGATCAGAGGGAAAATACTTAAAATTTGTCGTCTTCTAAGTCTAAACTAACTTCGAACAAGAAAAGTAAGTGAAAACTCAAATTTCAGGTCTTTTCTGCTTCTGACAAGTGAGTCATGTTTACTTTTGGATGGGATGTCCCTTAAAATCGGTTCGAATTTTCCTTGATCCACCACAAGAAGCTTCTGTAAGTCTCATCATGCAAAACTTCCTAGTTTCCGAGATATAAGGGCTCTTTTGGCCTATTTTCATGGATTTTGAGGGTTTTCGATGATGATGATAATGATTTCTTTGGCTTTGACGTATCCTTTTTCAAAAAGTTAAAAGTTGTAGAAGATGTTTCTGGAAGGTCAAGGATCGTTTTGGCCAATTTTCAGGCAAATCCTAACCGTAAAGTGAAAAAAACATCCTCCGACTTTTTAGAACTTTTTTTCGAGTGAACTTCTCCGTTTCGTTTTCCCTAAGACACTAGGTCCCGCACACTTTTTCTGCGTAAATTGTGGTGTGTCTTGTGCATGCACTGCGCCGCTCTCGCGCAGAAAAATTGCGTTTATTTATAGAGATTCGTCTCAAAGGTTTATGACAATGCGGCCGTCTGCGCCTTTAATATGCCCTTTTATTTACGCTCTTAGAGCCAAAATCTGACGTCACGTGGGAACGGCGAAGGTCTCGACTCCGCCCACTTTGATGTTGGATTCATATTGTCTTCCACGCCGTGAAAAGTAACATTATCAAATTTAAGTCTTCAGCAAGGATTTCTGGATTTTTCTCCCGCTCACCTTCATCAAAGTGTCCACTCTAGAAGTGAAACCACTGAGTCTTGTCAATTCCCTTCCAGCCAAGGCCAATCGTCCCAACGCCTCGGCCAACTTCATAATCATCCTTCCCGAGTTGTAGAGCTCCTAAAATTCGAAAAAATTAACTGTTTCAATAGATTTTCAAGCCAAACCTGCATCAAACCGTTCCGATCCAAGGCATTCAGCCTTTCATTATTCATGTCGAAGAAGGTTCTGGCGCAGGCGACCCAGCCGACAATGTTGGTGATGTACTTTCCGATGATATTGTCCATGAAACCGATGGTGAATCTGTAGATTCACGATTTCACGGATTGAGTGACAGAAGATCCAATCGAAACAACCTCGAATTAAGCCAAAAAAAATTTTAAAAAAATAAAAATGGCATTCCAAGAAAATTCACGATATGAAGTTTTCAGATACTGACTACCTGGGTTTTGTAAATTTTTCGGAATCAAAACCCATTTTTTTTCAAAAATGACATCATCGAAAATTTTTTATTGTAACGAGTTCTTTTCCGAAAACGAATCGATATGACGTCAGTATAAATAACTTCAAAATGACGTCATAGAGTCAAAATCGCTTAATCATTCAATAAATCAAAAATGACGTCATCAAGTCAAAAGTCGACTAATCATTCAATAAATCAAAAATGACGTCATCAAGTCAAAATCGCTTAATCATTCAATAAATCAAAAATGACGTCATCAAGTCAAAATTGCTTAATCATTCAATAAATCAAAAAAATGACGTCATCAAGTCAAAATCGCTTAATTATTCAATAAATCAAAAAAATGACGTCATCAAGTCGAAATCGCTTAATCATTCAATAAATCAAAAAAATGACGTCATCAATTCATATGGAACTTATATATATAATCTTCAAAATGCAAAGAGAAACGTTTCCCTTTGAAAAACACCATCTGAAAGCTCTAATTTGTTCAAAAAAGGCTCAATATTCTTCAAATTACCACTAAAACGGCCACAGGTTCGACTCCAGCCTCCGTTTTTGCCATTATTACCTGAACAAGATGGTCTTCCTCAAGTGCTGAACGAGCTTCGCGAAGCTTCCCATCAACGCGATTCTCTCTCGTTGGTTACCCTAAAAATGACGTCATTAATAAGTTGATGACGTCACAAATCGAACCGAGTAGAAGGCGACCTCCTCGCTGTTCATGATCAACCTGGAATTGACGTACCGGAATTCGCCTTCTAGAGCTTGTTCTTGAACCGTCAATTTGGCGATCTGAGAAAGATTTCCGTTGGAATTAAAGGATTACGGTAGTCACCGGCTTTCGCAATCGCGTCAAGACCACCATCGAGAACATCAAATAGCCGAAAAGGATTCCGGGAGCTCCCCAGCCGAGGACTTGGCCCAATTTGTAGACGTAGAGGAACATGTCGAGGATCGGCTGAGAAATTTTGGGGTTTGAGGCAAGTCGTACTGGTAATGGCTTGAAGCGTTGCGGCTGCGAAGCGGTTGCTCCAAAATATCATTTTACAGTTTCATATTGAGCCGCCGCGCGACCGCAACGCAGGTAGTCCATCTACATGCAACCAAGTCATCCATACTTTTTTCAGAATCCCTTAGATTCATTCTCGTATATCAAGCTGCAGTCTTCAAATTTTCATTATTTTTTAAATTATCCAGATATTCTAAAAAGGAACTGAGCCTTGATATTAAAGAATATTCCATTTTTAACGCTTTCCGCTGAAAAAAGTTCTACCTTCGTAACATTTGAATAAAACTCCACGAGTCCATCGCAAAACTTCTCGACATCCTGTGTCAAAAAGCTGGTCGGCATTCTGGATCCGATTGTCCAAATTCGACATTTTATAAAAAGGTAAACCCTCTAAAATTTCAAATTAGATATGAAATTTGAAAAAAATCCTCACGTCAAATATTTGCTGTAGAGATGGGAAGTCAGACGTTCGCGGAACCGAAGTTTCAGCTCAGAAATACCGAACTTAAATAAATTTTTTTATTTTCTTAAATTTCGAGATTTATCACCTTAAGAAGAGCATTGATTAATGAAATCAAAGGAAGATTCAAGGCGTATTTGACTGTGGAAATGGCGAATAGGGCCGGGTTTCTCTCGACCATTGATCTGGAGTAAAACAGGATTATTTAAAGTATCCGCACTTTACAAGCATCCTAACAGTTCATTCTCCTCAGTTGAAAACAGTCTGACGTGTCTGCGCCTTCTTATCCAAACATCGATGAGAGAGAAGAGAGCGCAGGCAGGTTAGATTTTTTAAAATACTCACGAAGGAAGTATTTGAGAAACTAGATTTTTCAGTTACTCTGTTAATTATTATTTTTTGGTTTTTTTCAAGAATATCCGCACTTTAAAAGCATCTAAATACTCCATTCACCATAGTTTAAAACAACTTGATGTGTCTGCGTCTCTTTCAACACACCGGTTAGAGAAAAGAGAGCGCAGACAGTTCAGACTTTTCAAAACATTTGCGAAGGAAGTAATTGAGATACTCGATTTTTTCGTTACTCTGTTCATTATTAATTTTGGTATTCCTTCAAGAATATCCGCACTTTAAAAGCATCCTAATAGTTCATTCTCCTCAGTTAAAAACATTCTGACGTGTCTGCGACCTCTTATCCATCATGGATGAGAGAGAAGAGAGCGCAGACAGATAAGAGAATTTTAAATTGTGGTAAGTAGTGTGTATAAGATACTCGATTTTTCAGTAACTTACTTCATTATTAATATATGGTTTTTTTTTCAAGAATGCTCGTACTTTAAAGAAATCTCAGGACCTTCTACTTACGTGTCCAATTTTACTACGCTTTTGAGCTAGACCTTTTTTCAGTCTCCGTAAATAAACCCTTGCTCTCTTTCTCTGACACTCTCTGGTGTTCACGCGCTATTTTTCTATACTATTCCTCGCCGATTAGAGAAAAGATGGCGCAGACAGGTCAGATTTTAAAAAAATAGCCGAGAACTAACTATTTTTTTTAAATATCTGCTTACTACACTTTTGCCTCTATCTCTTAACCCAATTTTTCAATCGTGATTTTTCTCACTATTTTAAAAAAACTTTGAACCCCCCTTAAATTACCACTCTACACTTCCTAGACCAGTTTTTCAACCTGAATTCAAAAATCCGACTCAAATAAACCAAAAATCAAAACCAACGCTTCAATGCTCGTCGCATTGGTGATCATGTAGACGTCCGCTGCAGTTCGGCTCAACAGCGAGGCGGCGATCAGCAACATGTAGAAAAACTCGCCGGAGAAGACGCCCGGCATGATGATTTTGAAAATTCGGCGCAGGTTCCGGAAAAAAGTCGCATTTACGGCTGCTGCCTGCTTCTTCTTTCTCTTCTTTGCGGCGGGGTCCGACGGAAGCAGAGCCGTCTTGGGGGATTTCGAGGATGTTCTGAACAGTTTTTTTATAACCACTGACCAAAAAATACTGGACAAAGAAGGTTTAGTGAAAAGTGAAGAGCACAGAGCGTTATTTAGAAAAGAAAGTAAGAAAAAACAACCATTTTCGGTCACTTTTCAACAGGTTATCATTACTTCCTCTCTTTCAATTTTTTATTCTTCATTTTGAAGTCGATATTACTACCATATGAGTACATAGCATGCTTATTTATTACCACTGATAAAAAATTACTAGACGGAGATAGTTTAGTGATAAGAAAAGTAGTGGTGACTTTAATGGCGGATCCGTTTGGAGGTCCGGCCAGTCTTCGACTTCTTATTTTATTGTTAGAAGCGATCAATTATAATATTTATCAACACTGTTTTTCTTTTCAAATGAGCTATCTTGAAAAAAAAAAGTTTGTATGAGAATGAAGTTTGTGAAAATCGAAAAACGAATAAAGAAAATATGTGAACCTGCTTGAAAATTCAAAAAACTTTTTTTCCTGGTAAACTCTATTTTGGCTTTCTTTCCGTCAAAATCTCTTTGTTTGAAGTTTCGAATAAAATTTTCAGACTTAATTTGACCTTTTTTAAACTTTCCCTATGAAAAACTGATGCTTGAACTATCTAGAAATCCGCCAAGTTGAAAAAAATCATTTAACTAGGAAAAAATGCTCCAATGAGAACAAAAACCAACCGGAACCCAGCCGAGTACAGCTTGGCAATGAGGGCACATCCAAGAACTCCAATCGCCGCCGGCGACCAGTTCTTGACGGTCAGAGATGACGTCAGGAGCGCGAATTTCGACGCGACCGCCATTATCGATTATTTTATATCGATTGAAGATTTTTTTGGTTTTTTTTGGATGACGTGCTGGTTGGATTGGATTCAGTAGGGCTTCTTTTGGTTTCTGTAAAAATAAAAGTTGAAAAAATCGAAAGAGGCCGATATTCTATGCCATTCTGGGTGTACTCATTACTCTAGATTTATTTTTTTGTAGTAAAAATCTCAACTTTTGCCGTAAATTGAAATTTCATGGTCGCATTAGGAATGGCTCGACTCGCAGCGACTAAACATCTATTGCACCCGACGCAAAACTACTTGCGCGCGAAGTCATCGAAAATCATTCAAAATCAGTTTCAGTTCTGTAACCGTTCCATGCACGACAAGGCCACCTTATGAAAATAAAAAAAAACCCAAAAAATCAAAAAAATCGAAAATTTTGTCAATTTTCATACTTTTTGTCTGAAATTTTCTCAATTTTCATACTTTTCGGCTCCTAATTTTGTGGTCGACTTTCTTTAAACTAGCTTCCTGGTCTACAGAAACGATCATCCAAATTTTCTCATGTGATAGTTATCATAAACAACTTCAAGGATCCTTTAAAGGCGCAGGGCGAAGCCAAGCCGTTTTCCAGACAATTTTAGCCCGTGCATTCTCACAATGCGTGAAACTTCCTTTTAAAGATTCCAAAAAAGCACGATAATAAATAATAAAAAAAATGAAGAATGGCCGAGCCACTGAAAGCTGCAGCACGCGACGTATTTAACTGATAAGCTCTCAATGATTGCAACAAATGGAGAACAACTTTTTTCTTATCAAACATTTCGCTAATCAGAGAGTCTTCAATAATCAGACAAGCGTTTCCGTCTTTGACGCTTTCCGTTTTTCAGTCCGGGTTCAGTTTTGTGACGCGGAATAGCTCAAAGAGCTTGTCCGATGACTTGATTTAGAGGATATATCAATAGAACTTGATGAATCTAAAAAAACGCTTCGAAGCCACTTGACTCTACTCAAGTTAGCATTAAAATCTAGCAACTTCAAAAAAGATTAAAGCTCCGCGGCTTGTCTGAGCAGTTCTAAAAGGTTGAAAGGTGGAGAAATTTTATAAAAATACCTTGCATTTTTCAAAGTTTTTTCAAAAATAAAAATTGCCAACAGAACTCACAAGAAATCTAAATCAACACTATCCCCCTAAAACTGACCCTGTAGATTTTTTTTAGACTGGATTAAAGTCGGAAAAATCAATTATTAGAGCTTCATCTATCATATGCTTCTCGAGAAGCTACTAAACCTTGAGATCCTCCTTTTTTTTGCTTTCATCAAAGCTTGAACTAACTTGTAGCCATACTCGATCAAAAAAAAAAAACCAAAAAACCGTTCTTCCGTTTAACCATAGAAGCCCTCTCTGCTGGGAAGCATGTCGCATCCTAAAAAAATTACAAAAAAATAAAAAAATTTTTCATAAGCCAAAAAAATTCGCTACGTATTCAGAGAAAGAGGGCAGGATTTAAATAGTTTCACTTGTGAGATTATTTTTTTATTTTATCCATCAGATTAAAAAAATAAATTAAACTTCTGAAAAAAAGCTGTATATTTTTAAGTCAAAGTGGACGGGAATCTGATGTTATTTTTAGATTTTTTTAGAAATAATTATTTCTTCGGAGAAATCAAGGGAACAAGAGCCAAAGATTTAATTCTTTGAAAAGCACCTAACTAGGGAGCTACTCGGACTCGGGTACGGGTTTAGAGTTGAAACTTTAGTGGTTTATAGACCCAAGTCAGAATACTTGAAAACATGAGAGAATATCTGCTAAACCCGATAGAGAACTGAGAAAAAATAAGTAGAAAAAAGAAAATAAGGCCTGAAAATTTTCATAGCACTGCTTTTCACCTTATTTTGTATTTTAATACAATCGCCTTGAATGATCCGGCTAAGATAAACTCTAAAAAGCTTTTTTCCAGCCAAAAGAAGGAGGAAAGAAAAATTTCGATACTTTTCAAGCCTAAACTGTTCATTTTCGAACATCTTTTCCTCAGAAGCCTATGGGGTTTAGCAGATAATCTTTCTTTTTCCAAGTACTCTCACCCGGGTCTATAAGCCACCACAGTTCCAACTCGAAACGCGTACCCGAGTTCGAGTAGTTTCCTAGTCAGAGTAAAAAATCAGCTCTCAAAAATGGGCGTGAGATAATGGTCCGTTCGGTATCAATTCACATGTCAGTCCGACTTAAAATTTGAGAAAAAAAAAATCTAATCCAAACGTATAACCAACTACAGAAAGAAAAAATTTCAGCAAAAAAGTCAAATCAAGAAATAAGAAGAAAAAAATCCATGGCAAAGGCTGAGATTTTTGAACTTTCGCATACTGAACGAATTAACAAAAGAACGCCATTTAAAGTATTAAAAAGAAAATGGTCAACAAAAGCCAAGTAATTGGTTTCTTTTGTGTTCCAAAGTATATAAAACAACATTTGAAGTTCTTGTCACTTCACTCTCTGCTCGATTTCTTTTACTTCCAACTCATTCCAGGGGCCATGGGCAGCTCCAACTTCTGGCTCCTTCTTTTGGTAGGAAGTGTCGTTTGTCGGAACATTTCAGAGTCGAAAGGCGGAAGACTCAGAAGGCAGGAAAACAGAGAGCTTCTCGAAAGTTGCGGGCGATTCGAGCGAGGTGATTTTTTGATTACTAGTCTAGGGAACTTTTCTGGCTCGGGTACGCGTAACAAGTTGAAACTACTTTGGCTTATAGACTTGAGTAAGAGCTCTTAAAAGCCAGTGAGATTATCTGCTAAACCACATAGGCTTCTAAGGAAAAGATTCTCAATATAACTCACATGGTCAGATCGAATCCTGTACGCGCCTGAGCCTTTCTCTCTCACCAAGGTGGGCTGGCGCAGAGTTCAGGAGGCCAGTCTCATGATTGACTTTTTTGAGTAGGTTCGATTCCTGTAGAGGGCAAATCTTTTTTGCATTTTTCTTAAAAACAGAGTTCTTTGTACAAGTACGAAATTCGAAAAAAACTTGGAAGTTTTATTTATATAGTTCCTTATTTCCGAAAGATTTAAGAAAGAATGTTCTGGCAACGATGACAGTTGTACAGCAAATTTTTTGATCACTCGCTTAATTTTTTTTGAGAAGCATTTGAACAAAGAGAAATGCTATTTCATCAGTTTTAAGACTTCTATTTTTGTCTTTAAGAAAACTGCAAAAAAATATTTGCCTTCGACAGGAATCGAACTTACTCAAAAAAAAAAATCCACCATGAGACTGGCCCTCTAATCACTGCGCCAGCCCACCTTGGTGAGAGAGGAAGGTTCAGGGGCGTACAGGATTCAACCTGAGTTTTTTCGAGAAGCTTTTTCTCAGAAGCCTATGTGGTTTAGCAGATAATCTCACTTGCTTCTGAGAGCATTCACATAAGCCACCGTAGTCACAACTTATAACGCGTACCCGAGACCGAGTAGTTTTCTAGTAATGAGAATCTCGACTGCAGGACACGATGAAAATAGAACGGTGACTAAATCCTTGTACGGAAGGCCGGTCTCGCGAGGAGAGGCTCCTTGGGCCGCTGCCATCACATTATTTTATAGTAAGGTTTCCCTCTTGACTTGGATTCGGTATTTTAAATGCAGACGGCAAACTCAATGCCTTAGCTTCTGGAACTCTGATCTCACCGCGACATATACTCACATCCGCTCATGTCCTGTTCAATACACCTAAAGACTGTGAAGAAATGTTATCAACTCGTACAACTGAACCGTTTCGTTACACTTGAAATGTTTTCCAGAAGAAACAAAACGTTTCAATCGAATCTTGCCGACTTTAATATCTTTCTGAACACATCGTGTTCCACTAGTTCAATCTGTAACAGGTTGAACAGGTATGACCAATTTTCTCCACTACTCGTCAAAAAGGTAAACTTGGTCTCGATTTATGGAAATATTCGGCTTTTCGTATCAAGGTCTATGTTCATAAGGATTATATTAAAAGCCAATGTCGTGGAGACCGTCATGCGAAAGACGTCGCCGTATTCGAACTCTCCAAAGATGTCAACTTTTCTTCAGAAATCTATCCAGCCTGCATTTCGACTAGTATCGCCTTTTCAAGTTTTCCAAATTTTTATTTTACTTTTTGAGGATCTCCTGAGCCTGGAGATAGAGGATACGTCTACGGGTTTGGTCGCGATCGTAAGTTTGAGACTATTATGAGACCCGAATCAACATACTATTCTACTCAATGCAAAACATTTTTTTTAGCATCTGAAAAGAAGAGGCCGGACTTGGGAGTTTTGAAAACATATAAAACCGTGGTAAACTAATTGATGAGTTCTGGGTAGGGAAAATCACTTGCAGGTGAATAAAACCTGCGATGGTGACAGATATTATTACGATTATTTCTACTTCTGCAGCAAAAACAGGAATGGTCTCATTGCCTGTGAAGTCAGTTTGTCTATTAACTTTTTATGAAGTTCAAAATTTAGGGAGATAGTGGGTCAGGTATAATCGACTACGCTCGTACTAATGATGGTATCAAAAAAGCCGAGGTTTTCGGGATCGTTACCAAAAGTAAAAATTGCAGTTGGGTTCTTGAAGATTATGAAACAGATTATCGAAGTTTGGAATATCTGAGAAACATTAAAAAAAATTTTTTTTTAGCTAGAACACGTCTGACTCAGTATAGTAATATACACATGAATGTTGCCTATTTCAACGAGTTTCTCTGCGACTGTTGCGGAATTTGCGCTCATGGGGTTCACAGACCCAGAAGAATCACCTACAAAGTTTTTGAATGAGTGATTGCTTCCTGTTGGGAATAAAGTTTGCATGATAATTTGTATGAACATCATTCCGAGTCTTGCCAAGGGAATGTGCTCCATTCAGGAGAGGGTAAAAAGTAGTTTTAGAGAAAAGATTCTTCTTCTTCTCTCTTCGCCTGTGTCGCATGAGCGGCGTCGGCGGACAAGTCAATTAGCCGAGGTCCTATCCTGATATCAATGATATTCAGTGGACTGCATCTAGTGACATATCCAGATAATAGTGCGATATGGAGAAATAAAAGCTGGTACTAATTGCTAATATCAAAAAGGTTCGTCGATTATTGCGCCGGGTACGCAAGCAACGGATCCTACGCGCAACAAAAAAAAATGACGAAAAAAGCAAAGAAAATGAGCACCGGAGTCCGGCGCTAAGATGTCCTTCCAAATGTTTACCGTTGCGCGTAGGATCTGTTGCTTGCGTACCCGGCGTAATAATCGACGACCCTTTTTTATATTCGCAATTAGAACACGCATTTATTTTTACGTTCCACATCACACTACCATCCATATCCGTCCTTGTGTGTGACGGCTGGAGATTTTGAAGTCGTGGTTTCCCACTATCAACATTTCTCAAACCCCTTGGTTGGGTCGTGGATTGAACTTGTGACGTTATGGACCGTAGACAGGCCCATAATCTGTTGGGCTATGGCGCGCCCTAATCTGTTAAGATATCACTTTGGATATACGGCTATGCATCTCACCTAAGTTACTTGAAATTATAGAGGGACGGGTAAGACTTGGAAGATTCTTCAATACTATTGAAGTGATTCCAGTCCATTAAACTTGTAAAAAATCATGATATAGCCGATTCACGGCTAACTTGGGACGCTGAGGGGGCGTGGCGTGTCTGCGCTCTCCGGCAACAGGGCACTATCTCGTGCATTATCGTGTCAGGGCCCTTTTTTTTAATGGTTCAAGCCAATCAGCTACATAGGCCTGTAAACTCGGCTGAACCGTTTTGGAAAATTAAAAAGAGGATTAATTCTCCGCTAAAACCACTATTCACGGAACCCATCACAGTTTAGCCGCTCTAAAAGGTCCTAAAATTAACGACTCGGCTAAATCTTTGCGACGCGGCTAAGTCTCAAATAACTTTGCAAGTCAGATCAGAAATTTCGATTTTCTCGCTACTCTCAACGTTCTGACTTCTCTTTTCCATGCACTCAACCTATAATATTTTTAAAATTTCATCTTCTATGTACAAAAAAAACAACAAAACCGCATGCAAAAACAAGCCTGAACAATCGAAAAATCAATAGGTCGACATAGTTGCTCTAGGATCCGAATTGATCCGTGTCGTCATCGATTTTCTCAAAACGATAGCATCCTCGGCCGTCCATGTACAGTGAGTACTCGTGATGGACCCAGAGGGACTGAAAACTCATAATTATTCAAAATATTCTTTCTTGAAGTCCAACCTTCCTATGAGAAACAGTGAACAATGTGATGTTCATCTCACGACAAGTTCTGTACATTGCGCCTGAAAAACCGTGCGGCACTTGCAAATAAGCCACGCCCCACCTTCGACGTCAACACTAACAGCAGAGGTGCACTCGTCAAGAATGGCAAACTGGGGCCGGTGGTAGAATAATCGGGCCATCTTAAATTATTTATTGATTGATTTTATCGATTTTATCGGGATTCACAGCGATTCTCTGCTTTTCTCCGCCAGAAAGGACGTCCATCCAATCTTGTACAGAGTTCCATCCGCCTTCTCGATCCAGAATGTGACGGAGTTGGACCTGAAAGTGTGAATAATCCTTATGAAGGCGCAGAAAAATGGGCGTGGCTTCAAGTTACCTAGTCCAACTGGCAAAAAATTTCTCAAGCTTCTTTTAGAGCATTACGGTACTGTACGAAAGAGATTTGACCTTGAAAAAAACGCAGCAAAGAAAAAGGGGCGTGACTTCAAGTTACCTAGTCTAACTTGCAAAAATTTTCTCGTGCTTCTTCTCTAACACTATGGTACTTTATGTAAGAGATTTGATCTTAAAAAAAAAGCATAACCGAGGGACAGAAAAATGGGCGTGGCTTCATTTTTTGCAAATCACTTATCTCTTTTCGAGCTTCTTTTAGAACACTTCGGAACTGTATGTAAGAGGTGTAAGAGGTAAAAAAATAACCGCTGCGCAGAAAAATGGGCGTGGCCTTCTTTCAAACCTTATCAAGCATGTTCTCCAAGTCGTGGTCAGTCAAACCCTTGCGAATCATGTCAAATGGTTTGTCCGGATAGATAACCTGATCTCTCAAGGTTCCGAGTGTCATATAGGGTCTCTGAAATCAATGAATCAACCCAGCAATTGATGAAATGCGGACCTGAGGAACGTAGAATAGTTTTCCTTTGGCCGGTTTCGTCAACTTTCCACCGAAAAGCGGCCAAAGTTCGCCCAAAACTCGGAAAAGGGAGCTTTTTCCGCAGCCGTTGGGTCCACAGACCAGCACATTTCTACCAGAAGGCACCTATAAATTTTCGTGGTTGCCGCACGGTTTCCATTTATGTCACCTCAAAGTCCAAACTGTCGATCAGAACGTCTCCATTTGGTGTCACTAGAGGTACCCCTTCGAATCGAATCACATTGTCCTCAATCACGAGCTCTCCTGTAGAATGATGACAATTTTTTGCAAATCTTTCAGAATGGCGAAACCCGCGCCAGGTCGGTACACATGTTCGCCGTCGAGCATGTATTCCTTGTCGCTGACCATTGTCCTTTCATATTTTCCTGAATTTTATTTTTTTTAAGGAAGCCGAGCATTCTATGAAGTGTTAAAAGCCTTAAAAAAAAGAAGAGAGCTTTAAAAAATTCGAAAATTTGCCGGTTCATTATCAGAATAAAGCGGAATTCCTAAAATTGGCAGCGCCCAAGTAAAAAATAATAAAACTTGGCCGTTCCCTTTACAGACTGATTTGGAGCTCCTGAAATGCGTCTAAGTTAAAAATTACCGAAATTCTCCGGAAACTTGACGATTCTGTAGCCAGAGCTTTGTTTAAACACGCAGTGAGATTTTTAATTAAGGAAAAACTAGAGATTTAAAAACGCTGTGCTTAAAAAATGCAAAAAAGGTTTATGGATTAAGTAATGCCCGCTTTTTAACAAAAGGGGCTATTTCAACAATATGGTATTGCTCGCCACTTTCTCTTCATACGTCAGCGACTTTAAAAAACCCTTATTTCGACATGAACTCGAGGACATTCAAATTTTTGAACTTTGAGGCATAATTCTAACTTTTGGGATATGTTCTGAAGGAGGCTTCATCGGCAATTTTTGACATCAAAATTTGAAACCATCGTGAAAAACTACAATCGTCTTATTCAGAAGCCCCACTGCGACTGTTTCCCGGCTATAAAAACAAAAAAATCTTGAATTTTTTTTTAATTTGAGTACGCTAGTTGTCAAAACTCAAGCGCTACTTGTTGGTCAGGCGTTTCTTAAAAGCTGCCAATTTTTTAAGTTTTCCCGTTTTAGGCGCTGCCAAATTTGTCAGTTTTGCTTTTTTAGGCGCTGCCAAATTTGTCCGTATTCCTGTTTTAGGCGCTGCCAATTTTTTTCGTTTTTCTGTATTAGGCGCTGCCAATTTTTAATTTTTGGGCGCTGCCAATTTCCAACTTTTTCAGTTTTAGCGTTTTAGGCGCTGCGAATTTTTGACGTAAAAACCAATATTAAAAAAAGGCCATTCATGAAATCTTTATAAATGACTTTTATGAACCTCAATTACTCACCAGTATCAACATCCTCCAAAACGTTGATCAAAGTGTCCACTCTAGTGGTGAAACCACTGAGTCTCGTCAAATCCCTTCCAGCCAGAGCCAATCGTCCCAAAGCCTCGGCCATCTTGTACATCATCCGGCCCGAGTTGTAATACTCCTGAAAAAACAACTACTTCTCGAAAAAAAAAATTTAAAGACCTGCATAAGCTCGTTCCTAGTTTTGCCCTTGAAAGGGGTATGGTTTCGGTCGAAAAATGAGGTTCCAATGGAATACCATCCGACTACCGTAGCCAAGTACTTTGCGACGATATTATCAACAAATCCGATTGAAAACCTAAACTTATTCAGAGTTGATTCTAGAGTATAAATCTGATGAAAATTTTTAAAACCTCGGAATTTTTCTGTAGGTTAGGCAGTAAATTTTGAAACTCTAGAAAGTTTATTGGGTGGAAAAAAAGCTAATGAGTCGAAATTTCATAAAAAAGACCAGTCAATTTGAAAAATGACGTCACAAACAACCTAGACTTATAAATGACGTCATTCAGTAGGGATGTGACGTCATCACTCTAGATAAACGAATAGCGATAAACGAAATACATTTTATGAATATTACGAATTTCCCAATGACTGTTTGTACATAAAATTTTTTTAAGAAGAATAAGAAAAAAAAACACTCAAGTGGCCGCTAAATTATAAAATGACGTCACCTGAACAGAATGATTTTCCGCAAGTGCTGAACCAGCCGATTGAAAGTCGTCATGATGGTTTGCCTTTCTCGATCGTTGCCCTGAAAAATTGAGGAGTCGAACCAAGGACCTCCGGATCAACAACCAAGGCTCTTAGCCATTCGACCAACCTGATAGAAGGCGATTTCCTCGCTATTCATGATGAGCCGCGAGTTGACGTACCGATACTCGCCTTCAAGAGCTTGCTCTTCAACAGTCAGGCGTCCTATCTGGAAAATGGAGTACTTAAGTAGTCCCTTGAAGGAAGAAAAAAGGCCGCATGCATCTAAATTAAGATTAGGAGAATTTTAAGCGCTCTGAAAGCAGGAAAAAAAAAACCCTAAAGTAGCCTCTCACTGATTCAAAAAAATGCGACAAAATGGAACAGACTCATATTTTCAGAAAACCCTAAAGTGGCCACTAAGAACCTTATCGATTTTATCGTGATAAACGATGACGTCATTATAAACTCTTTAAAAAAAAGACTGCTGTATCACACATACTTCAATGTATAGCCTGCACTAACCCATTCTTTTAATTCGAAATTTTTCCCTAAAGTGACCCCTTAGAGGACCCAAAAACCTACCGGCCGTCTCATGTAGGTCAAGCACGCTCCAGTGATAATCAAATAGCTGAACAAAATAGCTGGAGACGAAAATCCGAGTGACGATCCCATGCGGAACAAGTACAGGAAAACGTCGAGAATCGGCTGGATTTCTTATTTTATTATGATTATTTTATTTGTAGTTTGAACTTTGGACAAATTAGAGTAAAGTTCGACGATACCATCGCAGAATCGGTCAACATCCTGGGTCAAGAGTTGGTCGGCGTTCTGGATTCTCGTGTCCAAATTCGACATTTTGTAGAAAGTGAAGCCTCTGGGAATTGAATGGTATATTTTATTGGTATATATATGGTATTTAATGGTACATTTCACCCTTAAGATCATGTAGAAAAATGAAAATACTCGAAATTCAACGAATTTCTAAGTTTTTAGGCGTAAAATTTATGTTACCAATTCGCAAAACCCGACAAGACCATTTTCCTTCAAAGTTGCCAACTCGGGCAAAGTCGGAATGGCGGATAATGGCCTCTAAAAGGGAGAGGCTCAAAAAAGGCAGCAAAAAGGGTCCCTTTATCGAGCCTTCCATTTTTTCTAGGATTTTAAAGGCTCAAGAAATGGTGGAAAAATGGAGAGGCTGCAAAAATGGTGCAAAAAAGCCGATGAAATGGCGCAAAAAGGCAGCAAAAAGGAACATTTCTATGGCGCCTTTTTTTCGACTTTGCCTGAGTAACTTACTAAAATATTCTCAAGACATGTTTTTTTTTTCAGTCCTGCCCGTTTTAAAGTGTATTTTCTCAGCACTAGAATCGGATTTTTAACTGTAAAGACCTGGTGTCTATCGCTTTTTTCCATTATCATCCAAAATTTCGATTAAAAAAAGCACAAATCCTTCAAAGAATCACTTAGCCCCGACAGAACCTCTCATCTGGGCACACTATTTCGTCAAACGCTTCAAGGCCCTTTTTCGTTAAAGACTTACCAAAAAGCTCAAAAATGGCTGAATAGACATTAAAAAAAAAAGGTTTTTATATGAAAAATAGCGGTTAAACAAAAAAATTATCAATAAAGCGACCTTTCTCCGAAAGTTCAAAGTTGAGAATTGCTGGGGGTATCTTTTTTTTTATTGACTACTTTTATTAATTTTTCAAAACTCACTTCAAATATTGGGCGTACAAATGCGTGGACAGACGCTCACGGAACCGCAATTTCAGTTCAGAAAGTCCGAACTGTAAAATATTATTGATTTTTGACGAAGTCTCAAAAAAAACCTTGAGCAAAGTGTTGACGACAGAAATCGCCGGCAAATTCAAAACGTATTTGAACGCCTCGAAAGCGAAAAGCAACGGATTTCGGTCAATAATCGCTCTAGAAATCGTTATTTTTCGGGATTTTCATTAAAAAGCGAACGCTTCGATTTTAGTCGATGTGATAATTTGATAAACGTCGGCGTAGGTGCGGCACAGTAGAGAGACGGCTATTAGGAGCAGGTAAAAGGTCTGAAAATCATATTCCATTTCAATATTATTGTCTTATTCTTGTAAACGTATTTATAAAAATACTGAAAAAGGAAACATGATAAAAGTATGATTCACCGATTTTTGAGCGTCTGTTACCAAAAAAGGCCATTTTTTTGGATTTTTTTTTTCTTTGTTAGATTCTAGATTCAATACTTAGGAAATTCAAAGTGATCCCTTTAGGGGTTAGGGGAAAAACAGCCCCTATAGGGGGATCTTAAGTGGTCCCTGTAGGGGTTTAGGGTCTAACCGCTTAGCTTCTACAGCTTAAGAGGTCCCTAGGGAGGTTAGGCGGGAAAAAAAAACCCTACAGAGACCGAAAAAGTGGTCTCTATAGGGGTTAAACTAAAGTGGTACCTGGAGGAGTTTAGGGTCTGACCCCTTCCCCCCCTAAAGCTTAAGAGGTCCCTATAGGGGTCTTTCAATTTCATTCAAAAAACGAATATTTATTTAGTTTTTCTCATGGAAATGCTTCTTCGCTTAGATTTTATAAAAACTATCGACTAGCATGTCCCCTCTAGGGGTAACTTTTTTTCAAGTGTTAGGGGTTGGTAAAGTGGTCCCTAGAGGGGGCCCTCGAAGGGCTTTTCAGGTTGCCCCTAAAGGGACCATTCTAGAGTTTTTAAATAATGATGAATGGTTTAAAAAAGTGAAGTTTAACACTAAAAAGTTGAACGAAACTCTAAAATTAGAACATAAATTAAAAGTGAGGCCATAAAAATAAATTATTGAGCAACTTATACCAAAATTATCAATAATCTTCGAAAAAAGGTGTTAAATTCAATAATTGACCCTATAACACAAACGTATTGTAAGAAATCTTCCCAAGAAATCTTTTTGAATATTATTTTTAATAATTTTGATGAATATTTTAGTGAAATTGCATTTATTAAGGCATGAAAAATCTATAAAAGGAAAGAGAAAAATCATTATAACGATGAATAAATGACAGCCAAAATTTGGACAAAGGAAGTGATTTTGACATTAAAACATTAAGGAAAAAATTCAAACGTTTCAAAAAAATGTAATAAAAAAATAATATTATAATCATTACAAAGAATAAACATACCTCCATCGAAAAGAAGCCAGGAACCAATATTCTCAGAATCCGAAGCAATTTCCTGACAAAAACTCCGTCGACATGAGCTTTGGCGCTTTTGGAACGATTTTCTTGCTTGTGGTGCAAAGAAACGGCGCCTCTTTTTGATTTTGAGCTGTAAAACTAGAATTCTTTCAAAAGCTTCAGGAGTAAAAATAACTGAATATTCTTGGAATAAGTCTTGATGATGGCAAAAACGGCGAAAAGGCCTAGAACGCCTGGGGCGTACTGCTTGAGCGTCAGCGTTTGACCCAGCAGTTGGAGCTTTGAAAGGACGGCCATTTTTGCTGGAAATTGTTAATTGATTTTCAAAAACACTTTTGAAAAAGATCATCTCCTCATCAACAAGAAAGTTGGATCAAGTTTTTGAATCAAAAAAAATGAAAAATAGACATAAAAAGGTCTCGAAAATGACGAAATGAAGGTCAAAACGGCGTCGACGGCGCCACAATCACTACATATCGATAAGGGGCGACGTTCGGAAACAATTCCTTGCATTGGCTATTTTGTAGCCTTTTTGATGGGTTCTTTGGTTCTTCAATTGCCATAACGATAAATTTTCTTTTTCGTAGTCTATTTTCGCAAGCATAGAGGTTCAGAAAGAAATTTTTCGTGAAAATCACTTTTTTTTTTTAGTCGTATTTTCAAGATTTTCAATTAATCTAACAGGTGTAAGTCTATCTTACAGCAAAAATTAAGCTCAAAGTCATAAAGGGTGAAAAAAAACTCCATAGAAATGTTCCTTTTTGCGTCATTTTATTAGCTTTTCTGCACCATTTTTGCTGCCTCTTCCTTTTTTCATTAATTCTTGAGTCTTTAAAATCCCAGAAAAAATGAGAGGCTTGATAAAGGGACCCTTTTTGAAGCCTTTTTGCTTCCTTTTTTGAGCCTCTCCCCTTTAGCGGCCATTATTCCCCATTCCGACTTTGCCAAAACCGTGAAAAATTTTTGAATGAAAGTAAAACAATTTTTAGGGAAAATTTAGGAGAAAAAAATTAGAAAAACTTTCAGAATTTTTTTTCTTGGATTGGAATTCATTACTCATCTTATAAAAACTGGAAAAACATGGTATAAAAATCTGATTATATTCAAAAATATTGATAATGAATAATTGATAACAGAAAAAAATTTTTTTCATAATAATCGAGCATGAAAAACATGATTAATTTACAAATTTCAAAAAAACGGAAACTCCTTTGAAACTTGATTTACTGCACATTTTTGATATAAATAACTCAGTAATTAACAATCTTAATCAATAATTTTGACGACAGAAAAAAAAATCACCTCATCCTCGTTTCCATTGTGGAAATAAACCGTTTCTTCCTCAAAAATTGTATTTCAATACTTTTTCAAATTTTCACCAGTAGAATTAACAATTCGAAAATTTCAATTCATTAATTCATCTTCACATAAAATAAGAAAAAAGGTTCATTATTTCAATCACAATAAAAAAGAAAGTGTACACAAGAACGGGGGGCAGAATAAACCGGAATCATTGAGCCAAATATAATAATTTTTTGAAAAAAAAAAGGAAAATCCTATCGAAACGATCACTAAAAAAGAGAAAAAATGACCCGATGGTACAAATTTTGAAGAAAAAAATTGATGGGGAACAATATAATCAAGGGGTTTTGGGAATTATTCAGTAGAGAAGCAGAAAATAATCTTATTTAGATGGAAAAAATTTGCTTTCTTTGTTCATATTTTCTGAAGATCTAATCAGAAGAGGGCATCACCTGAAAAATATTAAAAGTAAGATTTGATACCGATTTTAGTGGAGAGAAAGCTTGAATTTGATGACAAAAATCAAAAACTTTAAAACTTCGGAAAACCAGGTCCTTTTTGAATAATTTTGAAATTTTCTTCTAATTATCCCCTTAAGTGATACCTTGAGACGATCGAAAGCGGCCTTCTCGAGCTTTTCGCGCTGGCTTGGATGAGCAATCTTGATGAGTTCGTAGGCTCGTTGGCGCATATTTTTGCCCCAAAGCTGAGCGATTCCGTTTTCCGTCACAACGTAGTGAACATGTGATCGTGTGGTGACCACACCGGCTCCCTGAAGTTCAAAAAAATCGTCCTTTCGTTCTACTTTCAAATTTATAAACAAAAAAATCTGGAAAAAAATAATGTTTTAAAAAAATACGGAAAAAGACACAAAAAAATTCAATTGTGCTGGGCAAAATTAAAAAAAGTCTGAAAAAAACTATAATAAATTTCGTTTTGCCATTTATCTACGTACATCACGCTAAAAAAACGACCCTCAAGAATTTTTCTTTTTTTGATTTCACTCTTCAAAAAAATTATTGTTTTTTTCAACGGTAGACGTTAGGTTAGTGTGTATCTAGGATGCAGCGAAAAAAATTTTGAAGCGATAAAATCAAAGTTTTAAACTTTAACTTTGAATTCAGCCGGATTTATCTCATTGATAAATGGAAAAATCGTATTTGAGCCAAAAATTGATCATTTTGAACTATTCAAGTTTCTTCCATATTCAAAAAAATCACGTTCTGCTAATTTATTTCTCTAAAATCCCTTGAAAAATTAATAAATTTTTGAAGAAAAACTAGGTACTTTGAACTTCAAATTCTGTCTTAAAAACACCGAAAAATTCAAGTTATTTAACTTTTAAAAGTCAAAATGACTAAAATTTCAGTTTCTCTCCAAAATAGTTATCTTTTAAGCAACTTTAGTCATTCTAAAGCTCTAAATTTCGTTTTTAAGCGTTTTTACCCCATTAACTCTTTGTTAAATGACACAATCTTGCTATAAGAGACTGGAATTTCAATTTATTCAATTCTCAAAAGCCTAAAAATACCAAATTCTCAATTTCTCTCCAAAATTAGTTATAGGAAGCATTTTGATTCATTCTGAAGCTCAAACTCTTTTTTTTTTATTCAGTTTTTGTGCACTTTCCCCACGTTACCTCATTGATGAATGGCACAATCTTGCTGTGGCCCTTCTTAGAAATGGACGGGAGGGCGATAATCGGCTTTCCGAGGCCATCGTCAGCGATTCCGGCGCCTCGGATGAAGTCAACTTGACCACCGAATCCGGACAAAAACCGTTTTCCGACGGAATCCGAGACGACCTGTCCAGTCAGGTCAATCTCGACAGCCGAGTTGATGGCTGTCACCTGGAAAATTCTCTTCAGAATGAATCCGGAAGACGTCGGCGGACCTTGGGGTTCTTCCTGATGACGGCCGGATCGTTGACCCACTGAACGTCTCCGAATTCGATGAGCGGATTGTCGTTCAGGTAATCGTAGAGTTTCGTCGAGCCGTAGACGAACGACACGGTCAACTTGCCGGGGTGGACAGTCTTAATAAAATGGAAAATTTGGGGAAAAAAATATAGAAAAAAATCAGAGAAATCGAATTTTTTTGACAAGCTTGTCTTTCAATTTTGTCACTTTTCTATGATTTTCTAACTTAAAAAAATATGCCTAGGAACCAATCAGTATGAGATTTTTTTCCTTCGGAGACGTTAAAAAAAAAAAAAACTTCTCCCTAAAGTTTTTTTGAGCTTCATTTGCTCAATATAAGGGCGGAAAAAAATCGTCTTTTTAAAAATATTATTCGATGAAAAATTTGCACGAAAAAGCCTTTAAAAAAATTTTAAAAAAAGGTTCCCCGTAGTTATTGATCATCGACTTCCCAATATAAAGCTCAAAAAATCGTCTTTTGTAGTGAAAAATTGTGCGAAAAGCCTTTTTATCGGTCTAAAATTGATGCCATGTTCAAAATGACTCCTCGAAGTTCAAAATAACCGTCAGAGAATGAAAAAGACAACTAAATTTTGGAAATTCAGAGATATCGCGGAAATAACTTTGGACTTCTCTACTCCGTAGAAAATCCGAAAATTTCGTTCTCTTTTTTTTTTTTGCACATCCTTTTCTAACTCCACCATACTTGGGCAGACCATTTTTAAAGCCTCCGACTTAAAATTAAAATCAATATTACCTTCTGAAATTAAAAACCTTTACTTTTGTCATTATTACCTCCTGCGGTTAAAATTTACTTTCCTACCTCGTTTTTTTAACTTTTACGTGATCTGAGCGCACTTGCCGCCTCATTCTTTTCAAAAAAAACCAACCTTCTTGGCGTTGGTGATAGCATTCCTCTCGATCAGGTCAAGAACACCGTCGGAGAACATTTCCGTGTGGATTCCCAAGTCTTTGTGGTTCTTCAGGGCGGAGAGGGCTGCATCGGGAACGGCGCCGATTCCTAGAAGTACAGGGGAATTTCTTGAGCTTTTCCCTTCAAGTACCCATTTGGAGAGTGGCTCCATTGTCGACGAGGTTTTCAGCAATGATCTGGCCGATTTTGGCCTCCTGATCGTTGGCCTTTCCGATGTGACGTTGATGGAGGACGAATCCGTCGGCTTCGTCGACGACGACGTCAATGTGCGAGGAATGGATGACACTGTCGCCGAAGGTTCGAGGCATGTTCCGGTTGGTCATGGCTGAAATTTCAAATTTTTATAATTAATACAAAGTTTGAAACGGTGTCGAGGTCGCATCCCGATGGTTTAAGCGGGTAGAAATTTATCATAATTACTTTTTGAGCACTGTGGTCGCACTTAGAATGGCTCAAAGCGTCGCGTTTCCGCTTGGAACAAGGATAACCGCCTAGAAGACTGCTTCAATGCCTATGCGCGTAAGCCGCTTTCAGTCCGCTGGGAATTTAAGAAACCGCTACTCATCTTAGCAATTCTAAGTTCTATCTTGGTTCAAACCTACCAATGATATAATCAGCATTTGTGACAGCGGCTCGGGTGGTGTCAACCGAGGTTCCCAAGGAGCAATAACCATTGGCGTCAGGAGGTGAGACCTACAACTGCATAGTTCGTAAAAAGTTTCTGGAGACGAAATTTTTGATTTTGAGAAAAATATATCAGAATCCTCGAAAGGGCCTACAACTGCATAGTTCGTAAAAAGTTTCTGAAGACGAAAATTTTAATTTTTGATAAAATTATGTTAGAATCCTCGAAAAGGACCTACAGCTTCATAGTTCATAAAATATTTCGAAGTGTTTTACGAGAATATTTTGAATTTTAGGCAAAAATATGGAGTCTACGTTCGAATCTTCGATAGCTAGAGGGCACTGGTAAACAAGAGAGGGTTTAGAGAAAACAGAACCTCTTTTCTCCACTTTTACAACGCTCTCTAATCGAAAATTAGAGCCTCGAAGATCCGAAAGTGGACTCAAAATAAGCTTTTTACATGTGAAATTTTTTTTTTTAATTTTTCAATTTTACAGGCCTACACTTCTAATTTCTAAAATTTCTGTCGATAAAAAAATCGATTCTGTGCAGTTCCCACAATGCTTTGTTTGCTGAACCCTGCTGACGCTTACTTCAACCTTTTAGACTCATTTTAGAATATTCTTTATAGAATCATTTCTATCCTCCCTACGAAATAGAGATCAAGAGAGAAGGTTTCTCTTCCGAAAATTTTCAAATCTTCTCAATTTTTTTAAACCTTTCTTTTTTCTGAATGAAAATTATAGCTTTAGGGACTCATCTCCAAAACTTTGGAATATTTCCATTTAATATAACTTTGATCTTCTTTACAAAAACCAGATTCCATATGGAAAGTACACCTCTCAGGCCATACTTCTAATTTCTGAAAGTTCTTTAGGTACAGTTTTGATTTTTTTTTTTTAAATTGATTTCTTAAAAGCAGTCCTTGAACTTTTTTGTTCGATAAGCCTGACATCATCATTTTTCTCTGATAAGCCCGAAATTCATGTAAAACATTCAATATTCACATGAATCAAAGCGGCATTGAGCTTGATGGCACCACGGCGGAAGAGCAGCGGAACTTCTTGCAAGAAACACGAGTTGAAGTCGGCGGTACCTGAAAAAAAAAGTAAAAATCGAAAATTATCGATAAATTTTTTTCAGTGGGCTTACCCTTAAAAATTACACAGAACAGCTTACAAAAATGAAAAAAAAAATAGAAAAGCTAATTTCATTGATCATTATCCGTTTGGAAAGTCCCCTTTCGAATTAAATTTTTTTTTACCAACTCACCATCATTGACAGATCCTCGCAAGTTGTGTCCAGTGAACAGCGAGTTTGAGCGGATACGGTCTAAAAAACTATCATATTTTTCTGTTTGAAACCAACTTACAATATTGAAAAAAAATCAGATCTTCCGTTTTATGTAACATTTTTCTGTGTCTAAAACAAATTTTCACGGATTATTCTTTTCATTTCCTGTTAAAATAATTTTTTCTCGTTTTCCGCTGCCCGCCTTCGGTATAAGAAAATCGTCAAAAAAATCAAGTCGTTACTTAAAATTTTATTTAACTCATGCTTGATTTTAAACCTCCTTTTAGTGTAATTATGCTTTCAGAATTACTAAATTTTATTTTTTCTCTTTTCCTTATTTCTTTCTTCATTTCGCCTTCCGTTTCACTAATTTTCACCCTGGTCTAAAAAACTTCCATTTACCTAGAAAAAACCAATTTTTCTAAAATCCTATGGGTTCTTGAGGGTACCAGATGGTTCTATGTGCAAGTGGACCCTGTGGAAATGGTAAAAAACTTAATTTTACTCGACTCTGAGCATTTTGAGCCGAGATATGATTTTTGAAGTTTAGAATGACTAAACTGACCGAAATTGAGGAAAAATAGATATTTCAAAAACCGTATTAGTTCTTGAGGGCACCAGAGGGTGCTATATGCAAGTGAACCCTGTGGTAATGTTTAAAAAAATTATTTTACCCGACTCTGAGCATTTTGAGCCAAGATATGATTTTTTTTTTTTGAAATTTAGAATGGCTAAACTGATCGAAATTGAGGAAAAATGGATATTTCGAAAACCCTATGGTTTTTGAGGGTACCAGAGGGTGCTATATGCTATTCTATATAATTTTTTTCTATAATTTTCACTTGCCCCTTTTCAACTCAAAATTAAACTTCAGAAAATTTTTTAGTCTGAAACTGTGAAAAATCTATCAACTTCTCTCCTCACCTTTGACATCCGCAGCAGTCCAGGGAGTGTCACCCTCGAGGTGAAGATGGTGAAGTTTGATTCCTTTCAAGTTGTTGGCGACGGCGTAATCAGAAAGGCCTTTCAGGAGCGGCGTCGGCGTGGCGGCGATTCCTTGGACGAACAAATTGTCTCCTAGAAAATTATTGAAAAAATTTTCATTTTTATCATTTTTACCGCTCTTGATCTGGTTGAAAGCCTCGCTGATCGGCAAAACTTTCGGCTTTTTCCCGGCGATCGGAAATGCGATCTCGTGCTTGTCCCCGAAGGAAGTCATCCTAAATGAATAATTAAATTCAGAATTTTCTGAAACACAGGCAGAGTCAAAATGACCTCAAAAAGGCCTAAAAGAAAAGTCTGGAGCTCCTTTTTGAGTTCCTATAAAGGTGTCAAAAGTTTCTCGGAATATCTTTTTTACCTTTCATCCGCCTCCTTAAACGGTCGTTTTCAGAAAAAGGCCAAAAAAAATTGCCTTTGAGGCGTTTTTTACAAAAGTTCCTTCGGAGGCCTTCCACGGGCAAAGTTAAAAAAGTCTCACTTACGGAAATGGCCTCTAAAAGACCTCAAAGGCGCTTTTTTCAGACTTTTTCTTGAAAAGGACTTTTCAAGAAGCTGTAAAAAAGGATGTAGAAAAAAGGAGATTCCTAGGAAATTTTGACATATTTTTAGAAATAAAAAAGAGCTTTAGTACCTTCTTTTTAAGGCCCTTTTGAGGCCTTTTGGACTTTGCCTGTGTATCCTAGAACTGTTGAGAAATAAATGAAAAAAATGAAATTTTTGAAATTGAGTTCATTACAGGACTTTTAGTTAAATTTTGAGTAAACTTTAAAAATTGAAGAGCTTTTTTTTAAATAGTTAACTTTAATAAATTATCAAGGTTCTTCTATTTTTTTGAAAAAAATTTCATCTTTTTGAACCATTTTTTTTCCCAATTTTTCTACGGAAAGTAATGCATAAATCATAATTTTCCAACAAAATTTTATTTTAATTCAGGCTGAATAAATATTTCCCTTGTTCTTTCCCTAATTTAAGAGGAATTTATTCAATTTACAGCACAATTTGGTCTTTTTCAAAATAAACTTTTCTTTTTTATTGGATTTCTGATTTATTCTGTTTTTTTTAAATCTTTAATTTTCATACAGTTTCGAGTGGAACTTCAATTTTCCCGAACAACTCCTCGTTCTCTCAATAATTACCGAGCCAACTCTTCGACTCCCAACAAAAAATGAATCATTCTGCACCTCGCACATGTCGAGGAGGTGCCAAAAGATCGTGAAGAAAGCCGAGACAACATGTTCCCTGCAAAATCGCACGTAAATTCGACCAATGGGCTCAAAAAACTCGGAAAATAAACGGCAAATCGAAATAAAATAAGGTGATGATAACAAAGTGACCAGTCCAGTGGTGTGATGATATCAGGAAGTTAAATGCACGATTCAGCAAGTTTTTTTGATTTTTTTGGTTTCAGATCAATTTTTTTGACTGTGAAAAACGAAATTTTGGGTTTGAAAGGAATTTGAGGCTCGAAAAATTAGACTTGAAATTTTTTCAAAGGATTTTCTGAAGGAAAAATATAAAGCAAATCATGACAAAAAAATGATAAATATTCACTTTTTTTAAAAAAATTTCAGAATAGTTTTAATAACTAAAAAGCTTGATTTTCAACTATTTTTCGTCAGAAAAACTTTCGTGACACAGCTAATGTAGAAAATCATTGAAAAGGACTTGTAAAAACTTTTAAAAAAAGGCAAAATTGAACCGAAACTCCGTTCTAAAACCACATTGGTTGAGAGTAGACAGAATTTAAAACGTCCAAATTGAAAGGACAGAAAAAAAAGGCGAACAAAAAGTGACAAGGTCAAATACTGCGGCGGACTCGAATGGCACCAAAAATCGAAGAGAAAAAAGGTTAGTACATTATGGAAAACTACAAAATTTTATGAAATTCGAAAAAATGTGTACATTTTCTGAGTTCAAAATCATCAAAATCATCAAAAATATGAATAAAATCAACGCTTAGAACCTTTCAAACCGATGAAAAATCACAAAAAAAGGACATTTTCTAGCTAAATTCAACTTGATAACGTGGAAAAACTGCAAAAAGTTGACACTTGAACGAAATTTCAACGAAAAAAGAAAAGAAATGCCTCATTCAAAGCAATTTCGCGCAATTGGAAATGATCTCTGTCCCTCCAAAATTAGCTACATCTTTTTTTTCTGATGGTTATTCTTATTGGGCTGTTTGTACTTTGAACGCGCCTGGCACTCGTGGAAAAACGGAAAATTTGAAAATGATCCCCCCAAACTACGCTATTTCGTGGTCAAAAAATGTTTATCAAAAATTCTTGCCGGCGATAAATTATTGAAGAAACTATAAAAAGCAATAATTCTAGTGTAGGGACTGAAAAATAGACTGACAAAAATCAAAATTCTATTCTTGATATTATTTTTGGTCATTTAGGACGAAAAATGTGTGCAATTTCGTATTTTTAAGAAACATTGATTAATTAAATATGTTCAATTTTTCTATCAAAAATTCGTGGTTGAATGAAAAAAACTCAGAATTTTCAAAAAGAACTACAGTTTAATCCAATTCAAAATCTCAAAAAAAAGCCAAGGCAGACTTTCTACTCATTAAAATTATAACAAAACCACTTTTAAATCCCAATTTTCGATCAAAAACGCCAAAAACCGAGCGATTTTTCGTCGACTTGTTCAAATAAAGGCCGAAAAATTGAACGTGGATGGCGGGAAAGGCGAAAAATGAAGGCGGACGGCCGGAGTAGCGTCGAAAAAGCGTACAATCTGGGGAGAGTGGGAAAAAAATAAAGTATTCGCGCCGTCCGTCTAGCAGTTTGGGCAAAAGGAGAAGGAAAAAAAAAGAAGAAGAGGAGTACAAGTTTCCTCCCACGTGGCTACGCCTTTCTATTATTTTTTTGAAAGAAAAAAACGTTCTTTTTTTAATAAAAAAATTTGGATTTGTAAGACATGGAAAGTTTGACTATCGTTTTTTTGGGTCCTTAAAAGCTGATTTTTCAATATTTAAAAAAATCTTTGAAAGTAACTTTTCGCTTTGACCATTTTTTTGAAGAAACCGTTCTCCTTCGAAAAACCTCAAAATAAATTTTTTTGATTGAACAAACTATAATTCCAAAAATATTAAAAAACTGACCATGAAATTTGAAAAAGTCATGATATTTGACTTGAAACTCAAAAACTATTGAAAGCTTTCACTAATAAAAAAATTTTTTCGAATTTTTGCATAGAAAATTGACCAGAACGTCAAAAAAGAGCTTGTTTTTGACAAAAAAAAATAAGAGCAAAAAGACCAAAATCTGATCTTCTAGCAATCTTTTTCGACAAGTGTTCACAAACACGTTGAGAACAGTTGTTGTGTGTGAGAATCAATAGTTTCTTTTTTCCTCAAGTCAAAAAATAGTTTGAATCATTATCATCTGTTGCGAAAACACTTGCTGAATAGGTTTAGAGATTGAAAACTCTATAAAACCGAAACAAAAGAACAAAGTTCGTCTAAATCGTCGCGAGGGCAAAATTTTAAGCCTTTCTGTTTGAAAATCCAAAGAACAAATAAACCAGGTTGACGGGAACTTTTTCGGGTTCCTTTTCATTGGAAAAAAAAAGAGAAACAAAACCAATCTATTGCTTTGATTCGATTACTTCAGGGAATTCCTTAAGGGAGAACCGAAAACAAACAATGGGAGGTTTCTTCTTCACTTTGTACTGATTAAAAAGAGTCCAGGGAAAGACCGAATTTTTCAAAAGTTTTTTCAGGTAATATTTGAAAGAGCATATATGAGTATCCAGTTCGATATTAGGGCAAAAAGGCTTCTAGAAATCTCTTCAAGGACTCTCGAACCCATTTTCAAGCGAGAAAAAAAAATACGAATCCACGAAAGGTCGAAAATAAAAATGCCAGGAAGCCAGGAGGAATGAGGCCTTCGAAATGACTGGCGATACGAGAAGGCGGAGAAAAAATAACGTGAGAAAAGACCAGAGAACCCCCAGAGCGCCGCGTTCAACCAACAGCAAAGAACGCTCTAAAAACTTGTTTTGGAGCATCATGTGAACCGAGATATGAGGCTTACGTGAAATTTGGAACGGCAAAATGGTGCAAATACCTGTGATGCTCCAAAGAACTTGCAGAGAACGAAAAATTGTCGAGTAAATGGGGCTCACAAATTTTTTTTTCTGTTCAAAATGAATTTTGAGAAAAATGGAATTAATGAATAAAAAATTTCGATGCAAAATTTCAATTTGCGCGTAGAACGGCGTGTTGTCTGCAATTATGGGGTGCTCACAGACCTTATTTTGGAAATCGTTAACAACAAAAATTTGAAAAAAATATCTTTGATTTGACTTTATTACGTTGAACCTTTCACCGCGAGATGTGTGAAAATGAACGAGCCAAAAACATGCAAAAAAACTGATAGAAGAGATAAAACCTCAACAAATATATGTTTTTTTAGCTTTAAAAAGAAATGAATGATAATTTTTGGGTCAGAATTGGATCAGAAAAAGGTGCTCTGGTGAGTACTTCAACTCTAGATTTTCAAATCCACAGAGCTTAAAATTAGAATGAAAGATTATTTTACAAATAATGAGAGTAAAATATTATTAGAGCGTCGAAACGCGTTTTCAAAAACTTCCAGAGCGTTATTAGAACAGTTGTATTTTTAGTGGAACACATGAAAATCTAGAGAAAAAAATAATTTATTCGGTCTGTTTTAAATATAAGGAGCGCTTCGAAGGTTTTCTCAAACTCAAACTACTCATGAAGACCTTCATACAGAAGTTTCAATGCCATTACTGCAACTAAAATGATCAGATGACGTGCTCGATAAAACGTGAAGGTATATAAAGGCATTCACCCCAGGCGCAGCTCAATTTAAATAAACTCACAGGAGTAAGCCGCCGTCACAGCCTACATATCCCTTGACCTCACCGATAATGATGCTCGCCGTGTTGTTCGCCGTCCTACCCATCTTCCTCGCCGTCCAATGCGGAGGCAAAAAGAAGAAGTTTGCTCAATTCCTCGTTTCCTTTTCAATTATTCTAATTCAGCAACAAGAGCCCACCCTCGAAGATGGGCACGCCTTCGAAGGTCGGCCTACCGCCATCCGCGCCTCCTCCCGCCGCTGCTCCAGCTCCCGAACCCGAGAAGAAAGAAGAGGAAAAGAAAGAGGAGGAGAAGAAGGAAGAGGAGAAGAAGGATGAGAAGAAGGACGAGGAAAAGAAGGACGAGGAGAAGAAGGACGACAAGAAGGAGGACGACAAGAAGGAGGACGACAAGAAGGAGGGATCTAAGAAGGACGGATCTAAGAAGGACGGATCTAAGAAGGACGGATCTAAGAAGAAGTCCAAGAAGAGCCAGAAGTCGAAGAAAGATGACAAGGTAGATTTAACTTCTTTTTTTTCACTTTTGAAACGATTGGGTTGCAGAAGGATGAGAAGACGGATAAGAAGGACGACGAGAAGAAGGATGAAAAGACTGATAAGAAGGACGAAGAAAAGAAAGATGAGAAGAAGGATGAAAAGAAGGATGATAAGAAAGATGAAGAGAAGAAGGATGAGAAGGAAGACAGCAATGTAAATTTTTAAACTTAAGAGAAAGCTCGCTTCTTCATTGGGAAAATACTTGGCAGACTGTTTTTAGTATGATTTTTTCCAGTCAAAAGAGCTTGCAAGTTGTTTCAGTTGTTAAAAGAAAGATATCAGCTTTTTATTTGAAAATTGGATGCAAAAACGCATTGAAAATGTTCAGGTTGACAAGAAGGACGGAGACAAAAAGGAAGACAAGAAAGACGAGGAGAAGAAAGACGAGAAGAAATGACTTCTCGGCCGTTTCTGACGCCGTGCTGCTCCAATCACTAACCGTCGCCGTGTGTGCAACGTTTATAATACCGCTTTCGCATTTTGGCCCCCGGAACAACTCGCCAATTTGTGCTTTCAAAACGGCAATAAACGCTGCTACCCTTCTTTGTTTTTTATTCCAAGAAGAAGCTCATGGTTGTACAGAAATTTGACTTAAAATGTCAAGAAAAGCGACCAAAAGAAACATTAAATAAAGGAGAAAAATAATGAAAGCGAGTGAAAGCAGTCGGTTAAAAACGAGTAAAAGCAGTCCATTCTATCAAAAGCACCAAAAAAAAAATTACCGCATAAAAACATGTATAAATATTTAGCGCGCTAAACGAAAGGCACAAATAAGGTTAACGCGAAAAGCGGAAAAGTGGAAAGAACACATTGAAAAAAATAAAAATAAAATGAAATTTTCAAAAAAATATCTATTTAAAGACGCAGGCGGCTCAAAAGCTCCAAATAGTTTCGACGCGTTGAGCAGTTTTAATGGGAATTTAAGAAATTAAATTTTTGACTTTCTTATGGCTTTTTGGCAATTTCCTTCTGATTTCAAACATTATTTAAGTACCATTTATGACGTGATTATTGAAAGAAGAGAAAAAAAGTTTAGAAGAACAAGAACTAGGGCTGAAAAAGCAGGAAAAAAAGAACATTTTTTTGGGTAATTTTAAAAAGTCTGTAAATTTGAACTTAAATTTTGATTTTGAAAAAGCTTGCAGATTTTTCAAAACGAGTTCTGCATCCAAAAAAACCTCGATAAAATCTATAATCAAAAAAATAAAGATCAAAAATTTCGCCTCGGGGCGTATAAGTTCATTTTTTGCCCTACGAGATCAGACATAATTTGTAGACCACAGCGGGAACCTCTTGATTGACTTTTTCTCCTTATTCGGCTTTTTGTTCTTTTGCGTCGTCATGTTGACCTTTATAGTGTTTCTTTGTTGATCTTCCGCGTTTCTATCATTTTTTCGTTCTACTCTACCTTTTGAGGATTTGGATGTCGCTAGTCGAAGAGGTTGTTCCAATCGATGTTCCGCTAGAAGTTGTCGAGAAAAATATTGAAGGGGTGCGGAAAAGCGTTGCTGAGAGCAATTTTTTTTTTTTGTTTCTTTTTGTTTAGAACAACGGAAGGAAGGAGAACAGTGATAAAGTCAAAGAAGGGGTCGAGGAATGTCAAGATCAACCGGAAATGATGGCTCAGTTGCTACTAGGTAAAAAAAAACGGTGTAAACTCAAAAAAATTTTTGTTCAATTTCCAGAATGGAGTTTTTTTTAAATTTTTTTGAATTTATTCGTTAAATAGGTATAAATCCATATAAAGACTATTTTAAGGGCTGCGGAACCAACCGCTCCTGTTTGAAAACGCTCAAAGTTCGTCAAATGTCAAACCTGACCTCAACAACAACACAAAAAAAGAAGAGATTGTGGAGGAAGGACCTGCGAAAATAATATCACCTGCGGCAGAAAATGAAGAGTTCCAAAATAGAGTTGAAGAGAAAGGTGAAAACATTTGAAAATGATTATTTTCAAGTTATTATTTTTAGGAGAGGAAAAGAAGGAACAAGACTCGTTGGAAACTTCAATTGACGAGCAAAAAATGGAATCGGTGAGTTGGAAAATTGGTATTTTCATAAATTTTAGATAATGGAATTTTACGAGTTCCCTCAATTTCAAACTGACAGTTGAAAAATAGCTTTTTCAATGAAAAAAAGCTAAATTCCAGCCTCCTTCACCTCCTTCACCTTTCTTGCCTCCTTCAAGCGAAGTTTCCGTTCTTGACACTGCTCAGGCTTCGATCTCAAGGCCAGACCAAGCACCATCACCACCCCCGATTTTGGAATCTCCTTCACCTCAAGCCGCTGTTCCAGCTCCACGTCCCCAGTCTCCTTGTCGATTCGCTGCTCCAGCTCCCCTTCCTCAACAACCTTGTCAACCGGTTGTTCGGACTCCTTCGGTTCCGAAAAAAGCCGCAGTACCACCGCCACTCGTGTTGAACTCTAGTCAACCCGCAGCAGTTTATATCACTTCCTCGACTTCAAGCTCAGACTCGAGTCGCGATTCGGTTTCGTCACCACTAGGGGTACATGACTGAAATAGCTGGATATTTGAGCCGTGAGAAAATAGCCGTGGAAAATAGCGTATGTAGGGCGTTTAAAGGGTTTTTTGAGACCAAAATTTGATTATGAACAATTTTGTGAGTTATTTTCAGATTTTAAGTCAATTAGTGATCACTTTATGGACATAAGTCCTTTTTTTAGTCTTCATTTGGACTGAATTCAATGTAACGTCCTTTAGTGATCACTTTAGGGGCGTAACTCTATTTATTTTCAGATTTTCAAGTTTTCAGCTTGGTTGAAAGGATTGAATTTTTTTTTGTAAAATTCTTTAGTTTAGTGATCACTTTAGGAATGTAAGTCCTTTTTTAGTCTTCATTTTAAATACCTGAATTTTTTTTTTTTTTTATTTGATAGGACTGCATTTTTTTTAAAGCTTTGGTTGGATATGACATTAGTGATTATCTGTGATTTTCGCGGCTATTTTTTCTCACCATCCACAGCGGTTTTCTCATGTACCCATAACTAGTTCAGCCTCTCTCCCCTCGAACTGCAGCTCAAGCCACAGTTCCACCACCTCGACCGGAACCAACACGCCTTGAGCCGTTCCACAAGCTTGTTGAACCGCCGAAAAGCTGCGCCTTGACTCTGCAAGACCTGGATGACGAAGTCTTTGAGGAAGACGTTCGGGACTCCCCCGAACCTCCCAAAGAAGCGAACAAAGCCTACTGGCAATCTTTGGAGGATGACCTCAGCGGAGACTTTCACAATCTTCGTTCGTTTTTGAATTTCATCGAAGGAAACGCGTCGTTTATGATTTCAGCAAGAGACATCGATGTGAAAGGGGATACTAGAAGTCGGGCGGCAAGTAATTCCATAAAAGGGGCGGTCAGTCGAGATTCATCGCCGTTCAGTGGAGCTCACGTCGATATTGACGTCCGCGGAATCAAGTATAGGGTGAATTTCAGTTTTAATTTCAAAACTTTTTCAGAATGTATAGAATTCGTGTTCATTTTAGGTCCCTTCCATGATTCGGTGCCATCTTTGTTTGGATAGCATGAGATTGTGCCTGAGACGAACGCGGTATCGTGGTGAAAGGAGGGAATATCCGGCTTATCGGTGATTTTTTTCTTATAAAGAATATATATATATATAACTGACTCATAGTGTTGAAGCATAACGCTTATATTAAGCTGATTCTAGAATGTTCTATAGTATTCCATACATTTCTAATCTCATTACGTCATAGGAAATTTTGAAACATCAATTATCAAATAAGCTTCAAAGTCTAGGCGCTGCCAAATTTGAAGAAAACCTAGGCGCTGCCAAATTTGAAGAAAACCTAGGCGCTGCCAATTTTGACGAAGGTTTAGGCGCTGCCAATTTTGAAGAAAGTTTAGGCGCTGCCAGTTTTGAAGAAAGTTTAGGCGCTGCCAAATTTGAAGAAAGTTTAGGCGCTGCCAATTTTGAAGAAAGTTTAGGCGCTGCCAAATTTGAAGAAAGTTTAGGCGCTGCCAAATTTGACGAAAGTTTAGGCGCTGCCAAATTTGAAGAAAGTTTAGGCGCTGCCAATTTTGAAGGAACCTTTAGGCGCTGGAACTTCTAAGCCTATGAAACTTTCTTTTTTTTTCCAGTTGCAATCGGAAAGGCTGTCAGACTTTCCGATCGATCCGCAAAGTATTCGATAATCCTGATGGAATGCGCATTCAGGGTACTTTCATATCCTGAAATCATCGATTGACCATGAAAATTTTAGAAATCTTTATGTACGATAATAAAGAAGCTGCCGGTGTCATCCCGATCCCTATGCCAGCTCCTTATCGCAACAGCGTCAGCCTACCCGGCCGTTTTCGCGTCAGTCAACGTAAAAGAGCTGAGAATTTTAATGTGCGTCTGTCTTGTAGGATTTTAATTAGTACTTGAAGCCAAAAAATATATTCAAAAAAGTGTTTATTATCTAGGAATTCCAAGAGCAACTTAAACAAGACATTATCGCGAATAAGAAATCGTTGGAAGAATCTCGACGGGCCAACAATGTCACGGCGGCTCTTCCGATGTCCAATGAGCAAGGGTATATTTTTTTATTTCTCATAATGAAACTTATTTTTCACAAAAAGTATATTTTTAGAACGCTTCTTTACATTCCGAAAGTACTGACTCCTCGGCAAATTGTCGATATTCAAGAGGCCGTTGTCCAGCTGTTGATTCAGAGAAGTCCGATGAAACAAGTGTGAGTTTTATTCAATTTTTTTGTGAAATTTTGAAAAAGAAAATTAATTCACCGTTTCCAGATCATTAAATGAACTGCCCGTGTTTTCCAACTGTCCGCTGCCGGTCAATAAGCTCCAGGGCATGTTGAGAAACCCGCAGGCATTGGATGTGCTTCAAATGTATTATTTCTATGACAAGGAACATTTTTTTAGTGTTTCGGCAAGGCCATGCTTGATTCGCCGCAGCCGCCGCTACCTATTGGTTATGAGATTGACCAGAATGGAAAGTTGCTGCGTCTAAACCGACCTGCACCCAAACCATCTTCAAATTCGAAGACTTCTGGCTTTTTCTGAGTTAGTTTTTTTAAATTTTCAATCTGATTTTTTTAAGTCGACTTGCTAGAGATTTTAAAAGCTGAAATTTTGAGAAAAAGTTGCTGAAAAAAACTAAAGTTCATATGGTTCATAAAAAAAGTCGATTATATGAAAAGATTGCTTGAAAGAAGATTTTAGTTTTAGTTACTGAAAAAAGAATTCAAAATTAAAATTTTTTGTTGGGAAATCGAACAATTGAATTCTTATCGTACAGATATTTCAGGAAAAAAAATTATTTTCTAAAAGAAAATTCAGCGTCCCCGAACTCCTTCGTTCGTACTCGCCGACATCTCCTACTACGTCACAATTCGATGAGAAACTTCCCAGAAAGCGGTCGTTTGAAGAAATGAGCAAGTTGGACGTGAATACGTCGACGTCCAGCGTCCTCCGCGACATCCTCAGCCGACCGAGCAAGGTGCAGAAGATGGCAACGAGGACGATTTCGCTCGGCGGATATCCCCGACGTCCCAACTCTCAGCTGGCGGACGCCTACATGCGCAAGAAGCAGCGGGACAAGGAACGCGAAATGGCTGCGGCCCAACGAAATTTCGTGCCCCCGCCGTCGAAAATCGTTGCAGCTATGGACGCACGGCAGCGAACTGTTCAGAACACCTATTCGCAGGTATTGATTGAAGTTTTTATTCAAAATTGGCGCTGCCCAGGAAATTCAAGAGGCGCTCCTAAGTTCTCAAGAAGAACCTTTGAAGGATGCAGTTTTCTCTAAATTTGGCAGCGCCTTGATTTTTTTTTTTAAGTAATTCTAAAAGCTTCCATTGGGAAGTTCAATCGTGTTTGGTAATTTCTGAAACTTGGTCAAATTATAGACTGTTTAGTTTCTGCAAAGTCATCAAACTCCGCCCCTTATGCCTAGGTCAAACCAATCAAAGAGCGAGCCATCCAGAGCGTTGTTGTGGGCGGAGTTTGCGGCTTGAAATTTAAAATCTGACTAGTGAGCATACTATACTCATTATTGGGCCAGGGGAAGTTCTAAACAGTATAAATCTGCGTAATCCCCTAGTTTTCGAGAAACGAGGGATTAAAATCTCATAATGATCTATGAAATAGAAAATTGTGAAGGTTGAGACTTTCAGAATCCTATTCTGGTACAGCAAGCAGTTATCTAACCAGTTTTCAGAAAATTGTTAACCAAGAAGTTGAATTACAGTCTGTTCAGATTTTAAATGTCAAGTGCAATGACGTCATTCAAAAACACTCTGTGGATGGCTCGCTCTCTGATTGGTTTATCGCACCATTCAGGGCGGAGCTTGAGCGACGACTTGAAATTCAAAATCTGAACAGACTATATGTTCTCTGTGAGCTGCTTTTCAATATGAGTTTTCGAAAAAGGTTCAAACTAGTAGCTTTTTTCGACAAAAAAATCTCGTTTTCAAGGCAGAATTTTCCCAGTTGCTTTCGCCACCGCCATGCGGACCACCTACGCAGCAGTTCTTCCACACACAGCCACACCTGCAAGGAATTCCGTCGCCTACTCTGATGAGCTCCTTCGCGTTCCCCTGCAATCCGGCCTCGTTCAACTTTTTCGCCGCCGCTGCACCACCTCCGATGCACTTCAAGTCAACGGCGGCCCCGGCTCCGCCACAACAACAGCAGCAGAGGTGCCAGTCGACGGCCCCGAACACCATCACGTTGCAGCAGGCGTTGAACTCGCAATACGTCACGGAACGACAGAGATCAAGTTTGAGCTTGTACAGCTGATTCACGGCTAGCTTGGGCGTGAACTGTCTGCGCTCTCCACCAGCCAGGCACTATAGTCTGTTCAGATTTTGAATGTCAAGTCGCTTCTAAAGCTCCGCCCCTAATGGCCCGATAAGCCAATAAGAGAGCGAGCCATCTACAGAGCGTTTTCGAATGACGTCATTGTACTTGACATTCAAAATATGAACAAACTATATCTCTTTCACTATCGTGTCAGGACCCTTTTTTCGATGGCTCAAGCCAGCCGTGAACCAGCTATAGTTTTTCAAGGAAATTTGGAGTCTGTATAGACTTTCAGCGGTTCCACATTGCGATGAAAATCAAGTTTTTTTTTTCATTCCAGCCGATTTCGCGTTCATCCCGACCTTCTACCAGCAACCGATGCTAAGCGATCAGCTCTTCATGCAGCCCTTCATGCCGACGAACATCCGAAACGCGCAGTTCATGGATCAGAGCGACATCACCTGCTCGACGACGATATCTGATTCTTCCTGTACTATCGTCCAGGAAGATGAACCCGTAGGCGTCTTGAGAATGGCAATGTCAGTTTTCTAAAATTTTCAGATTGTCGACCAGGGGCTCAAGTTTGATCCGCCAGTGCTAGATGTCGATGATGAAAAGGCCGAAAAAACCGATATTTAATCATTTTTTTAGTTATTTTTTTGTAGTCATTGATAAGGGGGAATGGAGGAAAGTTCATACTTTTCTAGTAAATTGGCTTTTTGGAGCTTTTTTTTAGGCTGAAGCTGGAAACTTCGGTCTATTTTTTTTCTCCATTTATCTTCTTTACAGTTTTTACTTTGATACTTTATACATAGATTATATTGTTATATTGCATATTGCTCAGAACGTTTTATACAGATTTTTATCCCCCATAGATGTTCTATTTATTTGCATTTGCACATACATTTTGTCATTTCCTGTTCTTTCTATGCAATTTTGTTCATTTGCTCACATTCTTCTTGTCTCCTTGCGTACATCTTGTTCTATTAATTTCCGACCCCGGTACTTTCGAAAAAAGAATAAAAATGACAAAAATTAGCGAGATTTGTTTAACATTGGTTTTATTTCTGAGTACTACTTGAACTTTTGCTACAGCTGCTGGCTATGAACTTCCGCGTCGACTCGATCGGCGTGCTCCTCTGAAGCGTTTCCAGTGTTTTTATTCAGTAATTACCAAATTTTCTCACATCATAGAAGCACACAGTGGGCGTAGACTTCCACGATATAACTGGGCATTTTTCTTCTTTCACGTTTTCGCTCGCTTGGGTTGCGTCGTCTTCGTTACCTTCTCGCAGAACTACGCCTTTAGAAATTTTTAGATTATTCTACAGAAAAAAAAATGAACTTTTAAATATAGCTGATTCACGGCCAGCTTGGGACGCTAAGAGGCGTGTCCTGTCTGCGCTCTCCACGAGCCAGGCGCTATCTCGTGCATTATCGTGTTAGGACCATTTTTTCGATGGCTCAAGCCAGCAGTGAATCAGCTATATGTCCTAACTTAAAGTAAGCTTGAGAACTACCAAATATTGACCATAAGAAATTATCTGTTAAGCGCCATAGGGTGATCAGAAATAACCCATCGAAAATTAATGCGAAAACAAAAAATGTTCCTTTTTGGGTTTTTTTGAAGAAAAAGTTCCCTTCTCTTGTTTCTTATCGTATAGTGAGTTGAATTAGTTGCGTTAGAAACTGAAAATTGACAATAATCCTTTTTTTGAACGTTTACTGTACATTTTCGATGGGTCATTTCAATGGTATGAAAATCCTTTTCCGACTTTTTTCCCTTATGTTTTTCGGTTTATAAAACATCTATAAACATTTTTTTTTTCCTATTTCTTTGTGTTTTAATCATGAACCAACAACCTACTTTATATAGGAAGATTGAAAACGATGATTTTATCGAGAAAAAAAGTCGGAAAAAGTTTCGTCGGAAAGGTGACCGTCGGAAAGTTCCCTAGCGATATGAAAAAATCGGAAAAGTCGCCGTTTAAATTTTCGCTGGAGTTTTTTTCATACCACCAATTTTTCAAAGGGAAATTTGAAAAAACAGGCGTTGCCAAATTTAAAAAGAAAAGTTTCAGTTCAAACTCGCAAAATTAAAGACTGTGAAGAACTCCATCTTCTATTCTATTTCGAAATCCGACTTCACTGTATCAAAGATGGAAACCCACGAGCCGACAAGTTTATAACGCTGGTGACGGTGTTCATGAAAACTCGACTGGTTTCGAAGGCGACGTCCTGCGTTTGGAGCTTTGTCAGCAGCTCGTACTCGTCTCGAACACGGCTGTAGGTTTGTTTCAGTTTCAAAAAGTTCATTCACAAAACTAACTTAAATACCAGTTTTGGCTCTGCGGGAATCGTGTTCGACAAGACCATTACGATGTGTTCGTTTGTTACTGTATGATCTTCCTCGACTTCTTCCTTGATGATATTAGATTTAAACAAACAAAATATTTCTCCTTACCAAATCCGATTCAGTAGGCTCCATTGGGATCATCCAAAACGGCCATCCGAACGGCTTGAGAAACAGCTCGCCATTGTTTTCCTTATAGAAGCTTGTCTTATAGGAGCTTGTCTCTTCCACCGCTTGGAGCACAGAAACCGTCGCTTCGTTTGACGAATCGGGGTCCGACCCGAAAAGTTTCTTCTTTTTCTTTTTCTGAATTATTTTGGGTTGACTTCAGAATATTTTTTTTTTTTTTGGTTCAATTAGAAGTTCGTTATCACCTTTCCTTGTAATAAAGAATTAGGCGCTTTTCGAGGCATGACGTCAAGTGTTGGATCATCAACGCAAACGTCATTTTTCTGAATGATAGCATAAGTTTAGACGCATCAAATCTTGTACCTTATGAGACTTGGTGCTGCTCAGCTTTGCTTTCGTCGAAAAATAGTCCTTCATCGCCTCTTCTTTCGTCTTTTTCGGACCATCCGATTTATCTTTCTGAAAAATATCTTTTTTAATTTCATCTTTTTCTCAGTACCTTCGTCACAACAGCCTTTCTTTGCGACTTCCTCTTCGTAGTGTCATCTAATTCCAAGTCATTCGCCCCCTTTTTTTTCTCCTTGGAAGTCGACTGTGGCTTCGCGAGTTCTTTCTCCCGCATCTTCGGCTTCTCTTTTTTGTAAGTTGGACTCTTTGCTTGCTCCGCTGCTGTTTCAGTTGGCAAATTTCCACGATCTGAACCTCCTGCTAGGTTTGCAGCAGAGCCGGAACGAGTTGGTGTTGATGCCGCGGTGGAGCTCCTGACTCTGAAAGGTTTTTGAGTGTAAGGGTGCAGGAATTTGTTCAAGTCGTCGAATAAACTAGTGAAAATGGTCAGCTTTTTATTCTAATTAAACAACCATAGGTTGAGGAATGAAAATCAAAAGGACATGTTGAAAAAAAAATCTGTTAAGTGATACGTAGATAAAAGATCTCAACTAAAGATTGGTAGTAAAAATAGGATTTTGCGGGATAAAAAACTCACACTGCAATTGGAGTCACTTTTTCGTCAGAATTATTCTTTGTCGGACCTTTTTTCTTCAGCGGCCCCTTCAAGTTTTTTCAAACTTAAAAAAAATATTTTGAATTTACTCTATATGATGAGCCTTTCGTTTTGTTCATCTTTTGTGTAAGAACTTTTTGGCCCTAAAATCAATTTTTGCTTCATATTTAATGAAAGAACAAGCGAACCCATGCGAGAATATTGCCACCTTTTGCCTCAGGTGCTGGTTTCCCTTTCCCGGTTGTTTTAAGCGAATTTTTCTGAATTATTCATTTTCAAAAAGAAGAAAAATGGAATTTCACTCACTACGCACTTTCTCTGCGACATCCTGCCGCTTTCGATAAGTTTAAGAATAGCTTGAACTTCACTTTTTGATTGATTTTCTTTTCTCTTCTCATGTTTCACGTTTTTATTTCTTTACGCGCTTCCATTCATGCGGTCTCTTTCGGCGATCTATACACGTTTGCCGCCACTCGCTATCGCCGTCCGTTGTGGTCTAGTGGTTAGGATTTACGGCTCTCACCCGTAAGGCCCGGGTTCGATTCCCGGCAACGGAAGAATTTTTTTGCTATTTTTCTACTCACCGTTTTTGATTGTTATAGGTCAAAAGAATGATAAAAAGGTTGAATTTCCTTGCAAAAACATGTTTTCCAATTATTTTTCTCTCACAAGGCAATTTGAACTTCAAGCTTTGAGGCTTTTTTTTTAGTATACATATTCACAAGAAAGTTGAAATCATAAACTTTGAGTTCTTTTTCCGGAAAATCCATTAACATCTGCTCTTTTCGACTTTTTAATCGCCTTTATACCTGGCTGATGCAACCTATTATTAATTCTTATCACTTCTCTTGCAACTGATAAAAAGATCACTTTCCACTCATTTGGTTCATTTTTTTTTTTGAATTCCTGGAATGTCGAATCATAAAATCGGACTCATCGCTGCGATTTCTTACACAATTGGCGATATAGTCGGATCAGGTTGGTTTCTGAATTTTTAATTATTTTTTAAGTTTCCTGTGAAAATTTTTAGTGCCCACTACAGAGGTACTCTATTTAGTGGCCACTTCAGTGGTCCATCCAGTAACTCTGATAATTTTTAAACAAACACATTGGACCAGTTATGTTGACCCCTAAAGCAGCCACTAAAGTCTTTAATGGTCTAGTAATAGCACTCAGACTTCTATAGTGGCCACTAATTTTAACCCCTAAAGTGGCCAATAATTTGACTAATATAGTGGCCACTTGAACGTCAAAACCCTATAGTGAGCCCTAAACATTTTCGCAGGGTCACGCAAAATTTTTGAAAAACCCTAATTTTATGCGCTGCCAAAATAAAGGCAAAAGAAAATTTGTGCGCTTCTAACTTCAACTAAAGAAAAAAACGATCGAAATTTAAAGAAATTGGGAAATTTTATTTATTTTTTTGTACCTAATATCTTTTAAAGGCCGGAAAAATGACCATATTCCTCATATTACAGGAATTTTCGTTTCACCCACTTCAATTCTGAATCACACGGGATCTGTCGGCCTTTCTTTGTGTGTCTGGGCTCTTTGTGCATTTATTTCCCTGTTTGGAGCTCTCTGCTATATTGAGCTTGGGACGACTATTCGGAAGTCGGGAAATGATTTTGCTTTCTTGTCACATTTTGGGTGGTGAGTATGATATTTTAATTATGTGAAAATAGATTTTTTTTTTGTTTTCAATGGTTTATTATTCTTCTTTTCTTCTTTTTGTTTTTTTATAAGATTAAAAATTCCCATTTTGCAGCTTTACCCTCCTAAATTCGAATTTTAGGCACCCAATCGCCGCAGCTTTCATGTGGACTTCGGTAACATTATCCTACCCGTCCACGATGGCTATCCAAGCAATCACTTTAGGGGAATATGTTGTCACAGGTTTTTTTCCCTTGAATATTTTTTTCTTTATGATGATATTACAGGCCTCAATAATTGGATCGACATGGATCCTAGCTCCAATTTTTATGCTTATCGACTAATTGGATTTTCAGTTATTTGTAAGTTATTTAAAAATTTTTTTGAAACCTGAAAAAAATAATTTTATCAGGGCCTCTGATGTTTCTGAATTTTTTCTCGTTGAGAAAAGTCGCCGCTTCGTTTCAAATCGCTGCGACTGGCGCCAAGTTACTCGTTTCAGCTATTATTATCGTCACTGGGATGTACTTTTTGATTTTCAAACGTGGGTTATTTTTGGTATGAACTCTTAAGTGATCACTCGAGATGGGAAACTTGGGTCGATGAGATAAAGGAAAATGGAAACTTCAGTATGCAGCTTAGACAATAAAGCTTCTCCTACAATCCTTAAGGGATCACTTAGGATGAATAAGGAAATCGATGATTTTTCTTGCTTAAGTGATCACTTGGGGCGTCTACTAAAAGTTAGTTTTCTCTTAAAAACCTTGAGTGACCTTTTAAGATCTCTAACTTCTTGAGTATCTACTTGACTGTAATCCCTTAAGCGACCACTTGGGTAGTTTATCAGCCAGTACTCACGAGAGATCACTTGAATGACCTTGGAAAACCTTTAGTGGCCACTATAGAGGCTCGCCAAGGACTACTTGGAGAGGACACTAAAGTGGCCGCTAAACCCAACTCTATAGTGACCACTATTTTCTGTTTTAGTGGCCACTTCAGTATTTTTTCATCCAGTATTCCTTCCAGTAACTCTGATAATTTTAAAACAAACAGATTGGGCCAGTTATGTTGATCCATTGACCTCTAAAGCGGCCACTAAAATCTTTAGTGGTCAGTAGTAACACTTAGACCTTTATAATGGCCACTAATTTTAACCCCTTAAGTGGCCACTAATTTTAACCCCTTAAGTGGCCACTAATTTGACTACTATAGTGACCACTAAAACATGAAAACCCTATAGTGGCCACTAAAAATTTTCCCAGACCTTCATAGCTTGAATTTCTTATAAATCGTCGGAAAGTGGTCAAAGCCTAAAGTGAACCGCTCTTCAGAAAGTACCTCGAATTTTCAAAACAGCTTCTCTGGAACTGTTTGGAAACCTGACCAACTGGTCCTTGGCGTTTATTCGGGCCTCTTTGCCTACAACGGCTGGGATGTCCTCAATTTTGGCGCTGAGGAAATTGAGAATCCTCGAAGGTGACGTCATGATGAGATTCTGAAGACGTGACACTTTCGATCACCTTCAGAACGCTTCCGATCGCCGCCCTGACCGGAATCTTCATTTCGGCCACTGTTTTCATCTTGATGAACGTCTCCTATTTCACTGTCCTCACGGTTCAGGAATTCAAAGAGTCGCCGGCGGTCGCTGTGGTCAGTTTTTCAGTTGTCATATCCATTCTGAACATTCCCGTGAACTTCCACCTACAGAAAAGCTACCTATAGTAAGCCCTGCTCAGATATTTGCAGAGAAAACCCTGGGCGATTTCCAATATGCTGTACCTTTCCTGATCTCCGTTTTGCTCGTCGGAAGCTTGAACACGGGCGTTTTTGCGTGCAGCAGGTAGGGTTTTGTGAAAAAATGGCCATGAGAGGTGTTATTGCGCTCTATGGCTAATTTCTGAATATGAGTTTAATTATATGCCGGGGCCGGCCCGTCAGCCCGACCCGACCTCAGCGAGGCCTCAAAATAGCCAGTCCGGCCCAAAATTTTTTGACCAATTTTTCAGCAGAAACTAATCTCGGGCAAAGTCTAAATGGTGGATAATGACCGCTTAAAGGAAAAGGCTGAAAAAAGGCCGCAAAAAGGCTGCAAAAAAGCAGCAAAAAACCCATTATCGAGCCCTTCATTTTTTCTGGGGTTTCAAAGGCTCAAGAATTGGTCGAAATCGGAAGAGTCAGCAAAAATGGTGCATAATAGCCGATGAAATGGCGCAAAAAGGCAGCAAAAAAGGAGCCTTTGTCACTCTAAAGGGAACATTTCTATGGAACCTTTTTCCGCCCTTTCCGACTTTGCCTGAGCTATCAATCACGATTTAAAAGTAGAAAAGCCCGGCTTCTTCTCAAAAACGAGCCTAAAGTACAAGCCTGATAATTATGTTATCAGAGTTCAAGCAGGCTTAATTGATGGCCTAAAACAACTGAAAAATGGCTGCAAGCGCGCCCCAAGGCTAATCAAAAACTTCAAAGTTAACAAATAAATAAACGAACTGCGAAGGAGCCAGTTTATTCAGATTTTTTGATTTTCTTCGAAGTTTCGCAGGTCTCAAAAATTTTTTCCACAGCTACTCGGACCTTGGTAACGCGAACGGGACGCGAATCGGACGTGTCGGGGCGTTTCTAGTGACCACTTTAGTAGCCTCAGAACTCTTAAGTGATCTCTAGAATCGCCCAGAAACGTCCGGAGCACGTCCGTTTCGCGTTACCAATGTCCGAGAATTTTTTGTTTTTCATTTACTTTCTTCTTTCCTCGTATACTTTTTTTACAGCAACCTTCAGATACATGTATGCCGGAGCGAAATCTCACGTGGTTCCTTCCCCTTTTCGATTAGTTCATACTCAATCGAAAAGCCCTCGGATCGCTGTATTCGCTGAGGTCTTTTTTGTTCGAAAACTGATCAGTAAAAAACTTTCAAGGTCCTGATTGCAATCGGATTGTCTTTTATCGGTAACTTGGACCAGATCATCAGCTACATGTCATTTGCCCTTTGGTCTCAGAGGACTTTCACCCAGGTAGAGTGGCTAAAGAGCTTGGGTCCGAGTTAGGGGTGGTTGGTTCGGCCCCAGGAGGCGTTTTTGCTTTAATCCTCACCACAGAGACTTCTCGGACCTTGGTGACGCGAATCGGACATGTCCGGGCATTTCTAGTGACCACTTTAGTAGCCTCAGAACTCTTAAGTGATCCCTACGACGTCCGAAGCACGTCCGTTTCGCGTTACCAATGTCCTAGTTATAATTTCAGATCGGCTTCATCTACTTCAAATGGAACGGGAAATTGAAGCAAGACGACGCTTTTACGGTCCCAATTTTTGTTCCCATCGTATTTCTCTTCATCTGCATCGCTTTGTTGGTTATCCCAGCGTATCAGGTGATTTTTTGCGCCCGAAAAAATAATAAATTGTTGATTCCAGGACTTTTATGTAGCTATTTACGGCTTATCGCTGATTGTTGGCGGATTCATCATCTATTTCATATTTATCCTTCCCAAGAGGCTACCCAGCTTCCTCTACGTTATTGATGGTATTGATTAGATTTTTCATTTTTCATATTAAATGATTGCCTCTGAAGTTCTTCCTCTGTTGAAAGATTACACAGCGTAAGTAGTTTCTGGTCGGGCGCAGTATACTCCACCCACTTTTTGAGCGATTCAAGCCGAAATGAAAATTTTTCAGATCGAGTAGTCAAATTCTTCGAAATCACATTCAACGTCTTACCAGAGGAGCAGTACGAAAAATTGCACGAAATTGGGGATTTTGTTGAGAAAATGTAATATTTCCATTCTGATTGTACAATTTGTTGTGTTTTCACTGATGTAAAGCTTCATATTCATCCAAGTCATTATAGATATGTGAATCGATAGAAATCAAGAAATCATTGATTGAAAAGCAACAATTGGGCGATAGTGTCGAAGGAGACGATTTTGAAGAGTCGCATCAACTGAAAATATTGTATTTGTCGTATATGGTTGCATTTGGAATGGTTAATCAAGCCATTCCAAGTGCGGCCATTACCTGATAGCACTCCATCATAAAACTAGTCGCAGAGCAGATACCCGATGTCATTAGCAACAAATTACCGAACCGGACTTAAATTGTAAAAAAAAAAAATTAATTTACAGGTGAGTTTTTTACCTGGATAATCGACATAATTGATTTTTTTATAATTTTTGAAAAAGAGCGTGAACGACGGTGTCACGGAAGGCGTCAACGCGGGCACGAGTCGGTGACGTCAGACCGATTTCTGAATAATTTGGATAACATGAGCAATGGATAGCAATAACAAGCAATGACGTGAAAAGTTAAATCTAACTATATTGATAGTTCAATAAAATTATAAGGCTTATTGTCAAGTTTTTGAACATTTTTTTCTCGAATTTATCTAGGTTTTGTGCTGTCTGTTAACATGAGCAACAGTGAGCAACAATGAGAATTATTCAGAGGAGTTGAAAAAAAAAATTGCTTTCTCAATTTCACCTGCGTTTGGAAACAGTAAAATGATCTTGAGGACGGCCATTTCTTCCCAAGAAAGATCCAACAGCCGCAGAGGATTACTGACCTAAAAAATAACGAAACTGACTGAAAATCTATAAAAAAAAAGCACCTCGTCAATGTAAACGCTGGTCGACTCACGATACAACTTCTCCTGTCGCCATTTCCAATCTTCCGAAATTGTTTTCTGAAAAACTTTCCTCAACTTTTCTATGAGATGTAATTTTTCTGTATAGGCCATTCCCCGCGAGCTTGTCACGTTTTTCTTTCCGCCAAAAGGCCAGGTCAAATGTAACCAACTTTCGCTTCAAGACCTTTGCTTCTTGCCGTTATAAAAGCAGAAATTTGATCTAATTTGGTATACGGTTTTTTTGGCGCAAAGAAAAACGTGACAAGCTGGCGCGGAATAGGCTATATACCCTGGCTTTTTCTGGAAGCTTCTCGACTTCACGAGGCCAACAAGTTCCGTTGGAAATGAGCCAAGCGTCGTCGACGTTGGAATCGGCGGTGTGGCGGCCGTGTTCAAGGAGGATGTAGTACTGGGAGAAGCGCTAAAAAATATCAGTGTAAAAATCACAAGTTGAATGGATTCTAGTAACATCGAGTGCACAGAGATCTTTTTGAAAATTTTTCAACTTTTTCCATTTTCCTCATTTTTTCCAAAATCCTCAATTTCGTGCAATTTTTCGTACTGCTCCTCTGGTAAGACGTTGAATGTCCGAAAAAACTTACAGAAAATTTTTTATCACAAAGAATAATTCAATTTGTGCGCTCTTCAGTTTCCACTACTCCTAGCAACACTTGTAACTTTTCCACCGTACTCCAAAAAAAGGGGCGGAGCCTCACCAAATTTGTATCAGACGTTTTTATAATTTTACAAAGGGTCTATGGTGAAGTTTCGAGAAATCATCAAAATTGAAAAATTTTTTGTATTAAGGGTTCATCGGTTTTCTTTGATAATGTGTGTTGACTATAAATATTCTTATACCAACGCGAATCGGAAATTTATAGTGACCACTTTAGGGGGATCAGTACTCTTAAGTGATCCCTAGAAATGGTCAAAACCTCCGGGGTGCGTCCGGTTTCCGTTACCGAAATGTTTGAGTGGATATTGGTAGCGGAAAAAAGGATAAAGCTCAAAATTTGGAAGCGCTGAAATCAGAAATTACTAGTGACCACTTTAGTAGGATCATCACTCTTAAGTGATCCCTATACTTTCTCAGAAACGGGGGGCACGTCACCACGGTGTTTCAGTTAAATTTGCCAGCGCCAAAAAGATGATAAGCTCAAAATTTGGCAGCACCCGAAATCAAATGCAGCCTTTCTTTCTTCATCCATTCTGAGTGCGTCCAAAAAACCTTCAATCAAAACCTTGAGTAACACCATTTTGTCATCAACCGGCATCCCGTCGAAAACTGGCAGCCGCCTCGTCCATTCCAGCATAATCAGCAAGTCAATTTCCAGAACGTAGGCCAAATCTCGAGCCGAAGTCACTCTCAGAGGTCCGTTCTCTTCGTCGTGCTGGAAATAAGTCAAGATTAGCCATGGAGCGCACTTTGGAGGTTAGAATCACCGACCTTTCTCATGGAGAGGAGGTCGACCATGTTGATCATGTCTTGGCGCTGACGTATGAGCTCGTACTTCTTCCTTCGAAGCCGCTTGTCCAGCTCAGTCAACTGGTGGATCAAACTCGGTGGATCCTCCTTCGAGGTACTTGGAACGTCCACTATTTTTGCCTTTTTGACCTTGCCAAGGCCGATAAGGTCTCGACGTGGCTTCAGGGCTGAAAAAATCAGCGATCAATCAATTTTTTTTACTCTGGTCAGAAGGTCGAAATTCACTTTATTTTGAAGTAGGCACGGAGTTTTTGTTAGTGGAAGAAAGTGCAAAACCAAAAATTAAGGGGGCGTGGTCAAGACCTCCGCCGTCCCCATGTGACGTCATGGAAAAGCGCGTGAACAACAGGAAATATAAAAAGCGCTTTAATGGGTCCCGAGACGAATCTATTTCTCGTTTTAAAAAAACGCGAATTTCACTAAGAATAACTGACGAGATAAACGCGAGGTCGGTGGCGGTACATTGACGAACTCGCAAACATGTCGCTTTTTTCTGGGCGCGATCTCGCATTTATCTCGGCGCGACCTCGCATTTTTCTCGGCGCGACCTCGCATTTATCTTGCATTTCAGAAAATTTTCAAATTGCGAGAGAAATGCGAGCTCGCGCCCAGAAAAATGCGAGACCGGCGCGAGAAAAAAAAGCGAGATGTTTGCGAGCTCGTCAATGTACCGCCAGCGTCTCGCGTTTATCTCGGCAGTTATTCTTAGTGTTCCTGTTTAATTTTTAAAAAAAATGGCGTGTGCCAGAGCGCCGCAGTGTATGCACACGACACACTACACTTTACGGTAAAAATATGGGCGTCAGACGCCGTGTAGGTAGAGCCCAAATGAAAATAGAAAAAAACCTTATTTCATACAAAACTCTTCGAAAGCTTCAAAATAACTAATTTTCACCTTCTCGAGTCATTCCAGCGTCCAAACATTTTCTATAACGACATCCGCGGCAAGATTTCCGTGCAGAGATCGCATTGCACTCGCCGATTTTCTCGCACGAATCTCTCTGGCCTTGAATCACGGCCCTAAAATTTTTTTATATTGATGGAAACCCCTTGAAACGGCGATTTTAATGATATAGTATAAATTTCGGACTTACCTTCGAAAAAAGGTTTTACAACCGAGGCAAGCCGTGATGCCATAGTGCTTCCCGAGGCAATTCTCCCCGCAAATCACGCAATTTCCGGCCTCGGCTAGAAATAATTTCATAAATACCTGATTTCAAATAAAAAGATACCTTTCCGGCCTTTTCTAATTTTTATCGACATCCTATGACCGCATCTTTTCTACAAATGTGAGCGGAAGGAAAAGAGAAAATAAGCTTTTCAAGGGGCGGATAAGCTTTCAAGAGGCCTTTTTCCTGGAAATAAAACAAAGATTGAACAAAAAAGCCGTTTTATAGTGTAAAAAATGATGCATTTCGTGCAACAAGAAGACTTATGACAAGGATCGACGGAAGTGCGACGAAAACATGTAAATAGAGATTATTTTTCTCAACTTTCTACGTACGGGGTTAGTCAGAATAAAGTATAGTTTATATGACTAAGTGAATGCGCGGAATAACAAGGAAGTGCAGGTGTTTCCATAGAAATTCATACAAATGATTCAGCTCCATAAAAGGAAGAATATAATTATAATAAATTCTATTTTTTTCAAACAACAGAAACCATTAAAGTGTAAAAAAACTTTTTTTATTCCGAAAAATAGAGCGCAGGCTTTTTTTAAATACGAGTGAAAAACAATTCAAATGACAAAAAAATCTACTAAATTTTCCATTTAAAGTTAGAAAAACACTTTTTCTTCAGCCTTTAAAAGTAGCACGAAGCATAAAAGTTAGATTTTTAATTTTTTTATAAATTTGATATTTTTTTCATTACATTTTCGAAAAATAGAATTCACGCTATTTAAATTCAAATGGAAACCATTCAAATGACAAAAAAATATACTAGAAAAATGCGAGAAAAATGCGAGAAACAACGTCAGATTAGGAAAAAAAGAGCAGAAAAAAATAACTGATTCTAGCTCAAATTTTTCAATTAAAAGTTTAAAAACCCCTTTTTAGTTTTTTTAAAAGTAATACGAAGCACAAGAATCAGATTTTTAATTTTTTTTACAAATTTGATTAAATTTGATATTTTTTTCATTACATTTTCGAAAAATAAAATTCACGCTACTCAAATTCAAATGAAAACCATTCAAATAACAAAAATCTACTAGAAAATGCGAGAAAACAACGCCAAATTAGAAAAAAGAACAGTAAAAGAACTGATTTCAGCTCAAATTTTCATCTAAAATTCGAAAAAACTTGTTTTTGGCTCTAAAAAAACAGCATCAAGCATAAAAAAATAAGATTTAAACTTCAAATTCGAAAAATTTCGATTAGAAAGAGAGCAGAAAAATAACTGATTTCAGTTCAAAATTTCCATCAAAGACCGAAAAAACCCTTGCTTTAGCTCTAAAGACAACATCAAGCAAAAATTAAATTAAATTCAAAATTTGGAAGATTTCGATTAGAAAAAAACCAAGAAAAATAACTAATTCCGACACAAATTTACCGTCTAAAGTCCGTAAACACTTGTTTTAGTTCTAAAAAAACAGCACCAAGCATAAAAAAATAAATTTTTTTAACTTAAAATTTATAAGGTGGCCGAATAAAAAAACCAAGAAAAATAACTAATTCTTTCTCGAATTTCCCATCTGAAATTCGAAAAAAACTTGGTTTTAGCTCTAAAAAAACAGCACCAAGCACAAAAAAATAAAAATTTTAATTTTTTTATGAATGAAATTCAAGTCTTTATTTACCTCAAAACAAACTCAAAAGTCAAAAAAACCTAGTGAAACGTGTGAAAATCAACAATGGCAACGGCTGTAATAACCGGAATATAGAAACACGAAAAAAAAACGGCGTAGAGGAGCACGTGGGCTGTCGAGAAGAGAACAAAGGCAGAGAGAGTGTGACGGCGATGGAGGGTGCGAGAGAAGCCCGAGGCGCTTTTATTTTCTTCACTTTTGTTCTCAGAAACCTGATATTTGCATTTTACTGGTGGATTTCGAAACAAAATAAATAAAACCCGTTTATTAAGCAAAGTGTAACAACTTGTAACAATGATTCAACAAAAGATGAAGAAAAACACAACAAAAAAATTTACAATTATTATAAAAAAATTCAACTCATTTCTTGATTGGTCTCTGAAAGACAAAAATTTCTCAAAATGTAAAAAAATTTTTTGGTTTTCTTACCTTCTTTTTCTTGCCTTTTTCGAAGTTGATTGGTCTTTGCTAGGCTTCTAAAGAATTTGTTAAATTATTTCAGTCACTGAAAAAATTGAGAAAAATTTTAATTTTCTGTTAATTTTTTTGCAATTTTAAAGCTAATTTTCGCGCTTTCCTTCAGAAAAATCTTCAAGGATTTTGAAGGCGCAGAAGCCCCACATGAAAAGAAAAAGCACTGGAAACGCCTCACCTTCTTGAGACCTTTTTGAAATTTTTCAGTTCATTTTCAAGTCTTCAGCTATTTTTAAGTAGACAAAAGACACAAAAAAGGCTTCATACAGATATTACTTGAAAATTTACAGACCTCATCCTTTTCGGCGTCTTTCGAACCTTCTGGAAGCTCCCACAAAGCGTTCCGAATAAAGTTCTGAACTCAAAAAATGTATGCGCTTCAAAATATGAATTCTAACAGCTGCGCCTTGCTTTGAAACTCTCGGAGCTTCCTGTCGCTCCTGGAGTGTTTTCAATTCGGCGTTAAACTTTTTTGTTCGATTCTGAATTTTGGAAAATATATAATCTTCATCCTTTCGTACAAACAATATCTATTAATAACTCGTCATTTTTCTCCGGCTGCTCTCCTCGTAAAGATTGTTGAGCCCAATGTAAGCTATCCATGGCAAACATTGAAGTTATGTCCGCCATCGCCATATCGATAGCACTTCTCTGAAAAAAGTCATTATTTTCCCAAATAATTGAAAAAAAAACCTGAAGATGAACATCGATGCCATCATTTAAAAGCGGCTCCAACGATTCTTCCATTTTTGTCAAAGCTTGATCGAATTTCATCAATTGATCGACAACTTCCGGTGGGATATTTGCTTTGGTGCTCATTATAACGTCTAAAATTGAACTTTTCATAGTTTAACACACTCATTAGTTTGAAGTTCCTCGCTAGAATGTTGAAAGCAAGCCTGTTTAAGACGACCGGCCGTATTACGGTAGGTTGTAAAGGTTATTCGGTTGTGAAATTTAAATTTGTAATCTTTTTGAGGCGCAATTTATCTTGTCACCGCAGAAGAAAGGTCATAAAAAACTGCGGAAAAAAGGAAAAAAAAAATAAAAAATTCGCTTTTTCCGGCCGTTTGAGCACTGTCTCACTCATCCTTTAATGGAGCACAGAAAAATTTGATGATTTTGAGCGCCTTACTTGAGTCTTTGAAGATCATTAGGTATTCAAAACTACACGACAAATTTTTTCGAACAAAAATAAATAAAAATGGAAAATGAAAAAAAAAACGAAAAACTCTCAAGCGGCCACTTCAACAAGCTGTGTTGGCAGCGCGCTCGTCCACACTTTCCCTAACCTGCCACATTTTCTTTTCTTTTCATTTTTATCTCCATTTTCCTTTATTTTAAAACGAATTATCAGTATATTTGAGGCTTGTCACGTGTATTCACGCTTGAGTAACGTTGTCGTTACTTCAACGCAATGCTCTCTGAGCTTATTATCGCATCTACGCTTGTCATCAACGGATTTGCGGTCCTCAACTTTAAATTGTTAATTTTCTAATTTTCTTTTAATTTTTCTGGACTTCAGGCAAAAAGCTCCACAAGGTTTCAACGCATTCGCTGAAGGGGAAGGCGAGAACCAATCGGCTGGTGATAAAATCCGCCAATTCCTTCTCTCGTTGCAATATTTCCGTGTTTTTCATCGCTTTTTGGAACGTTTTTTTATCATCTTTTTGATGCTTGTGTAAGTTTTTTTAATTATTTTAGCTCTAAAAAAACAGCACCAGGCATAAAAATTTTTTTCCAATAATATTATTGGAAAAAAATCATGAAACCTTTTTCAGGTTCTTCTCCCACTGAAATGACAGCTACTTTCGATATTTCCGGCATAACTTCTTCCTTGTCGGAAACAGTTAATTACTTGACCAATGCTGATAATATTTTAAAAGTAGGATTTATATTCACTTTTTTTGTGTAAAGACAAATTTTCAGAAATCTTTGCGCCCGATTCCTGCCGGCAGAAAGAGGGCTTCGGCCCGTGTTTTACCCAAAAAAGACGAGAAAAATGAGGTAGAATTAATAGAATTTTAGACAAATTTGAAGATTTTCAGGACGATGAATTCAACATTGATTTTTCTAGTGAATTGAAAGAGTTGAGAAGTGAGCTGGATATGAGGAGAAGAGAAGAAGACAGGCTACAAAAAGAGATTGCCGAAATTCTGGCTGAAACGACAATAGGTTTGTTTGAAAGTTCTTGTTGGGGTATTCAGAAGGGCGTAGAAAATTTACATAAAAGTCTCAGGTGTAAAGTTGTTTTTTTTTTAATTGGAAAAAAACCGGTGAAAAAATAATTTGATTTGATATTTATTTCAGCTGATGAAAAACGTAGAAAGTTGGGCATCGACGGTAAAATTTGTGGTTTTTGGGGTTTTTTTTTTTGAGTTCGATTTCGTAAGGCCTTTTTTTTTCAAGGGAAACGAAAAAGCTTTTTTCGAAAAAAGACCTTCTAAGGGTTCTTAGCAGATTTTTTTTTATTTCGTTCTATTTCATTTTTGCATCTTTTTCACACCCTTTAACAGAAAAAAGGCTGAAAAGCAAATAAGATTTGAGCGGATTTAAAAAGGATCCGCTCAGGCTATGAGAAAGGGGATAAAAAGCTTTTTCACAGCATTTTGGGAGCTTTTAGAGGAAGCTTTTTATCTCCCTCTCAGTATTCTTTGAGCATTTTCGTTTTACCTGTGTTTGGTTTCTTTGAGTTATCGATGAGTAAAAAAAAATTTTTTTACCCTTTTTTTCAAATTCCGTTTATTTCACCAAGTTCCTATTTTTTTTCCTGGACTTTTTTTCGATAATTGTCGGCCAGAAGAGAAACTTTGAGAAGCGCCTCAAAAAGTTTAGTATTTTTTTGAGGGAGCTTCACCTTAAATTAACGAAAAAAAGTTTTTTTATGTTTAATGGCCCCATTTGAAAAAAAGTTTTTCTGTCTTTTATTCCACAAGTTTGTTGTTGCACAAAAACGCCGATTTTCTGGTTCAATCTTGATCTTTTTTTGTTTTATTATTGTTCATGTTCATGAAAAAAACTCCATTAATTTTTTTAACCTTTGCTTTTTATTCTCTTTATTTTTTTCTTTTTCATCAAAAACTTTTTGAAAAATTCCTACTCCAGATGGCGGAGAACAAAGTCGTTCCTTCGGTTTGGCCGTTTCTCGGCTCAACAACAGTATGTTGATGGTGGAAAATGATTCGAAACAATTGGCGGCAAGCTTGAAAACGATTTCCACGTTGGCTGATACCATTAGCGGACGGGTTCGTTTAATTTTTATAGACTATGTGCCACGACTTGAAATTTCACGGAACGACATTCCGCTGTTCCGCTGCGTGCGTTCGCGAAGCGTCTTTCGGATCTAGGTCACGCATTCAATTGATTGTAATTGCTGTGGGAGCACATAAAAGTAGAGTACCTTAATAAAAGAAAAAAAAAAGTTAAAAGCGCGACCAAAGTTCGCAAAGGCGCGCAGCGGAACGGCGGAATGTCGTTCCGTAAAATTTCAAGTCGTGGTACTCAGACTATAGTTAGAAAGTTTTTTGAGCGCTTTTTCATCAAAATTCTTTTTTTTTTTTCAAGGTTTCTGCTCTGGACGTCGCCAAAACACGTGTCGTTGAATGTCTTCAATTGGCCAGCGATATGAGGGATCTTGGTTCGGAATTTCTCAATTTTAAATATTCAAGGATCTTTTTCAGGTGTCTGCAGTGAAGGAATTGATGATGCCATTAGGAATGAAGATTTTGAAACTGCGGCTCAACATATTCATCGATTTTTGACCCTGGACAAGGCCGTTTTCCAGTACCGAGAAGCTGGCGAAAGGAATCCTGGTTGGTGTTGGGTTTTTGGGAGAGTTTCAAGTTGAAAAATAGTTTAATGAGGGTTTTTTGGAACAAATTGAGCCGAAAAAAAGTTTTTTTGAAGTTGATCAGATTTTTTTTCATTCAGAAAAAGAAATCGAACTACATTTTTTTTTTAAGGAGATCAGGATAAGGTCTCATAAAACGGCGACTTTTCCGATTTTTTCATATCGCTAGGGAACTTTCCGACGGCCACCTTTCCGCCGAATCTTCTTCCGACTTTCGAAAGATTCGGCGGAAAGGTGGCCGTCGGAAAGTTTCCTAGCGATATGAAAAAGTCGCCGTTTGAATTTTCGCTGGTCTTTTTTTCATACCACCTTTTTTCGTAATCAGAATTCAGAATCTTTTGAATTACACATCAGCGAATTCTCAATGCTTGTCATTTCGTAATGTTGGAAGGATTATTTTGACTAATTTCGAAGTTCTTTACGGTCGTAAATAGGCCTTTTGAAAGCTCGTATAAATCCGCAAAATCGCATTTTTCTTTTAAATTCATGGGCAAAATCGGAAGGACCCTTTACGGGCCCTTTGGGCGTCCGTTATGAATCAAAAAAAACGGGTGGCAACGGTTTCCTTTTTACTGCCTTTTTCCGTCCTTTAATCGGCCTTCATCCGCCCTTTTTCGGCCCTTTTGAAAAACATAAAACTTTTCAAATTGAGAATAATCTTTACCAGTGACTGTGTATGAACCAAATCGGGCTACAGTAATGAAATCGGAAATCATCAATTTCCAAGACTTTTAGCACCCTTTTTGCACCCTTTTTGAGGTTTTTTAGCCAACCAAGAAAGAAAGGCTCAATAAAGGCCGCAAAATGGAACCCTTTTAGCGGCCATTTTTGCAGTCGCTACCTTTTTCCGCACTTCCGACTTTGGCAGTGCTGTGTTTTTTTTAAACCACCCGAACTTTATTGAGAGAGAATGACAAAACGGGGCAAAAAATAAAAATAGAAAGAAAACTTGAACATAACCATGAAAAAAAACCAGCCAAAATACAGATTTTGAAGTTTAGGACTTCAACAGTTTGACAACACGTAAATAATTGTTTTTGTTGAGAATGAATGATAAAGGTATAACAAAAGCGGAGATCGGAATATCCGAATAATAAAAAACGCACAAAAAATCAACATTCAGTGTGTCAAAAGTTATCTTTTTCCTTTCTATATCCAAGAAACGGGTTAATGCGATCCCAATAACAGCAATTTCTTTCACCTGAAACTAATATTTTTGATTTCAAATTTTATCATTTTTCCGAACCGTTCTAATTATTGTTAGAGGAAGAGCCTGGAAAAGAATAATCTTCTCAATTTTCTTCTTCTCTGTCGAAATAAGAGTGAACCTTGTTATTTGACGATGAATGATGATATAGGCTACCAATGTAAAAAAATTTACGATACAAACGCCGATTTCGTAAATCTGGGATAATTGTATATACACTGCGTTCAATAAGGATAGGACCCCCCTCGATTTCGGACCTTCTGGCAAAATACGGAAAGATATCAAAAATCTGTAAGTGCCATTCGATTCAGAATACAAAACAACCCCCAGAGCCAAACTTTCATTATCTTAGCACTTTTCCTACGAAAATGCCATTGAAAAAACGGTTTTTCGACCGTTCAATAAGGATAGGACCCCCTGGAAATTTTGACTTTCATTGGTGGTTTTTGGTCAATTTCTTTTTTCGATGAGTGGTTTTTTTGTCCTCATATCATTTTTCATCAAGTTTTCTACGGTTTTACTTTCATATCTTCCAGGTTTGAAAAATATTTTATATCGAAAATAGGGAAAAATGACGTTTTTTTAGGTTGCATCATAATATTCGAGCGAATGAAATTTTTCAGTACTTTGAATGTACTTATCCTATCAAAAGAGACATTTTAACATTTGGAAAAACAAAAAGAAGTTTGAAAAACATTCGTTTAAAAGTTAGAAAACCAGTTACAAGATGGTGTATCGTGACCGAATTTCAGACTGTCTTCGTTTTCGACCGTTTATCTTTCCGTATGTAGTCGGAATAGCGATGTACTTTTTTTAAAGGATTTGTGAAGGTGCTCCCATCACAAAAAGACACTTAGTTGAATTGGATAAAAATTGGCGATCCTCGGAAATCAAAGGAATAAACACCCTTCCGACTGCTACTCGAACTTTTTGCGGTACTGTATAAATAAATCATATAAAAAGTTTTATTTCTAATGAAAATTGTTTTATTGCACGTTTTCATTTTTGTATTATTCAGTTGAAAAACTAAAAACCCGCCAAACGCTCTATTTGAAACAATACCTTCGATGAGCGCGGGTACCAATTTCTCTCCACATTTTCTCGGCATTGTACGTGGTAAATATAATTTTTTCAGATTATCTTGTTGATGAAATATGTTGCTAGTACCTTCACAAATCCTTTAAAAAAAGTTCACCGCCATCCCGACTACATACAGAAAGAGAAACGGTCGAAAACGACGACAGTCTGAAATTCGGTCACGATACACCATCTTGTAACTGGTTTTCTTTTAAACGAATGTTTTTTTCAAACTTCTTTTTGTTTTTTTCCAAATGTTAAAATGTCTCTTTTGATAGGATAAGTACATTCAAAGTACTGAAAAAAATTTCATTCGCTCGAATATTATGATGCAACCTAAAAAAACGTCATTTTTTTCCCTATTTTTCGATATAAAAATATTTTTTTCAAACCTGGAAGATATGAAAGTAAAAACCGTAGAAAATTTGATGAAAAAAATGATATGAGGACAAAAAACCACTCATCGAAAAAAAGAAATTGACCAAAAAAACCACCAATGAAAGTCAAAAATTTCCAGGGGGTCCTATCCTTATTGAACGGTCGAAAAAAACCGTTTTTTTCAATGGCATTTTCGTAGGAAAAAGTGCTAAGATAATGAAAGTTTGGCTCTGGGGGGTTGTTTTGTATTCTGAATCGAATGGCACTTACAGATTTTTGATATCTTTCCGTATTTTGCCAGAAGGTCCGAAATCGAGGGGGGTCCTATCCTTATTGAACGCAGTGTATGAATTACACACAGAACTCACGTGGTAGAAAATGTAGGCTCTTCGATTTCCTCCGCAAGAAAATTGAGCTTCGCAAAAAAGATCAGTGCAAAATCCTGGAATTTGAAAGATTTTAAGAGATGAAAGGTTCATGATGGGTGTCAAAATTAAGATTAAAAAATAAAGATTTCTGAGATCGAATCTTTTTTGTACGGTTCATGAGAAAGTTTAGATAGATAAAAATAAAGTAAAGACATTTTGATAAAATTCAATACTTGAGGCCTGATCCTAGAACACGAAAATATGAAGCTTCAGCTCTCAAAAAAACACAGGATATTAGAAAAAAAAAATTTCTTTGAAGCTTCATAATTCTAACAAAACTGCCAGAAATTGTAATTTTGTCCTGGTATCAAAAAAATTTTTTCCAAATTCATCAAAAGTTCAAAATACCATTAACGAGCTCTCACAAGTTTCCTAGGCCCCTAAAGATGATACTAAAATCTCAACACACCATTAAAGACGTAAAATAAAGGTAGCGTGACCCACACGGCATAAATGTAGTTCTTCAAATACTTTCTGAAAGTTTACTAAACATTCTTCAGATTTTATTTTACGAAAAACTAACCCAGTAACAAGATAATAATGCTTTTTGCGGGCAAAGACTAACACTAGCCTCTGTATGGCCATTATCATATCAAACAGGCAGAAAATTGTCGAAGCATAAAGGAAAAATGGCATGTTCACAAAAACAAAAAGGATAACTATCACCACCATTGACCTAAACTTTTTCTTCCCCTCAAAATAATATTTCTCAAAAAAACTACCCGGAAATCAAATGCAGAAAGAATATATAGAATGGGAAGAGCTCGAAGAAAAATATGATGGTGATCATGAAAAATTGATTCCACAGGATTAACTTGTGCTTCTTAAAAACTTAATTTCATGAAGCAGTTACTATGGGAAAGACTCACAAGCTTTGCGATTTCGGCCCGAAAATTGATAATCAGATATGCGTAGATAATATATAATAAAATCAAAGGGGAAGTCAGAATAATGATAGTCATTAAATATTTGACGGTCTCAGCATTGCCGAGCTCGGGAAATGCGCTCGAAGGCATGAAAGTTGTAAAATGAGAAGAAATATCTCCCGATTCAAGCCTACGTCAAAACTTTCACCTGTCGTTTGAGAGGCATGGTTAATAAACTTTCTGAAACTTTTTGAACACAGATTTGATTAATTATTGATTGGAGATTTTAGGAGTGCGAAAAACAGTCAAAAATAGAAATTCTCAGTTTTCACACTTTTTTCTCATTTCTTCAAGGACGGCACGCAACAAGATAAATGAAGTCTTAGACTTATCAAAGGAGCTCCCCCCACTGGTTGAACTTTTGATGAAACTTTGCGGAAGTGTACTCTAGGACCTCCTGATTGCAGAAAAAAATAAAAAAAATTCTCGCAATAAGTCTTTTTTTTGAGTTACGACGCTTCAAAAATTCGTTATTTGTCATAATTTGCGGACTCTGAAGATCCCTAACTCGAAAACAAGATCTATTGCGAGAAGTTTTTTTTTCTTGTTCTGCAGTCAGGAGGTCCTAAAGTACACTTCAGCAAAGCTTCATCACAAGTTCAACCCTGAATGGGGGAAGAACTTCATTCCACATTTTGGTTAGGTACTTGAAAAAGCCACGACACTCCTTGATGTACCAGGAAATGATCCGGAAAGTCTCAACCTTTAAAACTTTTCAGTTTTTGAGAAAAGTCAATGAAAACCTCGAAAAAGAGGTGAATTTGATTTTGAGAAATAGGAAACTGGGCAGGTTGAGCATTTCTCTTCAAGAAGTTATTTCGGTCAAATTTTAAGAAGTTCTCAGCCTTCAATTAAAATGACCTTTCTCTCTAGCTGCTTTGAAAAAAAAAATCCTAAAAATTGAATAAAATTTCAGACGCCACTAACTCGATTCGTCACAGTTATGATGTTCTGACCAGCGCTACCTCAAGACTGAAGAAAATTCTCGAATCACGGCTTGATGAGGCTGTTCAGCGACAGGATGTGCCGAATTTGCAGCGGTTTTGAATATGAAACTTTGTTGAAAATAAGGATTTTTTTAGATTCGTCAAATTATTCCCAATGTTGAACGAGGCGGACAATGGAATAAAGCGATTCAGTGTTTATTTGAATCAGAAAATCGATAAATTGGGAGAGGATCATGTTAAGGTAAAATGATAAATATGAGAAATTTAGGGGTCCCGATAGGGGGACAATTGTGGTCCCTTGGAGGGCTCCCTATATGGGTTGAATTTAAAGTGGTCCCTAGAGGGGTAGGATCAAATTTCCACTGGAATTCGCCTCCTCCCTTTCAAACAACGCCCCTTAAACAAATATTTAAAAAAAATTTACCCTTTAAACTTTTTTTAGAATTCGTTAATGCTTTCGGAAAGGCTTGAAGCTCAATTTTGGGTGCGCCCGACTTGAAACGACTTTAAAAAATCATCAAAAATGGTGGTATTTTCAAGTCGGCAGTGACTTTTTGACCATTTCCAAGTCCAATCATGGTATTTTTCATATTTTTCCAGATAATGCAAGCTGGAGGAACTGATGATAAACGTCTCAATGTCCTATATGCTGATACCCTTTTTCCTCTTTTTTGAAGGTTTTTATCTGTCAAAAAAAAAAATTTTCAAAAATTCCTAGGAATCGCCGGAATCCTGGAGGCGAACCAGCCCATCATTGAGAATTCCTACGGGGCTGATAAACTTCTGGATTTTATCTCGATTCTTCAGGTTTGGAAATTTTCAGGATGTCCAATGATATTTGAGTGCAAAGTACTTGGGTTCAGCTCAATAATATTGAAAAAAATAATTTTTTTCTGGATATTTTATTTTCCAAGAGTTTTTTTCCCCCTTACTAGAGAGCGTTTTTACCCCCCCCGCCCCCTCCCAAGCTTCAAAGACCGGAAATCACGCAAACTGGGAGGTAAACGATCCCTAATCAGCTTCGAATTTCACCTTTTTTTCAGATTAATATTGATGGGGTTGTTGGCAAAGTTCTCGAGGCTTTCGAAAAAAGCCGCGGCGTCAATAGTCGTGTCAGAAAAGTTCAGCGACTTTTGAGAGACAAAAATGCGACGGCCGGTGGGTTTTTCTTTGTAACTCCGTCGCCTATCGTTTTTATGAGTAAAAAAAAGAAGTCAGTAGTGAATTTTAAGAACGGATCGATCCTCTTGAATTGGACGTCCTTCTATCGGAAATTTGCCTGATGAATACTCATGCCGAAATGTATTGGAGATTCATCAGAAGACGAGTTGGAGCCGCTCCTGGAAGCGTTGCGAAAGAGAAGGACGAGGTTTTTAGGATTTTCATGCAAAAATAAATTATTTTGAAGTATGTCGTCGTTGGTGATGATGATTATGAAGACCTGGACGAGGAGCAGATCAAACGGCTTGAAGAGGAAAAAGTTCGAAGAAAGGCGGACAGAGAGAGGAAGCTGGACCAGCTCCTGAACCGAAGTCTCGTCGGGACCAAGATGCAGGTTTCTGAAGGGGTTTTTGATGGAAAAATAGTTGAAGTTCTGAAAAAAGGCAGATTTTCCAAACCCTGTTTAGCCTTCAGCCTTCTGAAAAATGGCACAGTTGAAGCGTTTTTTTTTCGATGCTAGGTCCGCGAATATTCGTGAGCGTGACTTGTGCATACACCAATTTTGAAGAGCAATTTTTAGCTATATTCACCTTTTTCAAAATTTTACTCTAACAAAATGTGAGACCAATAATAAAAGGGGCGGAGCCAAAGCTTCACCGTCCCCATGTGACGTCATGGGAATCAATAACAACAATGAATATTAATGGCGCACGCTCAATGGGTCATGAGACGAACCGTTTTCTCATTTAAAAGAACACAGAGAGCGCCGCAGTGCATGCACACGACACTACAGTACACTTTCAATGTTTTTTTTTATTTCTTCTGTATGCATTCTACATCAACTTTTGTTCAAAAAAAAATTGAAAAATTTATAAAAAATCGAGAAAAGAGCTGAATGTTTCCAAGAATCGTTTTCCAAGATTCAAATTTTCCAAGATTCGACCTCTTAAAATTGGTGAATGCACGCTTACGAACATTCGCGGACTTGAAATTCCTTCCTACCGTCTTTTTTCGACGCGTGAAACCGTCGTTGATCAAGAAGATCAACTCGTCTTTCTTGTATTAGTAAGCGAGGTTGGGCGTCTCGATGATCAGCTACTTCTTCATGTAGAAGCAGTACGGCGCCCAGCTTGTCCAGAGCGCCAGATCAAATCTCAGACGATTGCAGAAAAAAAAAATTCACTTTAAAGCTTCTAATAGTGGAGTTTCATTACTTAATTGCTCATCTTAGGAGCTTCTTGGAGATTACATCCTCTTGGAGCAGTACTACATGGAAGAAACGGTTGTCAAGGCGATCGATATGGATCAGAAGGACGAATCGTCAGGATTATTGAGGTGGATAGGAAGAAACCACCATTTTTCATATTTGTCAATCAGTTCGGTCGTTGATGATGTCCTTTTCATCGTGAGGAAATGCGTGAGAAGGGCCGCCAGCAGCGGTTCGGTCGACTGTGTCTGCGCGACCTTGAACAATGGAGTTACACTTCTGGAAACGACTTATTTCGCTCATCTTCAGAAGGATATTAATGTTAGATTCGAAATAAATGTCGGAATAATTTATACTTGTCCAGGCCGGCTATCCATCCGTTGGCTTCGCAGCTGAAGCCTTTCAGACCGCCCAAACTGCCTACAACGTCATCCAGCATGGTATCGACTCTAAGAAGTTCTAGCTACCATGAGCAACTTTGAGGCAAAACCGTGACGGAGGCGGGGCCGGACGCCCAGCGTGAGACCTTCCTGACCGCCTTGAACAACGCCAAGGGAACTGCGATGATGTTGAGAGATTTGAGGAGAAGCTTGCATTCGGAATGGACCGCCAAGTCGCAGGTTAGAATAAAAGACACGGAGTTTTTGTTAGTGCACGAAAATGCGAAACCAAAAACATCCGCCGTTCCCACGTGACGTCATACGAATGACACAAAACCTAAATAACAGAGCATATTAAAGGCGCAGACCGCCGTTTTGCCAGAGGTCTTTAAGACGAATCGAAGTTTCTCTACATAAACGCAATTTTCTGCGCGAAAGCGGCGCAGTGCATGCACACGACACACGACACTTTACGGAGAAAAAGTGGGCGTGGCGTCGTCGTTCCTAATGGGGTGAGGGAAGGTGAGGGAGGCGTCAAAGTTTCTGAATTTACAAAAAAAAGTTAGTGCGCGCTCCGGATAAAAGGGCTGTGACGTCACAGCTACCTATCGTTGCAAATTAAACTGAGTATTCAACGGCATGAAGAATACAGTACTCCCCATTTAGCTGCGTACTTGAGATTTCAAAGTTCGCGCCAAAAATTTTTTTGACGTCTTCTCACCCCGTTTGGGAACGCCGTGGTTTCTTAAGAAACTATTCTGATAGTAATAGGAACCTTGATTTTTATCTTTTCCAGAGGCCCAAGGTCGATACAGACAAGCTTGAGCATGCGGCTGCACAACTTGAAGATGTAATTTTTAAAAAATCACATAAAAATAGGATAAAATTGAGGTTGCCCGAAAGATGGATTCTTTATCTAATCGGGGCGTTGACGTTCTTTGCGATTCGGCCTTCAAACCGAAGTTGAAGTCCAGGTTTCCTCCAGAAAATGCTTGAAAAAAATGCGCGATTCATTTTTTCAGTTGTTGACGCTTACCGAGAGTTGCCCCATGAGCTGACTATGGAAGATTTGGCCGAATTCGAAGCTGCAGATCCATTTATCGAAGCTTTTGCTTCGATGTTGGATAAGCTCATAGCGACGCATGAACCCATTCTGCATGCTGAGAACTTCCAGGTTTTTATGTGATTTCAGCTGAAATTTGGGTCCTAATAAGATGAGAAGATGTATAATGTTTTTATGAAATTAATAACTTTATTGAATTGACTTGTATTTATTTTTTTAAATATTAAAAAAACAAAGCTAGGCTTACTTTTTTTCTTGTATCTATAGTTGCTGCTCAATTCATTTTGATCCTGATCATTTTTTTAAGAGTTTTGAAAATTTGACTTTAAAAATTTAAGATTTTTTTCCTGTTAGTCCTGGACGACCTAAAATTATTCATCGTGGAATTTGGCAGCACCTAGAATCGATGTTTTTGAACTTTTTAAAGTTTTGGCACTGCCTAATTATTTTATCATTGAAAAGATTCTATATTAAAGTATGTATGCCACGACTTGAAATTTCACCAAACGACATTCCGCTGTTCCGCTGCGTGCGTTCGCGAAGCGTCTTTCGAATCTAGGTCCCGCTTTCTATTGATTGTTATTGCTGTGAGCACATTAAAGTAGAGTACCTTCATAAAAGAAAAAAAAAAGTAAAAGCGCGACCAAAGTTCGCAAAGGCGCGCAACGGCACAGCGGAATGTCGTTCCGTGAAATACCAAGTCGCGATACACAGTCTATATAGTCTGTTCATATTTTTAATTTCAAATGACTTCATTCAAAGACACTCTGTGGATGGCTCGCTCTCTGATTGGTTTATCGCGCCATTAGGGGGCGGAGCTTCAGCGAGGACTTGACATTTGAAATCTGAACAGACTATAACTTATTTGAATTTTCCAGTCGCTGCTCTTGGCTCTGTGCAGTGAAGTTACACGACAACTCGAGCGCGTCATCTTCAAATGCCAGTTCAATCGATACGGAGGTCTTCAGCTAGATCGGGAGTTCCGGCATATCAGCGCCTACCTGAGCACCGTCGCTGGCTGGACGGCTAGAGAAAGATGTTCAAGACTTTCTCAGGTTCTTCAACCCAAATTTAGAAGTTTCTCGATGATTTATTTCATAGATTGTTGCCCTATTGAACGTGGAGACGGTCGAAGAAGCCGTCGACTTGTGGAACCACACGCTGACCTCAGCTTCACCTCTTTCCAGGGCCTTATCCTCCTCGGAAGCCAAAAAAGTCTTGAGACTACGAATCGACCTCCCCTCCACTCTCGTCAATAACATGGATTTATAAATTTAGTTCTTCTTATCGACTTTGATTGCCGCAACGGATGTATCTGCTTTCTCCTTTCAAATTGCTATTCAAATTTTTTTTTTAACTAGTGAGAGTGTTACTTGGATTTTCCCCCTTTTTTTGGATTTAGGTGATTGGCTTTTTTTTTCTTGTTCTATTTGCACTGTTCTACGGTTCAAAATAATTTATTGTGATAATTATTAATAAATATTAAAAGATTCAACGTGAGATAAGGTTCATGTCTTTAAAAGCCGTCGTCATCGTTTCATTGCCCATTCTGAATTGGTCCTGTGCTCCGCCTTCGGATCGTCGCCTCGTCTGACGCGCTTCAACCACACAGCAGTAATTTTTTTCAAACTTTTCTGTTCTACCTAAGGAAGGCCACTATAAGGAAGTCTGAATCTATGTCTTTTCTCATCCGATATCATGTTTCAGAAAGTAACATGGCGGACAAATCTGCTTTCGTGCCCGTCGATGCGATCGGCAACCACAAGAACACCGACCTCGATGTCGACATTGACGATGAGCTTTTTGGCAAAAAGGTTCCGTTTTTGAAAGAAATCCGATTTTTAAATACCTCAGCGATCTAGGCAATTTATGATTTTTCGAAAACTGTTCAATATGAATATTTCAGCCCCCAGCTCCAAGCGCCGCCGCTCCAGCGGCTCCGGCGGCGCCAGCTACGACGCCACCGCCTTCGGTAGCAAAGCCGGTGTCGCCGGCGCCTCCCCCGGCGCCCGCCCCGGCCCGAGGCTACACTTACAAGAAACCGGTGGCCTACCAGAAGACGTACGCCAAGTAAATTTGCGTAATAAACGAATCTACTTGTCTTTTTCGGTTTTGTATTCGCAACACGTTCAAAAAAAAAAGAAGTTGAAAGCCGGACTTTGGGCCACATTTTTAAGAAAGGGGCTTCGAAAAATTTAATTTCTGTTGAATTACAAATGGAAGAAGTAAAAAAACATTTGCCTTGAAGAAAATTTGAACCGGGCCGGCCATTTTTGCTTGAAAATCTCCCTAAGGCCAGTCTGGACCGGAATGCGGGCCCGGTTTTGGTTTCGCAACACGTTAGAAGTTATCAAAAGTTCAGTTAGGCTGGGCGGCCCGAGCTTTGAAAAGTCTGTGCGGGCTTAGGCCAGGCCAGAAAATTCGGGGGCTGATAGACTGGGGACGCTAAGAGGGCGTGACCTGTCTGCGCTCTCCACGAGCAGGGCACTGTCTCGTGCATTATCGTGTCAGGACCCTTTTTTCAATGGCTCAAGCCAGCCGTGAACCAGCTATAATAATATGTATTTTGCCGTTCCAGCGCACCTTGGTCGAAATATTGCGCTTTAATTATATAAAAATGTTAGAACGAAAAATGATGTATATATAACATTCTCAGTCTGTATTTTAAATATTCTTTGGATCAATATTATATCTCAACATTAACATTATCAGAAACCTTATAAAAGTTCATTAAAAATATATTCGTCGTGTCGGTTAATTCAGGCTGGTCCTTTATGTGATTCTTTTTTTTCAAAACTGATTCCAATCTGGAACAAAATCTGCTCTAGATTCAACGTCTCTGTTCTTACTAAAATTTTCAAATCTCATCTGGACAACATCCCCGACAATGAATTATTCATCAGCATCCCTAGACCGTCTAGGCTAGACGGCTACTATCTCTAAAATCTCCATATGCTTATACGTGTATTTTATCAACTGTGATATCTATTGTACTCCCTATCCGGTGAAGTCACTCGTGAGGGTGACCTTAAGCCGGTTCTAATTTATTTATTCTTTTCCCCTTGTGGATGAATAAATTATTATTATTATGTTAAAAAGATATTCTTGTACAACAAAAAATTATTTACAATGATTAATGAATCTTTTCCATATCTTTGTTTCTCAATTTAATCAGTATTATTTTATTCGTGGAAACAATAAATACAAACACAATATTGAAAAAGCATCTTATTACAAAAACATGTTTATTGCAAACCTGAGCGTAATGTCTCAAAGTTTGCTTTGATGTCTTTGATATATTTTTCTACATCGCCAGTACCATTATCGAATTTGATACCATGTCTTGTCAAAAAGGCTTCCTCATCATCAATAAGGTTGGACGTCACTGTTCTTATTCCAATCCAACGATCCAACGCAACTTTTGCTATTTCAGTTCTTTTTTCTGGTCTGATTTTCCGCAGGATTTCATTGACAACAAATTGATCTAATTTGTTCCCGTTCTTGAAATCATTTGTGATGTCACGTTGAAGGAAATTATCGCCTTGAGGTGGACAAAAATCAATTATTGATAATATATTTCTCTTGTCAACACCAAAAATTTCCACTGTTCAGATCAGTAATTCCAAGAATCAGCCGGAGTATGTAGGCCTAAAATGCGTTTTATTAGGATATATACTTTTGAATTTTAAATAAAAATTACCTCCACAACGATTTTGATCTGCAATTCTGCGTCGTTGACCTGTTCCAATTCTTGAAAACCATCTACTTGTTTAGTCATGATAAAATGAATGTTGATTGATTTCGAGTAATACGGGAAATATACAATTGGTCCAGTATCAATGTAGTTCAAAAACCGATAAACAAAGGTTTCGATCAGATCTGGTGGGAATCGATCTGACGTGCTTATGACTTTAGCTTTCTTAGATCGATGATATGTTTTCAAATAGTAGCGTGTCAGTGTATCTCCATTCATAACTTTTGCTATTGTTCCCGACATGATTCCAACAGTCTTAGGTTCAAATTCGACAGTCGATTCAGGATCTAGACTGGCAAAAAATGCTTTCGCACTCTCTTTAAAGGCGGGCAGAAGTCGATCGATCAATCTGAAATTTAAAAACGTCTTAAAATTCTTTTCTACAATCTACTAGTTTTTTTAATAAAAAAACGCGTAAATTAAATAAACTAAAAAAATTAAATTAAAATTTGACAAACTTGTAATAATAAAAATAGCTAAATTTAAGTTTGTTTTTAGCCTGTTAATAAAAAAATAGAAAATGAGGTTCCTTGCATTCCTTTTTAATATTTAGTTTTATTTTTAAAAAAAGTTTCTGAAATTTAAATATATATTAACAAACCTCAACGCTTGGCCACGCTTTTGCACCCATGTCGTGCCAAAATCCGCATAAGCCAACAAAAATTTTGAACTTTCCAATTGAGCCGACAAATCAATAGCCAAGTAAGCAGATGCTTTTCGGTCATTTCTGTCTGCCTTTGTATCGTTGACAACATCGCAATGGGAGAGAAAATTAACCCAACATTTGAGTGCAGCGTGCTTCTGAAATTATTCACGTTGAAGTGTATTTTAATACAATTTTGGTTGAGTGGTTAAAAATAAACAAAAATAATAATAAAAACACTTACGACCACAATCACATCGTCATCTTTGAAATGAAGTTGTCGAAGCGTAGATTTAAGCGAAATAATCTGTTTGCCTTTGTGATAGAGTTCTTGATAATTTTCATGGATACTCCAAAAGGAGTTAATCGCCTTGCTGAGCTCTTTAATTGTCGTCTAAAACAAAACATTCAAACTAGTTAGAATAGAATTGTTAAAAAAAACCTCGTCAGGGAATGTTACTGGCTTCTGACAATGGGATACTCCGCCTTGATCGTGAAGAGTGAGAATCAAACTGATTTCCATTGTTGTGAAACTGAAAAAAGAACAATGATTATCATAGATGGGAAATCACGAAATGAAGGCAAACTTCAGAAGAAAAGAAAGTCTTTGTCTTTCTATTCATAAAAGTTAATGGAAGAATGCGATGTTGGCAGGTTCTCTCCTTTCTCTGCGTCTCTGCTTGCGCGTCACTCTCATCAAAGTGGTCACACCTAAACTTCGAGCAGGCAAAGGACACTAGTGACCTTTGTAAGTCACACCAAAGGATCTGAAAGACATCCAGCGAAAGCAAGCTTCCTTGAAGTGCCTAGTGAAGGAACGAACTGAAGGAGAAAGAGAGAGTGGTCACATCCTAAACCTTCTCGAAGGTGCCATTTCAAGAGTCTGTTCAACCTAAGGGAAGCTGTAGCTGATTCACGGCTGGCTTGAGTCATCGAAAAAAAAGGTCCTGACACGATAATGCACGAGAGTGCTTAGCTCATGGAGAGCGCAGCACGGTGTCGCCGGCGCCTCCACCGGCCCGAGGCTACACTTACAAGAAACCGGTGGCCTACCAGAAGACGTACGCCAAGTAAATTTGCGTAATAAACGAATCTACTTATCTTTTGTCGGTTCTCGTTTCGCAATGCATTCAAAAAAAGAAGCTGAAAGCCGGACTTTGGGCCACATTTTTAAGAAAGGGGCTTTGAAAAAACTTACTTTCTGTTGACTTAAAAATGAAAAAAGCAAAAACATGACATTGTCGTAAAAGTCTTGATATTTGACTTGAAGCAAATTTGAGCTTTTTGGGCCGGCCATTTTTTCTTGAGGCCTCCCGGGCTTTGAGCCTCATTTTTGAGAAAAAGTCGCGCCAGGCCGGAAAATTTGGGGGGCCGATAGGCTGGCGGGCCGGCCCCTGCACAAGCCTGAGCTCAGTTCAAGGACGCTTTTCCCCTATGGACAGCGCCTAAATTTGGTTGGATTTTCTGAAATTAGTGGACTAGTTTATTTTTCTGCGAAACAGTAAATTTTCAGTATTTATCCCGCTCACAGCATATATGGAAAGAAAGTCATCCTTCGAAAAAATGACAGCTGTTTTTTTCTTTGACACGGGAACTCATTTTACTTTGCGGTTTTGAATTGTCTACAATTTCTCTGGAGGTTCATATGAAGACCCATCGAAGCTGCATCTCGCACCAACTTCTAGTTTTTGAGATAATTAATTTTGAAGGTCGAAATTTTAAGCCTAAAACCCGTTTTTCGCAACTTTGAAAAATCATATCTCACAAATAGAAGTTTGCGCAGGTAGAGATTATTCTGGATCTTCATTTTGACATTCAAACAGTGTTTAAGCGAATTTGTAGAAAATTCCAAACCAGAAAGTGAAATGACCTTTCTTGTAAACAGAAAATGGAAACAAAACCGAGATTTTAAAAATATTTACATCCAACAACTGAACAATTAGCAAAAAGAAGAAATATGGAATTTTTCAAGATACGGGAAGAGAAAAAGTCATAACATATATATTTCAGTTTTCTGTAAAAATTTTGTCGTTTTTCTGCCTTTTTGAATACTCCTGCTGTCAAGAGGGAATAGATCTTCTAGAAATTCTTAGGAAAAAAAAGCTTTAAATATAATGTATTCTTAACAATATAAAGGATCAACACTGCAAAAGCCATACCAAAATTTCAAATCACATAAAAATACAACAACGAATCCTAAATGAAAGCCGCTTTGCGACGAAGGGAGATAAGGTCAATAAAAGGCCCGCAGACCCAAGGCCACTCGTAGACCTCATCAGTGATCTTAACACAGCGAGCATGGCCAATGAGGGCGCTAAGAAAGGCGTCTTCGAGGTCGAATTCGATGAAAGTGGCTCCTGACGTACAAGTCGTCGGTGGCGGCCGTCGGCCGAGCTGGAGCATTGCTCGCGATTCGACGACCTGGATCATGTTCGCAGTTGAGCAAGCACCAGGCAGCCGTCCCGGTCGGTTCCAGCGACATAACTGACATCTGTGAAAACATCAATTTTTTTTCAGAAAAAAAGTTCCGCGAAATGCAATATTATCTCTAACTCTCCATAATTTAATTATATATAAAAAAATTTTTTTAACCTTAAATCGCTTGCTTTTACCAATATTACACAGTGCTTAAAAATTGATAAGTTTTACGACAAATTCAAAATTGACGCGTTATTCGTTAAGAATGATTGAGGGAAATACGCGAGATTGGAAATTACGGGAAGGTGCGAAAAAAATGCGAAGAAAACAAACGATATATCGCAAGATATGCATTACAGTAAGTTTTTCGCGCTAATTTGAAAATTTCGTAGAAAATTGCCCAAATAATATCAAAGTTTCGAGTTTCGCGCATGAAAGTTACAGTAAAATCCATATCTTGCGACACATGGTCTTCCCAAAATTCCAATTTTGCTCATTTCCCACAATCGTTTTTAACGAATAACGCGTCTAAAATCGCCGAAATAACAACACGACTTCAGTTTCTTTAAAAGTTGGCAGCGCCCAAAAATCCGAAATGGTTTTTTTTTCGAAATTTCCCACGAACCTTAACAACTTTTTTCTCTTCAAGAGCCTTCATCATTTTATTGAACTTCTCCTTCTGCTCGTCTTTGCATTGGACTTGATTATTGTTCAAAGTAGGATACAAAATTGTGGATCCATTCCAAACGTTGACGACCCCATAAGCCGAAATGATTTTCTCCAAGATTTTCGGCATTTTAATTGAATTTTGGAGCTTCGAACCAGAGACATGGAGGTTATTGTTGACCTGGAACTTCATAAAACAGTATTTGTATACGACAGAAAAAAGAAAAATCTAAAATTGGTAGGATTTTTGAACAGAACATATGCAAACTACCATAGTTTTTGACCAGACTGAAACCAACCATTCCAAGGACATTCTCCACACGAATTCGCAACAGCTCGCGAATCACCGCTTTGAAATCCTCTTCGCCGCAAAACTCTCCAGGAATTTCAGAAGACGAAAACAAGCCGTCCATGTAACAATTGTAGCATTCGTGGGCGAACATATCCAGTTCAGTAATATCAACAACTTTTGATTGGCGTCTTTTTGCAGTCAGCGGACCGGATATTGCAGCGACGAGTCTGCAAAAAAACTTGATTTAACTTTCTTTATGATTTTTTTGGCTCAAAGAATGTGAAAGATTTGTTCCTGTTTCTTAATTTACGAAAAATAAATGGTGAGAAAAACTCTCCGTTAGTCTTTGAAAAAAATCAGGATTTTTTTCCTAAAACACTTGATACTTTTTCAATCCCTATCGATTCCGTTGCCTTTTCCACTCTCTGACGGCAGAAAAACCAACATAAAAACAGTGGGAGCTTCACGGAGGAATAAAAATTGGCTAAAGCGTTTTTTATTTCCATTATAGCGAACGCAAATTTTTTTTTTACAAACAATACCCCAATAAGTTCTCTTCAGACTTCTTTTCCTCTTGTTTTGCTTTCTCAGTCGCTCTCAAAGCGAAAACTTTATCCACGTACGAGAAAGAACTGTAAAAAATCAAATATTATCGAAATCTGTCCAATAGAAAAACAACCTGATGGAATTCGGGTATCTTTGCGATTCTTGAAAGTTATCTTGCGAACATTCGCCAAGTGTAACGTCTCCATCACACATTCTGAACTTAATTTTGATTCGAATAAAATAAGGTGCATAAATTGACGTAAAACATCCGGAAAAAGACAAAGAGCGAAAATTAGAATGAAAATTTCTTTAGATTCGAACAAAAAAAAACCTCTTGTGCGACTAACTTTGAATTTAAAGATACGCATTCTTACGGTGAGTTGTACGCGCGATCGCAAAATATGAATTTTTACTGTTACTTTCACGCGCAAACTCGAAATTTTTGAATTATTTGGGCATTTTCTACAAAAATTTCAAATTCGCGCGAACAACTCACCGTAAAAATGCATACCTTACGATACATCTTTGATATCTTTGTAAAACTCGATTTTTCCAATTTTAAATTCCTTTGAACAACGACATAATGCACGAGATCGCAGCAAGAAACCTTGGCTATATCGCTTACGGCCCGCAGCGCGCTGCGATATAGTCAATCATATTGAGTGTCGGAAAAAAACGAAAATCCGTATTGCGTGAGGTCTTTGAGACGAATCGAATTCTCTCCGCACAAAAGCAATTTTTCTGCGCGAAAGTGGCGCAGTGTATGCACACGACACACGACACTTTACGGAAAAATTCGTGGCGAAAAAAACGCCACGTTCAATCATAGCACGGCGGCTTTTTTTATTTTAGAATTTATTTTTAGATTTTTTTTATCAATGAATTGCTTCAGAAGCAATTCATTGATTAAAATTAGAACTGGAAATTTAAAACATGATTTGTTTGAATTTATAGTTTTTTTCATTTGAATCGGAAATTTTCAATTCTTTTTCTTCATTTGTGCTTATTTTTTTCTGAACTACAAATAGAGCAATCGTCTCATAATAAATAGAGAAACATTCTTGAGTGCGCCTACAGCAGACGTGGTCTCATTGGGATCGCCAGACACCTTTTCGAGTACCTTATTTACTTATTTTCGGCTTTTCTTTCATGATCATCGCCAGAATGCCTTTTTGAAGATACCGACAACGGAACCTCTCATTTTCTTCATTTTTTGTAATATATCTCGAAATTTTATTACTCAAAAAAGTCTTCTGAATCACCCGAATGAGCCGAAAACTGTGCTGGAGTACCATCAACTTGATTTTTCGGTCATAAGAAAGTCTATCGATCATTTTCTACTGTTAAACCCAACAATGCCTCATTTTTTCAATTTCTCAAGATGTTCAGCTTTTTTTAGCGATCCTAATCTGAGTGTGCACCATATCGAAAAAGCTCAGATCTATTCTCTTTCTCAAAAATTGAGTTCGAAAAAAATACATGCTCAGATACTTGTCCATGAAAACCTTTCGTCATGAATTTATATGTGCACTTTTGTCTTTGACCAGACTTTTCTGAAAGCTATCATCTTTCTTTTTATCCGATTGAGATCAAACCAGTACGCAGGAGTCTATTATTCAGCCCACGATGCTCAGAATATATAAAAAATTTTGTTTCTGTGTTTCTTCCTTTACCTTCAAAAAAAAAACGGTTTCAAGAAATTTCAGTAGAAGGGAGAGAGACAAAGGAGCAAATGTTGTCTAGAAACCTCTAAATGTTCCATTTCCCAGCAAAATGTGAATGGAATCGGTTTCGTTTATTTTTTCCGAAGCCTCGTAAGATTTGAATGGCAGGGGTTAACAAGGGGACAGAAAAAGCGACCAAACTTTATAAATTGGAAAGAAAGGCCACGGTCTTGCGGTAAAAGAGACACCGGCGGAACCAGGCTCCTCGTCATCTTTTCAAAAAATGGCAATGCGCCAAGAAGCGAAAACTGTCCCTTTTTGCATCAGATGGACTTGCTGATATCAGAAATTGTGAAAAAAAATTGGTATGAGATAATTAAGGATCACAGAAGAACTTCTGATTGGACTGAGAATGTGATTTTTTTTGTCGACTTCAATTTTCGAAATAAAGGTTCCTGAAAACCAATGACTGCTCGATTTTTTGAAAAATGTCACTAGGATCTTATTTTAGGACAGAAATGAAGCTTGACACTGCGTCATAACTATGGACACGTTTCGTTTCGTCCGGATTCGAGCTTTTTTTTCATCAAAAGTCTTCCCTGTGCACATTTATTAAATTTTTTCTCAGTTTGGATTCGTTCTGCCTTGCAAAAAAACTGAAACTGCAAGAAACGAAACGTGTCTATAGTTATGACGCAGTATCAGGCTACATCCAAAAATAATCATAGTGGCATTTTTCAAAAAATCGAGCCGTCGTGTATTTTTTAAACTCAACAGATAGTTCGATTCATTTTTTTTCCAGTTCAACCCATTCTAAACCTTTTCGCCCAAGACCTCCTTTCCATTTGGACAAACGAAGAATCTGTGAAGTTCAAAAAAAAGAGGCCGAGCGACGGTCGGCCGGTGGAAGGGACGCCGACGGCACCAGGCTCCTCGTCATCTTTTCGAAACATGGCAACACGCCAAGGCTCAAATTCTGTCCCTTATTGAATCAGAAGGACGTTCCAGAATAGCTCTATTCAGAAAAAAAGAACTTCGGGTTCACCGAGAGTTTAGGAGAGGTTCATCACAAAAGAGTTGGACTAGAAATCATGCTGTTTCGTATAAAAATCTACTTTTTTGGGTGGTAAAAAAGCTTTTCGACTCGTAGTTACACATTCCTAGATGCTTTGGGAGTTTTCGATGAAAAGAAAAAAAGCTATTTTTGGTAATTTTTTTGGATAGAAAAGAGCTCATTTCTTTACTGATAAGCAGCCGAGATCTTGAAACAACGAGCAGTAACTTTCTCATCCAAAAAAGGAGATGTTTATACAAAAAAGAGAAATTTACCTGGTGGCATTTTACCTGTGGGCTTGCAGGTTTTTCAAAAAGCGTACCTATTGATCCATTCCAAGCTTCATTCTCTCTTTCTTCAAGCCAAAAAAAAAAAAAGACCATTTTTCCATTTCTTAGGTCAACCCGCACATGACCGCCTTATTTTCTTTTTCGGAAGGGAAATGTGTTTTGGCACAGTGTTGCTCAGTGTTGCTCATGCCAGCTGGTGACGCGGAAAGAATATTCCTACATTTTTTTCTTTTCCAAGGCATCTGTGGGACGTGTAACTGTGAGCCGAAACACATTTTCCCATCCGAAAAAAAGAAAGATGTTTACACAAAAAGTGCGGTTGACCCGTGAGAAGTTGACGTCTTTGGCGAAGGAATGGTATTTTATACCATTGTTAGTTTTTTTAGAGATCCCTATAGGGGTTAGGGGATAAATAGCCTCTTTAGGGGTCGAAAAAGTGGTCCCTATAGAGGCGAAATCGAGGAGGTCCCTATAGGGGTGTTTCACTTTGATTAAAAAAACGCTTATTTTTTCTGTTTTTCGCGTGGAAATACTTGAAATTATCGACTAGCATTTCCCCTGTAGAAGCCACTAACAGAAATCCCTGGAGGGATCTCTTTTGCAAGCTTTAGTGGTCCCTTTAGGGGTTGGTAAAGTGGTCCTTTATCATTGAATTTTGTGAATTTTATCGCTCACTTGTAAAATAATAAATCCAATAAATTCCGAACTGGGCTCGGAATTTTTTTATCAAATTGATCCTTGTTAACCTATCATGAAGCTTGGGAGGAACTGATAAATACAAATTTCAAAAACATTTTACTCAATCAACAAAATAATTTTCTCAAGAAATCTATATATCATTTATAGTGCAACTCCTTTGTGTTTCTTTTTCAACCTGAACCCTTGGAAAAATCAAAATAAAAATTTTTCTTCAAAAAAAGCTTCTGTGAGACTTTTTCTGAGGCAGAAAGGGACAGTTTTCGCTTCTTGGCGCCTTGCCATTTTTCGAAAAGATGACGAGGAGCCTGGTGCCGCCGGCGTCCCTACCACCGGCCGACCGTCGCTCGGCGTCTTTTTTTTTTTTTTTTTGAACTTTCCAGATTCTTCCATTCGTCATAATAGAAAAGGCATTTGTGGCAAGAGAAAGCTCTTCTTGTTTTTGAACTTTTAGCTCAAAATGACAGAATAGTTGAAAAAGAACTGAAGCTAACTTGAAAGTGGAAATCGAAAGAACATTATAGAGAACAAAATAATCCATTTTATTGAGCTTTAGTGATTCCTTTTCATTCCGAAAGCGTATCTTTAAAAAAAATGCCCAGTAGGGTTTTAGGTCTCCATCGATATTTTCTTCACTAACTATTTGTGAAATAACTCACAGCCTTAGAAAAGATCAATTTGAACTGAAATAGAACAATTTAGACCGTCCCCAGGCTTGTGCGTCAGGCCGGGCTTCGAAAGAAACCTTAAACTTCATTTTGAAAAAATTTCACGGAAAAATTACTTTTACTTGTTGAATCATAGTTTCTCATAACTTGAGAAAAAATAAGCAAAAATACCACTTTTCTCGATAAAAAAGCGAGAAATTCGACTTGAATACGATTCAAGTTTTTTTGGGCCGGGTCGGCCATTTTCGCTTAAGGCCTCCCCAGGGCCGGGCTTGGGAAGTGGCCGGGGGGCCGAGAGGTTGACGGGCCGGCCCTCGCACAAGCCTGATTGTCCTCTAATAGAAAAAGAAGCATTAAACGCTTCTTGGCGTCTTGCCATGTTTCGAAAAGAGGACGAAGAGCCCGGTGCCGCCGGCGTCCCTTGCACCGGCCGACCATCACTCGGCGTCTTTTTTATTTGAACTTTACAGATTCTACCGTTCGTCCTAATAGAAAGGAGGTCTTGGGCGAGAAGGTTTTGAATGGGTTGAACTGGAAAAAAAAATGAATCGAACTATCTGTTGAGTTCAAAAAGTACACGACTGCTGAAAATTATCTTATTTTTGGACGGGAGGTGTCTGACACTGCGTCATAACTATAGTCTATAGTTTATAGTCTATAGACACGTTTTGTTCCATGCAGTTTCAGTTTTTTTGCAAGGCAGAACGAATTCAGACTGAGAAAAAAACCAATAAATGTGCCCAGGGAAGATTTTTGATGAAAAACAAGTTTTTGAAATCCATCTTTATCTGGAAAAACGGAACGTGTCTATAATTATGACGCACTGTCAAGCTTCATCTTC